CCCCCACCTGCACCTTTCCAGAAACCCTCACTGCAATATCCACGACAATGTGTGCTAACAACTCCTACTTCTCACCCATGACCTTCGCAAACCCTTCCTGGAACTCAGCGGCAGTTACAACATAGCCCCTATTGTTGCACACTTTCCCCACCATCATCTCATGCACGTCCTCAGCCTGGTCGGCACACCCATCCGAGATAACCGACACGACGTATTCGGCATCACTAGCTGTAACCGCAGTCCTCATAACACACCCCGATGTGCTCAGCCCGGTTAGAACCAGCGACTTAATTCCCTTCTTTCCCAAGAAGTCTTCCAGGCCGGGTGATTTCAGCGCAGATACATGGCCTGGCGTTCTGGTAAACGTGATATCGAGGTCGTCACCACCACCCTCTAGCAGCTCGGTAGGCTCTTCACTGCCGCCGCCCGATTTCATGGCGGCGGCGATGCCAACGAGCCGGTCGGCATCTTTACATGTTGGGAATGGTGTGGCGTTGATATCGAGTAGGCAATGGATCACTTGGATACCTTGCGACTTTGCCCAAGTCCGCATCCTAGCCGCGACGGAGAGAGCTGCGGGAGCCTGAGGTACACCGGCTCGTTGAACAAACATGGAGTGGAAGTCTAGGAGGAGGAGAGCGGTCTGGCAGGGCCCATAATGGCCAGGTGTAGTTTTGTCGGCGGCATTGAATGTAGCTGCGAGGGTTGTCATGGTTGGTGATGAGTTGGACTTTCATATTTGAGTGAGTGCAGGTGGGTTTTATATTTATGAAGCCGCCTCCTGTTGTCGTTGTCGTTGTCGTCGAATGTTGTGGTTTCGACTTCGGCGCATGCTCGGGGATATCGCCTGCCACCACTCGACGTATCTCCGCTCAGTCGCGAGCATGCAGCCGTCCTGGTCGCTGTCAGGGCCTTGCGTGAATGACCAAATTAGCAGAACGCACAGCTCAAGATCGCCGCCAAGATTCTTGAACGGGCCGGCCCTAACCTTGGAACAGAACTTCACACGAGCTCGGCCTTCGGGCGGCGTTAACAGCTTGCTCCGATTGGTCCACTGCGACTACTATTTCATGATAGGAGAAGAATCGATTCCAGTAACCTCAATCGCTCACTCTTTTGCTTCAGTCTGGTGTGAATATCAAACAGGAGACGGTATGTCGGACAAACGTAACACAGATGAAATAACGCCAGTAAGTCAAGTAGGCATCAGAGTCAACGACGAGGAGGCTAAGGAGAAGTACGAAAACAATGCCACCAATGTCAGCTCAGATAACAACGCAGACGACAAACCCTACTCAGTCTTCACTCACAACGAAAAGCGAATCATTGTTCTCTGTGCCGGCCTTTCACAATTCTTCTCCCCAATCTCTGGGCAAATTTATTTTCCATCACTCAATGCCATCGCGGCTGACCTGCACGTCTCCAATTCACTGGTCAACTTGACAATCACAACGTATCTGGTGAGTGCGATACTCTTACCAGATTGACGGGGACCGAAATTGACCAGCTAATCTCATATCACCTTTTGCTAGATCATGCAAGGTCTCGCACCCGCATTCGTCGGTGGCTTTTCCGACAGTTCAGGACGAAGACCCACGTACTTCATATGTTTCATCATTTATGCTGCGGCCAACATTGGCCTCGGTGTTCAAAACAACTACACCGCACTAATGGTCCTACGCTGTCTCCAGAGCGCTGGTGGCAGTGGCACAGTTGCACTTGCACAGGCAGTCGTCTCCGACATCGTCACATCGCAGGAGCGGGGTGCCTACGTTTCGTACATGTCAATCGCCTCGCAGGCTGGGCCATCACTTGGCCCACTCATCGGCGGTCTTCTTGGACAGTACCTTGGCTGGCATTCAATATTCTGGTTTTTGCTTATCTCCATTAGTGTGGTATTCGTGCCAGCCGCGCTATTTCTAGCTGAAACGTGCAGAAACGTTGTTGATGATGGGTCTGTGCCACCGCCTAAATGGAGGCGTTGTTACATAAACTCAAAAGTAGAGAAGAGGATCATCGCAGAAGGCCGACGGATTCCATTCGACAAGCGGGACCAGCTCGCTCGAAAAAGAAAACTTCGGTTTCCTAATCCCTTGGATACGGTCAAGATCGTATTCACAAAAGAAGCTGGCTATATATTAGTATACATCGGGATGGTGTGTTGCGGGTACTATGCCACCGTCGCTCTAATTCCCTCCCAGTTCGGCACCGTCTACGGCTTCAATCAGATCCAAATCGCGCTGTGCTATCTGCCACTCGGCTGCGGGAGCTTACTCGCCGGCCTGATCCGTGGTAGGATCATCGACTCAAGATACAAAGCCCACGCCAAACGACTGAATTTCCCACTGAAATACAACCGCCAGGTTGATCTGAGCAACTTCCCTATCGAGCGCGCTCGGTTGGAAGTCGTTGTCCCAACCCTCGCCCTTGGTTCCGCGTGTTTCATTGGGTTCGGGTGGATGATTCAATACAAAGTCAATCTGGCTGGTCCGTTGGTCTTCCTCTTTGTCATTGGCTTTTGTGTTAGCGCGTCGATAAACACTGTCTCGGTCTTGCTTGTAGATATCTATCCTGGGAAAGCGGGGACAGCAACCGCGGCTAATAATCTCGTGCGCTGTTGGCTGGGAGCGGGCGCGACAAGTGGGGTGGAGCCATTGATTAAGAAAGTGGGCATTGGGTGGACTACTACTTTCTTCGGCCTTCTTATTTTTGTATTCAGTCCGATTCTTTGGTATATTATGAAGAATGGTCCGAAGTGGCGTCGTGCTACCAAGGAAAGGAAAGAACGACAAGAGGCTAAACGAGAGGCAAAAATCCATGGAGACAGTGGAGATAGACAGCCATGAACTGACAAACATGATTCATCTTAAATGCGCTTCTCTCTTGTACCGACTGGCTAACCACATCCTCGACCCAGAGTATGGTTTAGGGATTACATAGCAATCTGAAAGGTGAGGGCAATAGCGTGGCGGAGCTGCGCACCGATTCATGCGGCATCTCGGTGGGTCCCATCAACTAGTGAGTGGTGGCAGACCAACTAGAATTCTCGTGAATTGTCTTATCATTTGATCTCCCTCGCTCCCAAATGGGGGCCTTAACCACCCATGCATTCTAAGTTTTTGCAAAGAGGGCCAAAAGCGCTGTGGGTACGTGATGTGACGCCATTCTATAGCCTCAGAACAGTCCTATGCTAGAGTACATTCACTTTTTTCAATCACTGAAGCATTTGGCACGCTGTACCTAGTCCAACATGCGGACATGCCTCCCCTCTTCCTTCCCTTGTTTGCTCGCTATCTACTACCCTCTTTACCACCACACACTATGCCATGGACCCGGTCAACATTACCGAAATTATCTTTGCCATTATACAATCCAATTCAAGCTTGTTATCATGACAATAGTAATTCAATTTAAAATGGACTAGCTCTCCTTCACCAAAGAACACCCGATTGTCCGCTCTAATCTTAGTCTCGAAAGAGACTCTTTCAGCCGTTCCATTGAGATAAGTCTCGTGGGATGCATCGACAGCTTAGTTATCAACGAAACTAAAATCTTTGACATCCTATGGACCATCGTTCGGACGGAGCTCTCATGATGCCTCCTCTTGTAATCACTCCAATTCAAAATCCTTTGTTTAAAGCAGGAAAACCTGGCACTGGACGCGGGAAATATTACGTAACACTGCCGAATCTTGGGAAATTCTAGTGTATGTTTAGGTTAAAGGTGATGATTTCCGGGTACTGCTTGCCGCCGGCGAGTTAAGGTCTCTACATAGTGTTGTAGGAAACCGTAGCATAGGCTATGCTTGGAAGCTGCTTGAATAAGTGCGTCTAAAGCTAGTGAAATATTACCGAGAAGTGCGATGCTTCCTGGATTTGAGTGTTAGTATTATAGATAGATTTAGGGGAACGATATTCTGATAGCTGTGTAGCTCCAATTTTCGGTCAAGTTTAACATATTCTATCTTCTTTTCGATCACTTATCATTCTCTACCGTCTTTCAGCACAACATCCTTTCATGGCTCTATACCTACAAGATGATAGGTGCTGATATAGTTCGAATTGACTTCGCCTAAAACATTGTTATCTACTACGGTAGCTACAATTATCTCGGAATGCACGTGAGAGCACCAAATATCACCTCTCACTCTGAAGGACTAAAGTCACGCCTACTTTCGCGAATTTGAGAAAGAGGCCGAGAGCAAGGAGATGGTATTGTTGACAAACTCGGCGAAGGTTCTAGTCCAAAATGTTAACCGCAACTACGCTAGCTATTCTAACGAAAGTCGTTTAGAGTCGGTTAAGCGGCTAACCCAATAAAGCGGCCGGACATTGTCAGGCATGAATAGTGGAATTGTCGTGGCGAGCGAGATATCAAGTAGGCTTTTAACGGGCCTTGGAGCTGACGTGTGACCACTCAGGAGGCTCATGATATCGACCATCGGAAATTCCCTCTTGCCAGCTGAGCAGAGAACTAATAATACGAGCCTTCTGAGTGGCCGCACCTTAGCTCAGAGGCTCGTTATAAGTCGGTAGACCAGCCCAACGACAAGGGCCCACAGTGACAGGTGTTGACCAACTTATATGTGTGATCTTTGGTTCAACGCGTCGAAGTGGTCTAACCTCACCGATTGGCCAGCATGACCGCAGTCGCTGTGAATGCTTTGCAGCCACATTCCCCATTGTATATATCCATCCCAAAACCTCCCAACCCACCAACGTATTCACTAAACTAGAACACAATCAATCTTACTCAGTAACAATTTATTTATTACTTACCTACACCACCGCTAAGATCTCGAAACGGGCTCCGCTCCTTTTACTCCCCTTTTGCAACTCCTCCGCGTCACCTGCCTTCCCAGACTACCTCAATCACCAATCTCCGTACATCCTGAACGCGCCTAATTCAGCAACTCCGGCGTGGGACCTGGAATCAAGCTTGCGATCTAGCCGCAGGCGAACAAATGTGCCGCTTGGTCAAATGTATCGTCAGTTGTTAGGGGCCATGGTGTTTGGGAGATTCTGTCTGCGGAAGGACGGGCAAAGGGGGCTGGCGGGAGGGAAAGTTGTCGGGCTGGATTGAAGCGGGGTATGCGCTTCCGCGTCCCATACTTTCTGGAATGAGGAAACTAGAGATGGGTCTGGGCCTGGAGAACCCTTAGCCACAATCCTAGTCCCAGCTACAGTACCAGTACCACTACTAGTCTCGCCGCCACCGCTCCCCAAAACCGCACCCGCATTAACATTCCCCACCCCAACCAATCTATCACTTTCCCAAGGCCTCATCACCACACTTCCTCCAGCATTTTGGCTACGGCTAAGGCAATGGTGCCGACCCTGGCCATGCTCTTGCCCATCATACCGAGGCTCCATCTCAACCACCATGTCGACACCCCCAACCCTCATCTCTCTAACCTTAACCTGCACCTCCACGCCATTGCCCAGATGCTTTTCCTTCCTACCCATACACATCTTCTTCGCCCAACAGACCACACGGTATATATGATACAGCCAAGTAACTACCGAAATCAGCGGGTTCAAACTACTACGGAAATACCGCCCCGGTGGAATCTGCCCGAAGGTGGCGCTATGTAGGATGGAGAGGAATGCGAAGGAGAATATAACGCCGAAGAAGATTGATAAGATGATTGCTGTGTTTGAGGTGTAAAGTGGAATTGCGGGGTAGAAAGGTAGTGGGTGAGGAGGATAGTGGCGGTGGCGTTTGGGCTAGGGGAGGTGCCGGAGGGATTGTGGGTCTTGGGCGCAAATGCAAATGCGGGCATTTTGGTGCGAGGGATATGGTCGTTGTGATTTGCGGGTGTGTTCGAAAGGGGCTTTTACCTCTAGCAGCGATATTTGTGGTGGGTCATTTAGTCTGGAGATGACGAAGAAGAGCGAAGGAAAGGGGTATATCTCCTCCAGGTCCATGCACAAAGAATGAAAGATGGGTATGCACAATACAAGCTGGAAGGTCAAAGACAGCATATAAATATGGCGAAGAGTTGTGGAATGTGACGGGCGTGAATGACCCCCAGCAACTGTGAAAATGCATGCGCTTGACTAATTGCGTGCGGAATGGAATGGTACCACAACCTAGCCTGTCGAAAACAAAATTTTGAGGAAGAGACGCGAGAAACGAACACGCCCGCGTACTTATCTTTCCAAAAACGCCCAGAAGTTTCTGTACAAATGCAGAACCCCAGCTATGCGTGCTCCCACATCCCACATGCCTAAAACCGAATGCAAGGTATCATAATACACCCCAACCCAAGAAACAATCGCTAACATAATCAAGCACTCATTGCATTCGGAAACACATTGCCGCCCTCCCTCTCCCTCTCCCTCTCCCCAGCCCTACTACTCCTCCTCCCGTTCTCCCGCCTCGTTTGTGGGGGTCCCATCCCCCCAACCGTACCGTCATATCCCGACGTCTCGCCATCTTTATCAGAGAGGCTTTCGGAGGTACTCAACGCACTCGCTCTCTTACTCTGCCACGGATTGTTCGGTTCATTTGGGGTCCCCGGTCTACTACCGCTCCCGCTCCCACTAGATCCAAGTCGCTGTGGCGCGCGGGCAGCTTGGGTGGTGCTAAGCGGGACGACGGCAGGAGTCGGTCGCTTTCGACGGGAGTCAGAGCGGGTTGTTGTGCTGCCTGTAGTGCTTGTGCTCCACCGCCGCTCTCTCGTTTCCAGGGGCCTGAGTTTATCATCAAAGTCGGGCGTTGGTGTTGTGCTGCGTGACGAACTCCTCGAATGGCTTCCGTCTCTTCCTCTCAGCATGCTGGGTCGCCGCTTTCGGTCTCTTAGCGAGCCAGATGTAGACCCAGAGTAACCGTGGCCGTGGACGGTCTTTTCGACATCTCCAGTGCGCGTTGTGATGCCTCTGGCGCGTTTCCAGCCGCGCCATCCAGTCCACCATAGCCACCCTCCTTCTTCCCGAGCGATCTCGCGTTGGCGGGCACGTACTCGTTTCCTTAGTTCTGCCCTACGCTCATTTTCCCTCTCCCAATACTCTGTCCGATACATCTCCCAGTTCTCGCGGAAATCCGGACCAAACGGTTTCGGCAGCAACAATAGCTTAATATAATCGCCGCCCGGCGCAATATCCTCCTCGGCATATTCCTTCCCATCCTCCACAATCCTATGTCTCGGCCTTCCATCGGACAAATCATTCTTTTTCTCCTGCACCAAATTAATGAAATGATAGCTACTCCCACCCGTCTCGCCGCCCCACAGCCCGCCCGAGAACGGCAGAACGAAGGCCAGCCACCCCGCCAGCTCCATCCACCACGGTCCGCGTATCACTACGATTTTCGCATTCATACCACGGAGCCCGCGATTCGCGACACCGATCCAGCGCCGTGGCCATCGCACCCCGCGCTCCCACTGCCCAGTTGCCCAGAACAGGATGACAGTCACAACGCCGGTGATAAAGCAGACCTTCTGGCCCATATCCACGAGCCAGTATTGCGATCCTCCAATACCTTTCCCATCTTCGCGAGGCCTCAGCCAGAGAAGATAGGTAAAAAACACTATCCACAGGGCCAACAGCGTCAACACGAAGGTGTTCTGCCGCCGTCGTGCCCGTAGCGTGAGATACTGGCTGCGCAGACTCGCCTCGAGGATCAAGAGATTGAGGTAGATCTGCGGGGGGGAAGAGGGAAGTAGTGACGTTGGATCAGGGGGAGGGTGTGGGGGCCGGGGGGTCTTGAGAGAGGCGAGGCGGTCATTGGCATCGTGGGAAGGTGGGGGAGCGAAGGGGGAAGCTGCGACTTGGTGCACAGACGCGTTTGGAGGGGGTGCACCTTTGACAAGCTGGTCGAGCGAGGGAGGGGGGCGGGGGGGGAGTGCCATTGAGGGTGTAGAGTCTCCAGGACGCTACCTAGAGCCGTGGTGGTGCTGGTGCTGGCATGTGAAGGCGCATTCGGGATGCTCGGGGTAACACTGGGGAGAAGTACGAGTGTAGGAGGAGAAAGGATAGACTAAGAGGCCGCTGATAAAGGGCGAAAGATGACTGGAGAAACGAGTCTAGGGGTGAGAGAGAGAGAGAGAGCTGTATATGAAGTTTTGAAGCGGCACGGCTTTTAGTTGTGTATATGCAAGTTGATGCAAGTTGAGGCGCAAGAGATGAAGTCAGAGGACTCGCTAAAACGTCGGTGAAGGCAGGGATTCGCTGGCACACGAGCACCACACCATCAACTGCCCATAGCCCATTGGACTATTACCGGTTGGGGAATGGAGTACCGATTTCACCCTCACCCTCACTCACCGTCAGTTCGCAAACCAATATCAATACATGCAATGTGCGGGGTCGAGATGTTGGGGACGTGAATGTGGGACGACCCAAGCATTTGGCTGGGGCCGGGAGCTTGGGCCTTGCACCGGAACACGAGGCTGCAGATGGGTCTGGCGCGGATCAGTCCATGTCGACATGTGAAACTTAGATACAGTACGGATCCGTACGCGGGTTGAAATATATGTTTATACAAAAGCCGGGCTGTTTCTACTGTACCCAAATACAACCAATCATTCCCCATGATATCTATCCTGCATCCCAAAACTCCGAATCATTCACTATCTATCTGTCAAGCGTCACCGCACCCCCTCCCTGCGTTTCACATCTGCCATCTCCTCGAGCATGACTCTGTTGAACTGATCCCATCCATCCAGATACACGTGGTGTCCCGCTTTGTGGATTATGATAACCTTAGCTTCGCCTTGGTCTTTCTTCCTCTCCTCGGGTGTTGCGTTCGCTAAAATCCTGGCCTTCTCCTGGTTGATTTTCTCCTCGGACGCGAATCCACCCGCAACATCCATCCAATCGTTCTCACCGTACATGAAAATGATTGGAATGCCGTTTTCTCTCTCGCCTTGGCGAGATGCAGAGGAGTGGAAAGACTGGACCGTTGACACAATTGAAGGGGCAGGTGATTTTGACCTCGTTTTATGGCATTTCTTTGGAGGGGTGTCGCCGTCGACCGTCGGACCGTCGTGCGCCTGAATCCATTGCCTGCCTACGCCTTGGATCCGTTGGATTAGGGGGCTACGCGCAAATGCGCCGGGTGCGAGAATGTATGATAGTGCATATTCCGAGCTTCCTCGCTGGCGGAACAGCGAGTAGCTGTAATCGTGCAATGCCTGGGCCTCTTCCTGGGGAAGATGCGAGAAGCGGCGCGAAGTCCAGCCGGAAACAAGACGAGGCCCAAGGGGACCGCTCCATCGGACTAGAGAGAATGGTGAGATCATATTGGCCTCCCAGAGAAACGATATCCACCCGGGTATTCTCCGTCGCGGTGGCTCATTCTTCGGCGCCTGCTCGCCCTTCTTTCGCTGATTGAGGAAGTTGTTGTTGTCAGCCGTTGCTGGCTTGATACCATTACTGGTCTCCGCAGCGTCTTGTGTGAATTCATTTGCCATGGTCGAGTCTTGTGGCTCTGGAAGCTCCTCGTTGACAGCATATGGGTCTTCGGGGATTCCGACCGGTGATGCGAGTATTAGTTTGTTGAGATGACCGGGATACTTGAGAGCGTATGCCACAGCGAGGTATCCACCGAGACTGTGGCCGAGAAGCGTGAAGCGGTCCAGGCCACGCTTGATGCGCCATTCTTCGAGCGCGTCGATGAACCAATTCTCCGCTTCGGTGATCTTGCCCTCCTTGTCCTTGGCATGGATCTTGAATGTTGGTCGGCTACTCCTGCCCATACCCAGGAGGTCCAGAGCGAAGATCTTCCACCCGGTTGCGCGAGACAAGGCTTCAAAGTTTCGATAGAAGAACCCCAAGCCTGCGCCATACCCATGGAGCATGACGAGATTGTTCTCCACGTCTTCGCCGACCCGCTCCACCGAGAATTCGTTTAGGGCGCGGCCGTTCCCGCTGAGCTCCACCATTTCCGAGTTCCACCGGCGCGGTCCATGGGGGTCATTGATGCTCGTTGTCGTGACATGTTCCTCGTCGTGATGCGGCTGAGACGGGAGATCGACTGACAATTGAGCGGCAGAAACAGGCGCAGAGCCCGTCTGGTGGTGAGTGGGAGGCTTCTGGAGATGCGGGATGAAGGAGAGGACGCGGTGTTCGGTGGCGGCTGGGGATGTGCCTGCCCACTGATCCTCGTCATCAGCCTCGGCTTGCCCGTCGTAAGTTGACACAACTCACCCATTGACTGAAGCCCTCCTTCGCACCGAGCGGGAACCACTGCGCAAATCTTCCAGACGCCTGTCCCTGTTCCTTCGCCCTCTGAGATGCTAAAGGGCTCTGTTGTGTGCGGTGTTGCAGTTCTTCGCCGCCGTTCTCCGAGGTCGCCATAGAGGATGAGGATCGCGAATCGACTCTGATGGGTGTTGATAGAGATAACACAGTGTACGACGCCCCCGTGAAACCAACTGTTTTATAAACTGTTTTGGCGCCTGGGCGGGGGTTGTTGAAGTACGACCGCAGCAGATGCAGCGGGGAGAAGGTTGAGGAGTGCACCTTTAAAGCCTGGGAGCGCAGCTAGACACCTCAGGATGTCCTGGGGGTCCGCCGCTAGAAATATAGCCTTGATTGCGTACGTCGAGGGGGCAGTGGACGAGAAATGGACATAATAGAGAGTGCTGAGTGGTGTTGGGGTGTGGCTGTCACTCGCGGAGTTAAAGTGACCCGGCTTCGAGGACGTCAGTCGGGCCGGAGCGAAATCTGTCCGTGGACGCACCTCAGCCGGCCTCAGAATTCCGACGACGGCCTCTTCATCCTGACGTCCGCTGGACGACTTTTGCTCTTTCTATGGTAGCCTGAATATACCATCGGCCCTTTTCCTTCGCATTGGCCCCTTTCACAGAATAAGGGGTTCAAGGCAACTCTGTCAGCCGTCCCAAGTACAACGCCCGAAAGGTTTAGAGCGGGCTCCTGAATCTCGAAACCTCGTTCGCTTATTCTGAATCTAACCCTATTTCTAAACTCCATCTCCATGTCCATGTCTTCATTCCAATTTCTCTCTTGATCAGTCGACAGATCTCCCCGGGCGATAGTTTTGTCGAAAGGTTCTAGTGCTCCGCAGCAACCCTAAGATGATCTGTTGCGATAGCTGTAGAAACCAGAAACGAAGAATGACACGAAGGAAATTCTGACTAAGTGGTGGACAAATGACCAACAAGCCGAACTGGATGCCTTTGCTTGGAGGGCATCGAATTTGACCTCACAGCAAACTACTGCACCTGATAGCTCTTCGGTAGGCATACAGGGATCGATTCTCAGGCTATTTACGTTCCTTCAAGTGACTAGACTTAATAATCACGCTTCTAAGCGCAAAGACATCGCGCCCTCCATCCTAATTCTTGTAAATTCTGTTAGACTCTGTGCATTTCTTAAGCACTGTAGACCAGTATTCTAGGGACTCTAGCGTGGTGCAATTAATGTGCTTTGCATCAGGGGTGAAGTCAGTGGGGCGGGGAAGGTATCTGCCATACAGAGGCACATCCGCGTATCGATCTGTTGGCGGTATGTTCTCGGGGTTAGTTTTGTATGGGTTCATAGTGTGAGTGTTATCAGATTGAATGGCGACGTGAAGTGCGAGGATAGAAAACTTTGGGGCAGCATAGAACCCCGGGCCGCCGCAAATGCACGGATCATATTTCCGCTCACAACATTCCGCTCGCGATTCCTCCGCACCAATAGCTAGCGCCTTTGGCACGTTTTCGTACTAGTTTCAGGATTAAGCGCCCGGTTAATGAGAACGCGTGTCTGGATCTCTTCGCATCAAATCATTTTGCACAGCAGCGCAACAATAACCTGTACTTGTTACATTAAAGCTATCTCACAAGTTAGACTCTTAACTTATATAAAAATGGACAAAACTTCTAAAACTTTTAAGCTAACATAAACTATTACTAAGCTAAACAAATTACTAAGCTAGATAAAATCTCTTCGTGCAACTAACACTCTTTTTAAAACCCAATGTTTCAATAACATAGTTAACACTAAACTAACATAACTAGAGTGTGTAAAGGTGCTGGAAATTTTTCTTATTTAAGTTTTGTTACTTGACTCTTTAATTGTCTGCTGTAAAACACCTCTAACTTGTTAGAGATACAGTGCAGGAACTTTCGTGAGCGGAAAAATGCATTATTGATAGTATGATGGCCTCATTCCGGACGAATGATGAGAGCTCCTCCACCGGACTCCTAGCGGCCATATTTGAAATCCGACGCCAATGTACGAAGGGTGAGATCAACGCGTCCGCCATTTTCAGCAGTGTTAAGAAGATTATCAAATCACGCTTGACGAGCTCAGGCGAAAGCAGGCTGCTAACATTAACCAGCTCATATTACTAGGGGGTCCTTCTTCCTTCTACTTTCGCTTGCAGCAGGTATTCTAAGCATGCAGACACGACTTTTCCAATTAAATTAACTCTTCTACGATTTTGTTGGCCTAGTATTCATACTAGGAACTGCAGCTCCAGCCTCTACTCTCTTCATTATAATCGTTACCAGAGACACTGATATATCCGTGGGATTTCCCTCGAGAAAATATTCATTCTATTCCGTTTGTCGCTAGAAACAAGTACATTTCAGTTTTGTGGTGGATCATGCTTTCCATTTCAGGGCTTGTGGGGATGCTCAAGGAAGATGGCAGGTGCGCCGCCTGCAAGTGATGGAACTTGAAGAGTGCTAGGCGAAGTCTGAGGGTTGCTCGATTTTAAGATCCATAGTTTGCCTCGTTGAATATCCTTAATTCCGTGGTTATGACTGAGGCTTGTTATCTACAAAATCCCAGTCGCGAGAGACGTAAGTCGTGAGGTGAGTTCTACACGCTCTTTTGCATTATTTTGGCTTACAAAAAGTTAACAGTGTTAGAATGATCCTTTTTCAGCACGACATGTCTTCAGTCATGGTTCTGACAGACGTTGCCTCACATGGAGGATCCGGAGCATGGATTAAGTGCTACGTATGAATGTATCCTAAGAACCTTTAAAGTGACACTCCTTTGTCATACTTGCTATAGAATCTGACTCTGATGTGGCAGTCAATTTGACCACAGCATCCTTCGCAGCTGGTGAGCTCGCTCCAACCGCTACCCTAACAGTAGTCGAAGCACCGAACTTGGCCGCAGCCAGCGCATTCGGGACCTCAACATGCCATCCTTCACCTTCGACTTCGGCTTCAAGTCGGTAGATATCAGAGGTCAAGTAGCTAGACAGATCCTGAGGATGCGCTGAACTGCTGTTCGAGCGCATTCCGGTATTCTTTAGCTCAAAAGAGCAGGTGAAGGCTTTATAGGTGGAATTCGAATACGAGGGCCCAGTCACCATTCCGTCGCGAAGCTCGACGTTGTATTTGCTTGTACCGTTACTATCCAGCGACTTCACACCCACACTATAGTGCAGCACACCAGTTTCATCTCGAAGAATGTCCAGGATATAGAAGTGAAGCCTATTAGCCTCATCGACATACTCATATTGGCTCCCAGAACGCGTTCCAGCGTGGAATAAAGCATCCACCAGTTGACGGTAGTCTCCAATGGAAAGCATGGAAGCAGTACCATTCGGCCGGTAGAAATCCACCACATTGATATCCTGCGGATTTGCATCGATGGTCCATTGGAAAGGCTGTTCACGGTCGGAGTCTTTGGTCTTGCTGATCATGACACCAGAGTCGGGGGTGAAGGAATCAGCGCCCATACGATCGATGACCTCAACACTGTAGGCGTTGTATTCTCCCCCATCGCACAGAGGCTCCGTGCTGACGTTGCAAAATGGTGAGCGATCGGAGTCCATTTTAATTTTCATGCCTATGATTTCGTTTCCTGGGTCCACAGATCGTGCCTTAATCTGAGCCACCACCAAACCTGAGGATGCCAAGGCTTCACGAGATACCATAAGCACACTCGAGTTGTCGAGCAACCCAATCTGCAGCTTGTCTCGCACAGTGTGCAAAGAACCCATAGACCCACCCTGCAGAGATGGGATATTCCACCTGGTATGAGGACCACCAGGACCGTTGAAACTACCACGCGAGAGCATAGACCAAGGGCCAGTGTAAGCCCGGCGAGGTGGAATGCTGTATGGGTTGTTGTAATTATCACCGATACCGAGAAGATGAGATAGTTCGTGAGCGTAGGTTGCCATTCCAGAGCTTTCGCCCTGGGTCGACGAGCCTCCACCAGCGTTCGGCCAAATACTTGCGGCTGAGACCCATGAAGTCCAATCCACGTATCGGGTAGCGGCGTAATTTGGCAATGTGCTATTATCTGGAGGCCCGAATGCGTCGGGGACATCTTCCTTGGACTGAAACAACATTTCGCCGAATTCCTGCCACGTTGATGATTCGTCCTGTCCAGCGGAGAGAATAAACACAAGTTCAAAGGAACTTGCAGTCGAGTTGCCCACATCTGCCCGCCACGCCCCAAAAGCATCGGTACGGAGGTCAGCGGAGCATTTCCCCTGGCTAGGACATCCTCCTTCGTTGAAACCATCCTCTTCATCGTCGATTCCATATTGATACGACTTGCTCGGCAGTCGATAGGGCCCGAATGCGGTCAAGTCAACGCCAAAGCGACCCGCGGAGTCTTCCATCCAGTACTCATGCAACGTATGCATTTGATTCAACTCTTGCGGCTTGTTCAAGAGATCACGATAGAAGGCAGGCACACCTGCTCGGGTCACATTCAATGTGCTCGCGATTGGCTGAGGATTGGTGAATACGGTAGAGTTTGGTGCTTGGGTGATAACGAATGGCATATCGGAATAATCGACCGTAACGAGCGCGATGTTAAAATTTCGAATCGAGCCCTTCCTTCTCGGATCAGACCATGTCGCTCCTGGTGGGGCTTTGAAATCTGCCCAAGTCATGTCGTCTGGATTCACCCAATTCTGAGGATCAAGGATGGCGAAAGGGTCTGAGGAATCATTGTTCGCGACGGGAAACGCCTGTAAGAGGGTGGATAGCAATGCGATGCTAATTATAATGGTCATCTTGGTCATTCCGCGGCTCTGGCTTTGATGTTGTAGCGGCATCCTTCACGATGTTCCGAGCACTTGCGAGGTTGGAAACAAACAGCGCGACTACCTCCAGCGAAAGATGAAGGAACGATCGTGCATTGTGAAGGAGCGACGACTTTTCGGTTTTAATATATTCGAGAACCAGGGCGACGTTGGCCTCGACGATCGGAAATGGAGTGCCTTAATGACTTGCCAGTTCTGGCTAAGCATTGCTTGGCTTATCATCGTTGCCTGCTATATCAAGTAAGACATTAGACACAGGTTTAGCGCTCGCATACTAGTAAAGGTGCAAAATGCTTGTTGAATGCGTTCCCCGGGTGCTGTATCCCAATATTTGGGGAGGAGAGGCTGATGTAATGTTCTGAGTTTGAGATAGATGATACTAGCCGACACAGAAAATCCGGGTTATTTTGTCTACACTTCAAATGAAACAGAGCAGGCCCGGTCAACCTTAAACAACGAAAAACCCGCTGAAGCATAGGGACCATCTTTGTTAAGGTCTTGAAAATCGTTGACATGATTGATTGATGTGCATCACGTGATATTAGAGTTGCGGAGCCCAATCCGAATCAGTAAGCCCGAATCTAGAAGCAGCTAGTACAGTTGTCAGCAATAGTGGCTCGGAAGGCGCCTTATAAAGGTATGGGTAGATATACGTAGATTATATGATGGAATGTTGATATTCCTATACTTGCTCGATCTCTCGGGTTTGTATCCATCCTCTTTATTTCCTACATTGATCACAATCTTAATTAAAGGATAAATTGGCTCGAATAGTTGGCCACTAAGCCTGAGCTAAGGCTCTTTCCGTTAGGTTACCCTAGTTTCATCCCCCACTGTGCAGGCCACAATAGAAATCACACGAACACGCGCACACGTGACAAAAGCCCCGGTCTAGCACTAACGCCGCCTCCCAGTCTACGCCAGACTATTTTCTAATCTAGCGACCATTAACCACCATTGGTCATCATTCCACAGCCACCTTTCGCGTCGTCCATCGCGCATCCTCTCCATGACAGATGCACTGCAGCCAGTGATAAGTACATTCCGACGCAACAACAATTTTGAACAACAAACAATCGAGCCGCCAGACATCCCTCCTTTCCAATTTCGATCTGCATGCCCAGAACCTCGTTTGGCTGCGACTCTAGCAGCACCTGGTGCCGAATTCAGCTCATCAAAATAGGCAAAGATGTGGTAGGAGACGACAACGACCCTCTTTATCCTTTCTTCATTATCAAATTCAAATCGGATAGGCCATTCAAGAGCCCTAGCCTCCAAGTTGCTATAAACTAGTGCCTTAGGAGTAGCTCCGCTTGCTAAGCGCATGTTTTGAAGAATGCTGTAGCGCTGAGTTCGAGATCAACCGCATCAAAAGTGCTGCAGTTGGCATTGCGATAAACGACACTGAAACCCATCTCTACATCTCTTGAAAAGACAACAACATCAACTTCTATATGTAGAAACTGGAGAGTTGTTGTAGAGGGCAGAAGATTTCGTAGTGTTTCGTTGTCATATGAGAATATTATCAACTGAGAAAGAACAGAGCGGCTGGAGAGATGCACACAGCTTTATCTGAGCTTATCTTAGCTCATCGAAACTAGGAGGGCGATCCATCTACGAAAGGGAAGACATTCACACCACCTTTGGTTAGTTCTAATACTTGTTTTCCACGTTTGTGTATATCATTCTGTAGCGTTGCAGTGGGCATGAGTTATGAAAGAAGTGATTTTTTTTTTTGGACTGAGGGACCGGGAACTATATGATTTATATAGTATGATGAGGCGCTAAGCCTAAGGTCGACTGAGCAGCTCACCGTAGAGCCCTCCAGCTTACATATTCCCAAACACCGAAACGGAAGACTCACCTTAGGCGTGAAGCTCCATGCATGATCAGTATTATGTCGACACTGTTGGTAATACCGTATGGTAGAGCTAATTGAGTGATTAGCAAGAGGTCGACATATCAGATTTCAAGCTGGCTTTCGTAGTGGCTTTAGACTGTTAACTCTATATTTCAGTCAGTTTATGTTGAGAGGAATCTCATGATTTTGCCATCAGTTTAGCAACAGCACTTTACTGCCCTGGGCTGCAACCATTTAGTTAATATCTGCGGGTACTCTTAGCACAGGCTGTCGTAGGATATCCAGTCTTCCAGATTCGGGGTTTCCACTGATCCGATTACTAATTTAGTATCCTTGAGTTAACGCAACGATGCAACCGTGCGATGGTCCAGCACGCTGCACGACGGTTGGCAATATTCTTCTCCATTACCAGCCTCATCGACGTTGACCCCCCTTCTACAGCTCGGTTCTATTCTCCTAGTACTATATTGGGATTTACGTCATCTAGCAGGAGTAGTCACTTATCGTGGGACAGAGAAACCGTTGCATGCGCGATATTGCCCCTTGCAAAAAGCTTGTTAAAGTTATGGTCAAGTTTTTCCGTAGAACGGCCGTAGAAAGGTACCGTAGTGTTAAAACAAGAGATATTCTTACGCCACTCAGCATTGCTCCGCAGAAAACTACGTTGTTTCCTTCTCTTCACTTTGTTTTTGGTAATATCCTCTTAAGATTTTATTATAGTTTACTTCCTTGTTTGTCGTTTTGGCCTGTGCCCGCGCCAAGGGCTCGGCAGCGCAAGTCAGGCGCAGAACTTCAAGCTATCTATTATATGCAAAAATCGGGGCCTTTCTTGGCACTGCCCTCAGGAATTTTTTTCCCCTACTAAAATTGTATAAGAGATTGAAATTTTAACAGGATCTACTATATATTAATAAAAACCTAATAGAACTGCCCTAGGTAAGTTAAAGCTTTTATTTTGTATAAAGAAGCGTGTATACTAACTTTTTTAAGAGTAATAACGCGTTAGGTTACAATGTATCGCGCCTATAGCATCTCTAGCCTTTCTTGTTAGCTCTAACAACTCTAGTATATTAAACTAAGTAGTTAAGAGCTTAATAATTATATTTATATAAACATTTATTAGTTTCTTCTGTAAGGCCAGGATGGCGCTTACGTGTAAGGCCGAGATGGTGCTTACTGTAAGGCTGAGATGGCGCTTACGTGCGACAAGTATATATACTATTCTGCACCCGAAAATCAACGTTGGTTGATTATTCGTACCTTTTGGTTGTATTGGCGGAGTGGTGCGGAGCCCCGTCCTTACATCTTCTACTTAAGTAGTCTAAAATTACTATTACTAACTGTAAAAGCTGCTCTCTTTATGTAGTTTAAAATGTAAAGGATAACTTAAAGAACTATAGCAGTGTCTGTAAACTACTAACTATAAAGCTTAGAAGACCTACTAAGATTAGTAATAAAGATAAAAAAGCTCTATTTAAAGAATTAGTCTATAGTAAATAAAGATACTAGGATAAATAAGTGTATTAGTTATAGATAAAGTAAGGCAAATGTGTCTTTTAATCTACTGTTTCTTATTACCTTAAAGATTATAAATAAAGTAGGTGTACATTACAGCCCTTTTTACTTAGCTGTAATAAAGAGCTTTAAAAGCTCTATTATTAATCCCTTTATTATTTTATGTAGAATAATTTAGTATTTCTTAATAAGTTAATTTTTAATAAGAAGACTAGCTAGCAGTATAAGGCTTATAGGCTTATAGGCTATAAAAGTTAATATACTTAGAATATATAGTGTGGGAAAACATAGGCTATTCTTTTAGCCTATACAGTAAACAGTTACCTGCCTTGTATAGAAATAAAAAAAAGTTATTTTAACTATAAAAAGTTTATTAATTAGATTAAGTAGTACTTTTTTTTTACACTTTAAGTAACTTATAGAACCTAGCTTATAGTTATAATTCTTAATAACATCTTAATTTATTAGAATAAAGCTGTTATAACTATTCTTAAAGCTGCTAGCTATATTATCTGCTTCTTTTTACTATACTTACTTAACTATAATTTTATTAAGTTAACTTTTAAAGTATTAAAAGCCTAGATTAAAAGAAACTATCTATACTATTAGTAGTAGTATATAAGCTTTAGCCTATTTCTTAAGAGCGTAATTAAGAGCAGTAAGTGTAATTCTTTTGCTAAAAAACACTTTATGTACGCTGCTAGCAGGCTATATATTAAGCTAAAGGAGCTTAATTATGTAAGGGCTAAAATCTGTGCTTAACAGAGTTGCAATAAAAATTCTAAGAATAATAAAGACTATAAGGAAGTTAGGCTATAAAACAATATAAACATTAAATTCTTAAAAAACCTATTTAGCTACTTAAAACTTTACTTTTATAAGAATTTTAAGTCTATTAAATTCCCTTTTTAGGACTTAATCTTTGCTCTGCTATTATATAGATATTTAATAAACCTTAAGCAGTTTAATATTTAAGTTTAAATTAACAAAGTGTTTTATAAAAATGTTATACTATCTTATTTTTTAACCTAAATAGCGCTTCTACTGCTACTATATATAGTTTACTCTAAAAAATTAACATTTTTTTAAGATCTTTTAACATCTATCTTTAATCTATTGCTATATTTTATGCCTGTATATAGTCTTTATAATTTTTAAGTAGTTACTGTTTAATAAGCTAGTTAAAAAACTTTTTTACTAACACCTATAGATTATCTTTCCTGCTGCTAGTAATAGAGCTTAAGCTTAGTATAAGTATAAGTTGTTTAGGAGTCTCTAGGTAGAGAGTCTCTAGGCAGAGAGTACTTATTAAGAAAGTAAAAAGTAGATAAAGCATGTTTAAAAGCGTAAATAATAAGTTACTAAGACCTAACATATTATAATTAGTTAACTAAAGCTGTTATTAAAGCTACTACTATTAAAAAGCTTATTTTTTTATCTTCTAAGCCTTTTTTTATTTCTTAGTAGCTTTTTTTATAGCCTATAGTTTCTCTTAGATCTTACACTTTTTTACAGCCTTTATTATTTTTCTAAGATTATCTTTACTGCCTAAGAATAATAAGAAGCTATAACGCTTTTTTTTTTACTTATTATGTAAGTTAACTTTTAGCTAGTTACTTATTAATATTTACTAGTATTATATAAGCTTTATTAGTAGCTAATTTATGTATGCTTAGCTTTTAAAAATTTTTTAAGCTTATAACTCTAAATCTATGTCTCTTATAGTATAGTGCTTATAGGTAGCCTAGTAAATATAGTAAAAGTGCTTAAAGTTATTATAGATTAAAATATAGCACTTTTACATATAAAAGATCTAACTCTAGCTATTAATACTAGTAGTAAGATCCTAGATCTTTTAGCAGGTATAACTTTTATTTAATAGCTGCTATGTTTACTAGAGTAACTTTTCTCTAAGAGCTAAAGTAATAAAAGGATTAGATAAAGGCTTATTTACTAACTAGTTATATAGAAAGGCTTTTATTATTACCTTACATATAAGCTTTACTTTTACTTTAATATCTACTCTATTTATGCCTTTAACGCGCTTTATATAGTTTTTAACACTAGTAAGTAACCTCTACTTCTCTTTTAGCCTAAAGTCCTTTATTATTTAAAGCTGCTAGCTAGCTCTACGCTTATTAGCTCTATATTAAACTATGTGTAAAGTAATACAGAAATCTTAACCTTTTATATGCTTCTATACTAATAGGCCTTTAATTATAGCGTTAACTTAATCTTTTACTTATAAAAGTAAAAAAAAACACTTATAAGACACTTTTATTTACTAGCTTACTATTAGCCTTATTACTATTTACATGTATTAGATATTATACAGTAACGTTAAACTCTATTACCTGCTTAAAAAGAGAAGACTTTCTAGCTACTTGTCAGATTAAAGCACTGTTTCTAGGCTTCCTGAGATGAATGATGGGTTTGGATATGATGTATGGGATGATTGATTGATTGTCTTGATCGTGTTGATTTATCGATCCTTTTTCTGCTCTACTCGTGTTGCTCGGCTTTTGTTTTTCCGATCCGAGTCCCTCGCGCACTAGCCCTATGCGCGACCCGCTTGCAACATGCTGCAAAATGCTGCAATTTGCTGCAACATACTGTTCGAGCTTATTGCTCGTACTATGTAGCAGCTTTCGTCAAACGTTCCTCCTGTCTTGACAGTAGGTGCGCATATCTGACACTACTGCAGGAGCAGGAGCAGGCTAAAATAAAATAAAAGTTAGAGGTAAGCTTTTTAGCAGTAAAAAAAGCTTATTACTAAGTATATTAGATAAGGTATTAGGCTTAGAATAACAGATAAAAACTATAGAAACAACTTTTTACTATGCTAGAGCAGAAGAAGTAGATTTTTTAGTAGCTTTTACTGCTTTCTTAGAGAAAAGCTTGCTCTTTATAGGCGCTAGGATATAGTAAGCTTCTTTTACTTACTTTTATTACTAAATTAACTTACAACGCGCTAGCTTTTGTTTATTACTACTAGTAAGCTTCTTAGGCTTCTCTAACAGGCCTTACACCCTTACCTGCGTAGAATAGGCTAGTAGGTTGCTCTCTAGGTTAATCTAATCTATCTAGGGGGCTAGGGCTGCTCTAGCCCTCTAATTTAGGCCTATTATTGTCCTGTTACTCTAAAAAAAGCGCTAAAAATAGTATCTTTATATAAACTTAAGGCTTTAACCTACTAATAATGTTTTTAGAAAGAATTTGTTAATATATCTAGAATTCTGTTAAAATTTAGTTACCCTATACAATTTTAGTGAGGGAAAAAAAGATCTAAGGAACGCCAAGAAATGCCCTGATTTTTGCATACAATAGATTGGTTGAAATTCTAACTGTAACTAGCTTTTGCAAGGCACAATATGAAGCACTCGAGCCTACGCTTCGTTCTTAGTCCCGCGCGCTTCGCTTCCCTTACGTGCTTTACCGCTCTTTACTGATTCTAACCACCTAGCCACCACCGCCAACCCCTCCAGCGCCTCCCTTCCTTTCTCCGTCCTACCTATCAGAGACTGCTGTTTGCCTGCACGAGAGAGAGAGCTCCCAACTGTCGGTCTCCATTTGGCTACTGCTATGGTCAGGCCAGATGGCAAGATCAAGTGAATATTGGCCTGGTTTTGCCGATCTTAGTCCGGAGTCAGAGAGATATAAGCGAATCTGGCACATACTCTCTTCAGCAAACTTCGAGCATCTGAAGAAACGCGGAATAGACTCGCGGCGGAGACACCAACCTCACCTCCCTCCAGATGTTAGCTGTAGCATAAACCTAACGCACTTTGCGTCGGGTTTCGATAACCTGGTCGTGGAACTCGCGTTTTCAGACAACGTCTGCTGGGTCGCTCAGATTCCACATCGCGATATTGATAGCAACATTCGGACTTCGTTGTTAAGTGAGATTGCTACGATAAATATCATCCGCAAACGTACAAGCATTCCGGTACCTCAGATTTTCGATTTCGAAACGTCCACAAACCAACCATTTGGGTATCCGTACGTTTTTATGCAATGCTTGGGCGGCCGTACCCTCGACAACACACTAGCGGTGTCGATACCTCTGCAGCACCATACCAAGGTAGCCAAACAGCTTGCAAATGTCTTCATGGAACTACAGAGTCTGACGTTCAACCGCATTGGACGACTTTGGTGTGGAGATACCGCCGAGGAGTCTGTCGAAATCATTGCAATGGCGTGGCACTATTCACCTGGTCCCTTGGAAACTTCACTAGAATATTTTTACAACCAAAGGCAAGGGGAAAATCGAGAAATCACCGCCATGCATCCGAACAATCCGGACTGGCTTACGGCAGGTTGGGTACTGAAAACGGCTCTAGCTCAAATCATCATTGAAGATCGAGTCCGGGGCCCTTTTCCGCTTTGCCATCTCGACCTTCATTATGGCAATCTTCTTTTTGATAACGAATACAATCTGACGGGAGTCATCGATTGGAGCAGTGCCCAGGCTGCCCCCATCGAGCAGTTGTCAGTCTGTCCAGAATTTGTCATTTTCCCAGGGTTATCTGAGGAGGAGAATCGGCCAATCCTTGAGCTTAAGAATCTCGTTATACAGTTTATAAGGGAGATGGAGAAAGATACAGAGAAGACGCCGTCCTTAGATCACCAACAGGTAAATATCAAGGAGAACCCGGACCTTACGCGCCTTTCCACCTATATGGCCTCCAAAAGTGCTGAAATCACGCTTCGACAGTACATGGCCTCACCCAAGGGAAGTCTTTGGGCCGGTAAGGTGGTCGCAAAACTTATCTATGGGAATAATATTACGTGGGAACAGCTGAAGGAGGTATACGGTACCATGCCACTTTTTTAGACGATTTTCGATATTCGTGGGTTCATTAATTAGATCTGTTGCAAGGGATTGTTGGTGCAGTGCTACTAGTTACCTAGGTGGTGATATTCTCATACTCATAGCAAATCCTCGTTTCTCACTGTCTGCTCTCTATCACTGGCTGCTTGTCTGCTCTCTGTTTTGGCTTCCGTCTCCGACAACTTTCGTCAACCTTCTTTTGATATCACCATTAATACGAACTACATCCTTTAGAAGAACTATCCACCACCACCGCCCCGTCCATTTCAGAGGTAATAGATTACTATCTTAATCACAAGATGAGCAGTAGCCTTGCCCACGTTCTCGACAAGAAGTATGAAGTGAATAAGTTGGACTTAGTAGGTGAACCTATTCTTGAACTGTTCCTAAAGCACGAGTCCAATAACTGCTTTACCCACAAATGCCTGCCTCTGCCAGTTCATAGCGGGCAAATTTGGACAATGTTGCACAGTAGATGGATCCAAAATTATTCCGCAGTGAACGCTGCTGATACCAAATGTTCTGAATAAATCCAACCGAGAGCTACATATAATCGCAGCAATTCACAACGCCTCCCCTGCCAATCCTGATCCCATGAATACAAGCGAGTGCTTTCCTGAATGCAAACGATGGCCTAGAGACATTCTTGCACTCTATTAGGTAACAGTTAGCGTCAAAAACCAAAGAGAAATCTCCTGCCATGCATTAGTATGTCCTGCAGATCTTCCGGTGGGTTGCACTCACTGCAGTAGCACTCCGAGTTTGCGTGCAATCATACTTCGTCAGACTGTAGGTGTTTGGTTCGCCATGAAGCCCATTCGACGCAGAATAAAAATACGACGCAGTGAATGGTTTTAAGGCAAAGCGAGATTCACCAGCTTCGAGGCGCTGAAAGCAGATTCCATTTGCTTCAAAGAAAGAACTCCGTGCCTCTAGCTTTCATCATTTGAAACAGCGACGTCGCCCACACGTATGAAATCTCGCGAAGTGATGCCCTGCTCTTGGTGAGCTTGGGATAGAAGTTGGAAAGAGATTCCCTTTATTCGCTGTACTAGAAGTGGCTCACTCGGAATTGAAAAAGTCGGGAACGTTGAAGCATCTGAAGCTATGCATATATATATATCTATATATCTATATAACAGCTCTGAAAGGCTCAGTGCCTGTCTCAAAGGAACTAATTGTTTTGGCACGTTGCGTCCCAAATTGTCGCCAGTGGAATTTACCTATGTTCAAGATATGGCGGCGTCGAGAGTCGGTGGGACGAAAATTTTCAAAAGGGGAGAGCACTGCCCGCGCCTAGATAATCTCTAGACCTGAAAACAGAGATTTTGGCGGTTTAGACCCTGTACATCTCATGAGACATTCGGTAGCAGGAGTAAACCACATTTTGCGGTTCAAGTGAGGTCAATCAACCCGCGATTGATTGCTGCAAAGAAAGCTGATTAAACATGATTGGCATAGCCAAAAGGATGGCAGGGCTGCATGAACCCTGTTAGAAGGCTGAACATTGCGTGCAGGATTTAGGGGGGCAACAGATGATTTTTATTGGCTTGTTGCGCCCTCACAATTCCTCCATGCAGCTCGGTGATCGATGGATTTCCTTATCTCTTACTCAATGAAGCATGTTCAGCCTTCCCGCAAACAAATCCTAGATTCTGACCAAGGTTAGCGCTGTCAAAATGAAAGCGCATCGGCTAATATCTATATAGATGATTTGTTCATTCTGGTAATTTCGCCGCCCCAACTTGGTTAGACTACACCGACGCTGCAACCCCTCTGAACGACACTACTTGACATCTCTTGCTTGGGTTGGTAGGCTCACGCTTTCTCCTCCACATGGGAAGCATATCCCTGCTTTGCTGCAACCTCTTCAGCCCTGCGCTCCAAATCATGAGTCGCAAAATCGGACTTCTTCATGCCAGGTACAAACAACGGAGCGTTTCGGAAAAGATGGTTCATCTCCTCAAGTGGACGCTTCGCGGTTTCTGGTAAGACAGCCCAAAAAAAGATTGCATTCGTCAGATTGCAAATCTGCAGAAAAGTGAGCAGTAGATCCAGAAGCCGTTTGGGGGGGGTTTCTTACGATGAACAGGAAATAATATCGATATCGCACATGGGTCATCGCCGGCTTCGTGACCTGCCCGATGAGAGTATTGAAAGCGAAGGAGGTCATTGTAGCAATAGAGACTCCCTTCGATCGAGTTTTGGTGTCAAAGATCTCGGCTGGGATAATCCAGGACAGAGGTCCGCAAGTAGCGCTAAATGAGAAGTTGTATATCCAGGTGATGACAATGAAACCCCAAGCGGCGGAATTGTTCCCACTCTCTCCGGGAGGAAATTTTGCAAGCAAAATAGTTGCGATGATAAATGTGATCATGTTTCCAAGATTTCCGAGAATAAGCGGCCAGCGACGTCCGGTGTAGTCAATGAAGAGAATACAGAGGAACTGGGCAATTAGAGCTATGACTGAGGAGATAGCCTGGTATTTCAGAGTGTCATCACCCTTGATACCCATCTGGCCGAATATGGTAACTGAGTAATACTGGATTGCACTGACGCCGGTCATCTGAATAGAAGCCTGTATGGAGCAAGCAAGAAATAGCCGGCGGAAGCAAGACTTGTCGGTAAAGAGTTCGGTATATGACTTGGCCTCGTGTTCATGCTCAAAAGTAATCGCATCCTGGATCTGGTCAAATTCTGCCCGAACCCAGGGGTCGTTCTCGTTCCCATGAGCATGTAATTTAGCAAGCGTTCGTAATCCGTCCTCTGGCCTCCCATGATCAATGAGCCAACGTGGAGATTCAGGAAAGAGGAGAATCAAGCATGCGAGGACGGCGGCGGGGATAATTTGGATCCCGAGACTGACACGCCATTGGGCGCTATTCGTTGGAGAGAAGCCCACGTAGGTGCCATACGATATCCAAGCAGCAGCAAGGGCTCCGACACCTAACATAAACTGTTGAAGAGCGGTGATTCGCCCTCGAATACTTGGGTGAGCTAGTTCGGCTTGGTATAGGGGGATGATCATGACGAGAACACCGACGCTACAGGCATCAGAACCGCTTCTTCCGTTTGAAGACTTGGGTTCTTACCCAAGACCCGCAATTGCTCTTCCGGCATAGAGATAGGACAGATTCTGGGCCCCCGTCTGCAGGCCTCCCCCGAGGCAAAAGATAATTGCCCCGTTCATGATAGTTAATTTTCGACCGAGAATATCACCCAGCGGTCCGGCTATAGCAGCCCCGAAAAATGCGCCTCCCGTGAAGACGGAAACAACTGCGCCTCTAAAGAGAACTCAGCAATGGATTAGGAGACTCTAGTGAAGATGCGCACGTCTCATTGTCGGTCGGCTTGAACTTGCTCGCAAAGGACTGCGATGCGATAGCTTCGGCAATTACACCCAAATCATAACCGTAGAGGAGCGACCCAAGTGAAGCAAAGACACTGACAAGGAACTATCCGCATTTGTAAGTTTGAGATGACTACTACAGTCATTGGAGTGTTCTTACTTGGTACCACTTGGGTGGAATAGCCATGGTGGGTACTGGAGCGTCTGTGACAAGATTGACGGGCCCTCAACCAGAGTAGTACTAGGCTTTATACTTTCTTGCCTCACATGGTAAACACGTTGCCAGGTACTGAGTGACATTTCCCCAGAATCTAGTTCCCCGCTCCGCAGCTGCCCTCCCCGGTTCAGTGTTAAATCTTCCGACGCTTCGGACTCACCTTCGGGCAACGATCAACCGAACGAGAGGTGGAAAATGGACGAGTACTAGCGGAAATGTGTCCGGTAAAGGGATGGAGGGGAATTGAAAGGTTGCCGTTAGGATAAAGTCGAGGCACCATGTTGATCCACAATTTTCCCATCAATCATCAAGGCCCCCAGTAAATGATGCTAGGCCGGACTGGGATTAGCGAATACCCACCTCAGTTGAGTCTCATACCAATGACACTCTCTCCGACCTCAGGCCATAAATATTCACCTCCCTTCCAGTGATCAAAACATTTTCGCGACGGACTACTTGGTAGAGAGAGCTATGGCAACGTTCACCAGAATATCCGATGACGAGGCTCCATCCATTGAAGTTCATCCGTCGCATAAGCTCTCCGAGATCAACGACAACATATATGGAGGATTCACAGAGTACTGATGCAGTACGACCCCTATCCCGACAACAGGCTTACCAGATACCAGGCACATGGGCCGCTGCATCTACGGTGGTATATATGACCCAGGAAACCCTTTGTCCGATGAGCATGGGTACCGGAAAGACGTTATTGAAGCTCTCAAGGACTTGAATGTCCCCGTGGTCAGGTATCCGGGTGGGAACTTTGTTGCCACTTACCATTGGCTAGATGGCGTCGGCCCGAGGGAAAACAGACCAAAGAGGTATGAGCCGCCATTTGACCTATTCCTTGTTCAGCTCCCACTGCACCACGCTGTTTCTCATCAGCAGGATCAGAAATCATATCTCGTATTACACCCTGCTCCATATTGGCTAATAAATTATTTCAGACCTGAACTTGCCTGGATTGGCGTCGAGACCAACGAATTCGGCACAGATGAATTCCTAAAGTGGTGTGAGGTTGTCGGCACGGAACCGTACCTGTGCCTCAACTTTGGCACCGGAACTCTTGATGAAGGTCTGCACGTGCCTTTTCTATGCCTTCCACCGTTGTTGACGAAGATTAGTACAGCCTTAGGATGGCTTGAATATTGTAATTCCAGTCAGGATACATATTACGCAAACTTGCGTCGTCAGAATGGACGTGAGGAACCATACAATGTCAGTATGAACACTATATCTCGTATTATATTCCCTTAATATTATCTTTATTTCCGCTTTGATCTCAAGCCTCACCTCCTTGAAACTTTCTCACAATACCAGGTCAAGTACTGGGCCCTCGGGAACGAAATGTGGGGCCCGTGGCAAGTCGGCCAGATGACGAAAGAAGACTACGCCAAACGCGCATACCAATGGGCAAAAGCTCTTAAGCTTCTCGACCCCTCTATTACCCTCATTCTCTGTGGTCAAGATGGTCTCAGTAGCTGGGATTACTACGTCCTCAAAGAGTGCATAAAACATGACATTCATGGGCTAGGCGGAGATCGCACGAAAAGCCTCATTGATATGCATAGCATACATATTTATACGGCAGATAAGGATCATCTACCAAATGCTACCGGTACGGTACTTAATTTTTATTCTTGCGGGGTATATGTACTGATGAGGTGCTGTAGCCCCTCGAGCAGCAGAACGTGCGATTCAAATGACAAGCTCCCTCATCGATCTAGCACGAATCGAGAACGGCGTACCACACGGGGTGCCCCGCCAAACCATCTGCTTTGATGAATGGAATGTCTGGGACCCCGCTCGAGCTCCGGGAGAGCAAGGTGCAGAAGAGAAATACACCCTCAGTGATGCTCTTGCCGTCTCCGTTTGGCTTAATGTTTTCATTAGACAGTCTGCAGTTGTTGGTATGGCGAACATTGCACAATCAGTGAACGTCATCTCTCCTCTCATGACCACCAAAGAGGGTTTGGTCAAGCAGACTACTTGGTGGCCTCTCCTTTTGTTCTCGAAGTACATGCGTGGCCATACCATCGCTTTGAATGTTCGGAGTAGTGAATATACCGGGGTTACGAATCCTCCGTGGATTAGGGGAACAATCGAGACGCCGTATCTGGACTGCAGTGCGACCTTGTCGAATGATGGCCGCGTAAACCTAGCGGTCGTGAATATTCACGAGGAGAAAGGGTTCGCGACAAAAATTAACGGCCTCAAGGCTCAGAAAGTTGAGGTCTGGAAGGTTACAGGGCAAAGTGCTGACGCGGTGAATACGTCTGGGTCGGAGACCGTTACGGCTGTTAAGGAAGAAGAGTGGGATGGGAAGGGCATGTTCACTTTTCCCAAGCTCTCGCTGACGCTATTACGCTGGGAAATTTGATTTTTTTTATACAGTTTGTCTTCGCTTTTATTCCATGGCGAATCAATCTTTAAAACATTTGTTTAAACTCTACTTCCCGGTAACCACCGCACCAAATAACTTTGTGGCTGCATAACACAGCTGTAGTTCCGCTCATCTAATTGTATTTCGCCTCCAGGAAAACAGCAAGTGTGGAGAGCTGATTGCAAATTCAAGTGATAAAGGAATATTTCAGACCGGTCGTGGTTTTCAGAATGGTGAATGATACTGCCAAGACTTTCACTCCTTATCGAAGGCTTCTTTTCCACACCCCGAGGAACCAATCTTTCCCCCGGAATTGCCAGAAATTTCCGGCATGCTCATTTAACTACAGTGGGACAAAAATTGAGCTTGATTGCGTCATTAGGGATTGTCTCAACTTCTCACAGTTCGGTCACCGCCTCTCAGCCGCTCTATTTCACCTACACACCGAGATTCCAGCTACTTCTGACCCTCGCTTATGGGTACACCCACCGCTAATTAATCACCTGAAGAGGTCAAAATACTCTCTAGCGCCTCTCATGACCTATGCGAGCCCCGACTTCTCCCGAGATCGAAAGTTCTGGCACTGATGACCTCAGGTGTTTCACCGCGCCCATCCTGAATAGGAAATCGATTTCTGACTAATCGCCCTTTCCTAGCGCCTCCCACGACCTATATTAACCTCGCCTGCCCCTCCACCACCTTTGCTTCGACACCTTACTTCGCTTCGTTCCTCCTTCAACTTACAATTTCTCCTTTGAACACCTCCACCCGACATGCACAGTTTTTCTTCTTCACTCTTTGCTTCACCCCACCCAAACAGAACAATATTATCTACAGAGAGAGACCGCCAGCTATCTGGTTCTTCACTTCGCCAAGAACAGATAGCTAACGTACCTCCCAGGAATTTCATTGCTGAAACACTCCTTTCTCTCGCCTCCCCTCCTCCCTCCCGCTTTTCCCCATCCCTTACTTTCTTATGTACTTTATCTTCCTTAACTTCCCTTCCCACTTCCCGCCTCACATGAGCCGCGTTCGCAGTTCGGTGAGCTCTGACACCTGACCTCACTTTGACCATGAATGGGCCTTCATGGTAGCCGTTGGCGCGTCCGGCCCAGAGGATGCTGCCTAACTGTATACGGCTTGCGAGACGTTGTCCCACTCCCAGGACGTCACGGATGGCTTGAGGGTGTTTATTCCCTCCCGTTGGGGTCGCATCCCTCCGCGGTTCGCATCACGAGCTGTTCCCGCACCATCGTGGTGGTCAAGTCGCAAAGGTCATGGCTCTGCGTCGCTGGGTGGGCGCGAGCTGGCGCCCTGACGAAGGAGATCGGGATCACTTAATCAAGCCGTAATGACTCGCAGCGGGCACGACAGAAAAGTGTTCTAGTCACTGGTTAAAAATTCCAATGGCCTTGGCTCGACAGGTCTAGGGTTTTCCGATCCGTAGAGGATACCTTTTTTCTGCGGGGCGCGGCTCACCTTGCTCTGGCATGGGTGGAATTGGGTGCATATTAGATGCTCATGGGTATGTACCAGCTTTCTTCCATGGATGGCTGGCGGTCTCTTTCTCTCCTCATCAACTTCGATTTCGACTTCGACATCTCTGGTACCAGTCCTTCAATTTCTTTACCTTCAACCTTTCAGTAAGTCACCATCCTCCTTCACCTTATGGCTAACATTGAAAGTTAGCGCGTAATGGATATGGTTTTTGAGTAGATAGCGTCCATGGATGGGGTTGGATGGAGCACAACAGTGTTGGGTCGTCATGGCCAACGGCGACGGCACGGGCAGCTAGCAATTTAACATGACCCATTACTCCATCCACAGACCTGCTTGTCTTCTTACATGCGCCGTGACATGTTAAACTCACTCCCAGACTCGTTAGCTGCTTCGAACATATCCTTACCGATCATGCCCCACTATCGCACTCTCTCACTGCCTTACTCACTTCTCCACCACACACAATTTCCATTGTGAAATATTCCTCTCTCCTGACTTCAAGCCGGCCATCACCTCTACTACTACTCAGCCCCGCCTTCACCTCTTTCTACAGTGGTTTAATACCCACGAACCCCGTGGACAATCTTCTGCAATTGCCCAGCACCCTCTCAGTTCGCCGTATCCCTCCTTCTAGCGAATCCGTTACCAACAACCGCACACTCGAAACGTCACTCACGCCTACCTCACATACAAAAGTATCCAACCGGCCCGAAATTTCATATCAAACCGTAATTCATTATATTGCGATAAGATACACTCACTAGACCCCCTTAACATGTACATAGAAAAGAAACAAGGCCATCAGCTCATTACCTGGTTAATGCTCACAAACCACTACCCATGTCGAGGCAAGATCTGCATCCTGGATCTGCATTTTGGAAAAAAATGACCACATATGAAACCCTTTAGAGGACATGCTGAATGACATAAAAGAAGAGAAGGGGAAGGAGATAGAGGGAGGTAGGCAGGTATACCTCTAGACCTGACCTAACCTGACGTTGGCGCTGAGGTTTAGTCCTCATGCATATCTGACAACCGAAGAATCGTAACAAATGCAAATGCAGTTCCTCTTCACCTCAATGCGCATGCATCCATCTTGCTTCATCACCCCTCCCAATCCCAATCCGAACACCTACCCTTCAACCCCCTCAACCTTCCTCAAAAACTCCCTCACCCTACCCACCTCCACCCCATCCACAGGATCACTTTCCAACGCCGCTACTAACCCCTCCACCACGCCGTCAATCCTCTCTTCCTCAACCTTCGTACACAGACTCACAACCTTACGATACATATTCTCCAACCCAGCATCCTTCTCTTTCAATAACCTACGCCTCTCTGCTAGTCGCTTATTATTAACTACATACACCTCCAATCGATGACGAAGTAGCTGGGTACTCTGCAACCGCGCAAGGAAGGCCAGATTCTGGTGTGCGATAGCATTGAGATCGACTGGCAGAGGTGTGGAGAGATATGCTTGGCCATCACTCGCCTTCCAAGTTGGCCCCAGCCTCTCCACCACACTCCTCAATCCCTCTGGCAAATCCTCTTTCTCAATGTCCACCCCCGTACCCTCTGCATCCGCATACCCAGGTTTCCTCCTCACACTAAGCTCCCTACCCCCCACATCCACACCCATCGTCACAGCCAACGTGTTTTTCTCAACTTCAAGCCAGCGCTTCAAATTTGCGATACGTTTTGCACGATCCTGTCTTGCGCGAAGCCGCGCGCGCAGGCTTTCGAGACGATGTTGCTCGGATTTTTGGAGCGCGGAGAGCGAGGCGATGGTTTCGTTTGTGCGGTCTATGAGGTCTTGTTTCAGGCGGGCTTCTTGAGTGAACTGGACGGAGGCAGATTGGAGGATGCCGGACATGACTAATCACATAGACAGATTGGTTAGCATTTCACGCGTGATGAGATAAATAGAGGACAATGGGAAGGGGAGTGGAATGGGCAGGCTTACGCGGTTGGATTTCCCGGCTAGTTTCCTCGACTTTGGATAATGGCGCTTTACCCTTACTCGGGCTATTGATTTGGGCGTTAGTAGATGCGTCGTCATTGCCAACGCCGAAGTCTACTGGTCGTGTGCCCTTGTGGTTAGGGATTGAGGGGTCCGCTTGGACTTCCATGAGCTGAGAGATGATATTCCTGTTGCCGATTCTGGCAGCGAGGTTGAGAGCAGTGTTACCAGCTTTGTCACGGGCGTTCACCATCTCTTGCATGAATCGCATCAAGCCGATCGGTTTGGGATAGTTGCTGTTGCCGTCAAAGGAACTTGACTGGCTGTTCCCGATGTTGCTGCGAACGAGGTATTCGAGCAAGGCTTCGAGGTAATATTTGCTCGATGCGGCACGGCCTTTGATGGCGCACGTCACTGCAATGTGATGCAGAATAGTGCGTCCTTGGTTATCGCGGAGTTCGATAAGGGGTGCGAGGATCTCGAGGGTTTGGGGAAAGCAGCTGTGGTCGAGGCTGTTGTTGACTGAGACTGCACTCATCAGCGAGGTTTGGCCAACTGCATTGCCGCGAAACATGTTGGCGCCTTTAGACACGAGCAAACGCATCAAGGATACACGCGCGAGTGTTGCTGCCCAATGCAATGCCGTATTCGCGGCATTGTCGATTGGCATGTCCAGATCAGCGCCTGAGAGGTGGAGGATTGCGGGATGGTTGCTGAAATCTGTTCGCGACTGGTCTGCGAAGAGGTCGGTCAACATGGCCTGCTTCTCTTCCGAGACCTTGTCGTTTGGCGGTGGGAGGGGTGCGAGTGCAGTTGGTACTTCGCCATCTGCTGTAGTGAGGTGGTGTCCAATAGTCTGATAGAAGGAATCGTTGGGTTCCGTCGGTGAACCATGATCTCGCATCGATATTTCAGCGCCGTTTGGTTGCGAGAAAGATTCCTCTTGTGAATGCCGTAGCCGTTTCCTCGGCGGTTCCTGGACGTCTCCATCCACCATTCCCATGTCGGCATGACCGTTTGCACCGAAGCTACGCTCGGAAGCCAGACTTGCAACACTCTGCTGGCTGCTTGCCCGGAATGAGTCTTGGCTCCCGATTGGTCCTTGAGAGGGCCGACCGACGGATCGGCGCCCTTGCGAAGAACTTCCGGGCCGCGGTGCTGGGGAGTTCATTCTTGCGACCTTGTTCATGGCTGCCAATGCGCTGGTTGCAGTAGATGAGATATTAGAAAAGAAAGTGCCGCCAACACTCTGGTTTGCATTGCGGCCGTCCATGCTTTGGGTGTAGAAGCGTTTCCTGTTTGCTGCCATAGCCTGTTCCTTGGTGGGCGTCTCAATGCCTTGCGATGAATTGCCATCTGCGCTCAAATCGTAGTCCAGAAGCGGCCGGAGAAGGTCCTCGACGCCATACTGCCGGCAGAACTCCCGCCCGCGGCGATAATTAATCCAAGTGCCCTGGTATTTGCCATAGCCGCCCTGGACCTTCTCATGCTCGCCAGTCAATATCTCTTTCTCCAGGACCTTTGTGCGCTTGCCCTTGTCCACGCCGGCGACCTTGAGGATTTGGGTAGCGTTGAGCCAACCGTCGGAGCGACGGCGCATGACCGCAACACGGTTGACTTCCATTTCGTAGACGGAGACGCCAGAATAGACGGCCTAGAGCAAGTCAATATATGCGGAAGCGGAGAACAAGAACAGACATACGGTGTAGATCTGGGGCTTATCCATAGCATGTTGCTGGAAGCCATTGAGGTCGGAGAAGGAGCGGTTGAAGCCGGGGGCGGCCATGATGCCGTGCGACGAGTTGCTGTACATGGCGGGCTGGGAAGAGGAGCCGGAGGGGAATGAGGATGGCAGTGACGAGTGCGCGACTTGCATTATGTCAGCGAGACGCTGAATCGATGAATGATGCGGGGGAGAAAGGAGGTCAAGCAGCGGTGGGCATGGCCAGTCGCGAGGGCGCAGGCTGGAACAAGGGGGATAGAAGTCCAGTGGGATGCGCCAGAAAGCAGTTGGCTTATAGCAGCGACAGACGAGCTGGACGCGACGCCGAGGGCATTAACTTTGGACCGTGGCCGTGAGGGGTGAATGCCTTTGATTCACGTCGTGGAAGTGTGGAGAAGTCAGCAGCGCGTCGGTGATCTCGCGTCCAGGGCGTGTGTGGGCTGCCGAGGAGCGAATCAGCACCCAGCATGGCTTACCCCCAGTCAATTCTCACCTTTTCTTGTTTTATATATCTCGTCCATCCTCCCCTATGTCACCTCCTCTTCCGCAATCCGCTGTGTCCAATCCCAGGTCGATCTCTCTCTTGCGTGCCCTCCTCCGTGAAGCCTCGTACCTGCCGGATTCTCGCGCCCGCAGCTACTTCCGCCGCTACATCGTCAACCGCTTCAAGGCCTACCAGCCATCTCGCAATGCCGCGCCTGCAGTGCGAGCCCAAGAGCTTGCCGGCCGCTACCCCAGGGCGTTCAATAGGCGGTATATATCCATAATCGAGCATCGCACGCGGGCAACCCAGCGCAAGGCGCAGAAAGGCCTCAACTACCTGCGACGCGCGAACCAGGGCGAGCTGCCATGTTTAATGAAAATTCTGCTGTTCACGTATGGACGCATGGGAAAGAGAAGATATGCTCTTCTGCAAAAGCTCCTGGAGCCGGAGGCGGTGCTAGGCGAGGATGGCGTAGTTGCCCCAGAGGGTCCATCGCCCTTGCAGGCTCTCTACCACAGCAAAGAGCGCTTCCTCCGCTTCTTCGCTGCACCGCAGAAAAAATCTGACTCGCAGATATCCATTGATCTCTCTGATGGCTATTCAAAACTAAAGGCTGTCGTCAAAAGCCAGAAAAGCCTGGCCATTTCGCTAGGGCGAAACATCAAGACAGCCAGAGTCGAAGCACCAAGCAAGAACGCTTGGGAGCGGCCTATGCCCATCAAAAGAGCCCGTAACATCGTGAGGAAGTGGTACATAGACACCATGAGCAAGCTGCTCCCACCACTGTCCCATGCCGAGTGGGATATGCTACATGAGCTATCGAGAGGAAACAAATGGATAGACTTCGTGCCCCGCAGAACCCCCGCGGTGGAGCTAGACCCTCAACCCCAAGAGGATGGAGCTCGCTCGATGGCCATCATCGAAATAGGTCTCGCGCTAGACAAGCCCAGCAAGGCCGACAAACCCGGAGGAAAAAACCGCCCACACAACATTACTCCGCGCATGATGAGGCGTCTCTACGGAAAGATCTTTGCCCTGAGTTGTAAACTCGAATATGACGCTGAGCGGAGCAGGTGGAAGGCCATATGGGGCTCGCTGAGGGACATCAGCCCAAGGATATATGGAGCTCCAGTGGACGCAGTGCTGTTTGCGGGAGTCGATCAATCGGGACGGGTTCTGCAGAATCATCACAAAAAGCAGAAGGAAGTGGTCACGTAAGGATCACTTGTGGAAGCTACGAAAAGGACTTGAGCTTTGGGGGCACTTCCAACATGTCCGCACAATCAAAGAAGCAGCCAATCGGGATCCTCCGGCGGTGAGCCAAGTTCCCGTCCGTGACTGCTCTTTCTGCCATCAAAGGGCGCGTCCACGAACAAAACTTCGAATTCCTCTCTTCTGCCCTCCAATTCCTCAATTGATCTTTCTCCCGCCCTACTCCTGTGCCATGGCATCTTCCGACGCGACAATCCGCCACGCAACTCTTGAAGGTCGTCAACCCCACCCCCGCTCCCCTACTCCACCACCCGCCCCGGCTAACGCCCCATACACATCACAGACGTCCCTACAATCCTAGGCCTAATCCACGAACTCGCTGCCTACGAAAATGCCACCTCCTCCGTCCTCGCAACTGCCGAATCCCTCTCTAAAACTCTCTCCTTCGCCTCCATCGTAAACCAATCCCCGCCCTCCGAGCCCTCCTTCACTCCCGGCTATGCAAAAACCTACCTCATAACCTCCCCCGAGGGCGAGGTCGCAGGCATGGCATTATACTTCCACAACTACAGCACATGGCGCGGCGCACCGGGTATATACCTCGAGGATCTATTTGTGAAACCGAAGTATCGGAAGAGGGGGTACGGGAAGGCGTTGATTAAGCAGCTGGCGAAGGAGCTGGTTAGGATTGGGGGAGGAAGGTTGGAATGGAGTTGTTTAGATTGGAATACCCCGAGTTTAGAGTTTTATGAGGGGCTGGGGGCGAGGCAGATGAAGGAGTGGATTGGGTTGAGGGTTGATGGGGAGGCGCTTGTGAAGTTGGCGGAGAGCTGATAGGTGAGGAAAGGTTGGGGTTAAGGAGGTATTGTCACCTCGACTAGCGTGGGTTGAGAAAATTTCGGAAGATAGCAAAGGCAAACTCACCATCATCGCTCTTCCCGCCCCCGCTTTCAGCACCCCCACAAACATCCAGACCCAAGAGTTTCTGGGCAAAATTCAATGAATGATATTCATGGATCGTCAACCTCGTCAGAAATAAACTCTGATCTTCATGTCATCCAGCGGCGAAGATATACTCCGCTCCTCGGGTATAACGTTGCTATTACTCTTCACAAGCACTCGGAACTCCACTTCTCACGAAAAATTTAGAGGACGAGTCAATCGCCTGGGTCACATATATCGTTGGCTGACGCCTTCTAGTCCTAGTAGAGTTGGAAGCATTTTTCAAACACTCCATACCCTGCCCTCGAAGACGCTGCTGACTTTCATCCAGTGAATGAATGACACCTTTCATTTCCTTCGTGGTCGCATTGAGTTGACACACACACACATATATATATATATATATATAGATATAGATATATTTGCTAAAGCATTCTAGTCATGTCGCGCTACTTGCTGTCTTTTTAATACATAGGAACTACAGAGCTGTATGAGAAGACAAGAAGCCACAAAGCAGACGAGATTTATATACCCCTCCTGCTATCATTGCACATGTCTTCATGGTGAGTAGTAGTCCCTCTAACTCTAAAATCCGCTTGACCGAACACGGGAAAGTCCCCAAAACGGCAAAGGTATTTCAAGTAGGAGGTCTGGGGAAGTCGCTGGGGCTTTGGAGTGAATACTGAAGCACCATGGATCTTGAGCTATCGCAAATCCAGTGCAATTCAAGCTTTGGAGCGGGTACTCAAGTATCTAAACCCCTCAAGTGCGGGGTCACGTCCTCACCACTACTTTCCTTAACCTACAGGCTCAAAAATTTAGGAAGCAGGGTTCTTCATGGGATTCAAGAAATGAATGACAAAGAAAACCCCCAATATCTGGAAGTAGTCACGAAGACATAACATGAGCCCCCACCGAATAAAACCCCTCAAAGAGCACAACAGGCTTCATGTCCTGGCCGCGCAGAGGCTTGACCACATTGGTAATTTTCCGTCTTGAAAAAAACACCACGGCCCGAGCCCAAGCCGGCGTGAGAATGTTTGAGAAATATTAATCCGTAGTGAGGAGGAGCGCTTCTCTAGGGTCCACGCATAAATTTTACATATTCCACGTATATAGGACGGTTGCTTTTAGTTGAATATGTGACTTTGCAGGGTCACGAGTTATGAAGTGGTCATGTATTGTGGACTGAGGGTCCGAGGAGTTATACGATGTATAGAGGTACTCGCCTCTGCTCGTATACTACCTTTTGACTGTCTTGATAGTGACCTTGGCGCGAGCCGGGTCGAATTGTGGGGAAAGGGCAGGCGCTCCATTACCGTGCCCACCTCCCATAGCTTAACCATCTTGCCGTCTGGCAAGAAGGCCACAGCCATAATCCATCCCAAATGGCCGTTGAGCTTTTATAGCTCCGCTCCCGTGGCCCCCTCTCGCAGCTCGACCGTCTTGTTGCTCGATGCCGTCGCTAGCACTTTGCCGTCTGTCGAAAATGCCACAGCCATGACCTAACCCGAATCGCCCTTGAGTGTCTGCAGCGCCGCTCCCGTGCCAGCTTCCCACAGCCTTACCGTCCCGTTGCACGATTCAGGCACCAACCCCTTGCCGTTCGGTGAGAAGGCTATCACGTTGACCAAATTCCTATGGACCACAAACGTCTACGGTAGAGCTCTCGCGCCAGCTGCCGACGGCTTAACCACCTAGACGTCTGCTCCTCGCCAGTCGAAGATCTCATTACATTTACAGCACTTCCTTAAGAGGCTATTCAATTTAGAAGATGCGTGCCATTATAAAGAGGCAGATCCGAGCGGGGTAGCAGAATGCTCTCAAAGCCCGTGCACTTCTGTTACATCGACGTTCATTATAGTCCGCTGCATCGGAATATATTGTAGGTTAGAGCCATCATGCTATTCAAAGTATTGGATGGTGAATCAGTCCAACCCCTCAGTAATTATTGTTAGCAATGGCTCCACCACCAAAATTCACCACTGCGGGGTAAGACCGAATTCTCGTGTAAGAAAAAATACGTTGTAATGAGTATATACGAGCAATTGTGGCTTCGATGGGGTTATCAGTGTTCGACAGCTGACCCATCCCGACCGCCTTTTCAATCTTGAGGTGACCTTTGACGACTATCACCCGCACATGCACAACCTTCGCAAGCAAACCTCACCACAACACTTCCGCTATCTTCAAGCGGAATTTGTCAGAGTACTTGAAGGTGTGTCTACTTTGGCGTGGGCGACAAATGACTCACCCCTTCTGACGACGAATCGGAGATACCCACTTGGACCAGAAATCGATCCATTCCAGGGCCTCCATCGGTAGAGCAGAAGTACACCAAGTTTTTGCTAAGTGGACCAGCATCTGAAGGGCCGTTCATGTTGGATGCAATCTTCTACGAGAATTACTACCTGTACATAACCAAGGTATTAGCACCCGGAGGTGAAGGACTTAGCCTTATCGAAGTGTTCTGTGTAAGCTTCCCATAAGCCATAACTGTATCCACTAGTACTCCTTGACATGAAAAATCACCGCATCACAGATGTTCGATGCTGGTGGCTCATGAAAATGTAATGAGAAAAGTCGCTGGCTCACCGTTCAAGAACAGCTCAAAGACCTCAGTACATTGCACTGGAATTGGTAGTGGGAAGTACGAAACATGAACTTCGAACACTAGCAACACCATATGACCTTCCCATCATCAAAAGTCAGCATCGCATTGGCCATGCTCAGGGGACAACTTTGCGGTCTAATCAGCCCTATATATCGTTCAAGTCTTGAGTTCTGGGAGTTCCCGGCAGAAAAATTATATCACTATTTACCGTGTCCCGCTACAACCTTTTGTAATCAACCTAGCTCAGTATCGACTGACTTATATTCTACACTCAGGCGCAGCTCTCGTGGAAGCCGGAATCGGTGCCTCCCTCCTGCCACCGCCAACGCAGCTGAATAAAATACACAAGACATGGGATATGTTCATATTTATTATGATCCTTCTTGTTGTCACTAGCTTCATCGCTCTTGTCCGCTTGATACTCAGGTAGAGATCCCGCGCATTTGGACTTGATGATTAGGCGATGATACCGGCACTGATAAGATCGAAGATCCCTTTTATATTGTAGTCAAAATGCTCATCGAAGTGCCTACTCTCGGGTATTCTATGTTGCTCATTCTATCATGGCCTCCTGCGTCAACCCCAACGCCGGTATTGGCAAACCTATTTGGGAGGTGACAATACCAGAGTTCGAACTATGGGGCAATGCATGGTTCGTTATTTGCGATACTCATATGCCGGGTTGCTCAAGGGACATGTTGTGTCATGCATTTTGAATCCACTCGCTTCAAGCTTCATTCGCGTATCCATTCTGTGAAGCTTTTGGAGAAACTTTTGGTAGGCGCAGAGATTAGGAACTAAATTGATTGCTAAATAGTGTGCCTAGGAGTCTATATACGAAAAGGAGTGGGCTAGCCAGTAATCTGCTTAGCAGGCAGCACGTGTCTATGGTAACCAGCAGTGGTTTCATGGTGTTAGAGCTCGGTCAGCTCCGTAGCTGCAAACACATTCTCTTATTCTAAGACCGGGTTCTCTCTAAAGCGAGTAGACCCATGATGGTAATTGCCCGAGCCTCGATCGTCTTTGTTGCTTGTTATATGATTCGCTGATAAGAGAAAGCAGGATGTAATGCGAGTGTAACTAGTCACGTCTTAGCATGGAAATATTAGATAGACAATTCAACAGGTTACATTAGTTTCAGTGGGTCTGGGGATCTTAATTCCTGTACTCACGCATGCCTCACACGAGAGTCACTTGTGGCCAAGACTTAACATTTTTTTGCATATATATAGAGAGAGAGAGAGACTCAGACTCTCTCAGCAATGAACCTAGTTCCTCATCTCTGCGCCTAACAAAAGCTTCTTCATGGCATCACAGTTATGACCCTGGCAATTACTTGCTATTCAATCGAGCTGTTTTCAAACCTAAACCAAGGAGAGTTCCTTTGACGCCCTGTGTACGATTGTGGACTCTTTGTCACTCTCGACTACCTTGAAGTCGCTCTTTGCAGCACTTCAGGTATCTTTCAAGACGAATTGGTCACCAATCTTGACCTCGCGGTCGAAAAGAGACGACTCATAGTCTCTACCTTCCTGCCGCATCAATCGCGACCCTTCTTATACTTATCGGGTGGCAATATGTTGTGGCAAATAGTGCAGAAGGCGGGTACGCTAGCAGGGAGGATAGTCGACCCACACTCGCGATAGAGTTGCAAGGTGACCAATTCTGTAGACATTTTCAAAAAGTTAAGTAACTAAAGGTATGGATAAGGTTGAGTTGGATCGTAAGGTTGAGGGGGCTGAGGTCCTAACAGTCACGTTACACTATAGGTAGATTACGGGATGTGTGGGCGGTTTTTTACTAGCTAGAGATTAGAAATTGTCTCTGCTAGAGATAGCGATCGGTGTGGCAACCTTTGCACGAATTTGCGTGCCACAGCAAATATAAGTGTAGTCATAACATCCTAGCGTTTTAGTCAGACTCAAGGGCAGAGAGTATCAATTTTGTATCTAGTAGAAACTTAATAACAGTGCTGTAGTAAAAAAAGTTGCTATGCTAATTGTAAAGATGGGATAGTAGGTAGCAGGGTTAGCATTGAGAGCAAGGTCTTGGAGAAGTAGGAGTGTATTGTAAGAGAGACGAATCGCTGCCAAGCCTCGCTTGTCAGGATTCGTGCTATGTAAAGCACAGGTCATGTGACCACCAAACAGGTCAGGTGAGGCCATACTGGCCCGTTCTGGGACATCCGGCCTTACACCAACTATAAAGGAAGGCATGCTGTAAATTAAGCATAAAGGTAACAATGTAAATGGAATTCTAAAGTATAAGAGGCTCTAGAGGTTTAAGAGTAGCTACAGCAAATAACTTATATAAAGTATATTGAATATTAAGGTGTGAATATATTTTGATTTACTTCAAGTTAAATTTCCTCTTATATTTCCCAGCGCCCTGGTTTTTCGCCACGTAGAGAGGGACATTACACCATCAATCTGCAATTTCGCGGCGAAACGAGATCGCTATTCTAGAAACGATTTTAGAGAGAGGAGACTATTTCAACATATACATATCAGAAAGCTGAGTGCAGGACTGACCACCATGTCGTGTATTGGGATTTTTTGGATGCGGTGATCGCGGACATTAAAGAATCCTGAAAGTAGCTTTAGACTCTTCAACTAGAGAAAATAGCCGCAAAGAGATTGTTGTGTTAGAGGAAGGAAGGGTGGTTATATTAGAGGGAAAAGAAAGGATACTGAGATGGGTGTAAGAAGCATGCAGATAGCGTGCGAAATTTTTTGAACCATCTCGCTTCAGGTTTTTGTCTTCCGCGGAGACGAAAAACTCTCCATGCAGTGTACAACACATCCCAGTTAAGAAAGATCCAAAAACAACGCAACCCACCCAGCCTCCCAATTACGAGAATCCCATGACAATTTCCCCAAATCCCCCACCAACCATCAAGTCAGCCTTAATTTAATCTCTCCTATCATTACCTAAAATTTCCTAAAATCGGTTCTTTTCTCCATCCCCCAGGAGTCGAGGTCTAGACTCCCCGCACAGACCCCCCGAAGAATTTTGGACCCTCTAACGCCATACAGCTTTATTGAACATGCGCCTCTCTCTCGCGAATCGTAATATCCCTGTCCCAATCACGCAAACCTGCTACATTGGGCATGCGATAATGAAAAGGTATTGATCTCGGCTTCAGATGATCTGCTTTGTGGCGCGGAGAGAGCGAGAGTTACGAGGGAGATCCCGGGGAGAGGAATTAGAGTTGGATTTAGAGTTGTGGAACGAGCGGAGCTGTCCAGGTGGTGATGGAAGGGGTTTGAGGAGTGGGGAAGTTGGGGGAAGGTATCGTGCGGGGACACTGCAGAGGGCTTGTTTAACAATGGGCTTGGCGGGTCGAACTGGGAGCTTAGGGGTGGACGAGATAGAAGAAGAAATGATTGATTAGAGTTTGCTATTGAGACTATTTACATTCAGAAACATATTCCTGCGTTGAATCGCAGCAAGACTACTGTAACACATTTCATCCCCGCATCTCCATTCGATTTACCTTCCGAGCATCCATCACATAATCCCCCTCTGCCCAGGCCTCACCCTTCCCACAATCCATCTGACTTCGGATTGCCATGATTTCCACCCCAATATCCTATTTCCCATCGCTACTGTCAAGTTCACCATCACCAACCCCTCCTCCATCTCCATGCCCATCACCATGCTCACTTTTACCACCGCCGCCACCAATGCCACCATCCTACTCGAACTCAACGCGTACATCCCCTTCTCTGGGGATCTACTAACCTTGATTGTCTCCCTCGCCTTCGCCCTCATTCTAATAGTCCGCATGGTCCTGATTATCTCCTTGTTTCTCCCCATCGTTGCTAAAATCGCCATATTCATAACTGTGGTGGCCGGAATCTTGCCCCTGGTCATTCTCATCCCCAGATCCATGGCACCGAATTGTCCTGGTAGTGCTGTCCATGATTCTTGGCAATGGTGGCATTGGATCTAGCTCGCTTAGTCAAGCCGGGATAGGATTCCGTAGTTGTGGCATATTCCGTGCTCATCACTCACTACGTCTGAGTCTAGCTCTATAGTTGCGCAAGTGGATGTTTTGGCTACATAGGCATTGGTGTTCATGGTCTGCATGTTTCCTTTTCTTTCAACTGCGTTGAGGTGACAGTCGAGACTTGATTGCTCGTGGCGGTGAACCTTGTGTGTTTGTCGGTGTCCGGGTGATTGGGGGTGGGCAAGAGTAACTATCGTCATTGCCATGCTCATAACCGGTCTTTCTAAAGCCACTCTTCGTTTGCGTTACCGTTGGAGTTCCTCGCAGCAATGTCGACGTTTCTGTAGTAGGTTAAATAATCGTTTTGGTTGAAAAACTTGTGTGTTAGTGGAAAACTTTATTATAGTTAGCCCCAGGCCAGGATCATTTATGGCAGATATACATGTCATGGTTGATATATATTTCACGGTTGTTGTAGGAACAGATTCATGAGCAGTGGATTAGACGTTACCCTCGAAGTGGGGCTAGAATCATGAATGGTGGGTAACCGTTGGCGCACTCGCGTATGATGGATATAGACGTCACCATTCACGTCGGTCCAGACTGTCGTACGGTGGATATGGATGTTATAGTAGTTTCTGTCGCCGTACATGTTGAAATGTAGTCACAGATAGTCGTACACTTGCTGGTAGTTTCAAAATATCGGCTGCAGTGGACCCGGATTCGGTGGAGATGTGGAAGAAGACGAAGAGGACGTAGTGGTAGTGGACGACGTGGACGAAGTCGAGCTAGATCCGCTCCCACCTCGTCCCTGCCCCGAAACTCATGGAACGACGCTAGAGGAGACATTATTTAGAAGAATGAATGCAGAGTATAGCATAAGAAGGATAGACCTTATGGGGGCCATGACTTCTCAGGGAGCTAGCAATGATAGTGAGGATGAGCACGAAGAAATCTGGGTTTGATAGCTACAGAAAAGGCAATTCTCTGGCACTGTAAAATATTCCGCCTACAGCTGTCTCATTCTAAACATGTTTGAGCAGCGATGTGATCTGGAAGAAAGCAAGTGAGAGAAACAACGTAAACAGAAGGATACCGAGTCGGGGTGAAACACTTGAAATGGGCTTTCAATTGATTGGTAAATCGACATAGGCCATTGCCTGGAAGGTATGTGGCGTTGAAGCCGAGTCTCCAAACGACAGGACTATGGCTCGACATGGCCTCATACTAGAATCGCTATGAGATGCTATGGGGCGTCTTTGGGGACATTGCGGCCTGTTACAGAATCGCACAGCTCCTACTGTAGGCGCCACAGCAGCCGGGAGGATTAGATTGAGATTCAAGGAAGCCGACGCTGTATATCTTCCAGCCCCATGCTCCTAGCATCTCGAATTGTCTGCCAAGCGCGAGGTTTGTGGGCGAAGATAAGCGGTGGCCGAGCATAGGACCAAGGGATTACGCAATACACGAGGTGCAATTTCAGAACGCCTGTTTTGCGTTCATTCCGAAGAGATCGGAAGTGCTTCCTCAGGCCTGGAGGAGCCGCTGCACGCAAACCAAAGAGCTGTGTGAAGGGACATCGAATGAGGCTCAACATCAAATCAGGAGACGGCAATGAAGTGAAGGACTCTCTAGCTACTGCACCGCTATCGACATTCGGAGTAACAGCTGGTATGTAGCAGCGTAAAAACCGTTGAGCGAAGGTGAAATGTGGCGGACGAAGCTGCAAGACGAGGCGAGGTCGAAATAGGGGAGTGGGTCGAGCCCTGATTGGCGCAGGGGTGCGCCTCGATGACGGAGTTGTGTAAGCCTGGCAACTACAACTTCACTGGAGCTGCCCACGATCTTGCTTTCCCAGTACGACAATTGCCAATTTTCTCCTTCTCTCTGTACATTGTATTGTTTTTTTATATTTTGTCTCCTTCTTCTGCTTAATGTTTTAATAGGATAGCAACAACATCGTGTTCAGCGACAGCAGTGCTGACACCATCGGAAAACACGTCAAATGACGGACCCGCGACCGCATTCATGGCACCAGCAGCCTGACATTGCGAATTTGTCCCCCGACTCCTACACAGCACAACGGCTGGTGCGTGTTGTGGAAGCATTGGGAAGCTTACCTAGCTAACGCGTCGCAGCAACATGCAACACCGGAGCACCTATACCTCACCTCGCGGCGCTTCTTCATCGGCCCCATTCCTGTACGTACCCTCGCGCGCACTCGCCACCCCCCCACCCCCCTTCCCCCCAGAGCTCACAATAGGACGCAGGAAGGATGGCTGAAGACACACCGCCGTGACTGGTACAAGCACCACCTACACATCAATTACTCCTCCCGCACTGCCACCTTCTCCTCGGACCCGAAGGAGCAACGCCAGCGCCGCTTGTCTGGCCTCGAAGGCCCTAGCTCCTCGGCCCTATACTCGCACAGCTTCCCACAGCCCGAGGACCTATCTGCCGAAGAAGACGAGGCCGAGGCCGGGCAAAATGGGCAGCCAGCCGCGTCGGGTGCCAATGCAAGCTCGTCGTCTTCTCTAGCCATCCCTCATGGATCAGACCACAAGGGCGACGTCATAACAGGTGATGAAGAAACCGAGTTCGTGGACGCGCACTCGGAACCAGACGAAGAAATGCCAGTCGACGACAAGCAGGAGTTGAACCCTCGTGAACAGCAAAAGACCCGCCGGTCGAGTACGAAATCGTTCGTCACAGCATCCACCTCTCGAGAACGAAGCCCACACCACCCTATACAAAGCGAGGGGCAGGAGCAGGCAAGTAGCTTACAAGTTCTTCCGGACCAGCAAGAAGCGGGGAGCAAGACATTGGGCAAACGGCCAGCTTCTACGGCGGAGAGCAGCAATGGTGTGCCTGGTTCTACCGTTGGAGATCCCTCTGTAGATGCGAACTCGACTTCGTCTTTGCTGCAGAAGGCTAACGTGAACAAGGTACAGCCCGACGCAGATGCCAGCAGGCCAGCCAGGGGCATTCTCGCCAAGGTCAAGAGACGGTCGCAGCATTCCTCATCCGATATCGGGACGCCGACTGACCAGACAGGGGACGCGATGTCGCGCAGAAAGTCGCAGCTACGTAATCTTGTCAAGTTCGATATCCCAGAAGACTCGAAGCGAGCAGAGCTCCACCTGAAAGCGAAGGCTGCACAGATGAGCATTCAGCGCGCTTCGACGAGGCTTCGACGACATGGAATAAAGGATGGAGTCATCGTGAAGATGGAGCGAATGCTAGTGCGCGTCGATGCTGCAGGCAAAGAAGTTCCAGACGACTTCGACGAGAATGGAAACCAGAAAATTGACTCTCGAGTTAAAGACAAGTGGCGCGAGTATATGATTGTCTGCAGGCAATGCACATCAGACCACGCCGACTTCGTCCTGCAGATGTATAAAACGAGGGTGAGTCTTTCCGGCTCCGACAACCGTGCACTCCCCCTTCGCGTCTTATCTTACTAACGTATTGCGCATTACAGGTCATCCCTGAGATCGAACAGCCGCAGGCTAGCAAGCGTGCTCAGTACGAGATTCCACTTGGCCGCAAGGTCACCAAAGTCAACCTCTACTCCTCTCTCGACAAATCCGTCGTGGTCTGGATGCCCGTGTCTCGCGGTACTCGGATCTTCATTATGCAAGCCCGGACAGCCTCCAATGCTGTCGAGTGGTACACTTTCTTGCGTAACGTTATGGGTTGGCGTCGAGCATCCGAGCTTCGGATCAACGTCCCCGATCTCAGTATCAGTCTTCGCCTGGCTAATCCATTCGAGAAGCTTGAGGTCACCCAGAATGCAGCACAGGAAGCTGAAGGGATTGACAGTGAAGAAGCCATTCTGAAAACTATGAAGGAGGAACAAGCAGTCGCAGAAAATCTAGTCAGACGTTGCCTTGACCAACTGCAAGACTCACCGGAATGGGCTGATGTGCTGGATTCATGGGTCAGGGACCAGCGAATTGGGCTTGCCTGGAAACGGTACGACCGGCTTGAATGGATCCACGGGGCGAATGAGCGCAAGATGTATGGGACAATTGCCATGCAGAAGTCACACGAACTCGAGTTGAGGCCAAAGTCGCATTACCCTACAACGGCTATAACGCGGAAGAAGCATAAGACATTGACCGAGCCGGTGCCAGTTGAGGGCTTCCTCATACGCTTGACTTCTCAGCAGGGAAGGGCGAAACGGCTAGGGTTGATGTACCACAAACAGCTTTATTTCTCCACACACGACCAGTTCCTTGTGTATTCACGGCCACCGAAATCCATACCTCCGCCACCGCCAAAGCTCCCAACAGTTGATAATCCCAGGATCCCTACTGCACAAACGATCGCTGAGAAGACCCCCGACACTTGGGCTGTCAACCCATACCCACTGAAAGATGATCAGATCGAATGGCTGGCGGAGGGTCATTCGGGTACTCCAGAGAGCAGACGACTTCATGATGAAAATGCGCATGACGAAGCCCAGCGTAAAGCGCAGAATCTTCAGAGTTGTGACGGATACATCAATTTGTGCAACATAATCAAAATCCGCAAGGCCAAGAAAGGTGCGGTGCCTATCGATGACAGCATCGAAACCGGGTCTGACGTCGACTTGGGCGAGGAGGTCGATGGTGCGTCAAGAGATGATGGCGCAACGAGAGACTTTGACGTCGATCGAACTATGGAGCTTGTCCTCCGGAACGGGCTTGTCATTCGGCTTCAAGCGGCAGATCAAGATCGCCGAAAGGAATGGATGAATCATCTGCGTGCCCTGTCCAAATACTGGAAACATCGGACTGCAGCTGACATCAGTCTCTACAAATCAACGCGGGCGCAGAATCTTGCCGCCCTCAACATCGACGAGGAAGCCGAAGCCTACGTCGGTCAATTCGCCAAGAAATGGGAGGTGACACATTCTTTTGCGTGTCCTCAATTGTACAATATCTGTGGCATCTCGTGTTGTCGCAGTATCCACATGAGTGGAATGTTGTACCGCAAGCCCAGGATACACGCTGCGTTCACTAGATGCAGTGTGATTTTAGCAGCTGGAACTTTGCTCATTTTCCAAGATGTATTAAGGAGTAGAACTGGCAAAGAGCTTTCTCACGTCCACCATGAACGCCTTGCGAACCTCGATCTCAAGGACTGCTACATCTACTCTGGCCTCCTAACTGAATCTGATCTTCTCTATCAAAACCAAACTTTTGACGCGAACAAACCCGGACACCACGCACTCCCTCGCATATACCTTGAAGACGGGTGGACTTCGACGGACGAAGACGTCATGACTACTTTTGTGGTCTGGTACGGGAAATCAAAGTCCTGGTTCCGAGCGGAAGAGGGTGCAGGCGGTGGCGAGAAACAGGCTAAAGAGGGTAAACGTAGGAAGCTAAAGCGAGTCGCGAAGCTAGGCTCGAAGGGGAGGAGTGTGGTTTTCAGAGCTAGGAGCAGAGCGGAACGTGATCATTGGGTTCTGGCTATTCAGAATGAAATCGAAAGGGTACAGAGGGATGGCGGAGCAGATTTTAGGATTGAAGAGTTTGGGGGGAGAGAAGGTTAGGGCTCTAAGTAGACACGAGGATGAGTTGGTGTAAATGGTGTTTTGGGAGATAGTTTCGAGTTTGGATTGGTTTGGATTGGTTTATTGGGTTGGATTGGATTGGATTAGTGGGTGCGGTTGGATTGTAAAGACATGGATATACATATTGTTAATGTGATATGCTTTATGGCTAGATTGCACATCACGCGTATAGCTGGGTGAGACATGACTAGACAGCGTCCTTCTAATTACTCTGTTTGTTAAGAGACAAATCATAGGGTAAGTTTTGGTTTTGGTTTTGGCCATAAATATTCTTCCCATTGATTAAATTAGATGATTCGACAGTCTTCACATGGAATGTCCTACTTGTAAGAATTCATTCGTCAGATATACTCTGATTGTCTAGATCTATCTCCCTACCCCCTGGCACACGGTCAGCCGCACGCCATGAGCACCGCGTCTCATGTGTATTCGAACCAGGATGTATAAATATCTCCGCAGGAATCCCAGTGGAACTAAAATTTACTAGACTTGTCCACTATCTTTCCTCCCATCGTGGTCGGCCAGAAAATGAAACACAATGATAGAGAGAAAGCAAGCGTGCACTCTGTCATTATGCTGTAAGCAGCCTCGATGGGCGCCGAATTCAGCGCTTTCAGGCCGGATTCGGGACTAGAAAAATCACTACACTTGACTCATGATATGACAACAACCCACCGCACAGTCGAAACAAAGAAGATTACGCTGAATATGGCGGCTCTTCAACTCATGACGCAGCACAAACTCTACACTAATATACTGATAATCAGCCGGACGGTCGCGATTTCCAACCGTACTCTCTGCTGCCCACATGAGGCGTTTAACACCATCTACACGCTAGTGGAATTAAACTAATGTTAAGCAAAATTTTGCCCCGGTGCCTTTAGAGCAATAGAAGAGAGGAAATTATGGGTTTTTGCGGTATTCGGACAAATAAAACTAGACATCCAGTTAATATGAGTTCGAGATGGTATTCCTTCCGCCCGTGGCCCCCTGTTTGCCCTCCCCCCTGAATAACATGGAGGACCCAAAATACTATGATCTCACTTCAGAGTAAAAGGTGCAAGAGAGACGGTACATGGGTCTGGAGCCCCTGGTTCGATTTTCGAGTTATTCGCCACTAGACGAGCTTTACCTATCTCTGGCTACCGAATAAAATATCTTTCCAATAAGATAATGATCCGGGTCGGCACGCAAATTTCTAGAGTTCGAGTGGTACAGTGGTTTTAGAGCCGGGATGGTTTCGTGAGGGCCGGGGCGGCGAGAATCCTTGGTTACAAGAGCAGTGGAATGGATACAACAATCTGCGAAAAAGATATATCCATTGATAGAATGGGCATGTCGAGCTTGAAAATCTGGCCCGCTAGAATTTCGGGATCTAGTTTGTGGATAATACATAAGTGGAGGAGATTACCTTTGCGAAGAGACTAAAATCTGGCAGACGCCCTCTATATGACCTTGCCAACTCGTCTAGAACTCCATTAATGTTGATAGAGCGAAAACGGAAATAGTTTCTTCCGATCTCTGAGTTTGTTGGAGAGGGCTGAATAATAATACTCCCGGGGTCTGTGATGGTCGAAGGAGGATGGCTTCCAAACTCGACGACTAAAATCACCTTCGACATGTGCCATGGCCTTATTGGCTTGTCTAGAGCTTAGCTAGTGTCTACATTTGGTGCTTGTGAGTGGCTTAAGATTGACCATTACTGTGGTTCTCAAAGTAGATGGTTAGCCTTTTTGGACGTAAAAATAGCAACTACTCTGAATGAGGGAAGACACGAGGACGGGGAATCTGGAACGAAGAAGGCGGGCAGGATTCGTCGTTCGTTATAAATTCATATAGACTGAGTTTCAAAACACACCCCCGAGATTTTGTTTTGACTGGCTTCTGTCTGGCTATAAAAAAACACCGGCGGTGATCCCTATGAAGATGATGGATTTCTGCAAGCCAGCCTCACACGCATACCGAGCGTCATCTAATCTCAACCCGAGAGCGCGACCTCCTTCCTTTGTTCGGCACACTTGATTACAGGCCGTGGGCGGAGCTTCTTCTTGAGATAAATGCCTCTGCTTCCGTCGAATGTGTAAGCCTGGGGGGTGCAGCAGAAGAGTGTTATAGTGGTATGGAACCTCTAGGGCAGCCATGATACATAGAGAGGTGCAGGCGCTAGTATATAGTGGCTCGGCCTAGTTATAGAATGAAATGAAATCCCACACCCCATGCCTTATGGATTGGAGACTGTCGGCAGGAGAGCGGAAGGAAGGAGGGCAGAAGGGTATATCGAATGTGATCGCCATTGTATAAACTGCGTCGAATACAACAAACGGAGGGTGTCTCACCACCCACGCTCTTTCCAGCCTATGCCAATTAAAGACTAGAGGAGGGCCCATTCATGATCCGACTGTGGGCTCAGTTCTAGCTGTCTAAAATTCTAAATGGTTTGCTGGTATGCTGTCTGATCGTGATCGGGGAAGTACCGAACGCACAGTGACCAGAGAAGTTGCTATACTACATCATCCACGAAAGTCTCGTGGTGGAACTCCAAGGGCTTTAGCTCTCGCATGAGCTGCGTAGGGGCCATAGGGTAGGCGAGTTAACAAGGTATTGAGATCCAAACAAGGTGAATTGAACTAGTGTATTGTAAGGTCTAAGGAGCGAGAGAGAGCTCTGGGCTGACTATATACTGTACGAAAAAGGAGCTAGTCCTAATGAGTGAATAGCGCAGTACATGGGTATAGTATCGCGCGAGACACGTGGGACATTAGCCTCAGTGAAGGGGATAGATTGGGTAAGAAAATTCAAGATTTTCACCGCAAGAAGTCGTTCTTCAGGCTCGCGCATCGGATCTCCCGGACTAAAAATTCGTCGGCTTTCCAGACATGCATTAGAGGGGTTCTGTGTTGTGTCTCTATCCGGCCAAAGAGGCTTGATGACGGCACTTCTAGAGATGGTTGTTCGTGTGCGTCCTTTCATCGGTTGAATAGACTATAAACTATGTCGGGAACTCATGAGATCAATTTTGACACCACTCGTCCGACCGGTTGAAGAGAAAGTGTGGTTGCCTGTAGATGTGAGAGCGGCTATAAATCAATGCACAACATGATAATGGGGACATAAATCTAGGGTAGCCATTAGCAGCCTTTGAGCCTGCTTTGGTGCTTAGGTATCAAGCTTAGGTCTAGAGAATAGGGTTGAATTCATGTCATGATTCGTTCCCACTCTACCTTTGCCCTCATCGCGACCTACGCTTAATTTTCACGATAACATCTTTCTGCTTAATAAAAAAAGAATTCCTTGTCTTCCACGGCCGACTATGTGCCATCTCCAAAGTGAAATATCTCAAAATCTCCGGCACCAGTTTGTGGATTTGTGAAAGAGCGATATTCTGGCCAGTACATGTCCTAGTTCCGGCTCCGAACACCAGCATGCTCTTGTCCATGATCCGAGTCCGTTCTTCGCCGGCAAGCCATCTCTCAGGCCTGTATTCATATGAGTCGTCTCCAAACACGCCTTTGTCGAAATGGACGACGGCGGGATTCATGCTGACGCGGTACGTAGTGGGGATGTGCTTTCCGAAGAGGCCCATGCCTTCAGGTGGCGGGTGGCGTTGCATACCTAGAGAGACGCTTGGGAACATTCGTAGTGCCTCCTTGATGCAAGCAGAGACAAATGGAAGATTCTTTGACTCGGAGAACTTAATCGGAGAGCTGAGTGACCCAGTAGCATCAGCAGCATCGATCTCGGCGAGGACTCTTGCGAGAGCGCTAGAGTTCTTCATGAGATAGTAAAAGCATGCTCGTAGCTCAATGGCAGTGCTGTCGGCTCCGGCAAGGCTAGACAGAGTGATTAACAGATCGAATTACGTGATCGAGGCGACGACATACATTCCAGTGTACGCTTCGTTGGTGGCCTCTGGGTGACCAAAATTGAGCTTTTCTCCTCTGTCGCCAACAATGTGGAATAGCTGGGAGAGAACGTCGTTGCGTGGTCCACACTTCTCAGCAATCTCTTTCTTCCTGTTGTTGGCAATATCGATAGCCTGTTTTTGCATATGACCAACGGCCTTCACAGCTGTAAAAACACCTGGGAAGAGGATAGATGAAAAGAGAACCAGTGGGCGAAGAAACTTGGGCGTAGTCCCGAGGAGATTGAGCACCGGCATGATAACGTCCAGCGAGGCGATATAATTACCATAATCGCGACCGCTCTCGAGAAAACCAAACATCTTGCCAAAAAAGACTTGACCAATGATGTCGTAAGCGTACCTGTATCATTGATCAGCTTCATATCCCAAGTTATGCTGGGATGCGTGCTGACATCACTTACATCTCCAACCACTCTCCAAAATCTATCTCTCTCCGCTGATCCGCATGTTCACCTAATCTCTTCAGAAACAGAGTTGTGCATTCATCAATCGCATCTTCACTCTTCAACACACTGCTCATCAGATAGATCGGATTTACGATTTTACGATAATTGGCATGCTCGACTTCGTCTATTGAAGTGAACATGTCTGGCTGCTTAGTAATGTCCGTATTCCGATACACGAGGTAATAATCCGTTTTCTGCAGTGGCCTCTGCGTTCGGAAGATCTTGGGGATGGCCGCTGGATCAGAGACTGAGACTTCATTGGGCGCGATTCGTACAAGAGATCCGTAGCGTTGGTGCAGGGCTCGCTGGACAATTTCCATGTCCCCAGCGTAAGCCCGGTACATGTACCATATTCGCGTTACAGATGCCCAGAAAGGCCCGGGGATGGATGAAAGAGGATGGAGGGTGCGCGTGTAGGCTATCCAGAGGGTCCAATAGACTGCAAGGAAGATAGGTAGCACGATGAAGAGCCAGGTGTAGAAGGTGATACCAACCAGAGTGTCTGGGATGGTTTCAACGAGTCCCATTTTGAGAGGCGGATGTTGTGACAATTCCTAAGAAGAAAGTGGGGACCGTGAGGGTTGGAGGAGCAAGTTGATGTACCGACCCCATGGTTCAGCAAATAAGACACCATACCACATCTACACACCCACAGCGAAACCATTGCGCAGAAACATGACATGAAGACTGGCTCATGCGTGCGAGGTTCTCCGCTTTGCGTGACTGGGGCCTGTCGTTGGTGGGCTTGCCGCTATCTGTGCGGGCACAAGTTGGGCCAGCTAGCAGGCTTGGCGAGAAGTACTGTGTACCGTTACTCCATCATCGGGGAATCCGGGATTCACTAAGAAGAGTAAAGCGGGTTTCAGCCAGTCCATAGCTCGTCGTTCTTTCCGCTGCCCACGACTCGCTTCTCTCCAGGTGCTTATCTCGATGCATCGGTCACAAGTCCGAAAGAGCGTTCCCATGAAGGACCTAGTTGAGATCAGATGTAGAAAAGGCTCAACCCTGCACAGAATCTGTCGCAAAGTCAATTTCAGTATCCACATTGACGGGAAAGCGGGGAAAGGTTGCCGACAGGTACGGGGCGTACCGGGGGTCCGTGCAAGCGGTTGGACAACAATGAGCTGAAACCCCTCATCAGCACTGGAGTTCGAGATTGGCAATGCCGGACCATAGTCTGCGTAAAGCGCCAATGCCCTTTACAGGGAGGCTTAGACTCTTAGAACCTGGACATGGGCGATAAGGGCGCTTGGGGCAAAGCCACCTGCTCTTGCACGCTTCACTAGCATGTCATCGATCCTGAGGCGGAATAAAAAGGAAAATAAAAACAGCGACTCAGACATCTGATCGCCTTGCTTTGTGAGGATTCCATTTTCCTTGGGGATCGTCCTTATGCGCCTTCTCTAGTATATTACCTTACAGTACCGTTGCAGACCCTCCCCATGTCTTCCCGCCTCATCATCTGTTCGCAACTTCAGTCCCGTCTGAGGACCCACCTACACGTATTCAGCGGACTAGCATGATGCTCCTAGGGTCTCCTGGGCTGATTTTGGTCCTTATGAGCGCCTTACTGCCTGCAGTACTGGCTCAAGAGATGCCCACATGTGCCGTAGGTTCCTTTCCTGAGCCTCCAACAGAGCCGCGAGACTGACAATATAGTAGGCGAATTGTCTTGTGTCAAGTCTGAAGGCGGTACCGGAATGCGATCCAACTGATATTCCATGCATGTGTACCAACAAACCCCTCAAAGCCGCAATCCATGAATGCGTTGGCGCATCTTGTACAGTTAAGCAAGCTCTGAGTAGGTATCTTTCCATTCTCATTCCAAACACGTCTCACAAGAATAGCCGCTACAAACATGACAATGACGATGTGTGGGGCGCCTGTCCGCGACAACACGCATATCTTACCCCTAGTCAGCGGGATCTCTGGACTTTTTGCACTTACTGCCGTCATTGTTCGTTGTGTTGCAGCTGGGAAGAATCTGGCACTTGATGATATCTTCGTCGCCGCTGCTATGGCTGGAGCGATACCCATGGATGTCCTGCAACTTTACACTGGTCCTGCTGGGTTCGGAAAGGACGTTTGGAATGTTTCGTTCGACAACTTGTACTACATCCTCAAGGTACTTGAGCTTCAGGATTTCTTCCTCCCCACAGCTAATCGAATTGTAGTTAGTATATATAACCCAAGTGCTTTACTACCCAGTCTCTGGTTTCACCAAACTAGCATTCCTCTTCTTCTACCTCCGGATTTTCCCCTATGATGGATTGAGGAAGACGTTGTATGTCCTCATCACCCTCTCTGTTCTCTACGCGGTGATTTTCGACATCGGGATGATTTTCAGCACTTGGCCTATCTCATACACGTGGACGTCATGGGACGGGGAGCACAAGGGTCGGTCCATTGACGTGCATAAATTTATCTATGCGGGTGGAGGCGTGAATATTGCTCTCGACATTGCCGTCATCCTCGCTCCTATACCCGGACTTATGAAACTGTCAATGACCCTAAAAAAGAAATTAGCCATTATAGCAATCTTCAGCGTTGGTGGTTTGTAAGCCCTCCACTCATCCAAACTCGAACCCTTTCACTGGACACTAAGTGCGTAAATAGTACCCTCATAGTATCCTGCATCCGCCTCCAAAAGCTCACCCAATTCGCCACCACCCAAAACCCCACCTGGGACAACGTCCCTAGCGGCTACTGGTCCATGCTTGAAGTCAACGTCGGCATTTTCTGCGCTTGCATGCCGGCATTCCGACGCTTCGTCGCCCGTCTTCTACCTGAATGGTTCGGTTCCGCGAAAACTAGGGACAGCCGCTACAAAAACTTTGAGGAAACACCTCCAAGTGGTTCTAGCGGGAAAAGAAGTGGAGGAAAGCGCTCGTTTGGCGCGAGCTTGCTAGAAACGGATATTTCGAAGACGGTCGATACGAAGCCCGAATCAACGGCCGTTAGGGATGAGGATGAAGTGCAGTTGGTAGAAATGGGAGGAGAAAGGCAAGGTGCAGCACCGTGCGTGAATAGGCTTCCTAGTACGATGGATTCGCAGTCTGCACGGAATGAGAGCATACCAAGTGAACCACATTATGTATTGCGTAGTGTTACTACGAGGAGGTGAACTTAGGGAAGATCTATTGAAGATTACTACAACTTCAAGTCTGTAGAATAGGATTCGATTAGATACCAGCTAATGACCGCTACGATCTTTTCATCTTTATTATTTGTTTCTTACTATATGTACAGTTAATTAAGAAGGAGGTAAAGCGTGAATATCTAGTGAAGACTATTCCAATTTCAAGATCGGAGAATAGGATTAGATTAGATACTGTGATCAACGACCGTTTTGTTCCTTCCATCTTGAGTATTCACCCGATCCGATCCGAGAGCCACAACCGAACGGTAAGAAATATGTGACAAGGAAGCCTCACATGGCCATCGAAGTTATAATTTCATTGATGTCAAAGTAAACAAAATCTAGGAATGCTTGTACAGGGTTATACCAGTCCGTTGTAATCTTCGTAACCTTTGGGCCATAAAAACCATGCGTGACGCTCCTTGAGCGGGTCTAGAAGGCCGTAATACTGACAGCGCTGAGTACGGTGTACGGTTGGTTTTAGCAGTACGTACGTACAGCGATCTTCTGTCAGTGTGTACAATCGCTGCCGCTCTAAGTACTGTCTGTAGGACAGCGTACATTTAGCATCTTAGGAGAGCTTATAAGGCTTATGAGGCTAAATTTAGTGCTTTAAGGATTCCTTGCTAGAGAAGCTACCCTAGAACGCTAATTAGTAGAAAATCTTGTATGCGACGCTAATTTAGTTGCTCCTAGGAGACTTTACCTGCTTATCTATCTGGTGTAGCTTATTAGAATTAAAATAATGCTTACTATTAACTACTCTTTATCGCAGAATTGCTTATCTACACGCCTCAATACTTTGCAAGCCTTATTAAGCTAATCTAGTATTGCTGTTAGACACCCTGCAAATTCTTAGAAGCTAAAAATATTGAAGGCAATCTCCGTCCTGGGGCTCCCTCACGAGGTTTAGTGTAGTCCCTACGCATATGCATATAAGTGGTCTACACTGTTTCTATGCCTAGCCTACCTGTTCCCCCATCTCATCTCCGGCTACTAATTAAGAACTCGCTCTCTGACCAGCTAGCATCCTGAGTGGTGTTAAAAGAACGCTAGTTCGGGCCACTACCCGTCGATGTCAGCACAGCATGCGGTTACTCTGACCCATCTTGGACAGGCATACCAAGCTCTGAGAAGTTTAGAAAACGAAAGTCATTTGGGGTCCTGAAGGGTTTCAACGTGTATTTCGAAAAGATCCTGTCACCTAGCCGCAAGTAAGGATGCGAGCTCTGGTGAACTTGACGAGAGGAGCGTCTTTGGCCAAGGTGTGGACTGCCCGTTGGCGGTCCAGGTGATGTCCCGATTGCCGGTCAACCCGTGGACAAAGCAAATGTCAGCTGTGGCGCTGGCACAGTCGTGCAACGTCGACACCAGCTGCTTGCCTTCTGGCGAGAAGGCTACAGCGTTGACCGGACCCGAATGGCTATTGAACGTCTGCAGCGCCGCTCCCGTGCCAGCATCCCACAGCTTTATCGTCTCGTCGCCCGAGCCCGAGCCAGAAACTTACCATCTGGCGAGAAGCCCACGGTCAAGATCGAACCCGAATGGATTTCGAACGTTTCCGGCGATTCGCTCCCCATTCTCATCGTTGGCGCAAATATAAGCGCACTGCAATATACTTGAAGGGATGTCTGTTGGATCGCTGATCGGCTATATGACGCGTATCGCTTCGTATCGTGAATAAACTCTTATAAGCGGGATAAGTCGTATTTCTAGATAATTAGTCAGATGCGGATTCAACATGCAGGAAGGGTTGCGCGCTGGTGACACATGAGACAGAATTAGTGACGCTCGACGGTCTATATAATAGCAATGGACCCAGCTTGAGGATATCTGACACTGACAGAGAGTGTGAGGGTGAGGCCGATTTTCCAAGTCCTGATAAGTTTCCTACCCTTTCGAAGCGGGGTTGAAACTTTCAAACATCTATGTAAACTGCTAAGCTGGAATGAGCAAGGTGCTTGGCGCAGGGGTAAGAAGTATGGCAAAAATCATAAAGGAGTGTCTTGACAAATAACCATCATGTTTCCATTTCGGTTAGGGCCGCTTTCGCTCTCTGCTAGAAAATACTAAGCCTAGAATTAAACTCGAATTTTTTTGTATAAATGGCTCTATCCGTCGTTTAAGAGAAGACGCTGAGCTTAGTGACGATAAATACTATACTGCAAGTAAGTGACTATGACTTTAGAGAACATTAGATAGGGAAACGAAACGTCGTGTCACTTTAAGACCCAGTATTTGATATATTTGGCTCGGGTGTGGCACTACTACTTCCGCGAGGTTTCAAAGAGTAAAAATAACTTCCATAGGCGTCCTAGTACTCTAGTGCCAGATTTGGTTCCTCGGAGAATTCTCCTAGGGATGTTCTCCTGAGACTAACCTACTAGGAGAAAGCTTAACCTGTGTTACGGTTCGTCTGCGATCTGATTCAGTAGCGATTCTCGAACAATAAGTAGCAATAGTATTAGCCTGCTTTAAGCAATAGCCTAGGCAAAGTAGACGAGGATCTATACCAAAACGATATTAGGAACTCGATATTCTACCATACCAATAGCCTCATATGATCGATCAATTTAATCAACCAATTCAATCAATCACTGCAATCGCACTAATTGATAGCAACTCTATTCAAGAGGCAACCGAGATTACGACGACACTATTTGCGTCGAGTTGTACCCTCCATCAATCCTTAGTGTCTTCGGGTACATGGAGTCTTTTTGCCCTCACGTGTTTTCTTTTCAATTTCCTATATTCCTTAGATCTCTCTACCGTCCTCTTCGACACACGCACGACGCTATCCTGGTACTCCTCTGGTAGCCCCTGGGTAAATGTTGGTTTATAATTGATAAACACTACTTTAACCACTGTGCAGCTCGCTCTATTTCTGATCTCCTTAAAGAGCTTTCTGAAATGTTCCAGCCAAATTGCTGCCAGCTGTTTTTCCTCGATATCGTTGAAAATTGCCGTGTCGACGATAATGTATAGATGCTTTAACCCAGCTAGAACGGAGCCTAATAACGCGAACCAGTCGTTTTCGGTCCTCGCGCTCTGAAAGCGCACGGCATTGAGCGAGAGTGAGCGCTCGCTCAATAGGGTGGGATTCTTCTGCAAGATCTGGTAGACCAATTGCTTCACTACTTCAATAGTAGTGATCGGTTTTCGTTCGCCATGATCGAACGGCGGCTTATGCAAGACCCAGACCACGGGTGTTTCGGTCGAATCGAGGTGATCAATCACGTCTACTGCAAAGTTTTTGGCAAGGTGACGCGTTCGGAAGGATGAGCTGACAATGATTTGAGATGATGTAGGTCCTGTACCGAAGTCCCTCAGGCCGGGGGTGGCTTGGAGATTGCCTGAGTAGAATTTATCTCTTTGCCTGTGGCGGTTGCGTACCGATGTATAGAAATGCCTGATTTCTTCGGGTGATTCGAAAGGTGAGGCGTGGACAAAAGTCAGTATTTGAGAGAACTGGATCTCGCAAACGCGGCGATTAGTGTCAATTAGGTGGGCTTGGCTAAGAGCATTGTAGGCTGTTCCAATTAGAGCCCGATAAACCTGCAAGTGGACATAGGATTAAAGACTCACATTCCATGACTCTTTTCATGTCTTCCAATATTGCGTAAGTATCCTGCAGCCTCGAGTGCATTCGCCTTTGTTCGGCAAAGCTTAGACTTGCTGCTAATTGATCTATTTTCCGTGAAGCTTCTCGGATCTCATCGACTAGATCCTGAAACCGGAGCCTGAAAGGGCGTGTGATAGATGTAATTGCGTGTTTTATTTTCCCTTCTTTGTACCATTTCACTGCTCTTTGGACGAAGTTGATGATGTGTGCGTACAAAGTCCCTACCAAAGTCTTCATCAGTGGTGTGGGAAAGAGTACGGCTTTAAGCTCTACATGCGGTAGCGTATCTGCGATATAACACAATGCTTTTGATAGTTCGTGAAGAAGTTCTTCATGGTTCAAGACGCCCTGTGCCGGTTAGTCAATCTTCTTTAAGCTCGGACCCATTATCTATATGTGTACGCACAATGAAAACAAACTTGATAGCCCCCCAAGCCAGCGAGACGTATTCTATTCGATGCTTAGTAACCTTGTGCATTTAAAGAGGTTGGTGAAATCTTACCTGGATGGTGTTGGCTCAAGACATCTAGGATATTTCCGTAGAACAAGACCCGGTATGACAACTTAGATAGCCACTCTCTGGGCCTCGAATGCTTTGACGAATCGTATGCCTCTTTGGCTTCTTGGACAGCTTTCTGCACATCTTGTAATGATGTCTTCTCCTGAAGCCATATCCTTTTGCATTCATCTTGGGTTAGGTTTGACTCGAAGAAGCGGACGGCATGTCGAAAAGCTTCTTGGGCGGGATTTGGAAAGCTATTATGTGTTTAGTGATGCTATTCGCTTGTTTTTCATCTCAAGATCCTCCAATTTCTGTCATACTTACCTTGGATCACTGTCCAGGAAGTCCCATCCAGGCCCTGTTAGTGCGGTCAGGGCACTAGGTACTCCGATTTGACCAGTCATCGCCATGACATGCTAAGTAGGGACCATATATGTCGTGCAAGGAGAACCGAAAATAATGGGTATAAGAAGCCTGTCTGTCGATATATCGATCAATTTATTCGACTTTCCAACATCATTAGTAGATGTGCCAGGCTGTATTAGGGGGCTTGGTATGTCTTTCCAGTATGCGATACGGTGAACGCCTGTGCTATGATCGAGCAGGTTCTTATAACATTCTTTTGCAAATGACTGGGTTGAGAAGACCTGCCTGGGAACAAACACCAAGTGCGCTGCCCATTCCCGAGCCGCTTCGGCGAGTAGTTTTCTTTAGGCAGTCAAGAGAGGAGGAGGTTGTGGCTGTGCAAAATGCCCGTGCATGTAGCGCCCCACAATGGGCCTTGGCATCTTGTCTCTCGCGTCGCTCTGCTGTAGCCGCAATCTGACTCCAGCTCCACCAACATGACAATTCGGCAACATTCTAGCTCCACCGATGCAAGATGAGGATAGCCGCGGGCTGAGAACCTTCCAACGAAGCAATAGGAGCAGAAAGAGAGACCCTCCAGCAAAGGAGAGACCTGGGTACTGGCCACCACTGTATCCAGGTGAAGATCAGAGCAGCTTGGTCATTCGAGAACCTCCTCCACTCATTCCAAACGGATCGCCGCCTCAAATTACTTTCCCGCATCTAAGCTCTTTCGATACATCGATCGCAGTAGACGACAACAACGTAACTCCTGCTTCCCCGCCTAGTCAAATAGCACCAGGCCCAGAAGCGTTCGACGCACAAGGACCGCCTGAGGTTGGAGAGCGTCCAGATACTGCGCAAGCCTCTGTAGAAGACAACCCCTTCATTGAATGGCGGAGAAGGAGGGGTCCATCATATATCAAATCAACGATATCTAAAGACAATACATCTGCGGACCGGACGGAAGCTCAAGAGGGGCTCAAGTTCCTGGGGCAAAGATTCGGAAAACAGCAAGTAAGTGCGCCTTCTTTCTATGATCACCGCTCTACTATCTGGTATATGGTGCTGATTTCTTGCCGGTAGAACCACGAAAAAGTTGAATTTGGACTTTTCAATCGCTTTATCGATGCAGTCTCAGGACCCCGTTCACCAAAAATTCAGCGAACTCTAGGCTCTCTCACAATCCCTGACACGTATAAACCTCTTCGGACACGCAATGCTACTCAAAGGAGTAGCTTACCTCGCACTACTTATAACAAAATTCCGACTGTCCATTTGATACGTCCACCAAGCCCCTGGGTAGCCATGGATCATGCACATAGAGGCGATCATGGCGGGAGCGGGACGAATCCCTTTGCTATGCCTCAATCAGGAGGGAACGATTTCCGCGACGCGAAACGGAGAAAAGTCGACCTTCCTGCAACGTTGGCGCAACCTTCACTCGAGATGCTTTCAACCCCCCTGTTCAATTCAACTTCAGTATCGAAGCATGCCACTTCATCGGATGTAAGGTATTGGTTCTTGATGTTGTAACTTCTTACTCAAATGGTTCTTCTAGGATTTTGCATATCAGGATTTTATAGATGTGAGCAAATCTGCTTCTTCGCCCCGACCTTACCCGACCTCCACCATGGCTCCACCGCCTTTCACAGCCAGGGGCCAGTCTAGAATATCTCAATCTAACAGTGGAAATGGTGAGATTGCCTTGTTCATATTAGAATATCTATGTGTTACACAAAAGTTCCCCAGTCCCCGCTTCATCCTATTCGACTTAACAAGTCTTTTACAGCACCAATTCCGTATCCCAAAGAGCGTGACGGTAATATCTCTCCTCTCGGAAAGAGGTTCCTACAATCCAACAACCTGTCTGACGGCTATGGAGAACTACAAAATGACTACAGGCTGCCTGACTGGAGGGCCCGAATCTGCCAGCTCTCTGGGATACCTATCCAAGCGTCTGATGATCGAGTAATGAAAGGACTTGAAGCGATGGCAGCAGCATACAACACCATAGCGAAAGACAAGCTGGAAGCAAACAGCGCTTTAGAACCAACTTATCATGTCCTGCACAGGATCTATTGTGGAAGCAGCATGGAAACTACGGTGTTTCACGATGCCCCATACTACACGAGCCAAGCAGAATATCATACACACATGACTGGAGTAAAATCCGTTCCAAACGTGGAGCTTCATATAGTCAAGGAACCGCGTCTTTCTTTTGTTGTGTTCATGGAATACTCGTGTTGTCAAGTCATGTCTCACGGCGCGCCAAAGAAGAGCGATAACCCAGCACCGACGGGCCATAAAATACTTCCTGTATCTGAGGTCCTTTGCAAAGCTCTTAGCAAACTAACTTCAAACAGTCCAATAGTAGAGAACATGAGTCCTGCGTTCGAAATGCAGGATGAGATCCTTACTCCATATCTATGGGTATACCATTCGAGAGGATCAATATTGGATTCCAAGAAGGAGCTCGATCCGGAAGAAAACCTTCATTTAGACGCCTTTATGGATTATATCAACGAGTATTACGGTTCGGAGTTTGCGACCGTAGACGATGAACTTGAAAAGGGGATGATTTCGCCGCAATACCTAAAATATCCTTTCGTATGTATAAACTTCAAAGGTTTCTTCATATGAGTTCTAACGTGGTATGATTAGGTTCCTAACCAAGTGATCGTTCTCGCAGATCTAAAACAAACAAATGAAGATGCCGACAAATACGTTAGAGCGTACCTATTGAACCAGTGGCCAACATCAACCACAGTAGGCGGAGTAAAACAGGCTGCCATACTCTCTCTCACTGCATCATTTTGGGAGTACGACGGCGTCTTCCAGTGGTCTTCTTGTAATCTGGACATGGAAATGGATGATAAAGGACCACCAATACTAATCAATACACTGAAGATATACCCGATCGATTACGCGAAGAAGGGTCTAAAAGAGCAGCTGCGTATCAGAGGGCAGACGTTTTGGGATTTCCGGGTCAAGAACTTGGTATGTTACAATGGTTGGGACTTCAACCGGAAGGATTATATGGTGAGTGTTGGCTCATTCGTTTCCGCTATTGTCTATTACTGAACAATGATAGCGGGATACGAGATTCATGGTCGACCTGCAAACGTATAGATATATGCATCCAGACGCGTCCGCTGCCACGAAACGACTGAATGACACACTAGGTCCTGACAAGATGGCTTCCGAAAAACCACCAGAGGATAACTTTGTGCTCCTCCTCCCAGCTAGCGTCTATGGGTTTAACATGCTGGACAAGAAATGGAGTACGTACAGTAGTCACCAGAAAATGAGCCTGTAGTCAAGCACTCTAACACAGGAATCATAGTTAATTTGTTAGTTGACAATATGTCACCAGTTCTCTGGAACAAAAATGCTTTTGCAAGCCTCGCTCTAGACGAAGAGACAAAAGTGCTTATCACTGCACTTGTCACTAATAACATATCAGCCAACATGTCTGTCGATATCATGAGTGGGAAGGGAAATGGATTGATTGTGTTACTTCATGGGTAAGTAGCTCCTTCTTCAACCTTCTACATTCGTCTACTTACAAGAGATAGTGGCCCTGGCACGGGCAAAACCTTGACCGCTGAGAGGTAGGTGCTACATTGCGTTCTCCGACCCAGATGCGGCTGGCTAACATACCGTCCAGTGTCGCAGAGATTGTTGAGAAGCCTCTCTATCGCGTGACCTGTGGTGACATCGGAACCAACGCAGAAGACGTAGAAAAGGTAAATGAGAGGCCAAGTTGACTTTTGCAAAACAATTCCGAGACTAACACCTCTAGTATCTTACCGTTGTGCTTCATTTGGGGAAGATTTGGGACTGTGGTGAGTTCTTTCACACTTCTTGCATTCCGGTATATCCTCATAGTGACAGTGGTACTCCTCGATGAAGCCGAAGTGTTTCTTCAAGAACGCAGTCTGAAGGACTTGCAAAGAAATGCACTTGTCTCAGGTTCGCAGTAGCCCAAGTAATTGAGCCGAAGATTTTTCACTAACCCCGAGCTTAATCAGTGTTTCTTCGAGTGCTCGAATACTATGAAGGTAAGACTGATGGCATATTGAGCTCGAGGCGATCATAATGACCTTCCCTAGGTATCCTGATTCTAACAAGCAACCGCGTCGGCACCTTCGACGAAGCATTCAAATCCCGCATCCAGCTAGCCCTCCGCTACGAACCACTCAACCAGTCTCAGCGCCGCAAAGTATGGGAGAATTTCATCAACAAGATTGAAGAAGTTGAGTCTGATACAATCGACTCTGGTGATCTGCGCCGGCACATTGATCAACTAGCTACTTTTAGCATGAACGGACGGCAGATACGTAATGCGATGACGACAGCCCGCCAGCTAGCGAAGTACAAAGATCAGACACTGGATTTCAAGGCACTAAAACATGTTATTAATGTGTCGGGGAAGTTTGACAACTATCTCAAGAATGTGAACGAGGGGTTGTCCGATGAGGATTTGGCGAGGGAGGAGCGACTGCGATAGTAGTGTTTTTGTGGACGTGAGCTTTTGATAGTGAATATATTTCCACATTGTAGTTATACCATATAATAAATAATTATATGAGCACAACTAGTTTCAAACAACGTTTCAGTCTTGCTAGCGAACAAAAGATGACCGGAAAGAATCAACACAGGCGATAATTATTGCTTAAGTTACCTATTAGCGCACTGTCTCTTGTCGAACTAGCACTACACCCACCGACACTTGCTTCGGAAGTACTTCATATAATGTTCCACACCACATCTATAGTCACGGTGTGAGCTTGATGCACAATGATCATCGTTGCCCTAGTGATAGCGAAGCCGATCGTAACAAGAAAAAGAGAAAATAGTCCGAACAAAGCGACGTTCTGCCTGAAAGCCAATTGAAGCTGCCGTACAATCATCCATGGTATGGATAGGACTATAAATGTATTCCGTAGCTGAAATTTTACACCTTAGCGGCAACTTACTGAGACAGTTGATCACAATATCGCTCACAACACTAACTACAATGGCCTTCATCGTGCACTTCGCTGCATTAGGGAAGCGTCTTGCATGTATATCCTCAACGCCAACACTTTGGCACTCAAAGGGCAACGTGGCGAAGAAAAATAGGTAGCCAACCGCCGTTATCGCAAGTATACAACACCGTCGCACCTTCGAAGCCCACAGCTTATGTGGATCTAAGGACCAAATGAATATGAGGATAGTGAGCTTGATCAACCACATAGGGGTACGAATAAATGCGGAAATGACCACCAAGACGTGAAAACGTCGTTTCTGGCTCCTGGAAAATATCTCTAAGGGTGTTATTTCATTGGTAAGGGCTTCCCGCGTAGAATAGATACCATCCTAGTATAGCGTTATAATAATTTCGCCAAGGAGTAAAGAACCCATGCTAATGAAATAAGAAGATCATCCTAGAGGAATATTTTAAATACTAACTATCATGCATATGCTTAAAGTGAGAGAAATAAAGTTACAACTCCTGTAGCAACCCAAACAATGATCCTTTTAATCATTAGCGCTTGCGCATCGTAATAGCTACCCACTTGGTCTGCAGACGTGTTCAGAGGCATTAGCTACGATGCATTAGATCATAGTGTATATGTTAATATAGGTGTAGCTTCATCGGTTCAATGATGTTGCCTAGATAAATCGAGAAAACAAGTTCATCTGTCTGCTTTTATAGGCCGTCTAGAGATAATTGTTTTTGTAGGCAATTGCCAACTCGGTTGCCTTTGCCAAGTAGGATGGTCATCCGTTGTAACAACTGTGTAATTTCTGATCTATAAATCTTAATCTCACACAACATCCCAAACTCTACGTTAGAGCGGTGGATTGGTGTTATTAGCGGGGCTCTTTTTAGTGTTTCTTGATTCTATATAAAGCAAGGCTAGGATCGTTACACCTACTTCCAATCCTTCTTTTACATCCCATATGAATCAAACACCATAAAGTATGCTCAATAGCGGGAGAACAAACACTCCAATGTCAGTACCTTGACATAATTTTTAGGCTTAGCGTACTTAGCATATTACTATCTCTAGCAATGAAGGTACAATCGAGACGCAGCAATGGAGAAATATTTCATGTAGCCAATTGCCTACATTCACATATTTATGACTGGTCTAGATTTGTCCTTGCGATTGCAATTTCAACATCTTTTCCTGAGGTCGCATTTTTCAGAAGCAAGAGACGGGTACATATTCGAATACATTCGTCGCAGCGAGGCGGGAAATAGTACTGCAGACAAGCCTCAGAACCTTATGGTCAGACTTGCCGAGGAGGCAATATATTGACAATTTCATTTCACCTAGTAATCGCTCTAACCCAGATTATCATAACAATCTGGCGCCGCGGTCTCACAACCGGACTTGCCAGGCATGTCAATTCAATTAACTTGCTCTAAGTTTTTCTTTTCGTGTCAAGGAAGGCCCACATGGTGTTATCACCTACGAGTCTCCCTCTCCTGCTGGAGGGTGCTTCGATGAGGTGTCTCCAGGCTGAATAACAGTCTCACCGCCAATTCCTCATAAAATTGTGTTAAGTTTCTTTGACACCTCAATGACCTTGGAATGGTGCGCGTAGGAATTGCGGCAATAAAAGTTTGGGAGTCTTCATATAAAAATCCAACTTTTTGTGAGTTAGGAGTGTTTAGACTCGAAAGAGTGGAATGACGGGGCAGGATTAACATCCTGAAAAGAAGAAGGCAATGCATTGGGAGTTGTGTGCATATGTAGGGAGGCAGATAGTCGCAAAGTTGCTAAAGCAATTTAGCTGGCAAGGCTGAAAGAATGGCTAGCCCGGAAGGTATCTAGATATTGTGAAGTGGTGCTTGTGAAGAGTATGGGACAATGACCAGATGTTGATGCTCAAGGAGAGTGAATCCCAGGAGTGACGGGAAATCACTTACTCATCACGCTTTTCACCTTCCACGGCTGTGTCGTATCACAAACACATCCGTTTGCCTGGCAACAGGACCCTCATCATCACCACCATCATCACCATAGGCCTATGATAGCAAACTAAACCCAATCTCCCAAAACATGACTCTCAACCTCCCCTACCCTAAACTATCTCACCGTAATATCCCCATCAATAATCCATACTATATTTACACTAATTCTCCTACCTCTACCCTCAAAATCTAATGTGGTCCGCACAAGGAAGTCCTGTCAAGAAAGACCGCGACATTCTCCATTCCGCGTCGCGACCACAGCGCCATTCAAACTGGGAACCACAGACGCTGGATTGGAGATGGCGACATGGGGTGATACGCTCTGAAGACTTTGAAGATGATAGGAGGAGTATGAGTGTTTGGGATCAGATGGCGGAATATACTATTAAGAGACGGAATGAGGTGCGTCGACGGCGGAGGGTGCGGAGGGAGAGGGATATGGGGAGGTTTGTGGGGGTAAATGACGTGGATGAGGAAGAAGAAGAAGAAGAAGAGAAAGGGGATAGGAATACCATGGAGGAGAAGATGTTGGACGAGGGACACGAGATGATAGAAGTGGGCGAGAAGGATGCGGAAGCTGAGGAAACGCCGACGCCATCGACACCGCGAACACGTGCGCCGCAGAAGTCAGAGCTAGTCCAGATGGCCACATACAAAATTCACGTTCCAATGACAGAAGATGGCCCAGAAGAAGTGTGGAAACAAACCAGCCTCACCGCTATCCTCCGCCTCACATGCAAATCCCCACCTAGTTTCACCCCTCCTTACACACCCAAACACAAGATACGCTGCCCGCCCTTCCACCGCCCCTTCATCGACGAAACCCGCCCCACCAACCTACTCAAAATCACCCAATCCCTCCGAGCGCCACCAAAACAAGACGATCCGCCTATCCCCCCCATACCACACTCTTTCCACTGGTTTCCTGATGCCATTCCTGTGGACGCCATATTCCCTCCCGGCGTCCCTATGTCCGGAAAAGAGATCCTAGCATTCTATCCCCATCATCCGCGCAACAGAGGCGTCGGCCTGCGTCTCCTCGAAAATGACTATCGCGGAGCTGATATCCTCGCCATTTCATCCTGGTTCCGGGGAATCACGGAGCTGCCCATGCGACCGATGGACATGAACGACAATCTGCGAACCATTGGCCGTTCACACTATCGGGATCAGAAGTGGAGTCTATTCCGACACAAAGGTAAATCGTGGAGGAACATGTACACGGATGATTTGGCGCATAGCGAGGTCGCCCGGAAGCGCGGTTTGTCGGTACCAACGTTTGAGGAGTTACTGACGGGACTGAAATATTTACCCCACGGGCTCGATGCGCGTGGTTTGACAGCAGTACTGACATGGTACGTACAGCATCGGGGTTTATTTTCCCCGAGGCTAGAGTTTAATGTCTTGCATGCTCGCGATTTGATCAGGGTGCTTCGGATCCCCTTAAAGCCGTTTGGGAGGCGGAATTTGGATAAGATTGGTTTAACAGAGTGGCGGATGAATGGGGGGTTTGAGGAGAGGGAGATTGAGGTAGAAGGGCTAAGGAGTTGGGGTGGGGAGGAGGGGAAAGGAAATGTAGCGGAGTATTTGTCGTTGAGGTTGGTTCTGCTGGGACCATGGCTGAGTTGGGTGGGGTCCGGAAGGAAGGCGTTGGGGGAGTATTTGGATGGGAAGGAGAGGGAGATGGAAGGATATGGGGGTATGTAGGAGTAAAGGATGAGGTTAGAGTAGGTGTTGTGTTGAGGGAGGAAGTATGACACCATTTTCTTGTACAGATCCATGTTCTAATAGACAAGGAAGGACCGGCGGGAGGCGACCTAGTTTTTGATGCTGGAAAGAACGTATAGCAAGAGAGATTGAAAACAGTGGTAGGAACGAATCAAGGATCAACCCAAACCGGCATCGCCGCAAAGACAGCCAAAAGAGTGAAATAAACTGGCCCAGCGACCGCATCCCTATCTTGAACCCAATTCCACCATCCTTTCCACTCTTTCCCCATAAAAAATACCGTCCCAGCGATCTCGGCTACCAGCATCAACACCAAGGCTACAAAGCCAATAGCGGCGAGGTGAGAGGTCGAGGTCTGAGGGTGGAGTCGTCGGACGATAAGTTGAGCCGACTTGGCTATGGCGACTAGCATGACGGGCATCTCGAGCAACTGCGCTTTGCGGTCTCCAAGGATGGGTTGGAGAAATGGAACGCGAATACATCCGAGGGCTAGGCCAGATGTGAAGATGAGGGCGAAGTAGAGGATGGAAGATGATAGAAGGGTAAGCGCAGATTGCGAGGAACTAGCTGTCGCAGTTGGTGATTGTGAAGCCATGGATGTTTGATGAGTCTCGTTCTTTTGATTTCGTCAAGAGTTGCGGATAAAGTGAGACTATTGTTAGAGGTGGAAGGGCAAGTGATTTGTACTTAGTAGGGGCTTCATTGATCGGATAAGTATAGCAAGCCGCAAAGGGCGTGGAATGATGCTCTGATGAGCTGATCGCGGGTCATCTGCCATTTCCCCTCTACATAGACAACGACGACAAACAACAATATGGGTCTACAAAAGGACGACGATCAACTGCTGGAGCATCGTACAACACGACGAAAGCCACGATGGTAGATGTCTGGAGAGCTAAGAGTACGGTTGAAAGAAACCCACGTCAAGCTTGGCATTCGGACAATTCCACCAACTACGCCGCGTTCTGGGAATACTAAGACCACTAAGACAGCACAATGTGGCCGTGGGAGCAGATCGCTGCGTGATGAAAAAAGAACACTTGAGTGGATGGATATAATCCCATCAATAAGCCTTACGTTCCATTGGCGTTTACTTGCCTTCTATGAGCGGTTTGAGTGCTATTCCAAAGATGAGTCCGAGTCACAAACTTGATACGGAGGGAATTCGTTTGCGATGAAATGGAAGTTCGATAAGCCTTTGGAAAATTGCGTGTATACTCTGCATGAATATAATTGTACGCTATACACCAAATTTTGCACTCAATCTGCGTACCTTTTCTAAATATTCGGCTTCTACAAAGGCTTCCTTTCACCGGTCCAAGAGCAGAAGAACACTCTCGAACTCACATTCTTCAAGAAATCTAAGACAATGTACCGAATGAAAACGCGCACCTGGGATGGCGAATGCGGCCTAGTATAGGCGCAGAAAGGCCTCGATACTAACATAGACGAAATCTACAACTCCCGCCTTAACTCTCTTGGCGCCCAACTCTCGTCTACGACAAGTGCAAATGCCACTAGAATATCTAACTATATAAGGATATCGATTTACAAGGAATGGTGTACACAAATCCTGAAAGCAAGCACTTGATAACCATCCAGAAGTTGCTTGTACGGAAGCGGAGACTGTAACTCGACGCTTGGGGCCGGTATCCTAGCGAAGAAGTCGAAGACGTAATCATCCCGATCCAAATCAACCGAGGAGGTGCGTCCAAGGTTTCGTCCAAGGTCCAAGGGCCAGCGTCTGCCGAATTGGCCGACTGAGTGACAGCTGACGAAGATTGCTAATCAGATGCATATGGCGGCGTTCTTGAATGAAGGCTGAATTGGTGGCGCTGTTCAAGGGTGTGGGTTTGGAAGAATTTGGAAGAGTAGGAGGGGTGTGCAAAGAGCTGCCAGTTCGATAATTGCCATTAGAGAGAGGCATTAAATAAAACGTTGGAGGCACATTTGCATATGCAGGAGTCTAGGAAAGATGTTGTGAGGCTGATGAATGATAGGACGGATTTAGGGACATATCGTTATAAACTTGAGCAGGGGGTATGAGATACGCTCCCATTTGGGCTCTGATGTATGCCATTTACTAAGACACCACATATAATGCAATGATTGAAGCCTGAAAATGTGCTCGAGGTGGAGGGGTGATTATTTTACCAAATAAGGACTAGCGCGGTTTGTGATCTTGGCGCCCCTCCATGTTCACACAAATCTTTGAGTCAGATGCGTCTGCTCCACGACTTCGCCTGCCCAACGCTTCCCTTCACCTTCTCCACACGCATCCCGACAAATTTCCTGCCGAAGCGGAACCATTCTCACCATCTACAACGGCATTCCCCCCCTTACGGATATCACGAGCGACCCGAATCGACAGAATAGCCACACCAACTGGCCGCTGCAACAAGCAGGTCCCTTATAGCCCTTCCTTTCACCCAAATCTACACATAACACGGCAACCATGTCTCTGACGAATTGCCGGTTCTACGAGGAGAAGTACCCTGAGGTGGAGAGCTTTGTCATGGTCAATGTCAAGCAGATCGCTGAGATGGGCGCATACGTGAAGCTGTTAGAATATGGTGCGTTTGGTCATTTGCCGGCACAAAATCTTCACCATGTTCTATACCTGTGCTAACTATTCGTAGACAATATCGATGGCATGATTCTCCTCTCCGAACTCTCGCGCCGACGTATCAGAAGTATCCAGAAACTTATCCGAGTGGGACGAAACGAGGTTGTGGTCGTGCTCAGGGTGGACAAGGACAAGGGATATATTGATCTGTCGAAGCGCCGAGTGTCGCCCGAGGATATTGTCAAGTGCGAGGAACGGTATAATAAATCTAAGATGGTGCACTCGATTATGCGTCATGTTGCCGAGAAGACGAACACTCCCATCGAAGAGTTGTACCAGAGCATCGGCTGGCCGCTGAACAAGAAATACGGGCACTCGATCGATGCTTTCAAGCTTTCCATCACGAACCCCGATGTATGGAACGATGTCACGTTTCCGAACGATGTGGTCAAGGAGGAGCTGCAGTCCTACATCGGCAAGAGGCTTACGCCGCAGCCAACCAAGGTGCGGTCGGATATTGAGGTCACCTGCTTCGGCTATGAAGGCATTGATGCAGTCAAGACGGCGCTTCGATGCGCAGAGGCGAAGAACACGCCCGAAACCCAAGTCAAGGTCAAGCTTGTGTCTCCTCCACTATACGGTATGCCCCTCGAAAAAGGATGCATCCTAGCTGTGCTAACACGTCTGCAGTACTCACCTCGCAGTGTCTCGACAAGAATGCTGGTATCGAGACTCTCGAGACAGCCATCAAGGACATCGACCAGAGCATTTCGAAAGCAGGCGGAAGTTGCGTGGTTAGGATGGCACCGAAGGCTGTCACGGAGAACGATGACGCGGAGTTGGCGGCGCTCATGGAGAAGAGAGAGCGGGAGAACCAGGAAGTCAGCGGAGACGAGGACGAGAGCACGAGCGATGAGGGTGGCGTGGTCGAGGCCGACACATAAGCGAGCGCCCAGATGCGATGTGGTAAAAAACGACTCTGATGAACTGAATATGGACATCACCAAAAGCGAACATGGAGTTCGGTAGCAAGCCGGATACTGGCCGACGGGGAAAATGGATCATATAGCATAGTCGCGTAGCCTCCAGCAACGAAATACACTTCTAACAACACTTCTAACAATCCCCGCGATGGCCCACTGGAGCTGATGTGTGATCGTAGCGCGATGCATGGACAGGGGGTGAGGAGCTTGGGGCAGGGTGGGGTCAAGCAAAGTGGGAATGACGATGGCTTGCACAGCCAAGCTCTCTGCCGCGTCCAACTTTTGGACATGCGCCAACCTCTCTGGTGCCCTCCTCTTTTGTCTCCTCCTCATCTGCGACCTCGGGCTGATCTCTGAACCCTCTATTCTTAATTATTCGAGGCGTTGTTGTCCTCACCTCCGTTGATCACCCTCACGGACTTCTGCGCCTCACGGAACTTGCCCAAGCTCCGGCACAGCAACAATGGTGCGATGGAGCAAGCTGTTCAATGCCGATGGCCACGACCGGCGTCACCACCTCCAGGATGAGATGCGATCGCGTTAGTCGTCTCTTTTCAATCTGCTTCAACATGAATCTTCTGACTTGGCTGCTCCAAGTGCTGCCCACGCGGCGCGACCACATCCCTCCCCCGCCCATCCCCGCTAAGGAAGTCACAAAGGTGGCTCTCCGTCTAAAACACCAGATCGAGCAGGTGATCCCATGCGAAATGCAGGAATCAAAGGTCACCATGCCGCACAGCCCCATTATCACGCATGCCGTCGTGGAAACCGCCAAGCAAGCGGGCGGCGAGGAGTACAGAGCAGTTGTAGTCTACTGCCTCCTCGTCGTGAAAAAGTGGTTTAGGAGACAGGCACTTCTCGAACTGTGGGACGCAGAAATGCACGATGTGAGGGCCGTGGCTGCTGAGATGATCGCGAAACGTATCATTGAGGCCGAAGAGGACATGGAGTATCTGCATGAGGAAGTCCTGCTGAAACGCTACTCTATCCTGGTCGACGGCGAGGCTTCCATACCCGCCAACGCCATTGAGCGCGCTGTCGACCTTCATGCCCTGACTGTCATCGGCTCGTCGGGGTACCAGAAGTGTATTTCGTACCTCTGGCGAGGCTGGCTAGTCCAGGACGACGAAGACCCTGCGCGCTTCGTCGACTACAAGGAGAAGACCAACACTGACTACTGGGTGCATCTCGACCCGGACCGCATGCGAGTCCCTCTCTACCAGAACACGGTGCAGATCGCCATGTCGCTCATCTTCCTAGCCCTGTACACCGGCGCCATCAACACCATCAATCCCTCTGGAGACCTCGATGTCGTCGAAGGGCTCCTCTACGTCTTCACGCTTGGCTTTGTTTGTGATGAAATCAGCAAGTTTTGGAAAGTCGGACGATGGTACATTGGGTTCTGGAACGTCTTCAACAGTACCCTCTACTCCCTTCTCACCACTTCTTTTGTCCTTCGCACGATCGCTCTCGCACACGCGCCTCTTCACCCCAAGCGCCTGCACTTTAACGAGCTTAGCTACAACTTTCTGGCTTTTACAGCACCGATGTTCTGGATGCGTCTGCTGCTCTATCTAGACACCTTCCGCTTCTTCGGCGCGATGCTTGTAGTCCTGAAAGTCATGATGCGGGAATCCCTGATCTTTTTCGCGCTGCTTATTGTCGTCTTGGTCGGTTTTTTGCAAGCATTCATCGGCCTAGATCTTGCGGATTCGAAGCTAGAGGACACCGGCTTCATAGTCCAGGCTATGTTGAATGCTATCATGCAAAGCCCGGAGTTCGAGGGTTTTGATAAGTTTGCGGTAAGCCACCATGCATCCGACAAAGTTGACTTGAAAGACGAGAGGTACTAAGCTGATGTTGATAGCCCCCATTCGGACTCATCCTCTATTACATCTTCACGTTTGTGGTCATGGTCATTTTGCTCAACATCCTCATCGCTCTCTACAACTCCGCCTACGAAGACATCACCGAAAACGCCATCGACGAATTCATGTGTCTTGTAAGCCCTCCTTCCTTCCTTCTTTCCCCTCCTTCCCTCCCTCATTCGCTTCCTTCCCTCCTTCCCTCCCTCAACCCCTTCGCTCCCAACCTACTAACCCCACCAAGTACGCCCAAAAAACCATGCAGTTCGTTCGCGCGCCCGACGAAAACGTCTTTATAGCGCCCTTCAACCTCATCGAACTCCTCTTCCTTGTCCTGCCTTTCGAATGGTGGCTCTCGAAACCCCGCTACGAACGCCTCAACGACATTGTTATGGGAATCATTTACTCCCCGCTTCTCATTATCACTGCGTTCATGGAAACCAGGCAGGCGCATAAAGTTAAGTATAATAGACATAGAGGCGAGGATGATGATGATACGGTTGAGGAATGGGAGCAGGTGCTTGATGAGTGTGATTTTGAGGCTGATGGGTGGGATAAGAAGGTCAGGGCGAGTAAACCGAATGTGGAGTTTGATACGGCAGTTTTGGAGGTGAGGAAATTGCAGCAAGAGGTGGGGGAGTTGAAGGAGTTGCTGCTAGAGATGAGGAGGGGTGGAGGATCTTGGGGCAGTGATACGCTGAAAGAGAGTAGGGTGGAGGAGAAGGAGGAGTTTGGGGAGAGTAGTGAGAGTGTGGAGAGGGAGTGATGGCCCTGCTGTTTTTAGATTGTCGAGGGCGAAGAGTGGGTACATGGCGCTGACGGTATTTTAACTAATGGCTGGTATGCTTTCTTAAGGAAACAGTTGTTGCATAGTCCCTGCTTGTATGGGTTACGCTGCGAGTCAAGTACAGTCTTGTTCCTAGTAAATATATCCTTATACAATCCCCTACTCATCTTGTATTCAGACTAGAAGCTATTGTTAACATTGCCGTGAACATCGTATCTACCTACATGTCTGCCACCCTGCCTTGAAACGAGCCAAGCAAACAGGCCTAGAGTGACATGTGAGAAGGGCTATTACTCCATGTCTCAGCCAGGCAATGTACTTACAGCAGGAAGTCGCATAGGGTTATGCACTTCCCTGCCGCAGTGACTTGCAAAGCTGTTTCTGGGCAGAAACAGTACTAGATGTTCTTGTACCTGCCATTTAGTTTCAACACCTACTCTACCCTCCTGGGCGTCCACCTTATTATCCATTAGAGATATTGCATCACAACATTATAAAGCCTAACCAAAGTTCATAGCAACATTACAGATCCATAAAACCATCAAAATTAGTTAATGTTTAAACAAAGCACATATTAAGGAACAAGATTTTTCTCATGATAGGAAGAAAAGAAAAACATAAATAAGTGGGTGTGTTACGTCAGCCTCCAAAGAGAGATGTCAAACCTTGAAGTATGTCAGTACATGCTTCCGTCTCGGCCTCCATCTCCCCCGCCATCACTCCTCCTCCATAGCCTCCTATATTATAATATCCTGCACTATAACCTAGTATACCCCGCTCGCACCTGTTCTATCTCCCGCCATTGTCACCTCTACCATATTTGCCGCTCTCATGTGTGTTTTCCTAGCGATAACCTGTTTCATATCCTGGACCCGAGTACACTTAGCTAGAATGCGTAATCCGACTATTAAACCCCCTCTTGAAGCTTAAGGCGAGGCTGTAAAATTTTACGGACTTGCTCTAGCTCAACTTTTCGATTTTTCTCATCCTATTCTCTTCTAACGGGATCTGCGGAATGCATGAAGAGCTCCATAATTTAAAGCCTTTTTCCCGATAGAGATAAGTAGATCTGGGCTATCTGTAAACAATTTCGAGAGGACATTTAAGGAAAAGGCAGCTCCGCAACATAGAAGCCGCTGTATGGTTTTGAAGTCCGCTTTCTTGCGGAAATAGACCTCGTTAATCCAGTAGCTTAAAGACCTTTAGCTGTTCGAGGGGCAACATCCAATTTCTAGACTCGCAGTAGCCCAACACACCGTACATACACCCCATCTCCAAGAAAGGCAACGTAGTACGTTTTGTCCCTCTGAATCTTGCAGCGGAAGTAGCTTGTCCTCTAAGATGGCCCCATTTGACGTCTACAGCTCGAACAGTCTCTCCTCTGAAGGGTGGACTACCACATCCATGAAGGCATCGCGGTCGTCCAGATCAGTAACGCGCAGATCTGTACCGTTATTTGATAGAAGTTGGGCATACTTGAAGGTTTAGGCATGGAAAGCCGCGTGGAAGGCACTCCGCCCTTGAGTGTCTTGCGCGCATCTAGGTGTATCGCCTCCACAATGATATTCGTCCAGAGAGGGGAGGACGTCCTACTCAATTCACTTGGACGAGTTAGTGAATGCAAAGGCTGGCCCACTGCTCGAAGGTTCACTGACAGTGTAGAATCTTCATCCAACACCCTAAGGTACAAGGCCTTTCCAACTGATCCAGGGGATAATATTTGATACCCCTAGAGCACTAATTGAGAGTGGCGATCCAACAGGTACTAAACAGTTTTCGGATTGCTGAAGTACACTGATATACGGAGAGTGGACGGATTGTCCACACGTTCATAGCCTTCCCAAAGCAAGTATTGGTAGTGCAGATCACATATTCCCAAGTCTCAGACGTTAGGTCGCAAGGGCGCTTACGGCAACCACTAACCCCAAATGCATGCACTGGAATGGCCTGAACACCAGGTAATCATAGCAAAGGATCCAGTCCGCCTGGTTTAAGAAGATAAAACACCCTCTCAAAAAATAGATATATTCAAAATGTTGATATGACCCATGGTTATGACGGTAAGGCACTGTTTAGAACCCATAAATCATCAGGTCCGCCCAGCACCTTTTTTTAACATCTCGTAATTGGAGAATAGTACGAACGCTCTCCAGATAATATAGGAGGATTGCGTAGCGGAAAGTACTCTAAAAAATCTCAAGACTTCACCGAACTACCTGTTTCATACATTTCGAGACGCCAACGCGGTTTTGGAGTGAAGAGAGTTAAAAATTAGTGTAGAGGTGGATTTAGGTATTTTTTTGTAAAGCGGCTTGTTCACTTCAGTGTCTGTCTGGATCTCTTTTCTTAAAGCGGGGTTTCGTCGCCGTGGTGATGGATGGATAGTTGGATCGTTGCCTTGGGGGGGAAGTTTTATCGTCGGATTGGGCGTGAAGCACTTCGACCCACTCCCTACCCTTGGATTATATTTCGCGTTAGATGACGAGAAGCAGTAAGGGAGAGGGAACCGATCTACTACAGAGATCGTTGCTTGGAATCGACCGGAAATTAATTTTGCGGAGAAACCCACTTTCGGAAGTGCAGGAAGATAAAATCAGTAATGAAACAGCTAATAGCTAGGTTATAGGTAGGGTGTTTTCCGTAAGATCTAACCCGAGTGGTCGAGTCATTGAAAGCGAGAGGTTGTGAATCCCCTTCGTGAGGGATGTTACGCGATCAGTTCGAGAGATGCTGACGCCGGGTTTTCTTGCGCAGAATATTTGAATTCGCCTAATTTAAGGAGGACTTATTAGCTCTTATTGTGAATGTGGTTATACCTGCAGCCAAAGAGGTTTACAAAGATGACGTGTCCGCTCATTGGCTGGTGGTGACAGTTGAAGAGGATCCCAAGGATGACGAAGTAATCTGCAACGAGACCCTGTGGGGTAGTCGAAGAGCACGGAATTCGGCTGTTAATATGCGGAGAAGTATACTCATTTCGTAGGCCCCCAAACCCTCACTCCACCATACCTACGCTATTCTTTAAGTGCAATGACCAAATTCCAAGCGGATCGAACTTCGGCAATCTTCCCTTTACCTGCGAAGGTGAACGCGACCCAAGAGTTAATAGGTGCAGAAGTGCCTGGGCTTAAGAGAAAGGATTCCGCCGTCGGTGGTCGCGACGTTGATCACAATAATTTTGGTAATCCGATTGATAATAAACCACCAGCAACTCAAGAAGAATGGGAGGAAGCTGTTGCCTTCTTGAAGACGAAGCTGCCCGAAGTAGCAACATTGAAGGCTTTAGTGGAGATCGACCTGACGGGCGACAACCCAAGCATCTTTGTCGATACTCGTGGAGACACTCCTACGATATCTGAGACCTGTCCTGACGGGAAGCCACATGTCACTCTACGCATGCGCCCGCTGACTACGCTGCACTTAGGAGAAGGATTGATGGACCCACGATATGCTACCCATTTCAATCAGATCCAATCGGCGGGAGATGTAAGGCTAGGTGTGAAGTTTGCAGATCTTCTTTCACCAATGCAGCCGAGTAGCCCGCCCGACTCGAACACCTACAGCCACCTTCCCGAGCCAACGACCGACGTCGATCAAGTAAAGCGAGACCTTCGGGAGTTTGGCTATGGGTTTGTGAAAGATGCATTAGCTCCCGAACAACTTGCAGCATTGCAAAAGCGACTCAAGGGCCAGGCCGACGGAGAGGTTGCGGCAGGCGTCGCATACTTCGACGGAGGACCGAAAAAGCCTAATCAGAGGATCTGGAATCTGCCAAACAAAGGCCAGGAATTCTTAGACTTGCTAGAGCATCCCTTAGTCGAGGAGTTCATGCCAGACTTCTTAGGCGATGGATACCACCTCAGTAGTTATACCGCCAACATCAACCGACCGGGTAGCAAGGGAATGGGCATGCATACCGACCAGATTACTATTAACCCAGCTATCCCGCAATACCCGCTCGGCTTGAATCTCATGTGGTTCCTAACTGATGTCAATGAAGAGAATGGCGGGACGCGTATTCTTCCAAAATCTCACAACGGCCTCGTTGCTCCGGATAATATGTTCGACATCACAGGAACTACATTTGCATCTGGCCCAGCAGGTACATGCCTTGTTTTCGAATCCCGACTCTGGCATGCTACTGGGCCGAATGTAGCGAAGGAGGGAGAACGACCAGTCATTCTGCAATTCTATGTCCGCCATTTTGTGAGGCCACAGGAAAACTTCACGTTGAGTATTGCGACGGACGTCGAGGCAAAATTAGGCGATGCTGCAAAGCAGGCGCTGGGGTTTAGGGTTACAGCGACGCTGGGTGGTGTGGAAGGGTTTAGGCCAGATGGGACGCTCGTTCAGAAGCCAGAGAAGCCGGTTGTTGCGTTGAAGGCTGATGGGAGCAGACTTTGAGGATACTGTGTTGACACATAACAATTCTTTCGGCGATGATTGAACCTTCAGACCTTTCGGATTCAGACAGATGCATATCTTTCATTAAATCTTGTTGGCAATGACTTCCACTCCTTTTCGATATCGCCAAGGTCTTGGCAGACTCATGCCACTCAAGCATCTCACCTCATTGCCCTACTCTGCTCTCGCGTCAATTTTCATGACCTCATTCGCATCAAGGTTCTCGAGAAGGCTTAGGTTAGTCTTAATGCCTCCGTATGTTCTGTCTGTCCACCTAGCAGGATGAGAAATTGCGCCGAAGACTGCAATTGCCCTTCCCCCATCCCATCTCGTTATTTAGATCGCCTTAGACCTCCTAATCACAACCATTCATATCAATCACAGATCGAGTAACTCGCAGTCCCTGTGTACATTCCGGCCTTATAGCCACTCGCCATTGCTGTTGCACTTAGATGTCGGGTGACCGCCAAGTAGCTGAAAATGCCACAGTCCGTCATGTCCTCAGCCTTTTCGCTTAGGCGAAGCTTGCATTCGAGGACCGTCCGCCTTCCGTGGAGTGAACTCCATGTGGCGGCATGAGTAGAATCAATGCTTCCCTACAAATGCGAGAGTTCTTGGCCCTGGTGGAATTCGTGGTTCGATCATTTTGCAATCGTATGATGACATGGAGATTCAATGCACGAGAGGTACAACACACCCCCATTTCCTCCATAACATGAAGGTCCTCACACTTACCACTTCAATGGCGACGTACACTAATAGTTTGGGAACTATATGGGGCACTAACCCACCGGCTGCTGCATCCACTCCTTCTCTGTTAACGAAGTCTCATGCGTCAGCAACTGCATCGGCGCTTCAGTCGAAAGCGACGACCAGCTACTACTCCTTCAAACTCCCGGCATTCACAACTGCAAGCAATCTCGGTCCGCTTACCTCGAGTTTAAAGTTTCCTTCAGGATGCTACAACAATCTCTTAGACATGAACCGGGACGGGCTAGGTCCTTCCGGAGCCTGGAAAACAATAGGATGTGCGATGAGCACGTGCTGTCCAGGTGGGAATTTCTACACTGAAGATTGGGGGTACATGACTAGCTACTATTCCCCGGGAATATGTCCCTCAGACTACCAATCCTGTGATCCTCCGACACAAAGCGGCTTGATACTGACTCCGAGAGAAGGCGAGAAGATTGTTTTTTGTTGTCCAAATAGTAAGCGCATAATTCTTCTATTGACACTATATTTCTCTTTGACCTATCCTAGATTGCATATGTCCGAATGATGAAGACATGCCTCTGATCATACCTGGAGGCTGCGGCAGCCGCCTTACAATTTCGAGCGAGACCACCGTGTACACTGTTATGAATAACTTACACGATCAGAAGCCGCAAGAAACCCTGCCGTATGAGTTTGACACTGGGTTCACCGAAGAGCTTCAAATTGCGTATCCAATTCAAATTCGTCTTCCTGCAACTCCATCATCCAGTACAATCATACCTAACAGTTCGGGTACGTCGATCGCGAGCCAAAAGCCGGTACTTTCCACGAGTGCAATTGTCGGCATCGCATTCGGGGGCTTCTTCAGTATCTTCACCACCTGCTTGATTACTTATTTGGTTCTAAAAAGCCGTAAGAAACATCGATGGGGAGAAGACCAGTCAAGCTTGCCCGACCAAAATATTGACCAGTACTTGTACTCCGAAGGACCTAGCCAAATGCCAGAAGTATCACGCACGCCGATGACAGAGGAAAATCACCTTCAAAACTCCATGGTCCCACAGAGAAAGCCGGTGCCACAGCAATTCTGGAGTTCTGGGGTAGGTCTCTAGTGTACTCAAGTTGCAAGTTTTACTAAATATTCATAGGGTGCCCCGTTCGAGATGCCATCGACGTCACCACAAGATGCGGTCGAATTGCCTACGGTCTTAAAATAGACTGAAATGTAGTGTTGGTGGAGACGACAAATATGTGGACATTGGGTAACAATTGTGCACCAGATTCGGTATTCTTGATTTGTTGAATAATTCGTTCCACCTTGACGAGCGTTTAAAAATTCCACCCTACGATAATTGGGCTCTCTGCATGCTCCTCCCGGTTAATTTTCGCTCCACTAAGTCATGGTCCCTAAGACCCATTACCGCAGATTAGACCCAGGGTAGGTCAATTCCTTCACTTGCGCCTAACTGAGCTTGGCCCACAGAAGCATCAACGCAAAACGATCGGCTGGAAGGTTAATAAAATTAGAAATGAATAGCGAAGTATCTTCACCCGCAGTCGGAATCTTGGTCGCTTCGAAATGCCAATTCAGATTACCCACCCAAATCCAAGGAGGGCTCCCAGCGCCTTCGCCAAAATTCTAACCCGAATGATTAGCCAACCTCGCCGTAGTCCGCTATCTCTGTCATTTGTGGATCACATCACATACCGGAGAGTAAAATAACGTCGATGCGCTAGGATTCCCACATTTGAATGCGTAAAGTGGCGGCGCTTGCGGTCTCCCGGACTCCGCAGATGGGTCCCCGAAACTGCAGTGACCTACGGGCGATTCCATGGAAGTGTAGTTGGCGGGATCATGTGCGAAAATCCCGCATTTGCTGTAGTCTGACACAAAACGGCCGGATGCGGTCAGACATCCAACTTTTGCAGCAGGAGAGGTTGTTAGTTCGCTGCCTTTGACGACGAAGATGTTGCCCGTGCCAGAAAAGTCGGGATTTAGTGTGGCGCAGAGAGCGGAGGTGGCGCTGAAGAGAGCGAGTAAAAGAGGTTTTGGGTAGAGCATTTTGATGGGGGCTAAGATAGAGACAGTTTAAGGGCACGAAGGTTGACGAAAAGTGTTGCACCTATATATATGAATGGCAACGGTACTGCCTCCTAAGGCGGAAATGTCTACTAACAGGGACCTAAAAATCAACTAGTTGTCGAGTTCTCAACATCAGTCGTATCTTTGATGAGGTTCGGATCCTCTAAGAAGCATTACCGGGTTAGGAAGTTCAAAAAATTCCGGCAAAATCGCATTACCCTGACCAGGGCCAATGGTAATTTTAAGATCTCGAGTGAATTCCTTTCCGGGAATCATTCCAAATCCTGCAGTGCGTGCAACCTTGTGCAATACGAACAGTCGCCTTTTATCCTGTTCCACATGGTCTTGCATGCATTTAAAAAGAACCTTGCCTGGCGATCTTTGTTGGATGCATCTCGTGTTAACATTTGATAATTGTTCCCAATGAGCAATGAATCATGCGCTAATAACGTAATTACCGCGCCAGTTCGCGAACGAATTTCTATCGTTGGATAGCAAATTGCATTTACGAATATAAAGGCGCGAGGTAGCTCGTGCCCTTGGACTTGATGGTTTATTCTCTAGCTGTGCACAAGACCTAAGAGTTACAAATTGCTGACTTGCGTAACCACATTCTAGGCTATAGTAAAACGTTAACAGGATACATGTTCCTATCTAAAATCAGATCGTCCCCAGTTCTGCTGTAAAGTACTCCAAGATGTGATACTTTAACAATGGCTCTCTCACGTACACGGCTGATATGAGTAATAACAAGTATAAAGGTGTACTAGACTCTCCAGCTTACCTAGGTGCTACATGCCTCGTGGCTGAGGCAATGCGTTAGCATGTCTCCCGCTTACTTGTCACCTTTACTTCTGATTGGAGTCGAAGTTGTACACCGCCCGGGATTTAATGACGCGGGAAGAATTTACGCAGCAATGAACACGAAAAGAAAGGTGTTTAAAGCTTGCAAGTATCCTAATATCTTTGTTTTGGTGTCAAGGGTGGAGGTTTTCACTTTACAGTACGTGACTCAGCTGGGTCCCTAGGGCAGCCCCGTTAATTGGGAAGGATCAACTAAGTGCTCACTTAAAGATAGCAAATCGAAAATGTGGAATAAATTCTTCTCACAACCATGATAGCTTTCCAAACATGTGCCCTCAGAGCCCTTATATTCCTCTCTCTACGGGAAAGGCATCACCATATTAGGCACCAAATCCGTATTGACCTCTTCGCCGCCAAAATCCTTTATCTGATGAGCGTCCTGCTCTCTTTGACAAACAAAATAGCAGACGCTCTTGAAGAAGCTATCCCGCAAATCGTCTCCTCGCTCCTCCTTGTCATCAGTCTTAGGAACCATATCTACGCCACTGCTACGGACGTTCGGTCCAGCGCATAGGTCAATCCCTGTATCTTCGCTACACTCTAAAAATATGGTGCTCTTGATAACACCACAGATCTTGCTCAGCTTTTTATAAAGGCAAGGTACGTAGAGTGGCTAACTTGCTTTTCTAGCTCACTCGTTTACTGCCTACGTTACTAGTAGAATAAACAATATATTGTTACTTCTAACTTAGTTTACTTATGTTCTTACGCCTTGTACACAACGGTAAAACAGAACCTCCGTCAACATTAGACTATACAATTCTATGCTCTGCCTTTGTAAGACTAACATAGGTTATATACTAAAGTTACATACTTGTCACTTACGTTTTAATTCTGCATAGTTAATAAATACCTATTTTATTACGTTATAATTAAGAAAAATTTTAAGAATAAGAGGATCAGAGCTAAATAGAGATTAATACAGATTTACTTTATTTCTCCTTAGACGCTCCGCAGATAGTTGTAAAAACGTGATGCCCCTGGTTACATTTCTGTGATTGGCCGGACAAACACTAGAGGAGCCTCTAAGCTGTGGGATAACTCGAGTGAACAAGCGCCCCAGCCTGTCTCGCGAGCTCATAGTCGCATATTCCTATATTTTGCGCGGGCAATCTTAATATCGATGATTATTGGTTCATTTGAGTGATTATTCGCAAGAAGCCACATTTTCCCTACTTCGCTTCGTGGCGAGACTTGGCGAGGCTGGATATCTTGTGGTGATCGTTCGTGAAACTTGCTCGAACGCCTCGAGCTTCCCATTAGATCTTCTCGTCCTCGAAGAGCGCGACTGTATCACCTGTTCTAGGGGGATAATTATCATCCTTATTGCAACAGTAGTAGCCCTTACACTATACTACAGTCGGTGGCATCCCGGTGGCATTTTGGATCCACCCTTCCTGCTAGATGTACACGCTTCCCTTATCTTGCCTGAGTTGGGCCTTCACCTTCTCTACAGGCTCCCTTTTATGGGGTCCATGTCGAGATACTCGAGTAGGTTAGCCTACGTTAATGGATCTATGAGTGACTTTTTATCCAGCTACTCCATGGTGCCAACGTTCGACGTCTATTTCATGGTATATACTGCTCACGGATACCTACAAACCTCCAGATAGAGTACCTTGGGTATTATAACAAACTACATAAGTTTCTAGAGCCGCGTGATGGTTACACCAAATACTATTTATTAAAATTTGCGTATTGGGTTCATTCGGGGCTCAGCCAACCTCGCCGCTTTAAGAATGCCATCATGGATGAGTTGAATAAATCAGCGCGTAAATTAGACAAACTAAGATGAGATGTTGACTGCGACGACCGTGTGGGGCTAATGTCACACATGATTTGGGTGATCCATGTACGGTCAACTCCCGAGCCCCCGCCTAATATATAACCTTGGTAGTATGTGGTTCTAGATTAAACAACGTTATCAAGCATAGCTCCCAACGACATATATAGGAGGGGCTCCACTCTGAGATGTGGTGGTAGGACCATGTATGTAGGAGTTGCGGCCTAGGTTATCTCACAAGTTATCTGGGTTTTTCCATTACAAGCTTTCGCTTCTCACTAACAGTAGCAGGTACTTCGTCCAATATGCAGTGGAAGACTCTCGCCCTGGCACTTCTCGTGGAGTATGCCTTCGGCCAAGGGAGGATGCCGATGATGCGTTTCCAGTGCTCGCAGCTCGTCGTGGACCGTTTAGACCCTCTGGTCAATCCCGGCTCTGTACCATCACCACATCTCCACCAAATCGTCGGAGGTAATTCTTTTAACGCTTCCATGGACCCGGCGAAACACGATCTCCCCACAGCCTCCACGTGTACCACTTGCACGTTCTCAGAAGATTTTTCCAACTACTGGACCGCGGTTCTATATTTTCGAGCCCGTAACGGAACATTCAAGCGCGTGCCTCAAATCCCGAGCGAGGGTCTCAAAGGCAGTGGCGGCATTACAGTGTACTATATTGCACCGACCAATAAACAATCAAATGTCACCGCCTTCAAGCCTGGCTTCCGCATGCTGGTTGGAGACGCCTTAGCAAAATCTCCAGGCGCGGCACGCAAGGTGTGCCATCGTTGTATGCCAGCATCAGGAGATAAGAGTAATATCAATTGCGGATCTCCGGACGCCCAGACTCTTCCCAAGGAAATGTGTGCCGGCGGCATACGTTCGGTCATTACCTTCCCCACCTGTTGGGATGGCAAAAACTTGGATAGTCCTGACCACGAGAGCCACATCACCTATGCAACAGGATCAAAAGCCAACGATGTAGGTCCAACGGGTAATTGCCCAACGACCCATCCCGTTGTCATACCTCAAGTGATGTATGAAGTCATGTGGGACGTAAGTATTATCATTCCCTCTTCCTTCCCTTCCTCGCATGTAGTGGGCCTCAATTTGGGAGTTTCAGATTTTGCTATAGTGGCTTGTTAGGGGCTCCTATGGGCTCGGCTCAATCTCACCAAAGCACCAAATACAGTCCTTTTGCTAACTTAGTGTATAACGCAGACCCGACCTTTCAATAGCAAGGACTTGTGGCCCGTAGATGGCTCTCAGCCATTCGTATGGAGCACTGGAGATCGGTAAGTATCTGTCTATCTCCCTAAACTGATTCGCGGCTGTATTGCGACTCTAATACCAGGGCGCAGAAATGGATACTCGCAGCACGGGGATTACGTCTTCGGCTGGAAAGATGATACTCTCCAACGTGCCATGAACGCCCGTTGCGATGGCGACACCTGTAAGGAACTAAAGATTCAAACCGCGGAGGAGGCAATGAAGTGTACTAAGACGCGGGTTGTCAAAGAGGACATCGACGGCTGTAAGTTTGATCCCCTAACTCTCTTAGGGATATCTCACGAGCCTGATCTGACTGACCACCCTGCAGGGCTCACTACTCTCCCGGGCAATACCATGTTATTTTAGACCGATTTTTCATGAGAGTCTAATATCAGGCAGTTAGGAGCGCGCAGTATTAAAGTAATGCGTTTAGACGTATGCGTGTTTAGAATAATTGTAACCTTTCATAACTAAGATCCTTCTGAAGATAGAAAAGTCAAAAATATGTTATAAATATGGTAAGTTAATAGCTAAGGGCCCGCGATAGCCAAGAGAACTATGGCAAGCACGATACCAATCAGTGAACTTCGCGATGAGTGGACCGAGCTCGTAAGAGAGTGGGCTGAAGATCCATAAGTGGCTATCTACAATCAGGAACTTTGGGGATCAGTCAGCTGCCGCGTCGATTTGCGTCTGGTCCTTGATTTCTCGCACGAAGGGAAAGAGCGATGGGGCCACGCTCCAACAGAAATAGGAGAACATCTTGGGAGCCCATGATTTTACGTCGCAGTTATGCTCGAAAATAATTCCCCGAATGAAATTGTCGGAGCGTATGTTGGGTTGGCAAAGGCTAGGGGTGGAGCAGTGAAGTGCTCAAATTGGTAACTCTTGACCCTCTGTAGTAGGTGTTTCAGTGCCCCATTTCGTTCATACCTGATGCAATTTTGCTCTCTCCTAACACCATGTATTGCGCCGCGTGAGACGAGCTCCATCGCGCAAATCTTCTCCTAGCACCTAAAACCGTGGTGTTTAATAGAACGTAACTGTTACTATTAGTAGTGTTTTTTATGCGTTACTGGCGGCAGTAGAGTTTTGCTCGTTTGGATAGAGCAGATTTAAACGGCCTTGCAGGCGGTAACAGTTACTGCTAAGTTAATTAAGGGCAGAGCTACTGTTTAGTATAGTTACTGCAGGAACTAGTGTTTCTAGAGGCTCTAGAGAACTATCTTGCTACTACAGTTGCGGACATTATTAACTCTAAGTAAACAAGATAAATATATAGTCTTCTAGAGCTACAGAGCCTTGATTGGAGGGGGAAATAGCTTTTTATACTTAATTGTAATTGTTTTTAGAGCCTTTCTAGAGCACCTCTCGCACTTTCAGCTTCTGGAAGGGATAGATAGGAAGTCAAGAGCCAGCTTATACAGCGTTAGAGAGTGTTTACGCCTAATCTAGTGCCACTAAGTAGATAGCAGCTGTACAGTAATCTGTGCGTGTATTACCTCCTCTTTCACAGCAGCCCTAGTACTACCACGCGCAAAAACTCCCTCAGCAAGCGCGGTATTAAAACACTAAGATATCAATTAGTATAGGGAGTTGCTGCAGTAGCTAAGGCCTTATTAACTATACATTAACTGAAGGCAATTCATTTTTGTTCTATAAGAGATTGCTACTAGCAGTAGCAACTATACTACGTTCTATTAAACACCAGGCCTCAAGCAATGCCTCCACCTGCGTTTTTGATCACGTGACCCTTTTATCTATTTTTACTGCGTTTCCATGGTGGCGCATCAGATTCCTCTCCACTACTACTGACGCACCGTCAAAAAAGCACCGAGTGCTGATTTAGCAAAGGGCAAGCCACTCCCCCGATAAGACTGCGACGTCCTTCAGTTCATGCCTTCCCACTTTCTCAATCCTTCACTAATTACCTTCCTACATGTCAATTACCTACATCATGCGCCCTAGAATTCCCAATGATGCGTGACTCATCACCTGGAGCAGTTATCCATGCAGCTTTCACTGCTTCCTGGGCTTTTCAGGCATGTCTTCTGGTCAGGGGCTCCTTAGGAATTTCGACGCGGAAGCCGGTATTTCCCCCCGTCCCCGCTAAGTCCTACGAGCCCTTATCTGCGCAATAAAGTGGTAAATGTATCCAATAGTATACCCACCATTCGCTGATTGAAGCTACAGATCTGCGAAACTGCAGGAACTGCACTGCTAGAAACCAAATTAGGAAATGCTAGGAACCTGTTTAGGACTAACGTTTAACTCGTTAAGGCTAGCTCTCCTTCAACCTCTATATAGTCGCCTCGGAGCTCTCTCTCGCTCCTCAGACGTTACCTTATAGCTCAATCAACCTGGTTTGGTCCTCACCACCTGACTACTCGCAACCCCATGACCTCTATCATCTATCAGCACTGACCGGCGATAAAACCGGCGATCTCGAAAATGTGCGCTATCAGGATAACTGGAAATGTTTAGGATCAATTTCTCCAAGTGACAGTCCTCCTCCATATGCCCAATCTGGTGCGCCGTGAGCCCACAGTACATACTCTTGATCAAGACTCACACGAATCGGAACGCCGAGAGAGCTCTGCCGAAGCGAAAGTTCGTTGACTAATTCTAGCGCTCCACCTCTCCCCAGGCATGTTTGACTATGGGGATGCCTTGCACACAACTGCCTATCATGCCATGCACGTAAGTTTTGCGCCCTGGCGAAGCTTGAAGAGATACACTGGCGAACAGGACAGCAGAAATGGACAGGAGGAAATGGAGAGGCAGCAGGACCACACAAGACAAAATCATTTAGACGTATCAGAGCACACCAGGCCACAATGCCAGGCTCCCACCAATTCATCCTTACTAGACCTCATATGCCACTCTAGCCTCAAAAGCGAACAAGATTCTATGATCCGGTAGCCTAGCTACCGCTTCAATATCGAGGACCACGATCCCATGATCAGGCCCCAAATCCGGTAGATACATATCGCTAACCATCTCATTGATTCCCTGGACTAGCGGTCCGCCATAGTTATAGTCGTCTTCATTCCTTACAGTGAATGGTTTGCAATCAGAGATGTTCTTCTTGATCGTATACTCGGACTCGCCTTCGAAATCGACTCGATTAACCCAAAGCTCAAGCGTCGCGTCAGTGAGCCTAGGTAGATCACGGGTTCCCGTATCTCCACGGAGGTAAAAGAATATGCGGTATTCTCAACGTTTCGTTAGCATGGGCCACGGATAGTTGCTCATTATGTCGGTTTCGCGCTTACACAATCGGTGTGTTCAGAGATACAGTAAACTCGAGTATCTCGAAGAGCTGATCGGCTGCATTTCCACGAGAGTAATATGCCGGATTGTCGCCTGGAACTCTTTCGCGTTCGGCGTGATGGCTTGTGTCAGCGAGAGCTGCTTGATGAAATGCTGGGACGAAGTTAGAGCAGGACAGTGTTGCAAGGAGTAATATAAGGTGGAACGGTTTCATCATGTTGTGAGACGATGGGGACGATGTGTAGAAAGAGGAAAGTAAATGCGACAAGGAGCCCTCGAGTGTCGCTCTCCACAACCCTAACAGAACCGAGCCGCCGTTGACAAGTTCTGTTCTGCCCATAAATACGGGAGAGGCGAAGTTGCGGGCGTGAATGGTGAGTGGTGTATGTACTTGCAACGTACTGTGAAATGCTAATCTCACTAGTTTTAATGCGCAGTACGTGATCTCGCCCTACGCCCGAGCGCGTTCGCTGATCTGGCATCTGAGGTGGCTGTCACCCGCCCCAAATGTGAACTACGCCCCGTCTCGGAATGTGCATATTTCCTTAGCTGGCTTCCCTAAGTGCGGCGTTTCAGTGAACGTCGTCCGCACGAATTTCAACCGCATCTGCACACGTTTACAGCTGCCCTGAGCTGCTCAGGGCACCCTTAACACCTTTCCTTCAGTTGCACGCTTACCTAGTTGGAGAAATCCCTCGAGTACTTCAAGTCGAGTGATCAGCTATTTGAGGGGACCAGTGAGCTCTGTAAGTGGGCTGAGATTTTTGGACAAGACGCCGAAGCTCCTGGCGATTGATTTAATATCTCATGTCACTCCAAAAGGGCATTGAGACGGGTGCAAGAAAGCGGGCTGGGGTGCTCTTGCGATCGTCAGTACGCCACCATAGTCTCGCACAACATCGATTCAATGCTCAAAGTCTCAAGAAGCTTCGTCTTATCGATCATTTGCACTGAGTACGAACGACTGCGCAATGGTCGCGAACAGTGTCTCCGATGATATCTGGGCAAATACGTACTCTCCTTATAGGCTAGCGACAAGTACAAAAACGATGCTCAGGTTATCCTCACTTTGGCTGGTGTACGCTGACAGGGCTCTTGCGACCGAAGCTGTGGTGTGGCATCTTTTGAGAGTATCAAGCGATCATGTAGGGGCTTCGAGGTAATGTTGTCAAGAACGATGGACTCGGTCATTTCGCAGTCTCGAGGTTTTCAGCACTATTTCTCGTCTGTAAAAGAGGTTCTTTCAACATTCTGTTTAGGGTATGAGTGATGTATGGAGATAAGCGGAAGGGCTAGTGCTAAACAGTTTCGTGACCGAAGACAAATGGTTAAGAAAGGCAGCCCGGTTACGTAGCTCCGTAGAATATGTAGCATCTATATGCGTTGTAGTCTTGCGCGCTTTGTCACCGCAAAATTGTACTGACGGCATCGCTCGCCCGTCCGATTCGTGATTCCAAAGTTTAGTGCACGAATTCCTCTATGCACCGATTCGGGGCCAAAGGCGATGATGTCATCTCATATTGGGCAAAGCAGAAGCTGAATGAAACAGTCACAATAACAGCAAATTACAAGGCTAACGAGGACAAAGTCTCAGATAAGTCATACTTCCTTCAAGACGCATCAGAGGGCGGTAGGTAGTGCGGCAACTTGCTAAATGGATTGAATGGGTTCTGAAGCAATTCTCGGTCTCTTCCCTGAGGTACTGGTTCACTCATCATCGGTTCTTTTTCCAAACATGAATCAAATTTTGTTAAGTGATGATGTGGGGGAAAGAAAGACTCATAACATAAAAGACCGAAACGCCAATCAGTTCACTCTAATCAAGTAGTGAAGCTTTTGGGGGACGCAGAGATGAGGAACTGAGTTAGTTGCTAACGAACTGTAACTAAGGATCTTGTAGATGATCTACAAGCTCTTTGGATCGCCCTTTGGCGGTTCTGGTGTTAGTGTCGGTGTTGGCGTCAGATAAAGGGCTAAGCCGGTCGTCAGGATACTCAGGTATATGTGGGTCGTCAATTTCTTTGGATTGGTATACCTCTTCCGCACCGTTCTAGATGATGCGCTCGCCTATGAGAGTGTTTCCCTGGCCGTATTGCTTGTCGTCGCGCTTCCAGCCACTATTATCGCCGTTTCTGATGAATTGGCGGATGGCCTCGACGCGATCTCGGCCGGTTACTGCACCCCAAGGTGGCTCATCAAGAGCCATAAGGCCAGCGATGACACCCGCGACAATACCGCAGCCTATTACTCTATTAGTCATACCCCAAGTTTGTCTCATATGGTCCTCACCTAGGGATGTGCCTGCGCCTTCATCTGAAGTACCATCCTTCCTCATCACCCAAGCGGCTTTTGAAGACGCCCATGTCGTGACCTGGTTACCAGCCTGCGACTCTTCCGAACGAATGCCATCCAAATCCATCTCTGCCACATTGATGAGCGGAAAGTTCGGGCTTTCCCAATTGCTCGGCCAGAAGTCGATGGCTTCTCGACTGGGGTTCCCGTTCTTGAGTAGGCGATCGTTACCGGCTGGTGCAATAACAGGGACACCAGCATCATGTAGCGTACTTATCCATTTATAGGTATCGGCGGCAGCAGGGTCTATTTCACGGGCCTTGACGGGATCTGTAGGGTCGCGGGGACCATTTGTGAGTACGATGATGGAGTTCAGCTGCCGCCCGTTGTCTCGGATATGGATTCCGGCTTTATAAAGGGCGTCGATCATATCGGTTAGTGGCCCCCAGTACTTGACAGACACAAGCGTGGCGCTTTTCGAGACTCCGTGAGATTGGCCTAAAGCGAGTGAAGCCACAATGGTGCCGTGGAACTCCAGATCCTCGTCATTCTCATTGTTATGACCTTCAATGATGCAGTGATCCGTGTAGATAGTTTGTTCTCTATTAGGGAATTCTGGAATATTTCTCTTAACCCAGTTAGCGAGGTCTTAGGGAATGTCGAGAGCGTTCCATACGTATTTAACATCCATCTGAATACCCTCCTCGATGATGTAGATATAGATACGCTTGCCATCGTTGCGTTTGCCACGTTGAGATTCGTACGTAAATTCCTCTAGCTCATCGAGCTTTTTGCCCCTATAATATAATGTGAGCTCTCAAAATGTACAGTTATCATTGTAAACATACTTGCACCGACCAACGTCAATCAGATCGAATGGGGCGTCTACTTTCTTCCAAGCTAGCTGATCCCAGTTGAATGCTCGCTTTTATAAAGCAGTTATATTGGCCTCTTTAGTATCGCCCTCGTCCTCATAGAACACATCGCGCTTTGTAGCGATCAATCTCTTCTTCGGCGCTTCATCCACAACGACGCTCTGGATATTCGACAAGCCCCCCAATTCAATGGAACTCTGCTCATTAAGCTCCAAGGCACCCCACCCAATGACCTCGTTATCCTCGGGACCTCTCAGGACGATGGCAAACTTAGGGTCTTTGCCGAGATGCTCGAGACGCTTCTCAATCCAGTCTTGTGCTTCTTTGATGCCATCCTGATTGCCAGGGTCTTTCGTGAGGGCGGCATACATTGTTTTGAGTTTGAAGGTGTTCTCTCTGCGAGCGAGACGCTCAGCGCGTCGTTGGCGCCATGAAGACGGGTTGCTTTTTTTGGACGGGGAGGTGTTGCTGCTAAAGAGGTTAGAGAAGGGACTAGCACAGGCTACTTAGAGTAGTCAGAGCCAGAGCCAAGTACTGATGAGAAGAGTAAAATATTGAGCGAATTGAAATGGAATGAACGGAAATTGGTTCTCCATGGTGTTCACGAATGAAATTTTAGTTGTCCCTGAGAGTTGCTTCGGACAGATATACAGCGATCCATCAATTAGAAAGTCGGTGGATCAGCTCGCCTTCCAAGAAGTTATTGTTTGCTCAACTACTCCTAATGTACGCAAATATCGTCTTGTAGAAGGCGAAGTAGCAAACGTAATGCATCAACTAAGCATCACGGCCTGTAGTGTTGGCCCCAGTGCCCGCTTTCCTCTCCAGACGATAATAATACTGAAGAGGGACGACCTCTCAATCCTAATACCACTGTCAAGTACATCTTGTGCGAGCACATCCAGTATTCCCGGGCCACTTTCAAGGGTGTATTGGAATCACCATCCAAGCGAATGGTAAAGTCTCGTAAGATTTGGAAAACGCAAAGGGATCCGGCATTAAATCCTCGCGGAGTTCTGGCCTATGTAGAAGCCTACGAAAAAGGGGTATCGTACCTCTGTGCAGCCGCACGCTCGTCGCGCTCTGATACCGTGTCAAAGGATATCGTGCGGTTAGGCAAAGGAGGAAAGTACTCAGAGGGAGACGGTTCTAGATGTAGATGAAGTTCAGACATGGTTGTTCTAGTCTACCATCACCGACAAGGAGGGATCAGAGTGAAGATGTGGCAGAACTGGGGATTGCGGCACAGAAACCTTGTGAGGAGAAGCCCGCTGCTCCTTTGACGTTATTGGTCGGGGAGACTAATCGGTGAGATGTCTTGGCTTCTCTCTTCACTAGTTAAGTCAGACCACGCAACTCTTCCCCCACCTAGCCTGTTTGAGAATCACTTGAATTTATAAAGTCTCAAAATCTCTCCGAGATGGCAAAAAGTCAACACCGCAGCTGTATAGTATATTATCAATTGAAATTAGCCTTTTCAGTGTTGTCTCGGCGCAGCAGAAGCTTTTGCTGATTTGTATGATAGGCTATCCGGCCCCTCTCCGCACGTGGTTATCAAATTCAGTGTGTCCATTTAGATGGGCATAAGTAGCCGCCAACGCCAGTGGATAGGTGGCTTGATATCGTTGTTAAAGTGAGGCCGTGTAGGTTTCTTAATTGGGGAATCGTTAGGCTGACTTTGGTGTTTTGGAGAGCCTTCAAGCGTTACCTGCCTTCGTTTCCTGACTTGTTTTAAGCTCACGGAGTCCTCTGAGCACCCTAGCACCCTAAGCCACGTTCCCTTCCCCTAAGCATCTGTGTCCCATTTCATCAAACCCATCAGAATACTGTGCAATTTCTCCTCCCTAGGTGGGAGCCTCAGTTTATTGCAGATCGCAAGGGCGATTTAGAGGGTGCTGTATACAATGTAATAAAGAACCCAAAGGAGTACAGTAGCTTACATTACCTGCACAGAAAGCTAGAGAGCTACCAAAGATCCCTAAGGAAGGCGTTAAGGCTCTATTTAAACCGCTTATTTACACTAGATAGATTACCTGGGTAGGATAACTAAGTAGCTGCTTATTAGGTAAGGCATACGCATTAGATTGAGGGTTGCGGGTGTCGGAATTGGTGCGGTATCATTCGCCAGGCAAATATTCGATGGATGTATCAAAGATGAGTGAAGCTCATTGCAACACATTCTTTCATTCCGAAGATTGATTTTCCCTCACCGTAGGTTATGGGTACTTTGAGTCAGCCGTAAACAAGACTGCTGAATGCGAGGCTTTAAGTTCCGCATCATGATGGAGTATAGCCAGCTTCAAAGAATGGGGGGATACGACCGGTCTCACTGACTACGAGCGCCATGGGGAATATGACAGCAAAGCGAGAATGACTACAGCCCTTGTTGAGGCACTTCTCAGAGAAATTCGCTCTACACTTAAATTCCTCACTAAATGAGTCTCGAGAGAACTGAGATGAATTTGAGCGACGCATAACTGTAGGCGAACAAGGTGATTCCGCCGATAATCCTCCCATAGCAAAACGAGCAGATATCATTCTTGCACCAAGAACAGCAGATTAATTTACTCAGGTGTCGTTAGCAATGTAAACCAACATAAATCTTCCAGAGAGCCAGTTGATAAAATTAACGTCTTACTACGCTAGGGAGAAGATCAACAGGAGACATGTTTCTGTCCCGAGCCTAACCCCTACTTATTTTCTAAGCTAGCGGGAGGATGGTTCAGTAACAGACTCAGTAGATCAATTCTGCAGCCGGATAGTCGTGGCTAAAGAAAACGTACCGTAGAGCGTGCTTATTTTACCTTCATTTTTGATGCGGATTTGACATAGTAAACCATAAGTAGCACTTGAATTATGCAAATCAAGTCACTGCAGTGTTTACCAAGAACCCCCGCTGCTAACAAAGGAATGGGTTTCCAGTTATCGCGTAGATGGATTGGATGAAGGCAGTAGCAAGGTGACGGAAACCATGCTAGAGTTTTTTGGCGTTCTCCAATCTCTGATGTTAAACACCTTCGTCGGTGAGTCTGGAAAAATGTATTGTATCTGTAGTTTAAGGTGTAGTTCCCCAGGGATAACGTGTTATCTCGAGGTTTAGGCTTCGAAGTGTTCAATGACCCAAAAGCTACACTCGACGGTTAATTAAAGGCGTTCCATGGAACAGGAAACGAACGTATGAAGATCTGGGGTAATTAGAGCGCCAGTTCGGAGGAACATGGCGGCTCGAAGCGAGCGAACTTGAATGCGGGGTTGCCGAGGCATTTCAGGTAGCAGGGGTGCGTTGATAACGGGAATTCTGATACACCGGCCATGCCCGGAACAGGAAACGATGCCACCAGTAGTAGTTCGCAAAACCGACAACACGGCATCGTGATATGCATGGTCGGACCTGGAACACGGGAAATCACCACGTGTGAAATGCGCTGCACTAGAGAACTGCTTCCAGACTAAGGGGATCCTATAAGCTTTCAGGGAGCACATACGTCCGTCAGACGATGCAGTAGTCCTGCTTCAAGTCGAGCTGCACGTTTGTCTTGTTGAGGGCTCTTCAGCTACTCCTGAATGTTATGTTTCTGATGTTTGGGTTCACAACAAGGTATAGCTAGGACTACTACGATCAACTATGGATGTACTACTTGTATAATGTCTTCGCACAAGGTCTACCGACATGACCTCATCCACCGCAAGAGAGATGATTTCTAGTGCAGCCAGTGCACTTTGATGACCTTATGAACTCAGTCAGTAACTTAGCTTGAAAAGCCCCTTTCAGGAATATCAAGTAGCAAACCTAAACACGAAACAAGCCCCAGGCGACCCAACGATTACTGCATGGCTACTGCCATGTGGATAGACGGCGCTGAACGCATGATTCGCAGGCGGTGACAGTCGCGTGCCACATCCGGATGGCAGATGCAGGGATTCCGGCGACGAGTTTGACATCCACTGATGTGCGATGGAGGATGGACGAGACTAGGCGAGGCTTCTCGGCCTTCATCTCACTTCGGGAAGGTTGGAAGGGCCTTCTCCGCCGCATGTTTACACTTGAGATGGCCATAACGCCCTCACTCTGTTTTTGAGCGCATACGCTGCGTCGAATCATAAAGAGGAGGGGGAAGGAGATTCACATTTCAAAGGCGGCCAGATTATTAATTGCCTCGGGTCATTAGACTGCCATTGTCCCCCGGCATTTCAGTTTCCTCGTAGCTTCCGGATCGCAACCTGATATCGATAAATACTCATTCATTTCAAACATAGCCATTTCACCTTAACTTAGGCCTTTCGTTCACGGTCGTGGAACTGATTAGCACAATGGCTACACGTTCCGACGTCCAGGTCGCCGCTCTAGCAGCAGGCTTCACCATTGGATTTGGGTTTTTGACTGTCTGGGAAGCCATCAGGCAAACACAGCGCAATCGGAACCCACTGAGAAGTGTCTACATTTACATGGTATGGGGAGAGATCGCAGCAAACCTCGCAATTGGCATCGTTGGGTGGGTTTTCCTTGACGGAGTGATTGGACCCACGTAGGTATTGGGTTTGCGGCTCGTACTTCAGCGAAGCTAGTACTGACATGATGTAGCATTCCAGTGCTCTTCTTCATTCTCTTCCTTTGGGTGTTCGAAATCCAGCTCTTGATGCAAATCATTATCAATCGGATTGCACTCATTGCAGAACATCAGAGTACCATTCGAAAAATCAAATGGGGGACTGTGGCTATCATAAGTGCTATCAACATAGCTGTCTTCTGCATTTGGATCCCATCGCACCTAAACCCACCCGTTAGCCAGCTGTAAGTTTACTGCAGCCATGTTCTGATAGGGTCATTAACCAAGTTAGTTATGTCGATATCAATAAGTACTGGGATCGAGCGTCGAAAATCATTATCATGGTTGTGGATGGTTTGCTGAATTACTACTTCTTACGCACCGTCAAGATACGGCTTGTGAAACAACACGGACTCGTCAAATATAAGCCTCTCGTTGGCTTCAATGCGAAGCTCATGGTCGTTTCCATTGCCATGGATGTGAGTTCACGCCTTCTTCAGCACTCCCCTTGCTAATTCATATTCAAGGCAATGTTAATCGGTCTCATGTCTCTTCCCAACCAAGTCGTATACATCCAATTCCATCCAGTCGCCTACATGGTCAAGCTCAACATCGAGATGTCCATGGCTTCGCTAGTTGTTCGCCTCGCCAAAGGGAAAACGGAAAATGACATGTACGAGGTCCATTCCTATCCAGACCCGCATTCACAACATCGCTCTATTCAGCGTAACACACACCTGCCAGCCGATCCTCACTTCAATTCCTTCCCACTCGCTTCCACGGCCACCAGCCGAAAGGGGTATCATAATGACAGTAGCATTGACGGAAAGTATGGGATACACTGTCGTACAGACCTGAACATCGTTGTTGAGGACGTCACGGAACGGGGACAACAAGGAATAGGTGGAAGTAAGAACTCAATGGATTCGAAAAGCTTGACCGAAGGTAGAGGAGATATATACGGCGATGAGACTCCACTCAATAAGAGTGTATGCAGGGTGATTGAGAGACCCCTGTAACGTTGGGAAATATTTCATGTATACACCCTAGTTTGATTCCTCTAGTTTCTGGCACTCTTGGAAGTCGTGCTGAGATACCAAAGGAAACAAACCTAGGTTTTCGTTTAATGTTACGTGCGATATATATACCATTAGCACCCAACCAAGGCCCTGAACTCTAAACCATCGACAGTAGTCCCACTACACCAGTATTTGCCAACCCCCTTAATGCTTGTCATCTCTTTCGAGACCCACATAAAAATGTCGCTGGATGTAGAAGCTCGAAAAATGATTTATAGCATATTGCAAATAGGAAAGCGCCGACTGATCAGGTTAGCAAATAAATACTCATCAGATGCAGCATGGAGCGTATGCAGTGTTGCACGTGACTTTCCTCACGTGACCATTCGTTGAGGTGAATGTAGGTCCATTAATACACTAGTAACCTGTTTAAGACTAGCTCTCTTTCAACCACTATATGGCCACCTCGGGGCTCTCTCGAGTTCCCCAAGCCTTACAGCTTCACTCAATCAACCTAATTTGGCCCTCACCACCTAATTGACAAATCGTACCTGTATATGCTCTGCTGATCCCAGTATGAGATAGCCTAAAACGGCTGGGTGATGGTTTGAAGCGGCGGATAGGAAGGAAACACCCGGGACTCTACTAGGGAGAGACTCATTCATGCTCCTCCTCCGGCAAAGGACGCAGAGCTGCCTTGCTACTCTGCATTTCCACTGGGCCGTCCTTGGAGCTCGAAGATCTCGTTACAAAGTTTCTCTCCTCATCCATGGCCGCTGTTCTGAGTCTTAGGGCTTCCTCACCACGTTCCTTTACCGTGCTTGCAAACGGTTCGGCAGGTGGATTCCTCTTAAGGTACCTAACCAGGCTTTCGCAAAGCCGATCAAGAACAAACTCACTTTCTGTCTGATCGGACACCATTGGAGAGTTCTCGCCAATCCAATCCCACTGTACAAGACCTTCCTCTTCCTCTTCTCTCATGACTTCGTCCTTATCCGTTGCAACAGAGAACCGAATAAGCCGTGTAAATTCGACCCACTCTTCAAACTGGTAATTCCGAGGCTTGTCGAGCGTGAGATCATGTGCGGTGCGTCGAATAGCGAGTGCGAGATGGCGTGCAAGAGCAGCAGCGTCCGGCTGTTTTCCGTGCAGGTCTGCATCGTGCTGCGTAACAAGGGCTTCGAAATCTGGAGCTAGTAGGCCAGCAGCGTATGCATCTTCCTTTGATGTGCTTCCATTCGAGCTCTGCTCCGCCTTCTCTTTCTCGCTGAGGATCTTTTCTAGTACGTCGACACGATTGCGCAACTCGTTGTGTTTTGCCTGCCAGTCTCTCTTTGCTGTCGCCAAACCCAAAGAGAGCCACGGATGCTTGTCCACGAGTGCCGTCCATATTCCTTCTTTTGGGAGGATTGTGAAGTCAGCTAAGGTGCTGGACCAATTGTTGAACGCAGAAACGAATGTTGCGGTGAGGTCGGAGGCGAGCATTGTAATACTAGGGACGGCGATGACAGACCAGATAACAAAGAAACATCTTCCGGCACCTGATTTAGGTGAAAAGTCTCCGTAACCAATGGACAGGATAGCAACCCAGCAGAAGTAGACAGTCTCCCAGTACGTCTGACCAGTAGCTCCAACCTCGGCCTCCCAGAACACAACTGCGCCAATGCACCAAAATACGGTAAATAGCGAAAGACTGAGACTCAGCCGCCACCAGTTCTTCCACAGCTTCGCCTGCTGCTGAAGCCTGCGCATTGCCTGGAAACGCTCTTTTTCATCACGAAGTAGTCGGATTCTCCTGTTTTTCCGGATACGACTTCCCAAAGTATTAGTCCTGGACATTGGCCTCATCGAGTTACTAGAGAAACTGCCGCGGCGGCTATCTCCCGCACGGTCCATGGTAACCTGGTACTGGAGGGCGGTTGCTGGTGATCGTGCGCTAGGTCTTGCTGCTTGCTTTGCCATAGCACGTTCTCTTGCCATTTCAGCTTCGATCTCTCTGCGCTGCAGTTCTAGGCTTGTTGCGACGGTCCGGCCCTCTGCACGTTGTCGTTGGTGCTCAAAGTGAGATCGTGTGATTTTCTTCTCTCCTAACTCTTGTACTGATCTGTAGATACTAGATACGACGAGACCGAGCATGATAATACCTCCGAGAGAGAATGGAATCAAGAGAGCACGGGCAGCCGTTTTGGTAGGATAAAGATCGCCAAATCCAATGGTTAGGATTGTTACGTCGCAGTAATAAAGCTGTCCTTGTGTCAGGATGTTACAAAATCTGAAGGAAAAGGAGAAGACCTGCCGCATCAATGAAATGCCAGCCTTCCAATCGAGCATAAACTCCACCTCCACCAGCCAACCAGATAAAGTAGAACATGGTTTGAATGATCAATGTGCGTTGATCTTCGGTCAGATCGAAATGTTGAGGGTAATGACCCCGTATATAACCGAGAAGATTCACCAGGAGGAGTGACGCGAGGAGAAAATAGAATGAAGCTGCGGCAATGCCATACCAATAGCCACCGGAGTAAGCTTCGATTGGGGCAACAGGCCGGGCGTAGACATGCATCGCAGCAAGATCACCTATGAGCTGAGAATTTACTTAGCCCGAAGTCGAGAGAAAGGTCCAGGTTGGCCTACGATACCACAAGAGAGAAACCAGAGAAGTATAGTTAAGGGGAGAGATATGATATATCGAATTCGGTTGGTAAAATTGAGCAACAAAAAGAAATTGCCGACAAAACCGAGAATGAGCGAGGATACGTTGATCCAGTAACACCTGCAGATGTTAGAAAGCCGACCAAAATTCAAATCAACCTTGCGTACCATCTTGGATCTCGAATTGGGGTTGCCTTCAATTGTGGTAAGATTGCGGTTGGATCTGTGGGATCCCGTAAGTCCAATCGCCAAAAGGTGACTAAGGCGCCAATGGACAGAACGTTTGCCAGAGGGCCTAGGGTGGCTGCCAGAATCCTGATTCGGTGAGTACTTGTAATCCTAATGTCAACATCAAAACGTACGGTATAGCAGTGGAAGCGAACCACCAGTCCCTAAATAAATATGGTCAGCGGAGGCGCGTACATTCACACCAACCCAGACAAAGCATTCGAGTGGTATCGGCTAACACATACACAGGGTCGTCATCATGCCTGCCTCTCATACGGATTTTCCAAAGCTTGAACTTCTTCCCTGCCTCTCCCTCTTCGAGATCCAGAAATGTCGCCCTGGCCTGAAACACCGCATTCTTTAGCGCTTTACCAAAGGGCTGGCCTGAATCGCGCCTGTCTGAGAATTCCTCGAGCAGGCTAGGCATTCTTGCTGGAAGATTTATTTAAGTGAAATGCACAAAGCAAACTGCCACCCGGAAACCGGCAAGATTGAATCCAACAGGACCTGCAAATGTGAGTAAGAGTGTCGCAGGATGACAAGGTGAAGGGGCGATAGTGTTCCAGCCTATTTTACGTGCATCAAAGCCGATCTAAGGTCTGGTCAGGAAATTGGAGATCGCAATAAACGGCGCAAGAGGATTGGAGGAGTTTCTGTGGGGAATGCATGGCTATCGTTGCTCAGCTTGATAGGCGCAAGCCACCATGATAAGCCTTCGAACGAACGAACGATATCTCGAGGAGCATAACTCCGAGAGCCGGCGACCTTTCAGTATCACACCATACGTATTATATGATGTATATTTTTTGCTGCAACGATCTTGCCGGCGATAAGTCGTTCAATTTATGGGGGTGTCTTAGAAGCTGCATGAGCTCAAGGGGAGAGGATTGACGAGGAGCAAGTGAGAAAGGCATGGAGTTTGCTAGTGTCGCTCTCGTAGATAGGTGACGAGATTGACTATCAGTACCAAAAGAATGTTTGATGGAAGGATGCATCGATGAATTATTCTCAGTGGGGGTTTTAAGCCGCTATTCTAAGATTGCAAACAGAATGAGTTGTCGCCACCGCAGATTAGCAGTATTTAGATAAGAATGATTGAGTGAGTTTTTGACGGAAGATTCGATATATTTGATGATCTCGTTCGGCGGGGACGATGTTTGCGGCGGGAGAATGTGGGGTTGAGGGGAAGGAAGTTTCCAGCCTCCTCCATTTCAACCGAAAAACCAGTGACGTAACATCGTGAGTCAACCTCATTGGCCCGGCAAGTTACGCTCCCGACTTCCACCCAAACCTCAGCTGGAGTCCTCCAGCGGATGCCGCGCCTAAATGTTCTTACAGTATCCCCATTACTTTTTACTGTTACACAGCATGAATCCTATTTCAGGCATGCGGCCTTATCCCTTCTCCCAAATGAGAACGCTTCGCCCACTGCTTACAAGCACCAATTCACCACCATACCACAATGGCTATCTGCGGGTTCGAAGGCAATGGCGATATGTATGGACTCGGAATTCGGTTAGGATACTACCTTCAATGGTATGGAGCGATATTCGCCGCGTGGTTTGCCCCAACCGAGTCTCGCTCTCTTCGGTTCACCAATGCACTGTTTATTGCTGCGTCGTTTCTGGCCTTGGTTATTATCACGGCTCGCGATATGGAGTCGCTCCAACCAGTGGAGGTATACATCATACTGTTGCTCATGTTCGGTGCCTACCTCGCACTGATTCCAATCTATCTGTGGCGACTGCTCACTAAATGCGACCCGTACTGGGACCCTACGAGATATCCTCTGGTGATACCGGGAGCGGTCTTCGCAAATTTACACCTACTTTTGCTGGTCGGTGTGTTGGTATATCAATACTGGTTCTGGTTCAATCGAGTCTCTAGTCTGGACCACGTGAATTGCCAGCAATATGGCTTCTTCTTTGCGCAAATCCGACTAAACAACAAGGGCTTCGTTGCAGTAAACATTCTGGTGTTCTTCTTCTTGGGCTTAGTCTGTTTATATATTATTTGGTTGAAGATTCGACGGGCCGCTGGGTTACCATCTCCACGCGCAAAAAGGAGGTCCGTAGCCCTTTTCTTCTCCTTCTTTTTCATAGAAGGGCTACTGCCGGACGCTAAGACTTGCACTCTCCAATATGCGTCAGTGGTTCAAAGTGTCAGGTTCTCACTTCTATTTAGATCCATCAGTAGACGACACCTAATCGCCCATATCGAACTCCTTGGCAATATCGATGTCTGGGTTAAAATTGTTGTAGCCCTCACTGTAACGGTTGCAACCGAGCTTGTCATTGATTGGAATGGGATAGAGGGTGTCAACTCCCTCTCCTCGGCTGGACAAACTATTCCATTCTTGATTGGGCTAGGCTCCGTCCTTCGTATCTTCTACGTATACTGGTTCCCCCATGATGGAAATGACGACAGCGACGGCGACAGTTACTATAGCACCGAGTATATGCAGCCTTATCGGCGGCCTAGGCCTGTTGATGAACTACCACTGCCAGCCGCTGCCCCTCCTATGCGCCCGCCGCCCCGGACACATCGTAGGTCTTATTAGGATAGTGAGTATTAAGGCGGTGAGCCGCTATACTGATGTGTGTCCTCTGATCGGCATGAAGTGGGGAGAAGATAATCGAGATATTTTAATTGATGCCCCATATATTTTGCAACAGAAAAGCTCTCCAATGTCAACCGTTGCTTTTCAGTCTCTAGGGTGGGGCTGTATCCTCGCACTGTGTTCTAGTTCCCGAAATATTTTTCTCACTTCGCATGGTGTTCGCTTGCAAACAGCTTTATGAATCGAAACATAATAAATATCAAACTTATAGATATGGTTGAGATGAGATGCAATGACAGGCTGTGAAACGTTTGATAGCTGATTTAGTAGTCCAGCATGCATTCCGGACTTACCTGATAACGTTGAATGGTGACTTGCTGACTGTCCTTATCCCGCTTCCAAGCCTGACCCCGCACCTTTACACAGCCACCGCTCATAGCCCACAGATCCTTGCTTTCATGGCGCAAAGGCTGCCATGAATGGTGTGTTGTCTCATGCATATATTTAAATACAGTATACTACAGTATATATAATTAATATTTTTAAATATCTAATTAAATGCACCTTCAGGCCGGTTGGCGCAATGGTAGCGCGTGGCCCTCCTAAGGCCAAGGCTGTGGGTTCGAGTCCCACATCGGTCGTTATATTTACGTTTCTTTTTGCTCTAACAATCCCCTTCGCGTCTTGCAGTAGTCAAGTGTGGTTACAATTTCGATTGTTAAATTTTTGCGTTGGTGGAAAGGATCTGCGGGGTTTCAAAAGCGAGACTTTTCATCCCCTCGCGTCCTGAACTTTTGTGCCTTTAACACCACCTTTTGTCGTTCATGAACTCTCTCCAATGAGATGGATACTCCGTGTTTCTTTCCTTCTCCGCCTCCGAACTGTTGCCCACTCTATATCTCAATCGAGACACACTGCACGGCGATTATCTCTGCTATCATCGAACAACAAAACATGCCGAGAACTGTACGTGTGGCTACACTGGCCAAAATGGGCAACTCTGGAAAGCTAGTCCGGAATTCCGTAGCATGGTGCCCGATTCTCCGGACTAGGCGGTTGAAAGGCTCAACGCAACGCAACTCACCTCAAAACTATGTCAACCACTGAAATTCGACTAATATCCGATATTGGGCCGCAGTATACCTACTTACAATTAGTGGATCGAAGCCATTTGTAGACGCCTGACTCGACATTTCGATATTAGACCAACAAGTTTCCTGAAATCTTACAATCTTGTTACTACAGCACCTGCTAATCTTGGACGCATTCAGGACACACAATGTAATAACACCCAAATTTGCCCGCCACCAGAGAAACAATGACCAAACTGGCACTATCCACCCCTCTTACACGTCGTCATCCCCACCACAAAGACTCCAAACTTCTCATATTAATTCTCGGTTGGAACCTCTCCTTAACCTTATCATAAATCCTATCTCCCGCCTGCTGTCGCCTCAATTCCAGTTCCAACTTTTAGCTACCCCCGCCTGCCAGCCCGCCTTACTTCTTATCTCTGGGCCCTCCGGTCAATCAGTCTCTGTGCCTTTCTAATCTTCCTATCCGCCGCTTCCGGCCCTGTTTTATCTCTGCTTCGCCTTTTTCAACCCACCATTAAGGGTTCCAGCTCTTAAGCAATGAAGCACTCTGCCCACTCCAGTCTCGGAATACCAAGCTCGTCTCACCCATGTATGGGCGCAGGTAGAGACGCGGTACCCAGTGTCTTGATCTTACGCGCTGCGACGAAGGTTAAGGGGCTCGGATTCAGACCGCATAGATGTAGTGAATCGTGCGATAGATTGCGGTTGGCTGTCCGAAGCTTTACACCTGCGTGAATATTCTGGCTTTTCTTCGCCTCTTTGCCAGAGTTTGTTGTCTGGCGCTCCTGTCCTACGTGGACCTGGCGCGTCTCGCTGCTTATTTTCGCTGATCTTCTGTCCGTCTCGGAGGTAGTGCTGGGGTATGTTTCATCCATGGGTAAAGGTGAAAGATGCTTTAGGTGGGCCACAGCGGGTGGTCATGTTGCGTAGCAGGTAAGTCCCGACAGAGAGCGGCTTGGTGAGTGGCTTGAATTATCTTTCGTATCTTGTTTGCGATACCTTCGATTCCCGTTGTGCTTGTTTTGTTCAGGTGGCGCCAGGCGAATGTTTCACTGACCTCATGACAGCCAAGAGTTTATGTGCACGTCGTCATTGACCGCATCTGCCTGTCGAATCGCTCTTTCGACCCTCGCCATAAGCTATGCGCATAATCTTAATTTAACATACACGCACGCAAGCGGTCGCGAGACAATTTTCCAGTCTACATCAAATGGCATTGGCCACCGGTACCCTCCAAGATACATGAGAAATAGGCTCGCGCCTCCATTATTATCAACCTTTTAGAGGCTGCGTGTGATACCATAGCGTACCAACTATAAGCTAGTTGAGATACAAGATTTTCCCGCAAGACTGTGCTCAGTGGGAACGCCGGATGATGAAGGGTAAGATCCGTTCCGTTTCCACCGATCTAGAACCATCACCACTGGCCTTTCTGAAACCTCCATGTGTCTTCATACCGTACCATCTCCAAGGGAATTAAGATACATTGATCGTGTAGGAAGGCAGACTGTGCAAATGGGGGAACGAGGGAAAGCCATAGGGCAAAAGGTTGGTCGAACTTACATCGATCCTAATGTGCCAACGCGTCTCTACCGACCTTGCAATTGATTGACTAGGCCTGCCATGCTCATGAGTGTATGTCAGCGAATGTCCGAAGATAGAGGGGAGAGATTTGTACCAGCCCCATCAAACTTAGTCAAGCCACTCAGTCTCCAAGGTTGCTAGAGTCATCTCGGGTAAGAACTGCACCTCTCCGTCGGTATGATGGTAGAAGTCCATGCCGTCGACAATATCCTCGGAGTGTTTTGGTGGTCCGTTCTTGAGTTCAGCACCAGCTTCGACAAAGCCTACAATGCCCATGGTGATGTTTCGCTCGAAGCAGCGAAAACTCACATCCTCGAATCCGTCGAAAACTGCAAGATACTCCTTTTCGTCCAGGTCGGTTCCCTCCTCAGTGGGGCGGTAGCATGCCATCTCGATGACAGCCGCGTCCTGGACGCCAGCAAGCAACTTGTGTTTCTGGGTATTGATAAGAGCTCTGGCGGCTTTCTGGATCCAAGAGGCGACTCCTGGCATGAGGCCATGGAAGCGGTAGCTCGCGGGGTACTTAAGACGATCGAAGTCACGTACGCCACCCCAAACAATGCCCTCAATGGTAGTCTTGAAGTCGATGTTTCCACCTTCTCCGCCGTAGTCGATACCAATAGCCTCCAAGTCCGGATTGATAGGGCCTTCTTGTAGCATGCGTCGGTCGTATACCATCAAAAGGGAGTTCATCACAATGTCGATGACCATGCGATCGGAACCTCCAAGGCTAGTGAGGAGTTTCACTCCACCTTCGTGAACCCAGCTGATAGATTTGCCGATAATGGCTTTCGCCTCGTGGTAAACTTCTTGACAAGTGGCCAAAATCAAAGTCGGTGTAGCACGATATATTAAGACCACGCCTTGGTTGTTGCCTTTGAAGGGACCGCTGAGGGGTCGGAGAGCGTGATGCACAATTTCACGCGGGAGACGCTCGTAGACCATCAAACGGATATCTTTCGGCAAATCCATGAATCGAAAGGGTTGACAGAGCCCATCTGCCTCGCCATGGATGGGGGAATGATGCTGCTGCTGGGAGCTGAAAGGGAGGAGTGCGAGTACACGGGACAGCTGGTTGCTGACGGCGGCCATCATGTTTGCTAGCGTTCTGCCTCGTTGTATTGAAGGTACAGAGAAGAGGAGATAGTGGGATTGGGTGGCAGAGGCAGGTGAAATAGATTTGGACTTGGGCGGTGGGCGGAAGAATGGTTATCCCGGGAGAAGGTGAAAGAAAGTCTACAAACGGCACTCGAATGCGACACAAGCTATGACCAGCTTGTACGGACTGCAGATTGGATCCCCTGCCCTCGCCGCTAGGTATCAATGGCGGTGAGCCATTGCTGGGTGGCGTGGTGGATTGAGTTTTCACCTTATTAAGCGTTAGTGGTAGGAAACGAATTGGTGATACCTTTGGGGTAAAGAAAGAAGAGTTTCTGTTAGGTAGACAAGTCCTCTGCCTTTATCTATTGCAGAATATGGCACCGCAAATTCCGATTGAAGTTTGTACCATGGTAAATGGCAATATGCCGCACACGTGTCATATAGAGATAATTCCACGTATGTTATTGGACGAGACGTTGAAGCCACATCGACGACGATGTTAATCGAGCCCAACATCCAGTTGAGCCATACGGAGCCATCCATTATAAATCATCACCGTTCAATTCATCAAAATTTCGCCCATAGACCCCACGGAAGAGAAGAGAGGAAAGCCTAGGAGTTGAATGGCGAATCGTAGTTCACTCTAACCAATTTGCTTCCCACTCTTCTCTGGTCATATTCAGCGGCTTCTCCGTCTCCCGGGCGTAATAATGAGGACCCATAGCCCCTTCGATATGCCAAAGTGTGAGAGATTGAATATGAGCTACTTGAACTTAGCCACTAAGATGACGCTCTCTCACGGCTCATCGCTACGCGGATGCATTGCCATAGCCTAAGTATGTATTTAATATGCCGAAGGGATTATGAGTCTGGCAGCCGACTTGGGCCATTGAGGTAGTCTTCATGGGTTCTAAGAGATGCTTTGCTGAAGGTAGGCGAAATATCTAGCATCTTTGTTCAAGAGCGACTGAAGCTTTGGCATGATCTAGCCTTTGTGGTGGACAATGGATATTGCTTCTCCTCTTTCACAGGTGCATCGTCATCTAAGTCGATGACGGCCTGGGTATATTTACTTGCTAGTGATATGAGATGTCTTAATCTTAGGTCGGATAGTGGTCACTACCGTATACACTGATAGTGGTTCCGTCACATCCTCTACGATGATGTTTTGGGGTTTTCCGACGTCACTCCCATCCAGAATAATTTCATACTCTTGTTACCACCTCCACCAATCCTCACTCTTGGCAACCGCATGCTCATAGAAATCTTTCGTGACCTTGGCAAAGTCCGTCACCAGGACACCATATTTCCAAATAACTTTGTCTAGAAAAGCACTCGTAATGAAGCACAGTTCATATTCGTCACCGCTCTAACTCTTCCTTTATGCACCCAATTGCGAATAGTAAGCTCAATGATACCCTTCACTTCTGTCAGCAGGTGGTTAGGATCGCTGTCTCTTTCGACGGGCGATGAGATCAGTGCGCTCCAGACATAAGAAACTTCCCTCTTCAAGTGTCAGGGGTTTAAACATGATCATTTCCGGGGGGTCCTGTAGATCATGAGCTGAATGTCCTTAGGAATATTGAGGAAACGGAAAGGCTGGGAGCCGAAGTCGGCCATTGCGTGATAGAGCAGCAGTGTAGTATGAGGAAGGAAGAAGTGCCGATGAAAACGGTCCGTGTTGGATCCTTTACTAGTTGCGGTGGAAATTATTCCAGCACTTTAGGGAAAGAGTGAAAGTCCTAAGGCTTTCTGCATTGTGCTTCCTCGTAGCTTTCCGTTACTTCAACTTGGGAGGGTCGTGAAAGATGGCAAGTCCGCATATGAGGCTGCGCAGTTTGAATGGTGAGTTTCCTTAAGTATTCTGGCATCACCGTGAGTGAATGAATAGTGAGGCTAGTGGGTTTGCTTATGGTGCTGCACAATAGCAGACATAGATCATTCTGGAAGCTGTTCGAAGGAACATCCTAGTATGGTTGAAGACGGATTTGTGTCAGTTGTCAACATAGAGAACTTGAGGTTTGGTTACGGTTCCCAACCCGACTTGGAGCAGTTTAGCGTGGTGCCCTTCCAGTTCCAAGGTTTGCTTGTCGCCAGGATCCACATGTGGGCCGCTAGCATGTATGCGGCGAAGGCTAAAAACCGAAAACGTGGGAGATTCCCATGGGTGCCTTTAGCCATGGTGGGACAACCGAGGCCGATGGAGCCACATGGAAACCGTTCCCACTAGTTCTCTAAGCTCTCCAAATTACCAGAACACTATTTTACCTAGAGTGTTTCGGGGTTAGAAGCGAGCATACGTTGACGGCTATCGGCGTCAAACGTGAGTGAATAGTTTCATGGCATGTCCGATCCCGGCAAATGCTCCATAAAAGCAGGGATTATATTAGAGAGCGACTGTGTTAGCTAGACATTGGGGAACATGCGCTGCGCTGGAGCTGCCTAGGCACTTCCCCGTAATCTTTCATGACCTGGGTTTTGGGAGAAACGGACGGAGCGGTACCTGGCACTGGGGATTCGACTCGAAAATTTAAGGGATTGAATTGGACAAGGTTCTAGCTCTTTCTCAATGGCATGAAGAGATAGTGGTTTGCAAGGCGCTGAAAGGTAGAACTTCTACGTCGCATCTGAAGAAGGAATCCAGAAGAGCCTAGACGCCACACAGCAATAATAGGTGTCGTACTATTTCTAGCATACTCCGCTGCAACAACTATATTTGCAACTAACGGCTGTTCGTGTTATGCAGTGTGCTCAGGCGAAAACTTGAAGGACCCGGAGATCGGAGCTCAAAACTACCAGGGTATGCGAACGGCCTTCTCGCCCCGAATCCTCTCCCCGACCGCAATCCAATAAATTAAGACATCCGTAGTGGATGAACCCGCTTCCGCGATCCTTCTGCAATGCTGTAACTTTCGGCCCGTTCCTTCGCCCTGGTTGGGTTGGTCTGCAATTTTAACGAAACTTTAATCTTCGAGTTACCGGATTCGATGGTTTGTCTCGGATTACAAGCCTCACAGCCTGAGACGTGTTGGAAGCCCCGTATTTTTTGTCGTTCTCGTGGGGGTTGCAGGTACTCATGCGAGTTGCTCACAGCTTCATCATAAACATGTCTCAACGTGCCGTTCGCCACCTTATATGTTGTTCTGTAATAGTTGCCTTCAAAATAGCTTTTCATTCGTACATTGTTGAGTTGATGTGAGCATATTAGAGTCGTTCATTGAATCTGGGTTGGCTTTTTCAAGGTGGGTGATCATAGGCGTAGGGATCGAGCTTTTCCTGCGGCTTCATGGTGTGTATCATCTCTCAAGCAGTAGTTGAGGGAATCGGTGAATTCTACGGCGTGCCACGGAGGTTGTGCTGCCCTCCGCTGCGCCTTTTCAAGCCAATTGAAGACACTCAAGAATTTCGGCTTGGGTAGATTTTTGCTCTCCCTCCGCGCATCAGCAATTTTTTTAACTGCTTACGACAACTCAGATATAGGAGTTGAAAAAGGGAGTTCGGAGCAAGTATGAAGTAAGAGGCTGGTACTAAGATTGATATCCAATTGGATGAGGTGGCTGTATCATGGCTCATGACTCGCCACTAGGATTATCGATAACGGAAGGTGTGATATGACATGCAGAGTCAAATTTTGTTCCCACATCATCACCATTCGTTCCCGTCTATATGCCGCCCGTCTCCTATCTATCTTTCCGGTAGAATCCAGAGTGGGCGCTGGCTTCACAACCGAGCCAAGCGAATCATGTGTTTCGTGAGGACTATCTCTCTCCGCTTGGGTACTGAGCTTCTCTCAAGGCAGTCAGCTAGGACAGCGCTTGCGCTGGACTATTGACGACTTTTGACTTTCTTTGCAAATCGGAAGAATATTGGCCGCTGGAGCATCTTCAGCGAAATGGTCCGTTGTACTGGGTGTTGAAAGGCCCATGCCATATTTTCTATAATCTGTTGTCGCATGATGCTAACCGGGTATCCAAATGAAATCCTCAAACTTCGCCCCTATCGCTGTTTTCCACCTGAACGGTCACTTCTTGCTGGAGCATCACCCCTCTTGGATTCTCGAAGAGACTTGATGTACTCGTGTGCTCGTCTTGTGTACTTCCCATCGATACAAACTTATGCCACTCCTGGTGTGCTCTTCCTTTCTCCTTCTTATTGCTCTTCCCGGACACCACCGTCGCTGTGAACTTTCCCGAATTCGAAGGAGTGAGCTTCAGAGTTTCTCCACCGCTTTGTGACCCTCCTCGAAATTTTAGCGGGATAGACGTGGCGAGCTCGCCGTCGTGAACCCGGGCGTTGGAAATTCCAGTGCCAGCGCTGCTCAGGAAGCGCTTGATGCGCGGGAGGCTGGCGACAATGAGTGAGAGGCTTGTCACTATCCTGATAATTTATCAGTCATTTCTCTTGTTTACTGCATCATCGATCAGGGATATGGCAACGTACTGATACATAATCGCCAACTCGAACCCGTCCCCTCACACATGCACGTAAGTATATAAAGACATTAGCGTGGAGGGGAAAACTCACATGTAGGATCTTGACTCTTCATGGCTTTCGCAGCGGCCCATATTTGCGCAATAGATGCTACCGGCACTCTGGATAGAGTCAGTGGGGGTTATCTGTTGGGATTCTGAATCATACAGTGCTCGGGAACCAAATAACACGGCCAATGTTCCCCGTCTTACCGTATTCATCTGAAGGCCATGAAGAACCGGAAAGATCCACGCACTGAGGACGAGGTCGGAAATAATATTTAGGGCGATTACGGTATACAGCAGTCCTCCGTGTGAACACCTGGAATTATCGTACACCCAAGGAGCTGGGAATGAACACTGGAAGGCAAACGCGGGTAGAGAGAAAAGCGCCCAGAAGCCCACAGTTCCAAAGAGCACAATATTCTTCTGGCGAGTCTGAGGTACCACTCGTCCAACTAAGAATCCTGATGAGAGCTTGGCGAGGCCCATAACGGCAATTTGGAGTAATTGGGCAGTGTAGGAGAACTGGTAGACTATGGGTCAGTATGATAGCCCACAGAAATCAGGGCAAGGAGAGATTGACCTTGAAGTAATCTGTTATAGATTCTGTCTCGTAGGAGTGTTTCCCAAGCCCATTATTGACTGCCAGGTGCCAACACACGGTGGCTCCAATGTAGATGGTCTACAGAGTGGATGTCAGCGGTAGCAACCACCCAGATCAAAATTTCTCACACTCCCAGCGACAACCGTCGCATCATCAAAGCCAAATTTCACCCTATGAAGGCGTCCAATGATGAATCGTGCGGCTGCTACACCGATCGTAACGCATGTCCAGGAATACAACGATACGAGCACGATTCCGCCGCGAGAAGATGGAGCATTGCGGTGGCCAGGTTCAGCACCACTCGAGTCCATTGCACTCCGAATATGAAAGAGGGAACGATAGAGGGGCTATCACATGAGGGTCTGGCAAGACGACGGCAATCAAGGCCGATGGCAACGGGGAAAGTTAAGAGCATTCGGTTCGACAGCCACCAAATATTCCCTTCCTTCGAATGCAAAGTTGCGTTTTGGCCCACGAAAGCTCCTTGCAGGTTGGCAAGTGCGTCGTGTCGTCAGTGAATGACAAGCATTCCTCGAGCCAGTCCCGGTGCATTGGTTGAGAGAACAACAAGGTGATTGTCTGAAGGGGGAGCCACACGCGACAAGCCAGCACGAGCGACAACGTCTCAGCCCACATTGGAGGTAGCTAACGAGCAGGGCCGTGCCGTACGGCTTTTCCCTCACCCTTGTATTCCTGTTGGGCCGCTCGCATCCTGATCACCCGGGCCAGGTTCGTTTCGGGATTCTCTGGGCGAGCCGTGCGAGGGTAGTGCGCCGCAAAAAGCGAAGTCCAATGGCAGCGGGTAGCCGACGAGCGGGGAACAAGGGACCCGCAAGCCTATTTGAACGAGACCTCAAATCGAGGATGCATTTGTCGCCAGCCAAGGTCTTTCGAAAAGCCCGCTTTCGAGCCTCCGTGGATCCATGTCCCAACATTGTAAGCGCTGAAAGGTAGTCTCTGAAGGATTTGTGCGCTGATTGGACTGTGTATCCATACGAGAGTCAGTTTGCGTCGTCTGCGAAGGCCAAAGAGACAAGGAAGGATGCTCGCCTCGTACAAATGGATGAGATTTACGCCCTGCATGCATCCTAACCTCTCGCGTGCAGGTATGCGCTCCGACAGCTTGGTTCGAACGCATGTCTTCTTTCCTGCGGCATAGCTCGCTTGAAGCCTGTCGGCCCGTATCTCTAAGAGCTCTCGGTTTGTGGGGCTTTCCTGTCTCTGCTGCTCTCCTTCATATCGCCCGTTGCCCTTCTTCCCCTCCTCCATAACCCCCGTTCTTAGACCCTGAAGGATGGATTTGAACAAAGACACCGACATGCAGGTGACGTCTGATCTCGAGGAAGTCGAAAACAGCTCCGGCCATGGTGAGAAGACACTTGTTGTGCAGTCCCAAAAGGCCTCTGGTGGATCACAACCGCATATTCATTCCCTCGAGGTTCGTCCCTACCCCTGCCAACCTGCTGTGCTCGCCGCAATGCATCCCCAAACTCACCTCTGACAATTTTCTCAGCGATACATCAACTTATCCTCCATCTTCAATTTTGGGTTCATTCTCCTAGCTTCATGGGAGTCTTTTGCCGTTACCTTTCAATTCGCTTTGTATAATGGCGGCCCAGCCGCTATGTTCTATGGCTCAATCTTGGCTAGCATTGGGGTAGTGGCTGTGGGGTCCTCGTTGGCCGAGTTAGCTTCGATGTAAGTTCCAACCAATTGCCAATTAGCAACTCACTAAGGCTCTGTAGCGATCCGACTGTTGGGGCCCAATATCGCTGGACAGCTAACCTCGCGCCGCGTGGTAAGCGTTTCTGGGGATTGTTGCAAGGTAAGCTCTCCTCGCCCTCATTCAAGTAGCTGTACTGATACTAAGGCTGCACAAAGGATGGATTACCGTTTCGGCATGGTGCTTTGCTTGCAGCGGGCCACCAAGTATTCTCGCAAATATGATTACATCTCTTGCAATCTTCAACAATGAGTCGTATGTGCCGGAGCGCTGGCATACAAGCCTGATCATGATCGCAACCATTATCGTACCCTTTGTTTTCAACCTGTGGTTCCGCAAGCTCCTCGATGCTTTTGAAATCATTGGTGGTGTACTACACATTGTTCTCTTCCTCGTTATGGTCATCGTGTTGATCGTCTTCGGACCGCGGAGTAGTCCAGAATTTGTGTTCAAGACTCTTACTTGGGACCAAACTGGTTGGAACAATGCGGGTGTATCGTGGGGTCTGGGACTGCTCACCCTGACCTTTTCTGTATCCGGTAGGAACTCTAGCACCCTACTATCTGACCCAACTGACCAAGCATTCTTGCAGGATTTGACAGTGTTCTTCATATGAGTAAAACAAACCCTATCACAATCTCTAGCGCTGAATATGCTAACGCTAAGCTATAGGCGACGAAGTTAAGAAAGTGCATACGAGAGTACCACGAAGCATCATTCTAGCATGTGTCTTCAATTCTCTCATGATGTTCATCTTCGTAACCGTTCTCCTCTTCTATATCGGCCCTCTCGATCCCCTTTATTCTTCCCCCCTTCCTTTACTCCAAGTCCTTTACGGTGCCACCGGCTCCAAGGCTGCCACTAACACCCTAGTAAGCCTGATCTGCGTGATCATGTTTTTTGCGCTTTTCAATATCTTCGCATCGGTATCGCGTTTGGTATGGGTGTTTGCTCGCGACAAGGGCCTTCCGTTCCATAACTTCTTCTCCTACGTACGTTCACCCCCAAGCCATCCCTGCACCCCATAAACCTAACGTCCGGCGATTAGGTCCACCCAACCCTCAAACTTCCCGTCAATGCGCTCCTCCTAGTCGGCAGCATCGTAACTCTCCTCTCCTTAATCTACATTGCCTCCGCCGCAGCCTTCAACGCACTCATTGCCCTCCAAGCCCTTGCCATCTATATCTCCTATTTCTTCCCCATCTTCTTCATACTTCTCCGCCGTCTCCGCGGTCCGCCACCCCCCTACGGCCCCTTTAAGCTTGGAAAGTGGGGAATCCCGGCGAATGTCTTTGGCCTTTGTTATGTCATTTTCGTGGTTATTTGGATGCCACTTCCGCAGGTTTTGCCGGTTACGAAGGATAACATGAATTATGCGGGACCCATTTTTGGAGTTGTGGTGGCATTGGCGTTGGCGGATTGGTTTATTAGTGGGAGGACGAGGTTTCAGATGCCAGTCACGAGGTATGAATAATGCGTGTGTGGAGGGGGGAATATGGTGGGCAAAGAGGCAATGGAAACATCGGGGTAAATGTTGGAAGGATGATGCCGTACGAAATGACATAGAAAGTGGCCAGATTAAGCGCTGGTGAGACCTATAGACGGTCGAGCACGACGGGGGTGATGTGTAGATACATAGAGCCCATTTAGCACCCTCCTACATGTCTCCCCGGTGTTCTATCCCAGCCAGAGTCACGTAATTCACCCCTTTCCAGTTTAGGGGGTGGGGCTTCACAAAACAACCAGGAATCCCAAACATTGATTATCTTTATCATCATCACTGGTATTTTAATGACCGCACGTGGATATCCGAATTCTGATCCTTTGGCACATCAAACCATGTTCCCATTTTGTGGAAAGATCTGTAATTTAAAGCCCATGGCAATCGAGTGCCCCACTCTTAACTTGGTGTAAATGTTCGCTCATGGAACCCCGTGCTCTGGCATGTGCATTTTCCCAGGGGAATACCGAGCAAGCATGTGATGTTGTGCAACCTCATTTTGTAAATTTCGCACGTGGTCGAAGTCTTTAATATATTTAGTTCTAATTCTTTTAATGAGAGTCTCTGCCTGTGTTTGAAGAGGAGACATTCCAGCATTTACACAAGCGACGTCGGCTTTGCTGGAGCTAGAAGTAATTGAATCCATTTTCGGTGGCTGTCGGATGTTTGTTCTCATATGAACTTGGTGTGTTCACTTTGGTATCTAGGGCTCAAGCTATGGCATTCGGAGGATTTTGGTACTTGCAAAGTTCGGGATTTAAGGTAGAGAGTATTGCGACGGAACAGAACACATTCCTTGAGTTTTAGGTGTTATCAAGCCATGTTTCAGACCGACTACTGGAATCAAAGTCTTGTGTATCTCAGCATGGAAGGAGGGTTAATGTGCAGAGACAGAGCTAAATTGGTAGTTGTTCTACCAAGTAGGCCGAGAGAGTTGTCGATGACTTCAATGCAAAGGAAGCGTCATGAGAGGGATCTATTCTTCGACCTCATCGAAGTATAGTACGGCAGTTTTGATGGTTCGTTGAGAAAGACCTTCGGAACTGAGTCAATTAATACCGAGAACAACTGACCCAAAACGAGAGCCTAAGGAGGTCATACGTCAGCGTGCAGAGAGTTTCTAGACCATGAGGTTGCTCTGTTTCATGTATTAGAATCTAGTATGTGGTATAAGGACGGGGCTCGCCCTCACAACCAAAAGGGTACGAATAATCTACCGACAGTGGGTTCGCGTGTAGAATATTATTTTGCCTTACATGTGGGCTCTACAATGATGTCTAGTGAGCTGAGTTTTCGATAAGGAAAGAGAAAGCCGAGTTCTTGGAGGTAAAATGGATTAGGTTATGTTCCCGTATTCGTGGAATTTATACCCTACCAATGAGGCTCCAAAGAACCGGCTTCTAGGAGGACATACAGTCACGTGATTTACATGTGTCATTTTACCCCATGGAAACTGGAATGACTGGCGATGATATTCGCTCTTATGGGACTTCGGTAGTGTTCTCACACAAAAACCGATTACGAAACTAGATATGGACCGAAAGACGCACAATCTCGTCCTACGACGACTCAACATGTACTGGGGAGGAGTGCGTTGTTAAATTTGCAGAGCGTGGGGATTGTAATGTTTCGGGCCGTAAAAGGGGCAGCAGACAATACAATAGCGTAGTAATGCCTAACATCATTATAATTGGAATATCGTCTGCACTCAAGACCGACCCATCAAAAAGCCCTCTGTGCAGAAGTCTTCGTGAATGAAGAGACGGAAATACTTGGGGCCAATAATCTGTTATTGCAGCGGCCAGACCGAGGGTATAGTCTATGAGGGTGCTGTCACCCGAAACGCCAATCCGTCAACCACACAGACTATGCATACTTTCCATAAATCGTGATAGAACTCAGAGGTCTGCTTTCGGGGCCTCAGCCTCTTTCTGTTTTGCTTCCTCCGCCTCCTCCGTCTTCTCCCTATCTACGGCTACGAATTCCTCCTCAGCAGCCTCAGTCTTCTGTTTCTTCGATAATGGCTCGGCAGGATCTTTCGGCTCCTCGGTCGGCACGTCAGGAAGCTTAGCAGCAAGCTCGGTCTCGTCAGTCGATTTTTCCTTCCCGGGTTCATCAGCGTTCTCAGGCTCAGCGACGACAGGCGGGAAGAATCTCCTATGCACGCCGATTAACAAGGCTTCCTCAGCTCTCACTCGCCAAAACCTACGGGATATTCTCGAAATAGGCATCCTCATCCTTTTGCATGAAATTGCAGAAAATAATCCTGTCCATGTCATCCGCCTTCCCCTCATCCATGAACTGCCTCACAGTTGCCAAGGCCGTCTCGCTCGCCTCACCGCTCGGATACCCATAGACGCCGGTACTCAAGGCTGAAAACGCAATGCTCTTCAACCCATTCTCGACCGCCAGCTCCAGGCTCCTCCTGTAGCACCCGCTCAGCAACGTCGTGTGCTTGCCAGCCGCCCGCTTATCCCAGTATATCGGCCCAACAGCATGAATTACCTTCTTCGCGGGGAGATCGTAGCCGTTGGTGATTTTCGCATCGCCGGTGTCGCAGCCTTCGAGGAGCTCGCACTCGTCGAGGAGCTCAGGGCCTGCGGCGCAGTGGATGGCGCCGTCGACGCCGCCACCACCGAGAAGGGAGTTGTTGGCTGCGTTGACGATGCTGTCGACGGCGAGGACGGTGATGTCTTGGCGAATGACGGAGATCTTATCGTTGTAGGCTGCGGAGGGGGTGGGGAGGGTCGAGGGGTCGAGGTCGGGGGAGGGTGCTATTTTATTGATCTTGTAGAGGAGCGAGAGAGTAGGGATTTCGGAGAGGGGGATCGCGTCGGCCATTTTGCGGCGACGGTGGTGGAAAGAGCGAGTCCGTGGAGGGAACCTACAGGTTGAGGTTCGGGGGAGGCAATTTCGTGTTAGATGAAGGAGCATATACAGGCAAGGAAAGGGCAATGGCGTTGTGGGCGTTGGGTGCAGCTGAGAGTTTCCCGACAGGCCTGGGAAGCGGGGGAGCTTGGGCCACTTCCCCCACCCCACCTTCGCCCGGACATCTTCAATCTTCCCCGTCTTTCGAACAAAATGCGAGAAATCACCCCTCCAATATCGTATTCAAAATGCTCTTCCTAGGTGGCTTAGCTGGCCGAGGGTAATGCTCGCCGAGAGCTACTATCTGATGCCCGGGATAGCGCGCCAGTCTGACATGACCCGCTAATGCATCAGACCCTCCATCTTTCGCAAATCTACGGATTAGTTAGGTAACTACGTATAAAGCTTCGTAAATGCGTCCCGGTTCATCGTGTCTTCTTTTCTTTTCTTTTCTTGGTTTGTCTTTTTCTTTCTCCCTAGAATTCAGCGATCATGCCATTCCTTTCAAAGACGCAGGTCGACATACCTACCCAAGACATTCTATCTTGGTGCTTTGACAATCCCCAATACGACCTCGATCAGCCTGTGCGTTCTTACACAGTAGTCCTTCCAGTCTGTTTGAATTGAAACCGACAGTCGCAGCTCTGGATCGATGCCTCGAATCCGCAACGATCAGTCTCTGGCCGCGAAGCTCGCACGCTCATCTGCAAGTTTGCAGCCGGCTTACGTAAAAATGGCCTACAGCCAGGTGATTGTGTCGTAGTATCCTCATTCAACCATGTAAGCGGGCTTGCTCTCACCTTATTCCTTTTTCGACCACACATATTAATCATGCCAGCTTCACTATCCGATCCTAATCTTTGCGATCGTCGCAGCAGGGGGTGTCTACACTGGTACGAATCCCAGTTACACGGCGTACGAGATCGCCCACCATGTCAACATCACGCATGGGAAGTTTTTTATCTGTGAACCGGAGATTTTAAAGCCGGTACTGGACGCGAAGCACGATTTGCCAAAGGAGAAGATATTTATTTTTGATCATTCGGGTCAGGACATTCCTGAAGGCTTCAAGTCTTACAAGACGCTACTTGACCATGGAGAAGCAGAATGGTATGTACTAACCCATCAACAATTCCCGAGCCCACCTATGACATGTCGGGTTTACAGCAGAAACTGGGCCCCTCATTGCCTTCTCTCTAATTCCAGCGAGAAGCTTAACACTCCACACCTACCCTAATCATGTCCCGTGACACATCTAACCATCGCAATCCCAACTAGGGCCCGCTTCAGCTCCCCCACAGAATCCCAAACGACAACCGCCATGCTCTTCTTCAGCAGCGGCACCACCGGCCTCCCCAAGGCCGTCCAGGTCTCACACTACAATATCATCGCCCAATACACTCTCGTCTTCGAGACACAACCCCGACCCTACCCTATCAGCCGCCTCGTCTCCCTCCCTCTCTTCCACATGGCCACCACACCACCAGCACTCATCGCACCCCTGCGCGCCGGACACACGACCTACATGATGCGGCGATTTGAGCTAGAGGCCTTTCTCGCATATCATGAAAAATACCGCATTACTGAGTTGTGTTTTATCGTGCCGCCGATAGTTATCAGCATCATCATGAGCCCGCTGAGCAAAAAATATAGTCTCAAAAGCGTGCGCTTAGCCGCCTGTGGGGCCGCACCACTAGACAAAGTCCCGCAAGCTCAATTCAAAGAGCTTCTCGCTCCCGAAGCACCTTTTACACAGGTGTGGGGTATGACAGAATGCTCGTGTGTAGCGACAATGTTCCCCCACTCTGAGCACGACGCCACTGGGAGCGTGGGCAGGTTGATACCAAACCTTGATATCAAATTAGTAGATGAGCTTGGGAAGGATGTCAGTGCGCCGAATATCAGGGCGGAAATCTGTATTCGCGGTCCGACGATCACGCGAGGCTATTTCGAAAACCCGGAAGCGAATGCTAGGGACTGGGATGAGGAGGGGTATTTTCATACTGGAGATATAGGTTTTGTAGATGAGGGCGGGAAGTGGTATATTGTTGACCGGAAGAAGGTAATTCCTCACATCACTCGTGCTTCCCTGAAATCCTACGCGTTCCGCCCCTTCTTCGACCTTCTTTTGAAGATAGTACCAGGCTAAGAATTCCACAGGAGTTAATCAAAGTCCGCGGTTTCCAAGTTGCACCCCCCGAGCTCGAGGCCGTTCTCCTCTCACACCCGTCAATCGTCGACGCAGGCGTGATCGGGATATCAGTGCCGACGCGCGATATCCAGCTTCCCCGTGCGTACGTTGTTCAACGTGATGATACTAATGATCTTACTGAAGAGGATGTGATCGCGTTTGCAGCCGAACGACTGGCGAAGTATAAGAGACTTGATGGGGGAGTTAGATTTGTGGAGAGTATTCCGAAAACGGCGAGTGGCAAGATTTTGAAGAGAACATTGAGGGAGTGGGCGGGGAGGGAGGTGGGGAGTAAGCTTTGAAGACCAGGGGTTAAGAAGGGAGGCGGTGGGGTTTTATGCATTGATCACTTCTAGACTCGTCGAATCTTGGAACGTTGGAAGGGAAAAGCAAGGTGTACAGGTTATCTAATTACTCACCTTAGGGCCACCTTTCCCTCCCTGCAAGAGTACATAAACCCCCTTCTAACCGGCAAACGTACTTATCTCCCTAGCATACCCGCTCTCTCCTATAAAAACTTCGAGGCGATCATTCCACTTCTCCGTTCTCAGCACGAACTAAAAGGTATAGGACTATGCACTATGTCATCTATCTCTGACTATTTATTACCACTATTCCCAGAACATTGCCTCGGGCCAGTAAAATGTATACCAAATGATGCTATGTCTAGTTCTCAAAAAATCTAGATGACCTTATGGACGTGAGATCCCCAGCTCTCCGTGTCTTAAATTCGCTTACTCTTTTGCTGTGTAATAGTATCCACGACGCCAATGTCTTCTCTCCCCTCGAGCGAATTAATATGCCGTTCAGTCCGCTATTAAGAGTTGGGCTAAGAACTGGAAGAGTTGTAGAAGTTATCTGGCTAAGAAACATCGCAGAATAGTCTTATAGTTCTCTACCTTGAGGTGCGAATAGACTTTGAATTTCTAACGCAGTACCTCTATGTCAGCTTTCTCCCCCTGCAAATAAAATGGACACCCTCCAGCGACACGGGGCAGAGATCCGGCTTCTATAAGCCTACTCACTCAAAGTTGATGTCGTGTCACAAACTTTAGCCGAACAATCTCACAGTTCTCAGCCCTGCGCGGTAGCTAAAATCCTTACCATTGGCCCACAAGTCTCCTTCTCCTCTTTTACGGACTCGAGGTCACAAGATAAGGAAAAATGACTGTGAAGAATAAAATCAACGACTCTTACTACGCATTTGCTATAAAATTGCTTCTTTGGCACTTTATGTTTTCCACAGTATCCGTCAAGGCGGAAATAATATCTGTCAAACTATATGCCGTGACTGCTCCTCGACCGTTGCTGTGGGCAACTCTCGCTCTTACTCTCTCTATGAGGTACTAAAAGCATTCTTTAGGGCCGTCCATGCGCACCTCCGTAAGTTGGCTAGGCGGAAAGCAATCGAGATACTGGTCCCATGTATACTCTTGTCTAGTAGGAATAAAGAGAGAGCGTGCTCGTGATTGCTGCGCGTACGTTTTATCCACCTATATATATTCTTCTGCTGTGTTTGGTAAAAGGCTGACGTTTTGCCACTTGTATCAGAGATGCCCCGCCTTCTCGAGACTCATCGAGGAGAGCAAAAAGTTCTTGATCATTAACAACAAAAGGTAGAGGCTGAAGGCTGAAGGTTCCGTAAAGTGTACAGCTGAATGGGCAAACTCGAGGGCCTCAAGTTTGTGTTTTCGTTTGAACTTTCATTCTTATCGCTTCATTTCTGTGGTACCAGTGCATTTGGCTTCCTCGGCATTAAGACCTGTATAGGAAAGCTATGTTCTCAAACACCATACAAATAAGCTCGCAAGGCTTCCTTTCCCTCTTCAGCCGCCGTTTGTAGCGGACCTCTTCTTTCATGTCCAACTCTCGCCTTAGAATGCTGCGTGCGCGTTGCTCCCGAGATCGCCTCGAGTGTTGTCGAGGTCCTTGCTCTCGTGGGCTGCAGCTCCGCTTGTTCCGAAACATATGTAGGGTTGATATACGTCGCTCTCTCCACATCATCAACTACGATGTCGCAGGCATCGCAATCTACCTTGCCATCATTATTCGGTCTATTGACTTCCTCAAGCACAGACTCCGACAGGTTTCCCATTAGCACAGCCTCGACCACTCTGCGTTTTAACCAGGGGGTGTCATTGATATTGGTTGGGTATGCACCCTTGGCTTTCGCTGGGTCTGTCTTGTAATTTTGCTGAGGATAGTTGTAGGGCCCTCCGAACATGCTTAGATTTGTAAGTAAATGGTTAGGTTGCCAGTTAAGGCGATGAACGTACGGATCATTGTTAAGCGCACGGAACCCATGGTCTAAAACGGTAGACACATATTGCTGCTTATTGGATTCGAATGAGAACGTCGCTGCATGTGTTAGCTCGGGGCTTTACGCTAACTGCCAGGTCCCTTACCAAAGCACAATGACCCCGCCGTCTGTGGTTCAAACTGGATCTCCAGGTTAGCGATGCTAATTGTTTGCAAGAAAGTTCCTTACCCCATATGCGTAGATAAAATGCTTGCCATCTGTCTTTTCATTTGGTCTTGGATTACTAGGATCGAACGCCCAAGTAATTGGAGGCTCCGGATCCTTGATTTTGCAGACCTTGTCTCGATATAAGCTACACGGCTCCCAAACAGCTGCTTTCCAAGCACTAAAGTCATTGCCTTGCCTGCCATTGGCTGGACCATTGACCAAACGGCAGATTTGTGGATTCGGTATCCGTCCTTCCCTTAAAGATCCCATAGGAAACTCGTCAACCTGGCATCGAGCGACTTTGTTAACAGGTTTTTGGGCTTCTTTCTGGTATCCAGAGTGCTGGGGTTTCCATTCTTTCTTGGAGTATTGGCTGTCCTTTCCTCGCTTTTGGTAATGATATACTGTGTTTCCGTGGAGCCCCTTGTCGATAGCCCATCTTTGATTATCGCAGACTTCATCCCAGGACTTCCCGTATCTGCAAGTGTAGGTGACTGTGCAGTCGCAGCTTGTAGTACTCTTCATCGCGGAACCAAAATTCAGCACTTCCCATTGGCCGATTTTCTTGCCTGGCACTGGAACGCCGGTATTCCTGCCAGCAGGTGGGGAGATAGGCCGAGGCCATGGTTGTAGCATCCCCAGGATTCCTGATGCAATGAATCCAATCAAACTGCCAATTGCCACGCATGCCGCATACTCAGCTGGAATACCGAGGAGAGATAGACCAGCAGTAAAGAAGGCCAGAACTGCGTTAGCAGCAGCTACAAGCTCCGCGCAGAAAGTAGCACCCAGAATCCCACCAAGGAAACCCCCTCGGACTCCACGGCGATCACGCTTGCTCACTCCACCTTGACCGATCAGCCCAAGATTCCCTGTATTGGTTTTTGAAGATGGGACAAATCCACTACAGCAGTACGCTTGGTACCCGCCGTTACAGTCTTGATCTCTGGAGTTTGTGTTGCGCGCCACTATCGTCGCCGAAGAGTCAGTGCATACCGGGGCGCAGGATAGCCCAACGCCTCGCCAGCCATCCCATTGGCATTTGCCCATGCTAGTTCCCGGGGCACAGCAAAGGGTTGTTGGCTTGTCCGCAGGACATTCAGTGTCACGCTGGACCCCGGCGATCTGACCTGTGGAGGTAGTGGCAGGAAAATAGCCAGGTGTGCAATCGCCTCCGCAAAAGGTCCAGTAGCAGGAGCTTGCTACTGCGGCCGCCTGCGTTGCATTATTTAGTTGGTCTTTGATCTTTTTCGCTTTGTCGGCGGATATTCCATTTGCGGGACCGATTCCTAGGAGGTCGTTGACGCTGGAGCTCTGCGAATCGTCCTGGTCAACGGCCCAGATCATTTTCCCTGCCAGGCAGCGACTATTCGCGTGAGCTATCTTCAGCTGTATGGTCTCTCCATCATCATAGCTGATCCATTGGTTGGAATTCCAGGTAATCCATTTCACGGCTGCTTTACGATCAAACCCCTTCTGAACACCCCCTTTTGCAATAATTCGGTTGATCTCTGCATTCGTTAAGGTGCCCGCCGAGTTTGTGCACTCTCCTGGAGTACCTCCTTCCGAAAAGGTACATACGCCATTTGGAGTGTTGCACGATGGATTCGCCAGCGTAAACGACCGCCCGTACCAACCCAAACCGAGGACAACCTTAGCTGGATCAACCCCAGCTCGCCATAACAGATCAAGGCCCTCTTCGATTTCGGTCAAATTGGTGTGAGGTTTCACATATGGGCCGGTATGCTTGTTGCCTTTATCCCAGACTCCGTGAATATCGTAACTCATAATATTCATCCAGTCGACATAATTCTGGATAGCCTTTACATCGAACCCTTGGAGATACCAGTAAGAGGCTGGGAGTGTCAAGCTGATCCCGTGTCGGCTTCCAAAGGCTGACCTTAGTTCTTTCAGGAATGTAACAAAGTTTGTCTTATCCGCCTTTACGCCGCCTCTATCATCCGCGGCGGGATACTCCCAGTCGAGGTCGACACCATCGAAGTTGTATGTTTGCATGAATCGACCGAGACTCGAAATGAATGCTTGGCGACTTCTAGATGTCGCAACCATGTCACTGAAAGCGGTCCGTGTATTTGGTACATTCGTCGGATCATTGAAAGACCAGCCTCCTACTGATATCCAAGTTTGCAATGCCGGCTTTTTTAACTTCAAAGAGGTAAATCGTTTGTAAAGGTCCGAATCGCCAGAGCTCATGGGCGTCATCTCAAAGCTTTTAGGGTCGAAGAAGGCAAATGCGAAATTCAAATGCGTAAACGGGGTCAGGTCAATGTCTTCCGGCGATCTCTTATCGCACGCTCGAGTGGTTGACCTTGTCCATATTCAGCGAGATACACCTCAGGGTAAGAGCCTTGGCAAACCGATGACTTACCAACTCTCATAATATCCGATAGTTCTTTCCGAGGTACTATCTCCCCCAGCGCAAGATGGTCGTGGAGAGTCACCGCAACTTCCATATCCCTTTTGGCATGGATGTTCTCCAGTAGTTGTACAGAAGAGGTCCGTAGAGCCGCAGAATCCGTAGTCAGAACAGCATACATTCAGCGGACATTGCTGATCTTCCTTCTTCGCGTATTGACCGCAGGGGGCAGTTGCATTGCAGTTCGAAATGCAATTGCCAGAGCCGCATTGCGCTGGAGCAAAACCGCAAATGCCTGTCTTACTGCAACACGCCCCATTCACGCATGGAGTGCCTGGTGCGCAGGTTCCTTCGGGTAGATCACGTTTCGAGAGATCTAGAAGATCTCTCCTACGACTGGGTTGGTTCTTGTCCTGCAGCACTTTTATCAAAGGATTGGCGGTTTTTCCAGTGACATTGATGAATTTTGGTGTCGAGTTGGAGTGCTTTTCGAACAATGGAAGATAACGCGCTGACCCATTGTTGGGACCATCAGAGTTTGTAGCATTTGTTGCATTCCAAGCGGCTGTTGTCAACCCGAACCAGGAGAGCCAAAAGAGCAGAAAATGGCTTGCCATGACTGACTCGAGACGTTAGGGGGTGAATGCCGGATTAGAACTTTTAATAAGTCTGGATGCCTTAACTTCGCTCTTCCTGTGGGAGTTTGGCAATCATAGAACGGCTCGTCCGAGACTCTAGTGCAAATGAGCTGCCACTCTATTGCCTTGCCAGCCTCGGTGAGAAATTTCCCACCTTGGGGACGTAGGAGACCGGACGAAGCTCGATCTATCCCCTTTCTCTCTAGCAAATGCATACCAGAATATTAGCATGCTGGGGTTAAGATGAAGGTGGTGATTAAATGTCAGACTAAACACCTTAAGAGTCTAGCAACCTACTAGATGGGGGCCAAATTGATGCACTGGAGAGTGTTAATAAGTAGCACAACCCCGCCTCCCAGGTACTAAAATCCTTTCGGTTACTACCACATGCATCCTGTACCTGAGACTCACTATATAAATTCAGGGCGGATATTGGAGGAACCGTCTGGGATGAAATTTGAATGCTGGACTAATATTGAGATAATTTGCTGGTGGATTTGGTCCATAGACACTCTCTAGCTGAACACCCACCGATTACCAGGTAGGAGGCCGAGTATGCGAACTCAATCTGCTGTGCATGTCGCACAAATACACTTGGCGTGAGAATCAAATTCCGACTGCATGCAATCATATTTAGTTAATGGAAGAATTGATTAGTATTGAAGAATCAATCTCGTGCAAGGCTGATTCGTGATCTTTTCGTGATCTCCTTTCATTCTGTTGAGAAGCCCTTCACTTCTGAGTCTTCCAAGCAGTTATGTACGTGCTGGATCTGAGCTGATCCATTTTACTATTTTCTAATTACCTAACATCATCCATTTCGTAGTTCTCCTTGAGAGGAGCAACACCATACCCAGAGGTTAGGGCTCAATATTTTGAGCTGTACACCGCCCATCAAGCGTGTCGAACATGGCACCATGGATGCTTCTTCAAGTTCTACTTGTTGTAAACAGCGCAAATGCCGCCTTTAACGTTATGTCTGGCTATGATGCTATGGTCCAGTTCAACATGGGCATTTCAACTAAGTGCTTGACCGCTATGTGTGTCTCACCCAAACAAGTTCCTTGCTTGGGACCATCAATTATTCTGACGTGAGTTCAGGAACAAGACTGTGGACTGCGATGAGGCCACAGCGCATATGTCTGCGAAAGGGATGGACGAAAACTACTGGTATAAGGAGAACATCACAAAACTCTGCACGTCGCAATGTTCTACATCAGTGAACGCTTGGTTGAAGTCAGTGGAATCAGATTGCGCGACGGACACGATCACCCAAGGTGGGATGGTCGTTCAAGCAAAGACCGTGCCACTTCAATACACACATGCATATAATGTGGCATGTTTACAAAACAGGTACGGTCCTTTTCCTCAATAAAAGGCTCGGCTTATGATTCTAGTGCTAAAGAGTGGTGCTTTCTCGAATCACAGACTTGGTCAGGAAGTGACTACGTTCGATATCATCCTGCCATGTGCCTGCAGGATCAGCCGCCCGAACTCTGCAACGACCCTGATTTTGATATTGACCAGATCAACCCCTCCCTCCAAACTATTACGGGGCTCTACAGCTCCTCCCTATACTGTAACGAGTGCTTTCTGAAGCTCTGGAGGCAGAGGCTACTCTCGCCATTTTTAGTCCCCGGAAACTGGACAAAGTACCGAATGGACCAGTTCGAGACGTTACAGAAGAATTGCTCTACTTCTATGCCTTATTCTACTTCTGCATCTACGTTATATATTGGGACTCCGAATGCGACGACGCCAACACCAACTAGCGGGACGATAATCACATGGGGGGTGACCATAACCCCGACGTGCACCGGTCAAGTTGTCCAACCTCTAGCAACCCCATTGGCATGTAATGATTTATCTGACTTGTATCATGTCTCTACTGGGGATGTGAAAGTTGCAACTGCAGATCCTTTCTGTAGCTTCGACAAACCGATCTGCCTTCCACTTGCATGTGAGTTGAAAGTTATTACCAAGTATGGCGAAACATGCGCTTCACTTACGGCTCAAATCTCAAATTCAACACGAAAGGTCACACAGCAGCAATTCTTTGGTTGGAATCAGAATATTCAGGGAAGTTGTGACGACCTCGCTCTTGATCAACGCGTTTGCACTAGGTATGCCGCGTGCGTTAGGCTTTTGCTGTCACTGACCCAACCGCAGCCCGCCTGGAGGGCACTGGTCTACTAATTCTACGATCATTTCTCCTACAAGCGGCTCCTCGGTCTACTATACAACGGCAACTCCGCTCTATCCTACGCAAACTGGCTCAATAACAAACTGCGGTCGATATCACGAAGTGGTGGAAGGAGACACATGTAACCTGGTGTGTCTGCTCTACGGAATCACCTTCGCGGCTCTTCGAAAATTTAATACCTACCTCAATGTCGACTGCACGAATCTTTGGCTCAAATCCTCAGTTTGCGTGGGAGAAGTCACACCTGAACCTGTCTCACAAGATGGTTTATGCGGACCAAACAATAAACACGCGACGTGCACAAATAGCAAATTTGGGTCATGTTGCAGTGTTCATGGCTTCTGTGGCGACGGCACCGATTATTGCAGCCCGGGAAACTGCTTCTCTGGCAAATGCACAGGGCCACCGACCAGTACTACAAACGGAACTTGTGGGCCGGATGTCGGTGGATTGACGTGCGATAATCCGAAGTTTGGGCCCTGCTGCAGTATTTACGGTTACTGTGGCGACGGTAAAGATTTTTGTGGGCCTGGGAAATGGTATGTCCTGAAACTATCTTCCCGCGAAAACGTCGAGACTCACGAATTTAGTTACTCGGGTAAATGCGATCCAGATATTGGTGGGCCTTCAATTAACGGCGAGTGTGGACCGCTCTTTCAAGGAAACAAGACGTGTACTGGAACGCAATTCGGAACATGCTGTAGTCAGTATGGGTATTGTGGTAGCACGGATGATTTTTGTAAGGGCAAGAACTGCTATTCAGGGGCATGTATAAATAAGTAGAACGAACAGTGCACGTGATCGAATATATTTTGGTGTGGATCGGTGTGATAGGCCAGTACGTAGTTAATTGCGCCACAAGACGTAAGCCGCGGCGGAAATATATTAACTTCATATTGGTAGCACAGATCGCGCACGTCTTTCATAAAAACAAGCTTTCGCCCTCGACCAACATCCAAGCTATGCAACTCATTGTGCCGAATTCGTCTTTCTTTGACTTCACATCACCATACTTAGCCCAAGATCGAATCTTCACTACTTTCAATGTAAGCATGAATGCTGAACGATGCGCTTTACTCCACAATGAAATCGTGAAACTCGGTTGGGAAGGTTCAGGCCGGGATCTTGACGACCTACCACAAAGAAATTGGTTCGAATTCTACGGCGACGAAGCAAACGAGATTCGCAATTCGTTATCACCAACCCTAGGCACGTTTCTCGAGCAAGCTTGGGAAGTCGGAGACGACCACTCGTTCTTTTACTACGTCATGGGCTTGTCCCACCCAAGCAATTTATTTATAAACCATAGCGAAGAGAAGAGCCGTGGAGAAAAAGAGAGATTCCTGACACTTTATGCGGCGAACGACATTGCAGAGCATCCTGGTGGCTTGATGTAAGTGCTCGTGTCAGTATGCAGGCCATGTCTGACTCTTTATAGATTTGACCAAAATACTGATACCGCAATCATCCAAATGACCGTCGAGGATGGCAGCACAATTCACAATGGACGGCAGCTGTGGTACCCTTTGGAAACTGTTTTAGAAGCGTGGCTCGACATGATACATGTGGGGAAAATCCGAGCAGTAACCGGTGACGTCGAAGGCCCAAACCCGAAATTCGATCCGTGGATTAATATTCCATACAGTGACAAAATGCTACAGGAAACTATTAGTGTCTTTAATCAGCTGGTGGAAGCCATTGAATCGCGTATGCCTGGCACACACCAGGAACCTAGCGCAACGGGACTCGTTGACGACGTGATCCTTCGAGAGAGTCAAGTTCCTCCCGGATTTGCTTATGAATTCATTCGGAATGTTCGCCGTCCACGATTCCAATATGTGGCGCCCGGTCTCGCGCTCCCAACACCGTCGACTTTTTCAAACCAGGTCTTCTTCTCTATCCTACCAGATCCGCCACCAGATGATGATGATCCAGTACTCGCCATTGCACCAATTCTTCTTTTCCGATCAACGCAGAACTACACCGCACCTCCCGATGCCGACATCACTGGTTACAATCTGCCATTCAGTTGGCCATACAGTCAGGTTTCCCAATATCCCTCGGGTCTCTACCTCTCTCCGGTGGACCGCGAAAGTAGCAATCCATTTGAAGATGAGTGCACGCTCGTTCTTCCCTTTGGTATTGGAGCGAATGGGTTTGCGCGGACAAGCGACGGAGCGAGATTTGGAGAGAACACTGAGGCAGAAACTTCCCAAGCGAAGGATACGTTTGCAGACTTGTTCCAGCCAGGGTACCAGCCGTTTGTTGAGATGCATGGGGCGAGGTTTGTGGGGGTGTTGAAGAGTTGGTTGGCTATGGTGGAGAACGGCGACTGGAGTGTGAACGAGGAGGGCATTATTGGAGGTATGGATGAGTGGAGGAAAGCGGATACTGCACCAGAGTGGGAGAAGTATGTTGTCCCTGTCGGTTGGTAGTTGGGTTTATGATGTTGTGCGCAATCATAAATGTTGTGAAAAAGGGCACATTTCGAGGGGTTCGCAAGACTTGTCCCATTTTTGGCAATACCGTGTGCACGTCCTCTCAATCAGAACACCATAGTTGCCGATCATCCTGCAAGCGGATGACGGAAAATACGGTGCAGATCGTCGGTAAGCACAGCCTTGTCCAGATCCACATCGAACCAGAGCTAACCTCTTGCAGAATTGAGGAGCGCCACATTAGCTTAGCCAAGGAGTTTACTGCAAGGCATTGGAAATGCCTTCCCTGTGCTTGAGTAATTCGTCGGGATCACATCGTGGTGGTCGTCGATCCGCGTTGCAGAAGGGAGTATTTAAGCTTTTCATACCCAACAGACGGACATCCCAATAAGCCCTTCTTGTGAAAGTCTTGAGAGCCTTTCGCTATGCTGTATACGAACTTGTCTTCGTCCCTTTCCTTGGGCAGCATCTTACTCCTTGTACCGCATCTCATCCCAAGGTAGTGAACTCTACTAACATCCCCAGACCTTTCTCTTGATCTGCAAACTCCGCGCCGTTCAAACCCACCTCCTTCGCTGCATTCCTGGTCCCACACTTGCCTCTCTAACTGACATCCCCTACTCTTACTGGTCCCTCAGCGGCCGTAAAGACTTCATCATCCTCTCTCTCCATGCTAAATACGGTCCTGTCGTCCGCGTCGCCCCGAACGAACTCTCTTTCAACAGTGCTCAATCTTGGCGTGACATCTACGGCGGCCATCCACCGTTCCAGAAATCTGCACTATATGATGGAGCGTGGTTTGCGAATCTTGGAGTGTACGGAATCACAACGTCTAGGGATGAAGACCAGCATAGCCTGATGAGGAAGTATTTGGCGCCAGCGTTTAGTCATAGCGCGTTGCGAGCGCAGGAAGGGCTGGTGGCTGAGCATGTTGATGAGTTGATTGGGTGGATGAGGGAGAAGAGTATCCAGGGAAGTGAAATCATGGATTTGGAGGTGTGGATGAGGATGTGCACTTTTGATATCACGGGGAGTTTGGCGTTTGGGCAGGGGTTTAATGCACTCAAGAATAGTAAGTAAAATATGGCAAAAAGATTTAAACAGGGTGACCATAGGGACTAGAAGGAAAGATGAGCTAAACAAGCTTGCGCAAATTCTATTAATATGAGGCCAACACCCTGCTGTCCGTTTCATTAACGGATCTCTCCGTCAGGTCAGCCTTGCCGACGCCCTACGTCGATATCCGTATCTTAGAAACATCATTGCACTTGTCTTCTCTCGCACCCTGTTGAAGCTAATGCATGGGATGAAGATGTTTGAAAGCTTTGCGCTTACCACAATCCGGCAGTTCGTCCCTTCCACCTTCGTGCTTTCAATGATCCTCGAGCTTACAATCCTGCAGCCGTCTAGCGAACCCCTTGAAGCGTCCCGATTTTCTCACGCGTATCCAGGAGAATTTAGATCCTTCTTCCCCTCATCCGATAGTTGTGCAAATTGCTGCACATGCTGGAGACTTTATGTCGGCTGGCTCTGACACTTCAAATACCACCGTTGGTACCGTGTTGAACTACGCCCTGCGATCTCCCGATCTCTATAACCGGCTCACAACTGAAATCCGCACCAAGTTCAAATCCTACCAGGATATCAACGCACAAGATGCCGCTGCACTTCCTTTCCTAAAACTCTTGATTCTAGAGGCTTTGCGGATATAACCGCCTGTTCCAACTGGACTACCGAGGTTGGTGCCAAAGGATGGAGCTATAGTAGACGGTTTGTTTGTTCCGGAGGGAACGGTTGTGAGTACGAATGGTTTGGCCAGTTGTCTGAGCAAGGCGAATTTTAATAATCCGCTGGAGTTTCGGCCTGAGAGATAGGAAAAAGAAAAGAGGGGAAGGTCACTTCAAGGGATATACTGGGGGCCAGTTAGCCATTTAGCTTGGGCAGTTGGACGTACCTAGGCCAAAAGTATGTTCTCGTTCTCCTAGTTCTTATATCTTCCTCTTAGGCACTTGAGAATTTTTGGCTAACTCTTAGGGTCTGGGCAGTCTAGCATAGATAAAAATGAACACTATCATCGCGAAAATGCTCTAGAGTTTCGATTTAGAACTCACTAACACAGAAATAGACATTCATCGCGATTCAAGGACTAGCCAACTGTGAGAGAGCCCCCCACTACTCGTTAGGGTCAGAGAACGGGAGAAGTAGGGCCCCATTGGGGGGTTTTGCTCAAGGCTATCCATATTACATGATAGAAATCAATCTCACCTTCACCATTCATTTTAATCTAGCAATAGATGGAAACCGACTGCAAACATCTGCTAACGTTTCGAAACATGTCCAAATACACGATAACTGCTGTATCAAAGGCTTACCTATCACGATGTGCAATAACCTAAAACCCCCCCTTACTGTGTGTAAGTGCACGGAGTCCTACGTCGAGGCATTCCCCGCTGCTAAATCAGAGGAAGCCGTTGAGAAGATTCCCATTTAATTACCTTTTCAACAGTAAGCGCCTTTATTCAACGCCCCTGCCACTTGCTACATTAGGAATTCCGATAAAACACCGCAGATCAACGTTAAATAAACCTAGAGCTCCAATTAGCTTGAATCCACTTGATTGGAAATATGTGTCAACTTACAGCCGCAAACCACGAAGGCAACCTAAGCACACTACATGCTCCCGTCTTTGCGGGATTTCCAGCTGTGCCTGTCAAGCTTCCGCCTCCCTTTCCCCCAGCCGTCGTTGCCGCTGCCGTAACCTCCGCACTCGCCAGAAACGGCACCGCCGTATCCGTACTACTCGCTTTCAACACATTCCCCTTCGTCGCACAGAAACTTGTAACTGCTTCATAGTACGGCTGGTCACTTTTTGCGGCCGTACTCGCCCACTTCAAGCAATCGTTCCATGGCGTATCGAATGCATTTGGTGCCCAAACAAGGGAGTTAGCTGGGCTGTCCCGATAACAAAGCACTTGGGCCATATCGTCGTCATCGTAGTAGTCCCAATAAGGGTAATACGCATACTCATAGTAGGCAAGTGTATACCAGGCTATGGCACAGTTGGTGTAGGCAGTGTTTAGGGGAGTGGTCGTGGTCGGACGGGTGGTGGACGCAGTGATTCCAGTGTTGCTGCATTGTACATAGTCGCATGCATTGATGAGACTAGTTTCACGTGCTGCGGAGGCAGTTCTGCGAGGTGGAGTATCTAATACTTCGGTCAGCACTAGGATAATGATTATGAGAAGGAAGATGCACAGTCCGGCCTGTCGGTCACTTTTGGCTTCTGGGAAGCTTCATATCGCGGCGGCGATGCATTCGGCCGTGCTCTTCCTGGAGAGCCAAATCGTGCTGTGACTGGCGCTGATTGGAAGAGAAATGCAAGTGCAACGGTGAAGATAGTGACGCGTAGCATTTTCAAATGAAGAGTAGGGCTTCGTAATTGTTGTGTGCTGCTAAGGTGTCCGCAGAGAGCGGTCCTTTTCAAACATAATTCAGCTAATACCTCGAACCGAACAAGAGCTGAAGCACTGCCTCAAGCTGATTGAGAGGGGCATATAAGCCAAGCCTTGTAGCAAGCGAAAACTTGCCGTTTCAAGAGGGCTCGCTTGAAAATGGTGAGGGGAAATGCAAACTTGGAAACTCTATCACAAAGCCTACATGGGCTGAGGTCGTCTAGTGATGCCCTCCATCGATGGTATTCTCAGCGCGAAAAGTAGTTGGGCGTACTTTCAGCTCGTTAAGCGCTCAAAGGAATCCTCGGGACCTGATGGAGCGACAGCTCAGAGAAGAGAGATGCCATTTTTAATCGTAGATACGCACCTCAAAATTAATAGGCGGCAAGATTGAGAAAGGGGGCCTCCAGGGCACAGGATAGACGCTTGCGCACTTGCAAGAAAAGAGGACTTCAGTCCGTTAAGTTATCTGCATCTAAAGTTCATTCTGGTCCTTTGGTCTCTAATATTCACCTAACTTGATCAATAGAAAATGAGAAGCTTGGGGTCTGGAACGGAGATTGGACACATGACTCTCCGCTCAACTGCTGTGGCGCGGTCATGCTGAAGTTGCGAAACATGCCATCTGAAGTGGAGTGATTGTACTGCAACTGATTAAACCACTACACCAAGGTTTCGATCATCGAACGACCTAAAGTCCCCTTGCGCACCTCCATTCTACACAGGTTTCTCCGCCCGAACTCGAAACGGGTGAGCCTCGGTATTATACACAAAATAATTCACGTTCCCGCCCTGTCCAGCCCCATCAGGTGTATACTCGACATCCCAAATCCCCTTCTTCTTCTCCGGAGCCTGTATTAAGTATTGATACTTCAGCACTTCAGCAAGCATATAACTTGCCTGGATGTTCTCCCAGCCGCCTCCATCTTCCTTCAACACATTCAAGATACTGCTAAATCCACTTCCCACTCTCTCGGTTCGATTTTGTGCGAGCGTGTACGCCCATGCAACGTCTCTCCAATATTGATTCCCCGTGACCTGGTACGCGTAGTACCAACTCTCGATGGCTTCTGGTGCTTGGCCGTTCAGGAAGGCTGTGTTGTCATCTATGAACCAACCTGCTTTCTCGTATAGATCTGTCTGATTTGTAAAATTTGACCAGCTCAATTCCGTAAGGTTCCAAGAGTAGACTATCGGCCCAATTCCGCTTGCCGTGTACCGATATCCATTCGCACAGAATTCGCAGAAGTCGAGGCCGTGTTTGAGGTAGTCGGGCCGATCCAATGCAGTGCTTCCGAGTATGAAAGATCCACCAATGAAGCAAGCGAGTTGCTCGCTATAATTTTGCACCGCGCTACCAGTGAAGGATCCGGCCATTGTGAGATCAGGTCGTGAGGAGGGATGGGAGAGCAGATGGGCAATTGTGGAGTCCGCGGCTTCAATGAAGCGCTTCGAGTAGTTTTGGTAGCGATCGGGGTCGTAGACGTACATCTTGATAAGATATTCGTATGCGCTGTCGTTCCCACTCGTCCAGCCTCCATATTCGTCAAGAATCTCGCCGGTCTCAACGCTGAAGTTGCCTCCAGTAAGTCCAGGCCAGATCTCGGAGGAGGGATTGAACCAGTATGACTGCGCCTTTTGTGCTAGATCACCGTATTCGGGGTCTCCGGTCAAGTCGGAAAGATGTTGCCATTCCAGAACCAAAGTTCCAAGCTCGGCAAGTCCTGCGGTGCGTATTCCGTCTTGCCTGCGACCACGAGCTGAGAAGGTTCGATTATTGGGGAAGATGCTGTTTACGGGAATACCAGTTGGGGTATCAAAAGCGAATTTGAGGGTATCTGCGAGGATTTTGCATTGTGATAGTAGAGCATCTACTTTATCATCGTCCACATCTAGGTGCGAAAATGGCCCTTTGAGAAGATCGTATGATGATAACAATCCCCCAATGTATCTGATATTTGTTTCAAATAATGACACAACCGAAGACACTGGTGCTTTAGTTTTAGTAAAGTCGATGGTGGGAATGAAGTCCAGGATCTGATTGACGATGTCCTCTTGTTCCATTATAATTGCGGTGTCGAGGCCATCAACTGCGGCCACTCCCCATCCATTGCGCGAATTGCGATAAGAGCTGTTAACGGGTAGGAGGTCATCGTTCGGGAAGGCGTAGGTGGAGTACCCGTTCCAGGCGAAACGAAACATTTCAATAACGGCTGCAGCGCGGTAGGTTTGGTTGCGATTGAACGAGGTGTAGTCATAGTCACGCCCTTTTTGACCCGGATAGGATTGGTTTCCATAGTGTGTGGTTTCTGGGCTCCGGATTTGATTTGGAATCTGCGATGCTAGGGCAACAGGAATCGTTGATAGAAAAACGAACGAAAATGCTATCAACCCCATTGCTCCAATTTCTTCCTACGACTGTACGCAGGAGAGTCGAAAGATGCCTTGCACCTGAAGGCATTGGCAGCACTGCGTTTTAATAACGTTCCCATGGTACCTTTCTTATCAATCCTCGATATGCGTGTACATGCTTGTATGCTAGGATTCGTTCCTAAAGGTCATAAATTTTGCGTTTATATTGCTTTCCAAGGCGGTTAGGCTCACAGGAACAGGAATTGAATCTGAACGGTCCCACACCGCTATACTCGATCAGGATGGTGATTTAGGCACTCCGGAAATTGAGATACGACCCCGCTTTCACCCCAACTATACTTCTGAGAATTTATACATGTCTGTCCGCTAAACCCAAAGCCATAGCGCTTCGATGTTCTAGTATGGTCAGGAAATGTTGGGTATTGGTCTTCTGCTCTCCTCCAGAGTTGCTGCGGTATGAAGACGAGATACTGTTCCCACGGCTTCTCCCAGCATATGAAATGCATCCTTCTGACTCCGGCGGCTTCCTCTTGCTGAAGCGTGTTGATTAGTGCTACCTCCTCGCTATTGGTACTGCTATTAACCCTCGTGGTTTTCGTTTTCGTTCTCATTTCCCTTCTTGCCTCTAGCTCCGCGCACTGGTTTCACGATCCCGAAACATTTTGTCCTCTGTTCTCTGTGTTCATAGTGAGCACCTTAAGAGCACATAATTCGTGGCAACCTCTTCTTCTTCTTCTTCTTCTTCTTCTTCTGCAGCTGTCCAGTACCTATACAATTGCGGTATCTACTTCCCCTAGTAATTTTAAACGAGAGAAAGAAGAAAGAGATAGATGTGTGTTGATAGAGGTAGCAAGGAAACTGAACACCAAGTCTTGTGTCCTGAAACAGAAGTCCCCACCTCTAAACCTGGCGTCCTCACAGCAGGTAACACTACTCCTTAGAATCTTCCCAATCGGAACCAATGAGCTGGATTTGTACCCACCATTCTGTGCCTAACTGCCTCAATCACCTCACGGGCACGTTTGATATGCCGCAACAAGCTACTCTCGGACAAGCTAGACCCGGAGCTGATAGGTGAGAGCAACCCCTCTAGCAATGGACAGCTCTGGATGCGTGCCGCGTCTCTACAACCTTCGTTATGCTTTTCTTTCGAAACTTAAATCGTCCAGCTTATTGTGGAGGGAATAAGTCCCTGGAAAGAAAGCTTGCATTCTATTGGTAGATTTCTGAATGGCTTCACAGCCTTTCCCCACTCACCCAAGGTTTCACAGCATACCAAACCTTGAGCTCATTTCAGTGCAGTTTTCGCCCGCCACCTCATCTGCAGAGTCTCTCAGCCCTCGAGTAACTTCTTTACGACCATTCACCATTTCCACTCTAGACTGCCTGATGCTTTCGGCTCGTTGCGCGCCTCACTTATCGGGACCTGTGGACAGCTACGTCACCTTGGAACCTGTAAACTACTATTATATAGATATGTGTAGAAGCGACACCTCTTTAAGAGAATTGCCCCGGATGCTATCGCAAGGGTACTCGAATCGAATCAGTACCATGTTGGTGCCTGCTGCTTTGTGAGCTTGTTTTGCTTTCTTTTGCTCATGGCTGCTTCAGCCAAGCCAACAATCCACCCGAATCATTTGGCTGGGCAGAAAGGTCAGTCGATGTCAGCTCTCTCTTCGCAGCCCCGACCCACTGGCATTACATGGGATTAAGGGTTTGTTTTCAGCTCTGCTCACCCTGCGATTGAAGGACTTGGGGGCTTTCACGTTGCTACATCATTGGCTGTGGATGGACATGGCGCTTTAAGTGATAGCACACCACACCTGCAGATTTCAGCTCTGAACGGAGTATAAGTGCTTGCTCACTTTCCATAACCTTCGTCTCCCTAATCACCACCGTCGACTTATTGCACGTCGAGTTGCTCTTACCCTCTTGAAGCACAGCTCATTGCACTCAATTTACATTCTCTGCGATGCCGATCAAAGACTACGGCGTGTGGAAAGCCACGCCTGTGAGCTATACATACGAAACCAAGGAACAAGACTCGGTGTCCCCTCATCTCTCTCTTATCTTCAGCGATGACGAGCCTGGCAACGCTCGAGCAGCCATCAATATCAAATCCGGCGACCACTCTGATTCTCGGTTAGTGTATTGGGCGGCTCCAAACTTCAAGCATCCAATCACTCAGCAGCTGTCTTCTCTGCAGCCAGGATTCGCTCCTCTCGATGATGCTGGCGCGGGTAGCATAGCCCTCGACTTTATCCGAGGCAACTTGTTCCAGCGACAAAGTGGCAGAATCCTGCCACACGACATTCCTGGAGCGAACAACGACATCCTTGATGTTCTCAAGCCCATTCTTGATCGTAGCATTAAGGATGATGCCACTATTTATCTCTATGGCTCCCACTTCAACGACGGTAAAGGCATCCACAATGTTCACATGAACCAAGGCAGTCCTCGACGTTGGTCTCGCGATAATGGTGTCTACCATGACGGCGCCCTGCTAATCCAATTCAATGACCACTGGGAGGGAATCTTCATTGCATTCGCCTCCCAGGCTGTTCATACCAACGATGGACCGAGTCGCCCCGGCCAGCCTATACCACCAACAGGTTACCTGACGTGGGCCAACTTCCTGGATTCAGAAACGCCCGAGGATGACCGAAATACCCATGAAATCGTCGACAGACCCGTCGTCATCACTGAAGCCCTCGTGAACCCGATAGGCCCTGATAACCAGCCAGGAGGCGCTCCAGAGACTGTCACCCTGACGAATCGCTCTGCCTCGGTGATAGATCTCTCGCATTGGACTGTGCGAAACAAATCGAATGAGTCTCAGACTCTCCCTGATGGAGCTCAACTAGGTGCTGGGGAGTCGAAGACCTTCGAGGTTCCGGGGGCACCGCTCTCGAACAAAGGTGGAATTATCACCTTGTTGAATGCGCAAGGTCTGAAGGTCCATGGTGTAAGTTATACGAAGGATCAGGCTCGAAAGGAGGGTGTTGCTATTTCTTTTGCGTAAAAATTCGATGTGGCATTTCCGGATAGCAGCCAAGGCCTCATATTCCATCATAAAAAAGCCACCCTGATAATTATTCACAGGGGACATTTCCCTTCCAGATGGACGCCTTGGAAATTAGTCACCGTATAACTTCATATGATTTTGTGAGCCTGTCTGCGTGTTTAATATGGAAACCTAACTTGAGATTGCCTATCATGGAACAAATCATATATGGGGAAACACTAGCTATATTCTACTAACTTACACGTGCCTCTTAGCCCCAACAGAAGACAAATCAGACGAAGGGAAAAACGATACTGAGGGCTTCTGTCGCACGTGACTATTGATCCATGCGCTGCACTCGTTACTACTAGAACTAGCTATCTATATCCGCTATATATTCAACTCGGAGCCCTCTCTTGCTCTTCATACTTTACACTATTACAAAGAAGAGCATGAATGGAAAAAAAAAATATTATCTTCAAATATTTAAAGCTACAATATCTAAACCGAAAAGAAAGAGTTAACCACATTACCTCCTTTCCTAGAAATGTTACAACACTCCCAATACTAGGAGTATACAAGTACCTACTGGACGATGTCTTTGTAGAGCCGAGGAAGTTTCCCGCGGGCGCATTGAGTTTTCTGCTAAGGTTTAAAGCCTGAAAAAAATAAAAAAATGAAAACCATATGACCTTGGTCAGGTGATGGACAACGACTGTGCTTCGCGAAGTGTAAGATTGTAGAGATAAATAAAGCTCTAGAATTACTATATTTACTAAGAGGGCTGCTTGATCAACCCAAGGCTTGGATCTTCTCGCCTTTTTTTTTTTTGGCTTTATGGCTCCTTGACTCTACTATTCCTCAAATCATCACTTCTCTCATAACTCATGCCCGCTCCAGGCTTATAAATACACATCTGGGATTGCTTTTTCAATAGTAGTGGAAGCTTAAGACCATGGTCCAGGATGGTTGTGCTTTTCCGAAGAATCCCAAGCTGAGGCATTCCATAACCGTAGGACAGATTGCCAGCGAAACTAGGGAGCTGGGCATAACAGCGCCTTCACTTCTCATGTAGCTGAAGGCTGATGGAAGGGTACGTTAGAAGTAGTGGCATGCATTCGATTTAGAACCACTTCCAAGATCAAGAAGTGCAGCGCACCACATGTCGGTGGTCGTTTGTTTTTGTAGGGTAATCCCGCTCGTAATCCGTGGTAAGATAATGTTAAATCGGAAATCTAAAGCTGCAACCATTAGCACCTCCTGCGCCGGTTGTCATGAACACCGACGAAGCCACTACCAAGTGCCATAATCCATTCTTTCAACAAAATCTAGAACCGCAATATTTTGGTTTTCTTCGATCATTCTCGAGGAATGGAAGACTGAGCCTATAAGCTGATGACGCTGTAGTTGTTAAAAGTCTCGCCTAAGCCTAACCACCTGCCATCAAAAACGCACAAGCTTATTTTCAAGTGCGAGGAGAGACGCCTAGCTATAGTGTTTAGCGAGGACTGGCAAGGAGGAAGAGGGGGAAGAGTCATCGGTTCTGTCAATGCAGGATACTTAGATACGTACGGTGAGAAGAATGTGCATGTGTGCTAGAGCGTGTTGGTGGGAAGGGGTGTTTATCGTCTTTGTGCTGTGTTAATTACTTCAATAGTCAGTAATTAGAAACTTACCTATTTAAGCTTCTTACCTCTTGGCCTCGCAAACGCCCGTGCACTTACCCCCGCACATCCCACACGAATGAAGGGCTACGCGGCCGAGTGTGAATGTTTCAAGAGTATAGAATTCTCAGCCCGAAATCTATCCTAACTAGCCACCAGTATCCTACGCCAGGGCTCAACCGAATCTTCCACTTTAAAAACGCCGCCAATGCATCACATCTATTCATCATGCCTCCTCCTAGAATACACACACACACATGCACGCATGCACGCATGCACGCACGCACACACATCACACTATACCATATAATACAATTCAAACTTCCATATTCACTAACGGATGTTCTTCGAACCATCGCAGTAATGTCTGATACAGAACCAACATCGTCCCGGACTGCACGGATGTCCAAACAAATCGTGGGCCGACACCCCGAAACCATCCTCCAATTCCTTCCGTCTTGTATATTATCCTGAGCCCGGTTATCACAGAGGATGTATCGAGTGTCGCGGCGCTGTGGTTGCGGAGGGCGGTAGAGGGGGAGGAAGTGGAGATCGGTCGGTTATGCGGGGGAAGTTTGCCTGGTTTCGGGGAGGGCGAATGTTTTGACGCGGATTTGGTGGATGGCTTTAGCGTGGATGTGGCAGGTTTTGAAGGGGGAGATGGAGGGTCGGTGGGGTTATGCTGCGTTTGGATTCGCGTTTTTACAACGTCCAAGGGACACGTGAGGACACCTGCCATTCCTCCTGCACTCGCTGCTGTTAGTATTTCGAGTGGCAAGCCAATGTTATTGGAGCCCATGTATCGCTTTGCCAAGCCTCGTTCTTCCTCATAAAATGCGAACTGCAAGGCGGAGAAGGGGAGATCGCGCCACAGTGTTGCCTTATAGCCGTAGAATAGAGCGCCAAACCCTTCTACCTTGGCAATTGTCCTTGCGGCGTGGATTGTGGAGCGGTAGTTGTAGCCGGAGTTGAAGTAGGGGTTGTTGTAGCGGCCCTGGAGCTGGAGACGGGTTTTGAGTACTTCGGAGGGGACGTATGCGGGGGCAGCGGCGAGGTCAGCTATGAGGCCTAGGCACATGTTAGCAACAACCGGTGTCGTTGGAGTCGCTACGGCTAGGCATACCGGCTGTGAAGTATGATATTGAAGGCGCAATGCCGTAGTCAATCATCGTCCGCTTGCTCCACTCGTACGCCCCAAAGAACAGTACTGTGCCTGAGAACGAGCCCAGAAACGCCGGCTGGACTCCCCCGTATAGTCCCTTCCGTATTCCTTCCTGTCGCCATATTGTGTAGTATGTGTTGCCCATGGATGTGTACTTTGGCGGCATGTGCGGGTCCCCCTGCTGGCGAGTCTTGACCGTGTCCAGAGAATGCATCAACATGTCTCCCGTAGTGCCTCCAATGCCGCCGGCCAGCATGGCCTGTAAGCACACGTCAGTCCCTCCTCACAGGCGCACTGTCGTACGCCGGAGGTAAATGCGCCTACATGACTGTACGGCGGTCGAGCGGCCTCATGGTCTATCTCCGCCTCGAACGCCGCTTGGCTTCCAACATGCGATAGCTCTCCCACTGGCTCCATTGCAAACGAGCTGCCCTTGCCTCCATCATCAACGAGGTTGTTGCTCGGAATCGAAGTCGAGAAGAGGTTAGCCACACGGGCAAAAACCATGGGCTGTAGCAGGAACTGCGGAGGACCGCGCTTGCTCAATTCGAGAAAGAAAGAACCGCCAAGAACGAAAAGAGAAGGAGCAAAGCACGGCGACAAAGCAGACTAGGAGGGAGCGACAGCGGACGTGGGCGGTTGCGATGTTGTTGAGTTTGCAACTGTCGGTTAGTAAATTTTGGCGACAGTCGGGAGAGCCGCAACCGCCCGGGCCCGAATTGTCGAACCCTGCCTGCGGCCGAGCGCCAGGGAGGCAGGAGGGCAGGTGAGCAGGCCCGATGACGACCCGGGCGAGATAATGAATGACTTCAAATCCCTTGGGGGTTCAAACAGACTCGGGATCAACTGAAAGGACAATTTAATGTAACGAATCTCGCAGTCCCCAACCCCAGTTGTGACTCGCGTAGAGGAGGAATCCTGTGTATCTTCAGATCGGCAGCTTTAGGCTAAGTGCCATCCAGCTAAGCGCTGAGCAGCGTCACGTGCAATTCCCATGTTTACATCCGCCGTGTTGTTCCCAGCCATCTTTTTCCATCCTACACCTCCGGCGTCATCGCTTCGCTCTCTTCCCACACGGCATATATATCTTGTCTGTATACATATTCCCAATCGCATCGCTTACGCGACCCAACTTATAACATCCACCATGCCCTCATCCTGGCTTGTACGCATGCGCAAAGCCGAGCTAGCAGAGCTCGCGCAGAAAGCTAACCTTCCCGAGTACGCATTCCCCCTATATTTCGCGTGCGAATGCGCAGTCTGATCACGCGGTTGTGTAGCGTCGACGGAATGTTGAAGGATGACCTAGTCGAGGCTCTGCAAGACCACCTCGAGGCTAACGAGACGACGTTCGCGAAGCAGTCCACCTTCAGCGAGTTTTACAGGCGCACTGGCAACGGATCACCTGTCAAGCGCGAGCGCGCATCGCCCAGCGATGGAATCGCGGTTACCAAGACGCGCAGACGTCAAACCCGACTACTCGAAAACGTAGACTCGTGAGTCCCAGTGTTTACTCGACGCGTTACGCGCCGGAGCTGACAATGCGTTATGTAGCGAGGAGCCTACACCGGAGAAGGCGCTGGTTACGCGCACCCCTCGAACTGTGTCCCGAGTAGCCTCGCGCGTCACTCAAGTCGACCTGCCCGCGTCGCCTGCCCAGCTCGCCGAAGTCGCCGATCAGCAATTCAAGGCTGCGAAAACGAAGGCGGGCGAGCTGTGGAAGAAGACGGGGACGGAGGAGATAATTGAGCTAGTCCGCGAGAACGCAAGCTCCGTCACGGCCGTCCAACTTGCGGTGCTGCTCATCGAGTCCGTGGGGCTGCAATGGAACACGGTGGCAACCGTCCATGCCTTCGACACGCCCACAGTGCCGCAATTGAGCTTGAACTCGCAAAACGTCTATCTCCCCGACCTGCGTGTTCTTCTTACAAGCGAATTCTGGGCACCTGCGACGCTGTGGTCGTTGACTAGCATCTTCCTCCCCCTCCTCGTCTCCTACTTCTTCAACCTGACACTGCGGACCAACACGCGTCATAAGTCGTCGAGCCGCGCGTACACTGTCGATCCCCTGACTTTCAACATCGTTAAGGCCATTTCGCAGTACATTGTGTACCAGACGTCCTGCGTCCCAATTGCTCCTGCCGGCGTGGTTCCCGCCGCTCCAATTCTTGCTTGCGCGGAGAACGTGCCCTTCGCCTTCTGGTCTGGAGAAACGGTCAATCACGTGCGAACCAAGATTCCCGGTCAATACTATGGCCTACAAATTGGAGCTATTGTTGGCGTCTTAATCAGTTTGTATGATGCTGCGTTGAAGAAATAAACCGCCCATCAAAGCGACATGACGTTGGATTCGGGTATGACATGAGACTCAGGGACGGTAAAAGGAATGAGTATGACGATATGTTTCTTCTTACGGTAGGGTGTATGGCTCGGGCTTGGTTCTCGGCGTTTCTGGATTCAATCTCTGTCTGTGTGTGGTTTTGTATCTTCTCGCCACTGTTTGGATTCTCGTCAGCATTGGAGATGGGAGGATGGGGATGGCGTTAGAGGCGCTTTGTTGGATCCTCTCCAAGGGTATCTGGTCCCTGGGATGGCTTGTGATTGGGTATTGTTATGTTGTTTGCTTTTTTGATTCACTATCAATTCCCGCTGCTAAATACTGGATATTGCAGGGTTGAGCTGCTTGCCTGTTTTGGTTGGCGGTAATGGCCTGTGCGCTCACGTGAAGTGCACACTTGCTTCCAGCGCCTCGATTGGCTCTTTCCCCCATATTTCTACCAACTTCCCATGCTTTACACCTCTGCACAACTAGATTTCTTCATCTCTCTTTATATCCCCCTCAAAGTTTTTTCCTCTAAGCCTGTATCTTCTCTCCCTGGCCTTCTCCAGCTAGAGCTTGGAATGAATAGCGACGCTTGCGGTTGTTCCCAAGCGTCGACCGGTACTCCCGCCACTCACAATCTTCGACCAATCTCTTTCACTTTACACCTCCCTACCTCGCCCTGTGTAATCACGAAGTTCTTTTTTTTACCAAGACACATTTCTTCCTAACCCTCCCACCGACGACCCTGGCGCAGAGCATCTGTGGCGGTACTTGTGATCTTGCTACACGATACGGTGCGACATAATCCCATGACCACCCAGGAGCCACATAATTCCATAACCAACCCAGAAGTCATAGAACTGGAACGCGTCGCCCTAGCCCTCTTTTCTAGGCTTAGATACAAGCGATGATTCGCACCACCACCGATAGGGGCCGGTTCCTTTGCCTTCTCCGATCATTTAGTCTTCCCTGCCTCCTCTACCTTATCTACCTCACTCTCATTTCCTAAAAGAAATGTGATCTGATATTATAGTTTAATAATTGCTTTCCCCGAACGATTGACCATCTCTCTACCCAATATTACACATGCGCCAAGTCTACCCCCGCATGGTACAAATCAATTGAGCACGCTGCACAGTGATAGGCTGAAGCGGAAATATTTCTGTATCAGTGTGTTCCACCTTAGGTTGCGTTCGCGAAGCAAACGGCAAAACATTCTTGAGCAGCCTCTCAGCATCCCGCCATTTCTCTAGTGCGCAGAACTACGAATGATATCCGGAAATGTTCTATGCCGCTTTTCAACTCAAAGCCAAAACCCAGCATTTTCTGGCAGTCAATAAATCCATATTCGGAGACGAAACGTCTTGTAAGACAAACCTTTACTTGACCAGGCTGAGGTCGTGCCAAGGTGTTCACGGCCCCTGGCATCCCCAACACTACTCGGCACTGGAGCCTGGTCTCTATCTAGATTCATTCAGCATCTATCTTGCTACCCTCAGCTAAATTCTACATCATCTTGTTTTTGAGTACCGAAGTCCATTACAATAGTATCTCCAATCCAGCACCAGATTATCAACGAGCCGATCTTCTTCTTGCCTAAATTCGCCCACGGAAGTCATGCCCAGTCGTTAATACCGCGTAAGCCAGTCGGCAATCATCGACATACCAAAAACAACAAATAACAAACTTCTTATCCTAAGCCCCAGCTGGCCATCTCTAACTAGATTTCCTCTAGGATAGCAAGTACTGTGCCTGCACGGAAGAGGCGCCTCAGTTTTCGCATCTGTTAGTAGGAGGCGATCGGGTGTTGCTTTGCTGTAGGCTCCTTTATCGCTCTTATTACTACTCTACGTGCCTACGAGTATGAGCTATTGCCTCGACGGCCTTATAGGCTCTCCATTAATACTATTGTCGCGGCATGTGCCATTATCAGCAATGGCCCTGCCAGCCTCGTTCTAGCTGAAAGAATAATCCATTTAACCATAGCTTTTCTACGAAAGCCTAGTAAACTATACAATATTTGATTTTCACTACAATACCTCTCGCGGCCGGTAGGGTACAATCAAGCCTTGTTGCGGTAATAAAAGTCCAGCCATTTCTTCACTGGGAGCCCACGTCAAAGTGAAACCCTCTCGTAGTATATCCTATAATCCTACAACTCCCCCGGTAAATTGCTAACTGCAAGTTGCTCAATGCTGGGGGAAAGTACATACAATGAGGTCGGGAAGCACACTAGCGCGATCCAAAGCACAATTCTCAGTGGCGGCCTCCGTGGTGCGATACGCAATGACCTATTCGCCTAACAAGCCTCAGTCGCAGTTCTCATATCCGACTAGAAACTGTTCATTGCCCAAGTAATCTAATTCGGTAGCTTATTGTAGGGAGAGAAACGTCACTATCATTTAAAGCGGATATATGTCCCTGGTAATCGAACTAACAACAGCTCAATATCCTTTGAATATGTAAATATTGCACTACTATACGAAAATTCCGTCGGTCTGGACCTAAACGAAAGCTGCTTTACACCAAGTTGACCAGGGGCTGACCTTGTCTCGACCTACCAAAACCTAATGCAAGTCATACGGTGGGATGACCCGGAGAACTATAAGGTGTACCCATGTCTACAGTTCACCTGCGCCAAGAGCTTCACCACCAATGCCTCTGCTGGGAAGCTCCTAGAAGTCGTCAAGGATAGTTCAGGTCGAAAAGTGTTCGCATTATCTTCAAATCTACCCGTGCGAAGATCCTTAATCCCAGCCGATATTTGCGGCTTAGATAAACCTAGATAACCAGCACCAAAAGCGCTTACTGAGAGCTTTAGGCTACTGGCTCAGCGATATAAGGCCTTGGTTGCCGTACCACGTTTTCGAAACGGAACATGGGAGATCCAAATTATTAGAAACCCGGTGGTGATGACATGAACGCGCCATGCTTGAAATCGCCAATCGATGAATCGGGCGAGATATGGCAAAATGCACTGATGAGGGTTACCTAGTAATAACGGATAAGTTAGTAAAGGCAGTTCTCGTTCGATGCTTCTGCGATCTGTCTGACGTCGCTGTCGAAACCATACTGTTTTATATCTTTCTGAGCTCCTCATGAGGGAATCCGTCTTTGTCGGCGGCGGATATGAATATCCGATGGTCAAGGGCCAGAGTCCTTTCTGGGTCTCTGGAATGCCGGATCCAGTAACGACACTTTAGAAGATATTCACAGTCTGATACGAAACATCAGCAATTCCCCAGCAACATCTATTCGCCGAAATGGGAAGCAGAATTTCAGCCCCCCCTGACTGAGGTAATTGCATACGCTGGCCGCAGAGAACTTACTTACCTCCCATCAGTAGCATGCTACTACTACTTTTCTTTTGGAAAATTGTTCATGCTGGGGTTGATCAAGCCGCATTGAGGAGGAACTGGAAGGCTGATAGTGGTACCATCTGCTCCTGAATTTAAATCCTCGGCGATAACATTTCTATTTCATGGATTAAATGAGGAGACACGGAGAAATATAGACAAATGCGTACGAGCATCGAACCGGGAGAAGAGGTAGGAGAAGGTAACTGATGATATGAGGGCTAGACTTATGACTACGGATCAGGGGTTGAAGTTGGTTTCCACGGATGCTCGACTCAGAGATGAGCATTAAGACCTTTCACTTGGACCAAAGGCGAATCTATTTTCTAATCAGCGCAAGTATTTACATACCGCGCTCAAAGAAAATTAACTCTGTCAGATACATATGATGCCAGCATGATTAATTATAGACCCTACAGGGAGTACCACGCCCTTCAAACACCCAATCTTGCTCCATTGCCCCAGTGGAAGTCTCTATTATTTGCTTCGAATCCACGCCGCGATGAAGTTTCTTTTGAGAGCTAGTCCGTATGACTTCAAACAAATTACGGCCTCTTGCGGCTTCTATCGAACCCAACCGCCTCCTGCAAGACATGATACCTTCAAAAATGATCTTCACTTTTAGGAAAGGGGTATCAGCCTTGAAACTTTTCATGTAACGTCTAATTTAATATTGGTTCTACGAAGGTATGTACTAAATAACGGTGAAGGAAAGCCCTCCTTCAGCTTGACTCCGCCTCGACTCCGCCTCGATATGGGGATTGTCTAAACATGTATCGGGAGCACCATCTAGCCGCAAACTCAATCAAACTCCAGCAATCCCTGGCACGCTGAGAACTCACGGTGAAACCCCGTCCTCTTGATTCTCAATACCTAGCTTACCGTTGGACAGTCGTCTTCGATCAGACATCTAACTACCTGCGTGCTAAACTATTGTAACACCCGGAGTCCGGCTATGGGAAGTTAGTAGTTAGAATTCCGGAAACTCGGATTAGGCCAGAAGGCTGGAAAGCCCGTAGAGTATATGAAAAGACATTTTCTGATGATGGAATGCTTGGGCAGGTGCGATATGCGGACGACCATGTAGCAAACGGGGTATCCGAGTCTGACCATAGCGGCCTGATGCTATATGAGGTTTTCCAGTAAGAAGGCATTATTTTGGAAGTACAGGTGTACACTTTGATTGGAAAGAGAGAGGATAGATGTGGACACACTTCCAAACACCGCCGCAACGACGGATGGTCGTCAAATCACCGAACATGAGTCTCCGCCTGGGCGCTTCATAGGCAAGTTTCAGTCGTACATAGCCCCTCTACTATCTCGACTTTTTGCTACTCCGACTCCGTACCTCGCTCTGTCCAATTAGGAGACATGGATGGCCCAGGCCCCCAACCTAAGGCAAACTCGTAGTATGAGGGTGAGATCCTACACGAATCCTTCAACCCGCAATAAAAATTCAATACGAAGAGGAGGCTATGTAAAGTTCATAAGAACAAGCAAATACGTGGAGTAAGGTACGAGCCTCCAATATAAAAGCGGTCGTGGTCGGATTAGCTCCATTCTTTTATGCCGCGCTTTTCGAGAAACATCTACCTCTAGCTCTTGTTTATTACTATATCGTCACGATGAAGTCCTGGAAAGCTAGTCTAGCCCTACCTTTGGGTTTTGCCCTATTCTTCAACATCACTACCGCGACACAGAGCACATATATCCAAGCCGTAAGTAGCCCTGTCTATCATCATTTGGGCTTTATCACGGATATTTACTTATGTGTGAAGTGTAATTACTGCCCGGCCCCAGGCGATTGCATTTCGAACGATTATCATTCTGTGGACAAAAACCCGGGTAATGGTCTCTGCCACGGACAGTACTGCAACCCGGACTGGATCGCTGGAGGAAGCGACTTCAAATATATATCATATGGAACCAAATGCAGGTTCCACGTCACGAAAAGCGTAAGCAAACAGTATTCAAAACGGGTGGTCTACGAGTCTAGCCTCCCCCCGACGAATCTAAGTAGCGCTAACGTATGACATTTGCAGTGGCCCGACGCAGAAAAAGGCGAAACTGTTGGCTATGGGAGCTGCCCAGGTGTCAAAGGTATTCCAGGAATAAAGCAAGTCGAAGATCACGCAGGTTTTTGTTTGTCACTTATCCCCTTTTCGATCAGCTGTGAAGATCGAGTGGTAAGTCGAGCTTTTGCGAATACGATAGGGAACAGCACAGGCTAATATTTAGGATAGAAGTTAGAGTGGGATGGATGCCTTTCTTGTGGCAATGAGCCCACCTGGTGCGACCAGAGCAGCGAATGCGGCTCTGGTTGTTGCGACAAGAATAGCAATATGTGCTCAACACCGGAGAATTCGAATTGCGCGTAGTATTTCCCCTCTTCTCTATTTTGAAATTTTTGAAAAATGTTGTAAGACGCACTGTTAAGGCAGTGGCGCTTAAAGGATTTGTTTTTGTCAAGCGCGAAGAGTGGGACTTGAACATAGGCATAGGGAGATATAGAGTAGTAAGTGGAAATCTAAACCAGCTCACTCATGAATATTAAGTCCTATCATTTGAGCTTCTGTAGACTCCGATGAAGTTGTGGTGATTGTCATTCAAATGCCTGAAGCTGCAGCGCATCACAGCACAGCACCGTACGCCGCATTGCCAAAGTAGTGAATGTGTTGTGTTTTTTGATATTAATAATCTAACGCACGACGACCATCTAAACTAATGTAATACATATGGTCTAATGCATACAGCCTAGTATAGGTGTAACGTTTTAGGTTTCTAGAGAATAAAATAATTAGTTATATATTAGTATTAACATGACCTATTACTAAGCTAGACAAAATCTCTTAGCGCAACTAACACTATAAACAAAAACACAATTTTATTTACAACTAACTACTAAAAAACCTATGTATAACACGTGTATATTAAATTCTAATGCATCTTCTTTATTCTTTTTATATGTATAAGTGTTGTGCTTAGTCTTTCTATAGTTCCTACAACGCTGTTAACTTAGTAGAGCTAGTTTAGCATAATTAATACAACAAGGCTTCTTAAATAATTAAGACACTGCCTACACTTTAGCAGCTATATATAATGCTTTTATGCTATGCTTTATTATTTTACTTTACTAAATCTACTTTTTCTTTTTACACCTTTTATACTTACTTAGCTTTACTACTTACTTTTTATGCTTTTTATGCTTAGCTTTTATAATTCTATAACGTTATTTTATATTATTAGCTTAGGTTTTTTTAATAAGCTATAAGAAACTTTTAAAAGCTAAAGTTAGTTCTTATGTAAAAAAATTATATAATAAAATTATATAGTAAGCTTTAATTATAATTTAAATTTATATAAATTACTTAAAGTTTTTAATTACAATAGTGTTTCTAGTAAAAGTGATAGTTGTAACGATTCTCATGAATCGCTCCATCTCGGGTCGCCGGAACTTCCGGAAGGCTTCCGTATCGGCCCCGACCCCAACCTGGCCCCAACCCCTGCTGTTACCCCTATTCCCTCATGTATTTAGTCGCACCTCGCCCCTGTAGCTAGCTCAGTAGTTTTCTAATATCCTATGTATAAGGCCTATAGGTGTCATTGGTATTCCTAGGTCTCTAAGTCCCCACGCACTCCCATATGCCTCTAAGTGGATTTATACCGCATTTAGACCTATTGTCTTGCCTGCGCTGTTACATTATATTAGAAAACTTGCTTTTGCTAGTAACAGCCTTATTACAATATTGCATTAATTGTCTGTTTAACTACGTCTAAGCCTAAGACGCGTCTAATTTAGTTTAGGTTGCAATCCTTTACACTGTTACATTAAATTACTTAGTTTATAGACTAGATCCTATTAACCTCTAGTTAACTAAAGCCTTTAAGTTTAGAACTTCCTATCCCCTGCAATTAGGATTGCCTTTAGGAAAGTTGCATAAAGGCGCTAAGGTAGAAACTTAGAGACTACTAATAACTTATTAGAATTAGAGGCAACTGCTAATGTCTAACTAACTACCCTCTAACTCTAGAGTTAAAGCACGCTCTAGGCGAGGCAAGCCCTTAGAGTTAATAAACAATCTATGTTAACAGCTAAACCTGCTTTAGCAGGACCTAAAGCTAGCCCCACCTAATTCAGACTTGAGCCACAGCAACATGTCCCGATAGACCTTAATTAACCACTAAATCACCCCTAATAATGCCTTAAATCATCCCTGCTACGTTAATAGCAGGGGACCTTTTAGGCACCCCTGATAATGCCTTAAATCATCCCCACTACCTTAATAGCAAGAGACCCTTAAGGCACCCCTAACAACGCCTAATTGTCACCGCACTAAACGCACGTCTAAGATTAATAACCGCACAGATAGCAAGGAACAATTAGCAAGCCTTAATTATTAACAGGCTGCGCATCTATACAGAGCACTATTGGAGCAGGCACGCACGCATGGCGTTTGGTTTGGAGGACACCGCTGGCAGTGCGGAGGAATAAATTAGAGCAAGGACACCTAGCTAAATCAGACCAGTTTCAGTTCAAAGAGGCAGAGGACATAACAGCAATACTTTGTACTATAATTGCTACTAATAGGGACTATTAGTCTACAGAGGGGGGGGTAGTGTAACAATTCTCATAAATCGCTCCATCTCAGGTCGCCGGAACTTCCGGAAGGCTTCCGTATCAGCCCCGACCCCGACCTGGCCCCGACCCCTGCTGTTACCCCTATTCCCTCATGTATTTAGTCGCACCTCGCCCCCGTAGCTAGCTCAGTAGTTTTCTGATATCCTACGTACAAGGCCTATAGGTGTCATTGGTATTCCCAGGTCTCTGAGTCCCCACGCACTCCCATATGCCTCTGAGTGGATTCATACCGCATTCGGACCCATTGTCTTGCCTGCGCCGTTACAATAGTAGTAAAGTATATAGCTAATGTAAGGCCGCTGGTTCTTACAAAGGTGAGAATGCACTGTAAGGCCGGAAGCGAGCAGTACTGGATCAGGATTGCTTGATCGTTTGTTCCTAGTTCTAGTCTCTTTGTTTAGTCCTGTCTATTTAATGCTCTTCCGCTGCCTCCTTAGCTAGGCAGCGATTCGTCTCTCTCTTACATACGAATATACGCTTTATCACTCTACTATTAACTCCTACTGCATGTTACTATTGCTAGCCTTACAGCTAATGTTAAAATAATTAAAAACTAGTCTAATATCCCCACTGCGTACCGAGAACCACTCTGTAACAAGAAAAGTTATAGGTACTTAGACTTTAGAGTAATAAAACCATTTACCCCTCCTAGATGTTTATACTGCATCGCTTGGATTACTTGCAGAGGATCGTCTCCTACCGCCCACCACTTAATTCTGAAAAATTACCACATCGTTGTTGCCTTCGCGCTACATTTGCGGAGTGCCTTAATTTGCGATAGAGCAGTACTCCTCAATCACAGATCCACCACTACGCCCATACGACCCGATACAACCCATGATATGGTAGTATCTGATCTTCCAGCCGTACTAACTCGCCTATAGGTCATCTTTAGTCCTGTGGCGGCGACACGAGAATGGTTCATGCAATGTTGCCACCCCAGTCGATACTTGCCAGGGGAGCGATCTAAGTGGGGTTAATCTCAAACGCGTTTGCAAGTCTCACGTAATGAATTAATTGTAATCTAAGCCACACTAAACATTGGGCTAAGGTGTGGCTGAAAATTTCTTAGAATAGATAGACAATGGGCATATGACACTGTCGTCCGAAGTCCTCCCGCGCATTTCAAGCCTACATCCTAGCCTCATTCCTAGCTTTATCACTGAGGACTGCAGCCGCTTTCGCAAGACGATTGGCTAGTTTGTTATGCTCCCTTGGAATGTGCCAGAGCCCAATCTACGTTGTTTTAGTTTCGTATGCAGTCAACATGCGCTTGGATACTAACCTTCACGTTCTCCGCCTCGTGCTTTGTTATTACGCCATCGAGGGCGACGAACAGATCCAAATTTGCTGATTTAGAACCTTTAGTCGTGCGCCAATCATTCCTCTACAAGCTCAGTTAGAAGTGGTTTTAGAAGCCCTCGTTAGAAAAGTTGAGACATACCTTCCATGTTGATAGCCATTCGGTTATCCCTTTGACGACATACTCGGAGTTAGTGGCGATAATCCAAGCTTCAGCTTCGCTCTTAGAACCCTTATTATAAGCTTCAGCAAAGAACTCTAGACCTGGCTTTGCTGCACAGAGCTCCGCTCGCTGGTTTAATCGCAGCGGAAAGTTGTCCACTATGTCCATAATTGGTTTTAACAATTAGCTGCTATTATTATTGCTGTACGCCACACTAACTCCTGCTTTAGCTGCAGGTCTTCCGTTATTCGTACACGCACCACCAGTGAATATGATGTGGTAATAGTAGCAGGGTTTAGCGGGCCGACGGCTTCGAGGAAGATCTAGGAGTTGATTGTTACATGCGCAGCAATGTAAGAGAAAGGCATTGCACTAAGGACATTCTTAGAGGAGTTCTGGTACAGATCGATCTGTAAGTGCAGGGCAGAGGATGAGCTTTCTATCAAGGATGAGATCTTCCCCACCATCTATTATGGTAGGCATGCTCAGTACGAAATAAAGTTATGGTCCAGATGTTGAGCTATGGGTTAGAGCGGGGCTTTACCTGAGTTAGCGCCAGCACTCAAGAAGGCCGGCATTACTCTGGCTAATCCCTTGGTCTTTATGCGGTCGCCGCTTGGCTGTCGGTGTTAACCGTCCTCAGTCTTACGCTCCTCTTTTCTCGTGATCCCCTTCGAGCTAAGTGACTTCACACTGATTCGCATGAGTTTTGTCCCAAGTTTCCCCCTCCGCGTCGTGTTGATGCCCCGCTTTGGAGCTGAATTATAACACCGTGGTGTTCTTCACCATCGAATAAGCAGCTAGCGAACAGAGCATGACTCCTTCAATCTCCAGTCCCTCTATTCCCTCTGAAAGCGATGATGAGGTTGATTATGCTGATACCGATCTCCCTCTCGGAAACGTATGGGCTTATCCATGTAAGCTGCCTTCATGCCCTGATTACGGCAAATCCTGGCTCCTCCGAAGCAACTTCCTCTTTCATCTGAAGGAAGAAGATGCACACAGGACAGCAGCAATGACACCAGCTGCACGTCGTATAATCGAGAAAGAGTGGCGTTACACGACCGATCCTGATCTACCACGCCGCGCGGCCCCTGAGTTCTGTTCTCGAGAGGATCCAGACGAGCACGTACAGGAATACGGGTTCAGGTATGACACTGGTAGGGTGGTAAGAGGTTATGGCACGATGAAGCAAATGGAAATGCATAAGGAGTTACGACGCCAAGAAACGCAGCAAAGAAAGACAGCATAGCTGCGTCCTCGCTGTTGCGCTGCTGCCATGAGAAAGCAATTGGCGCAGTAAAGAGCACGACATACTGTAACGCGAGAAGAGGATCGGGAAGGCATCTGCTCGATGGCAATTCACTGGCAATGTACTTAGTTGATTACTCTGAGAGGCTCTTGGCTGATTGTCTATCCTCGTAATCCATATCATGATCCGCTCGCTTCGCCGCTCTCCTCTCTTGCTCAGCGTACTTTACTTCATCGTCTGACCGGATCTCTTCAGGAGGTGTCTCAGATCGTTTTCGTTTGTTGATGCCATCAGGCAAAGGTTCCTCATACGTGGCTTGTTGTACTTCATCCTCCGCCTCAGCGATGTATTCGCAGAGCTGTTCCCCAGAGATACAAATGTCTATATCTTCATCTCCTATTTGCTCGAGTGCAATTTTTTGGCAGGTAAAATCGCTTAGACGGAGTCGTAGGCCAGGGTGCCCAACGGAGTTACCTTTGTCATTACGGATAACCTGGTAATCAAGAGTGTCAGGACATTAAGAACGCGTAAGGATTATGAAGATCATGCATACTTCATCTGTCGCCTCTGCTACAACTACTAAAGTCTTATTAGATATCTGTGGTCGCCAAACCGACAACGTCGCTTTCCGCGACTCCTTGCCGTATGCAATGTCCAGGCCGACGACGACCCGTATGTTTGCATTTGAATCCACAATATAGCTCTCGGCTAGCCGGTCTAGCCGAAGCTGCGAGTATGCGATCTCAAAGATAACGCCTGGAAATTTTGCACCCTTCCGCCCGAACGATATGTCTGGATGGTACCTCGACTTGCTACCAGTGAAACGTATTTCAGTAGATCTGGCGGGTCGTAAATTCTTCGCGAACTGAGCTGTTCTGCCAGGTCCTTTACTAATTACTTTCAACTGGGTCCGAATGTTATCCTCCACCTTGTCCACAAAGAACTCGTGTACCCCAGTAGGCATGCGGACTACTAGTCGGCGCTTCGTTTCGTCGTAGTCATACCTGCCAATCTGTCAGCCGTGATCAATAAGGTCTCTAAAGTCCACTCACCGTATACTGGCTTCCGCGTACTTCAAAAGTGCGTCGTCTTGCTGGAGGTTACTCTGTATCTGATCGAACTCTCCTGTCGCAAGCCAATACTCTATCCAATTGTTTCCTTCAGTATACCTTCCTGCTTGGATCCTATTAAAGAGTGCGATAACGCGATGCTGCGCCTCTGCAGCTGGCTTCTTGTTAGTTGACGGAGGTGTTAAAGGCGGCTCTCTGAAGCTTAGAGGTGGTGAAACGTCTTGCTGCTCCATTATTTGCAAGTCCGACATTGATATAGCTGTATGCTGCACAGCATCGTGGAGTTGTTCGGTGGCGCCGCATTCGCACAAACTGACCAAGAGCTGGGTGTTTTGGTTGACTCAGCAACAGCGCCACATAGCTAGGGAGCCAATAACATAACTGTGGCTAAAGCGACAAGCCACCCTGCACGTGAATTTTTGAGAGCAAGCACGACGGCAGGGAGAATCATTACGCGTTAGAGGCTCGGAGGACTGTACACCGTCTAGACACTATTGTAAGTTAGATTATTACGTAACGTACCTCTTCTAAAACCCCTCCCTCTCCTCTCCTATCTTCTTCTTCCTAAGAGACTAGTTACTGTTAGAAGGCACCTGTAAGGACGGAGCTCTGTACCACTGCGCCAATACAACCAAAAAGGTGCGAATAATAAACCAACGGTTGATCTTGCGTACAGAATAGTATATATACCCGTCGCGCGTAAGCGCCATCTCGGCCTTACAGCACCTAGCAATAGGAAAGTTGAGGTAAGATATCCGTAACACCCCTGCTGTACCCCTATTCCCCCAAGTATTTAGCCGCACCTCTCCCCTTAGCTAGCTTAGTAGTTTTCTAATATCCTCTTGTACAAGGCCTATAGGTGTTAATAGAATTCCTAGGTTTCTAAGTCCCTACACACTTCTATATGCCTCTAAGTAGATTCACACCGCATTTAGACCTGTTGTCTTGCCTGCGCTGTTACAGTTTTAAAGATTTTATAGATTACTATAGTAGCTTAAATACTTAAAAGACTAGAAGTATTTAACCTTTCTTATTAGTATATGAAAGGTTACTTAGTAGATACATTATTAATTAAAGTATAAGGTGCTAATATTCTGTTAGAGTAGACTATTTGCTTGTGTAGACTGCTTGCTTGTAAATGTCACGATTGTGCACGAGTAAGGTTATAGAGCTTCACAGAGGTCTAGTTTAATTACTACGTGAGGTATTATAGTAGGTACAAGACGTTGTGTAAGGAACAGAAAGGTTTAAAAAAAATTAGTAATTAAATACTTAGCTTAAAAGTCTAAGCACTTTAAGTATAAATTAAGCTTATTCTAAGTTTAGTTAGTGTTAAGGCAGTTTATACTTAAGTTTATGTCTATGTTATGTTATATTTATGTTAAACATGCACTAATAATACTCTAGTATATGTCTAATACAGTTATGTCTAGGATCTAGGGAGGATACTATAATAGTACCCCCTTTCTTATTAAAAAGAGAATCTTTTACATTAGTAGTTCTAGCATTAAGTTGTTTTTATTAAAGTATAAGTTTAGTTTAAATAAGTATTAAGCATAAAATTAGGTTACTATAGAGTTTTTTTATAAAGCTTTTATAAGTTTTTATAATAGTTTATTGTATCTAGTTTATTTTATAAAGTATTTATAAATATATTTTTTCTTATTAAACTAAATTTATTTAATGTCTTTTATAACATATTTTAGTTTATTATTTATAATAATAAGTTTAAGTAGTAGGTTTAGCTATTTAAGTAGATAGTTAGATTTAAAGGCTACTTAGTGTAGTAATAATATGTAGAACATAGGGTGTATCTTTATGCTGTTAAGTAGAATTAATTAGTAAGCATATAATAAAACTATATAAGCTACTATAAAAGGGCTAAAGTTTTTTTAATTAAGTTTCTTTAATTATTAGTTTATTTAAATATTTCTAGCATCTAGCTAGACCTTCTTACTAGCTATATACATAGAGGCAGAGGTTTAGAATTAGTTTACATACTTTTATTAAAAAGCTTAAGCCTATGTAAGCTTTTTATAAACATATTTAAATATATTTTAAATTTTATTAATAAGTCTATTTATGTTTATTACTTATATAAATTAATAAGTTAGTTAAAGAGTATTTAAAAGTAGTTTAAATCTTATTTAAAAGTAGTATTTATAGTTTACTAAAAATAGAAATACTTATATTAATTTAAATATTATGTTATTAGCTTTAAACTATACTATAGCTAACTATTTTACCTAGTTATCTTACTAGTAGTTTATGTACACTTATAAAACTTATTTTATTACAGTGTTTATGTTCTTAGTCTAGCTATTAGTCTCTAAGTAAAAAGCTATAAATAGATAAAGAATAATTTAAAGCTATTTATAAAGTTTATTTTAAAAGGCTAAGACAAACTATGTACCTTTATCTAATATAATTATGTTAGGTAGGCTATAGTAAACTTATACATATTAGTAGAATAACTAGGCTATATTAGGGGCAGTTATAAAGAAACATAGTATTAAGTGTTAATACTTAGTTAAGTAATTAATAACTACTATAATATTTATATACCTTTTAAATAAAAGTAGGTTTATAATAAAATTAATTAATATATTTTTCTAAGCTTATTTAAAGATTAGAAGTAGTTTAAGTAGGCTATTATACCTTTTTTAAAAAGCTTTTACTTTATAGTAAGTATAGCAACATAATATGTATTAGCGTACAGTATAGAACATGCAGGGCTAGTAGTACTCTCTCTATAGTAGGTTAAGAGTCTTTCTTCTGCCTAGGTGTTCTTTAATAGGCAAGTTATGTATAATTTAAAGTAGTTTAATTCTTAGTTTATTAAAATTAAAAATTATAAGTTAGTTATAGTAATATAGCTTACTATTTTAGTTTTTATAGTTAGCTAGTGTTACCTTCTTTAACTAACTAGCGCTATTTTAAAGCAAATCTAAAGTTTCTTAAATAAATTTATTATTTAAATACTTATTAGTAATAATCTAATTAATTATCTAATTTATTTTATTTAAGTTAAAGTCTAAAAATAGCTTAAGTTAAAGTAAAGTTTAGTGTTAAGCCTTTTACACTTCTTTTTAAGTAAAAACATTTTAAAATTACCTTATAAAAGCATCTAGTTTCCCTCTATCTTAACTAGAATAATAAGTAATTTTAAAATTAAAATAAAATAGGTATTTAAACTAATAAGCTTATTAGTAGCTAAGTTATTTTATAGTTGTAAAGTACTATAAGTTCTTATAGTTAGATAAGACCTATATTAGATGCGCTATACTTTTTAGTTTAAGTTACTATTATTTAAAGCAGTATACTATAGTAAGTAATTTTTTATTATAGATCTTATAATTACTTTCTACAGAACTTATTTTTTTTAAAAAGTATATAATAGGCCTAATAGTCCTGTCTAGCTTAGTCTAAAAAAGAACTCTAGCTACTATGTAGTCTAAAGCATTAGCTTTTATAAGTATTAGTAGTTTAAAGTTAAAGTAGTAGAGTATTAAAGCTTTAGTAAAAGCTTTCTTTAGCTAGTTAAAGAACTATTAGTAATTTAAGTTAAAGTTAAATTAAATCTTTTTTTTAGTAAGTATAATTATAAGGCTTACTTACTATAAAAAGTTATTAATAAATTATTAGTAAAAGTTAGTAAATTTTATAAAAGCATAAACATCTTTTATATTTTTTAGATATTGCTAATCTAGCATAGTCTAAACTTTAATAAGGTCTATTTAAATGCTATTTATAAAGATTACATATTCTAAATATATAACCTTTAATTAGTAAAACTTACATTTATTTATATTAAGTTATAAACCTACTTCTTCTATAGCCTTTAGCACTAGGCGTACATGCTGTTTATGCTCTAAAAGGCTATTACTATAGATTAGAATATTATTAATATACATAGTGCAAAACACATCTAGGTAGAGTTAGAGTAAGTTGTTTATAAAATATTAAAAAGTACTAGGCGCGTTAGCTAAGCTAAAGGGCATTACTAAGTACTTAAATAGTTTATATTAAGTCTAAAACACTATTAGCTACTTATTACTTTTTACTATTCTTAGCTTATTAAAGGTAGTAATAATATTTAACTTTATAAAATACTTTACTTTACTTAGTTAACTTAAGGTTTTTTATAAAAAAAAATTAAGTATTAGTTTTTAATAGTAATAGCATTTAGTCTTTAGTAATTAATGTAAAATTAAAGCCTACCTCTAAGTTTCTTTATAAATAGTATAAGTAACACTACTAGTAAGAAGCTAGCTTAAATAAACTTTTTTTTTAAGTTTTTATTAAAGTATTTTTAAAGCACTTTTAATTTATTTAGTAACATTTTATATAGTAGCCTATAACTAGGTTGTTTACTAGGCTTAAAAGTTATCTAGTAATTATATAAATGTTATATTAAAAACTTATTAAACTTATTTTAAAAAAAGACATATAATAAGTTATAGTAGTTTTAAAAGACTATTATTTTTAAGTTAGTATGTTTTTAAAAAGCTAGAGCTTAGTCTATATTAGAAATTATAACTGCGTAGATTTTATAATTTAGTTATTAAGCTAAGGTTATAAATAAAGCAGGTTTTATATAGCAGATATCTATCTGCTATTTAAGTCCTAGTTTATGTCTAAATTAGGTAAGTAAAGATTCTTTAAAAGCTTTTTTTTCTTTAAGTTTAAGCAGTTATTAAATTATTTTATATAGCTTATTTTAGTAAAAGGCCTAGCTTATTAGCCTTACTTAAGTAGTTTTTTTTTAAGTTATTAAAAAGTAAGTCTAAAAACTTTCTATATTAAGTGCTACTTAAGTGTTATTTAGGTATAAGCATAAGCATACATTTTAGCATTAAAAAAAGTTAAAGTTTAAAACTTACTTTTAGTAATTAAAAGTAACTTTATGCTAATATAGCTATAGTTGTCTTAGAATTAGGTTATAACATTTTATGTTTATTATATAAAGCTTAATCTGCTTCTTATAGTGTTAGTAAGTAATTATAATAGTTATAGTATAAAAAATAAAACTTTTTTTAAGTTATTTTTTATTAAATCTAGTTAAGTAAATTATTTAAGTAAGTAGTATTAATTAAAGATTTAGTTTACACGCTAGTTTTTTATTAATGTAACTTATACTATTTACTTCTAAGTTAATAAAAGCTTATATTAAAGCTAATATAGTTTTTTATTATAAACATATAAAAATATTAACTTAGTACTTTTAGTTATTAGTAAGGGACTTAGCCTATAAGTTAGTAGAGATCTAGTGTTAAATTAGTCCTAAAGGGCAACTTAGCCCTAAGATAAGCCTTTTTACAGGCTTCTACTGCTATAGCTATAGCTATGTTAAGAGTAGTAAAAAAGATTAAAGCTTAAATATAAGTTAAAGCTTTTATAAAAATAAAATTAAAATAGTAAAAATCTTTAATAAGTGCTAGCAGCACTACTTATATAGACTTAAAAAAAAATAAAGTAGTTTTAAAAAATATAACTATACTTACTATACTTAAAGTATTAACTTTTTTTTTTATAATTTTTACACTTTTTAAAACTAACTAAAGCATAATTTAAATTAATTTTTATTATATTAAGGTTTTTATTTATAACTGCGCTAGTTTAGGGGCGTATTAGGGCTTATATAGAGAGGAACCTTATGTTATTATTATAGGTAGTAATTAGGTTTACATACATATTAAGGTTATTTAAAAGGGGTTCTTCTACTATAGTGTGTTATAGTTTAGTTAAGAGGGAGTTATATAGGGCTATAATTAGACCTATCTTATTTAGGCCTATATTAAATGTAAGTTAGTAAAACTTAGTAAAGTGTAAAGTAAAGCTTTTTTTTTTATTATAAAGTGTTTAAGTAACTTAAGGCTATTAACTTTTTATTTAAGTTTTTATAAGTTACTTATAAAAACACTATAAATTAATTTAAGTTAATAATATTTTTATTTATTAGTAAGTTAATTAAGGCTATTATATTATAGTTAAGTTAAAAGTAGGTGTATAGTAACTAAAAGTATTTAAAAAAAATTAGTCTATGTTTTCTTTAAGTTTATATTAAAGCTTATATAAAAAGAAAAGTAAGTCTTTTTATTTTTTATTAAATAGTAAGGGATTAAAGAGTTAGTTAGATTTTATTACTAAGTTAAAAAAGTTATAAGTTATAAGTAGTGTTAAGTAGAAAAAAGTTAAGCTATCTCTAGACTTTTAAGTAAGCTTTAAGGCTAGTAAGTTCTTAGTTCTTACTACTATAATAAAAGTTAAGGCAAAAATAGACTACTTAATAATATAAAGCTGTTTTTTAAAATCTTTTTAAAAAGCTTTAAAGCTTATAACATAGTAGCTTTTTTATAAAGTAAGTGCTTTTTAGAAAGCTTTTTAGCTTACTTTAATAGTTTAAAGTTATGCAAGTACTAAGCTTATTAGATTAAATTTAGAAGCTATTCTTAGCTAAAGTTTTAACATAATATAATGTTATAATTATGCATAAGTAAGGTTATAGAGCTTTACAGAGGTCTAGTTTAATTACTATGTAAGGTATTATAGTAAGTATAAGATGTTATGTAAGAAATAAAAAGGTTTAAAAAGAAATTAGTAATTAAATACTTAGCTTAAAAGTCTAAGCGCTTTAGGTATAAATTAAGCCTGTTTTAAGTTTAGTTAGTGTTAAAGCAGTTTATGCTTAAGTTTATGTCTATGTTATGTTATATTTATGTTAGACGTGCACTAATAATACTCTAGTACACGTCTAATACAGTTATGTCTGGGATCCGGGGAGGATACCGTGACAGTAAAATACATTAGTTGTCTGTACGTAGCAGCAGTGTTACAGTCTGGATACTAGTTATCGCGCGAGAAGGATCACGTAACTATGTCACATGATGCTCGTGCGCGAACCTCCGTACGCGAACATGTAGATATTCCCCTTTTCCTTCGTACGCAAGAGAGAAGACAAGCAATGACCAGAAATCTGTTGCCCACCCTACCTACTCTGTACGCTGTGCACACTGTACACTACTCTTACTCTTGTTACTTAAGTGCTCATATCATAAGCAGCTAGCTAAAAGAGCCTATTCAACATTAGTTATAGTATATTTTTGTGTAAGTACACATTTCTTACTGTTTTTTTTACTATTATTATATCTAATAATTTTTTATTTTAGTAGTTAAGTTAGATAACTACTGCTTTTTATTATCTTTATAACGTACACTATAGGCTAGTTGCTTACACACCTAAGTTACTTACTTTTACTAAAACTACACTAAACTACTTTTTTTACACTAATATATTCCTAACAACCCTTCTTAAATATGTTAAAAAAATGTTAGATATAGCTTATACTTTAGGCTTTTAAATAAAATATAACACTTTTAAAGTAACAAACTATAGCTATGTATAAAGTATTTTAAAATAATAAATAACTAACATACTAGATAACCTTTATAAGCTAATTCTATAGCTAACTTATAAAAGCTAGATAATAATAAAAAGTAAGTAATTATTAAGCATATACTTAGCTAAATATGTAAGGATTTTCCTTTTAGCTAGTAGATGTAGCTAATATGGCTAATTTTTTACATGCGAAGTATAAACTAGCCTAGTATATTTATTAAGTGTTATCTAAGGCTTAAAGCAAAGTTTAAGTATAAGTATAACTATAAAAAAGCTTTTTATAAGAGTTTTAAAGTAATTTAAAGCGAAGTATAGCATTTAGAATAACAATATATATAACTTTAATAAGATAGGCTTTATAATAGGCTAGATATTTGCTAACTATACTTATACTTAAAACTTTACTTTAAGCTTTGTAAAGATAGAATAGTAGGTAGCACAGATAGCACTAAGAGCAAGGGTTCGGAGAAAGATAGGAGTGTATTGTAAGAGAGACGAATCGCTGCCAAGCCTCGCTTGTTAGGATTCATGCTTATATACGAAGCACAGGTCACCTGACCTCCAAATAGGTCGGGTGAGGCCATACTAGCCTGTTCTAGGACATCCGGCCTTACAAGCTTTAAATAACACTTTATAAACATACTAAGCTAGTTTATGCCTAGCGTGTAAAGAATTAGCTATATTAGCTACAGCTACTAGCTAAAAAGAAAATCTTTACATATTTAGCTTAAGTATATGCTTAATAATTACTAGATTTTTATTATTATTTAGCATTTATAAGTTAGCTATAAAATTAGCTTATAAAAGTTGTCTAGTATGTTAGTTATTTATTATTTTTTAAAAAACTCTATACATAGCTACAGCATATTACTATAAAAGTATTATGTTTTATTTAAAAGCCTAAAGTATAAGCTATATCTAATGTTCTTTTAATATGTCTAGGTAGTGTTGTTAGAAATGCATTAGTGTAAAAAGAGTAGTTTAGTGTAGTCTTAGTAAAAGTAAGCAACTTAGGTGTGTAAGCAACTTGCCTGTAGTGTATGTTAAGTAAGGTTATTATCTTTACTTAGTTTAAGCTAGGTATACTATGTAATTAGATTCTTTAAGTTAGCTTAAGTAGCTAGGTAAGTAATAACATTTACTAACTATAAGCTTATTGCTAGTCTAAAGAGTTCTGCTATTCTTAGCTTCCTGATCTTGCAAAGCTTTCTGCTGTTTCCAAGCTCTTATCTGTTCCAATGATTTCAGATACCCCTCCTTTAATCTGACATCCTGCCACTCCTTCTCTTCATACAGATATAAAATGTCCGGCCTAGCATAAGCATATTCAACTATCAACCTAGTATTCGCTGGCAACAGCACACAATCCTCCAAGTCCCCAGCGGCCTGCAAGATATTCTCGCGTAGACTCATCAGCCAGGGGTGAACCACGGAGACGTAGTCGTGAACTGTGACAAATTCTCCCGCGGCCTTGACGACCAAAGAGACCTTCGTCTTCCGCGGCCGATCTTGATGACAGCACCGCAACAAGTGCTCCGGGCCCTCCTCATCCGAGTCCGGGTCGTAATCGGGAAGCGGTCCAAAGCGCGCAAAATCACTAGCTTCATTGTGAGGGCCAGGCTCCGCGTGGTCGCGGTGGATATCGAGCCACAGCTCCTCCCAATCGTCGAGCTGCTCGACATGCACGGTGACGGATGAGATCTTGGGCTCGGTGAGCGGAGATTGCGATACTGGAGACCAGCTCGGCGAGGGCGCTGTCTGGTCACAATAGGGCGCCAAAGGGGTGTTGGGGTCGTAATGCCTGTCGTCCATGACACGGATGGCGCTGCTCAGAGGGCCCTCGAGAGTCCAATAAAGGCGCAAGGCATCGCTAGTAAGCAGGATTTGCTGTTGAGCTTTGCGGGCGGCTTCGAAGGAGGGTGGTGCGTCGACCTCCCTCAAATCGGAGACTGTTGCGGACATGGTGGTATAGATTATTGAAGTAAGGTTGTGTATTGTAGAAGTAGTGGTTTCTCAAGCCCTTTTAGCTAGGCGCTTCTTAGCTTGTTATTGAGCCTTTACTAACTACTTACATGGTGTCACAGTTATGCTACAGCTATCCAACCCCTGATTGTCGTGTGCGAAATTTGCTGGATTCTTGGCAATGCCAGGTAGCAACTTTTCCCTCACAGAGATTCAGGTAACTGCACATATCGCCCTATGCACTCCACCTAATAGAAGGACATTGTATAGTAAAGCTTTTTAATAACCTTTATTAGCCTTATCTTACTAATTTTTAAAGCAGTTACTACTAATTATAACTACTTTAAATTACTTACTTTTATTATTAATATAAATAACATAATCTACTACAGAGCTAGTAACTTTAGAACACATACAAAACCCTACTTAGTAAGCAGCTCTATCTCTAGAACTACTTGTTAGAATCCTTAAGAAATTTTACTATAGAGCTGTACCTAACAAATAATGTTGTTCTAGAATATCTAAGCTCTAGGTTATATAAGCAGTAAGCTATTTAAAAAACTCTGTTTTTTAGCCTCTTGTAAAAATTTGCATGAATTGTTCTATTCAAGTTTACCTAACAAACTGATATCCGAAGGTTCCTTGTATCTGCTCCAACCCTGCCCTAGCCTCTGCTGTACCCCTATTCCCCTAAGTATTTAGTCGCACCTCTCCCCTTAGCTAGCTTAGTAGTTTTCTAATATCCTCTTGCACAAGGCCTATAGATGTTAATAGAATTCCTAGGTTTTCAAGTCCCTACGCACTCCCATATACCTTTAAGTGGATTTACATCGCATTCGGACCTGTTGTCTTGCCTGCGCTGTTACACCTCTACTCTCTAATATCTTTATACCTACTAATTATAGAACTTTAAAATTCTACCTGTAGATAAATTATATATATATATAAATCTCTTTTTAAATGATTAAATTATTTTAACTAGTAGTTCTAAAGATACAGCTGCTATCTTAGTAGGTTTTTATATGTATTTTAAAGTTGCTAGATTAGTAGTGGAATAGGTTAGATAATTAAGCCTTTTTAAGCTTAGTTGTATAGCTAGCAGCGTAGATGCTCTAGATTATAGTAACCTATTTCTAATTACCTATCTATATAAAAATAAGCCTTATATATCCTTCTAACCTATAATAACTTTTATTGTGCTAAGTACACCTATTTAGAAGCTAGTTTATTAAAGTTATAGCAGTTTAACGCTTTAAACAAAAGTTGCAGCTATCTAAATAGCGGGCACTTATACAGGAGGTCCTAGAGGTTAGCCGGCGCGGATGTCCTCCCTTAATTATTGACACACAACAAATGCCCAACGGTTTACTCCCTGCGCTTGGCTAGAATCCTCCCTCTACCAGTTGACAAGAACTAGGTATCGCCATTTACCAACGCTCAGCCAGAGCTTTAGGAAAAATGGAATCGCAAATTCCACTCGCAGCGCGTGAAATGCGAGGATCCAAGGATAATAGAGCCGTGGTTTAAGCTTGTAGCGGAGACGCGCAAGCATATAGCATACTTGACGAGGATACCTATAACTTTAACAAGGCTGGCTTCATGATGGGTGTAGCTGCAGCCTTGGATGTTGTTACAAGCTCTAATACAATAGGCCAGGCAGTGAATGGTCAGCTAGGCAACGTAAATGAGTAACAGCAATTAAAGGAGTCTACGCGAATAGGTGGGCAATACTACCCTTCATTGTCCTAGTAGGAAAGATTAATCACGCTCTGCATGCCTGCGCATATCTCACTCCTTGACCCGCTTGATGTGAGCTACTCTCCTCTCAAGTACGCGTACAGACAAGAGCTGTAAGGCCTTGCCCATCTATCTGAGGTTGTCAATTCCAAGTTCAAATAATATCAAAACCTCGCGATATGTTACGCACACAGCGGATGTGCTGAGTAATAGAGTCTATGTTAAAGAATTTATTTCTGCCGTCAACAATAAAGCAGTGCCTCGCTAGCCTGTCTGTCATACTGAGTTCGCAAATGCATTGCACCTCCGGCTCTTTCATTCTTCTTCCTCTGGGTAATATGGCAGTCAATGCTGGGATGCCTTACTAAGCTTACTCTAGACCCTCATCTACCGCGCTTAATCTAGTTATTCCATTTGTTGTCTGAGTCGACCGAGTGCATAATTGGGCCTGCTAATGGTTTGATAAACACTTGAGACTTACACGCATCTCCTAAAGATGCTTATTCAGTATTACGTACCTCTCTCTTTGATCTCTTAGACAGTATCGATAAATTGACCTAAGTTTACAAAGTTGCTAAGAAGCGGTTCGAGAATTCAATGCGCCATTCTCATAGATCATGGAAGTCGAATTCTGACATTTCGAACTCGACATTGTGGGTTACCGATATCCGCAAGAAATTTGGAGTACTCGTTTATGATGCTAGTCTGCTACTTTCACCCCACCCTCTCCGTCGCTATTAAGTATCCTTGGAAACACCTCTATCTATGGTTCACAAACGGGCCTGCCCATCTCGGCATCAAACATCTTACATGCTGACCCCTAGGAACGTGGGATCCATGGTGGTGAGTAAGCCTAGCTGTACACTTTTACCCCACTGAGCAATGCAACCAGGATTGATTTTTCAATTTATATAAGAATTAATATGAGAAGTAAAGATTGACGAAACGGGAATTCACGAATAAAAAAGGAAGACGGAAGGGAGATTGGTTGAATGATGGTGGGGAAATGAAATGCGGATCGTATTTTCTGTTCTCCTTATTTAATAGACTTCTGACTTGGGAGAGGGGTTGAGATATGGCGATGCTGATGGTGATCATAGAGACAACGGCGACGATCTACATGTAGGTGAGTTTTACCATGGGAGGGAGGCACTCGCGATAGATTCTGGTCCAACTCACATGAGATGTCGGTTGTTAACATGTATAAATGCGTTGGCTTCGGTGCTGGTTTGGTGTTGTAATTATGTTGCAGAGTTGTAAATAGAAGCCTAGATGACAAAACCAAAGCACGTCTAGAACAAGGACGAAAATAGGCTACTTTTGCGAACGTATTCCATGGCTTGATGCTGTCATTCTTCGCGCCAGAAAGCGGATTACGCAATCCACAGAAATTGAAGAGACGACCATACCCCAGCTGTGATTTCGTGGACCGTAGCCGAGAGCGATAATAGCCCCACGACGATACCGTATTGGTATAGCCGAGGCCTTGGATTGTTATCCAAAGGAGTATATCGATCCATTAGCATATGTCATGTGCGGCGGTCATTGAGTGGCGCTTCGGAGAATACGGGAAATATACGCCACCGAACTTAGTGGTGCCACTTGAGGAAATTCACCCTCTTAGCGCCCTTAGGAATGATAAGGCTAAGCTAGAAACTTTGAAGTCCGAGGAACCGTATTCGTAAATGTTATGGATACGATACCGGTAGAGCTGAAGTCTGACGAGATAACGAACTTGGGAGTGATCGAACGGTTGAAACTTGTCTAATAGTCGGTCGCTAAATAAAGGTTTAAAGTCAGAGTCGACTTCACCTTGGGCTCAAAAATAGATTCCGCTGGGTGCATTAGAAAAGGCAGAAATGAGCGTTACAACGTGGCGCATATGGACTGTAACAACCTGTCTAGGCGTTCGTTTGAATTGCAACCTTTTTAAAATGTCCTTCCTCTCCAGGCTTTGGGGAGAGTAAAGGAGGTCCAGCAATTGCTGAATAAAGCCGACCACAAGTTGCAAATAGTTGTTGGGTGGTCGGTATGTGAATCCGTATTGATTGGAATCTAAAGTAATCGACGTCAGAGATAGCTTAGTCCAATGTCGATGATTTCTAAACAGTGTCCCATCAAAGCCGTGAAAGTTGGTACCGTGTATACCCCTTGAGCATCTGCTTCTATGCCTGTTTGTCCACTGATACGCTGCGCTTCAGCCCTATAAGCTGAAGTATTTCCGTCCAGAACCCAATTGGAGGCGAAATAAACGATGCTTCGTACGCATCAATAAGGGGCGCATCCCAAACAAGGTCCACCTCATGAGCGGGGATGATCTTTGTGCGATGAATGATTTTCCAGCCAATGTACAAGATTGGGGCAACGCCGACCATTGTATAGTACGAGAAGAAGGATGATAGTGTCCACATGCCTGGTAGAAACGTCGAATATCCGTAGGTGAAGACAATACAGACCAATCCAACGAGACCGATCCAACCACAGTATGGTTGAAACCAACCACAGTATGGAAGAGTTCTACGGTCGATCCCTTGCACCTTGCAAGCTTTGTAGAAGGCAAGATACGTTGCGCACATGACAATGAAGTCAATCAAACCACCAGCGGTGATAAGGTTCACTAACCACGTAAGAACCTGAGAAGAGCTGCTTGATACTTGGAGGAAAGAAAGAAGTGGGAAAAGCATGGTAATGGCAAAGCAATAGATGGGAACGCCATTTCGTGTACACTTTCTGAGGATCCTGGGAGCACGGCCTTCGATCGCGAGCGAGTACAAACTTCGGGTGGCGCAGTATGTGTATGTGTTGCCGGCAGAGAAGATACTCGTTATTAGAAGCGCATTGGTAATATGTGGAAGGACAGGAATGGTAAGGTTCTTCATAGCAATCACATAGGGTGACGCAGCAGCCGTCCCAGCACCTCCAGATTTGCCGCCTAAGATCCCGACAAGAGTTGGATCGTTGTAGGGAATGACAATGCCAACGCAGAGCGCTCCAAGAATAAAGAAGATGCCAAAGCGCCAGTAGACGGTCTTGAAGGCGTTTTTGATATAGATCCGGGGTCGTTTCGCCTCCCCTGAGACCATTGAGATATACTCGGGCCCGACTATACAGAAGGACGCAGCCCACAGCGCACCGAGGAATCCTTCGAACCGGCCAAGGTTTCCAGTGGACAGATACTCCGCGAAAGGTCCGGGTTCTTTCCAATAACGAAAGCCATAAGCATCATGTTTAGGATTACCACCAACCATGGTTACGAAGGTGAAGCTGAATAGGATCATGATAAGGAAGACCTTTCCGCCGGAGAGCCAGAATTCTGCTTCGCCGTAAGCTCTGACAGCTAGAACATTACACAAACTAGAGAAAATATTTAGTGCTGGTCCTTTTGCAGCGGGCCTTGTCGCTATGGAAAATAGGAACTGAGGATCTCACGCGTATAAGACGATGCACGCTGCACATACGGCAGCTACTGGAATGTCATCTCGCCAAAAGGTCAAGACGAGGTTGAGGGCTGTGATTTCAAATGGAATGAGTAGAGCCTCATAGAAGAAGAAGTTCCACCCAACCATGAAACCAAAAGCGTCATCAACCCATTTTCCGGCCATTCGAATAAACCCGCCGGTAACGGGCATGAAGGTAGCCATCTCAGCCATACAGTTGTTAACGAGGCCGAGGAGACAGCTGTAGAACAAGTAGGCGAGGAGGGTGCCGGCTGGGCCGCCTTTGTTTAAAGCACCGCCGATACTTACGAATAAGGCTGTACCAATAGAGCCCCCAATGGCAATGAGTTGAATCTGGCGATTGCCAAGCTTGCGTTGCAGGTCATCCGCGTTGTCTGAAATCACGCCTTGCTGGATGTCGTTGTCGTCGCTCTCGCGTACGAACGCTCCGTACTTCTTGGACTCGTCAACGTCCATAGTTGCAATGGGCAATTTCGCTTGAGGGTTGCCGATGATTATGTCGCTTTGGTATAGAGGCTGGATGGGAAGGTCTGTCAGGGGGGTAGTTGGAGAGGAGCAAAGTGAGGCCCTTGTTGGGTGTCCTATAAGGCCGGTCTTGGGGCCTTTATAGAACTGAGGGGACGGGTTAGCACAGTGAGGGGATCTCGAGCGAGGTGTGAGAGAAGCGTGACTTTGAGTGAACTGGGGGTGGAAAGTGCTGGGCGACCGGAGTTTGCTAACCAGAACAAGCTAACGTCAAGCTCCCATGGCGTTAGGCGTGGGTGTCGGCATTCGGAAAAGAGTTTTCGCCAGACCCCCAGCCGCAGTAAATCGACACCAACCCCGCTCGTTGCGCCCCAATCATAGCTGGGTAGGTTTACCTTGTTGGGCTGAGGCGTAACCTGGTCAGGGTGCCAAGGGGAAGGTTTCTCCATCAGAGTGGTTTGGTCTGCCAAATCCTGCGACGTCTTGACAGATGATGGCTAGACCGGTGAAACGGGATGCCATGAAAGGCGAAGTTTAAATTGTCCAAACGTAATTACCATCCCACGTCGATTTTCAGTGAGGTCGTGTCGCCATTGAAACATTCACCAAGCGTCCTGATCTTCGGCCCCGCATTAGGTAGGACTCCAGGCTTGACGTTACCTTGACGGGAATTTGTCAAAGTTCTTACTATACTTTGACTAGTCCAGTTGAGGCACCCGAAGAGCTGATCTTCGTAGATACATAAACCTCTTCCTTCAAATCTCTTCTAAGAGACGGGTTCGAAATAGAGCGAGTCTGTGACTAAAAGACTTTGGTTTCCACGTTTTCTGGAATTCATCGAGACCGGAGAAGATAATTCTGGTGCCGTGTCTTTTGGGTTGCTTGGGACCGTATTTTTACGAGTTCTTCGGTGTCAAAAGGATCCAGGCGGAGGCTAGATGTCGTGTGGGCTTTTGCGCATTCTTTAGAGTTTCGTGCTGTTATTCCTTCCGCAGCCTCTAGCGACCTGAAGAGAAGACCGGCCTCATCTCCCAGACCTGTTTCAGTCAGCGATAAGTTCTACAAAATGAAGACGAGGAGAGACGAGATTCAGCCCGCACCGTTGAATGACTTGTAGCCAAGATGCAACCCAGATCTCCAGCGTCCTCAGAACGCTGTGGGCGATCAGCACTCAATCCCCAGGCAGTTAGCGTCAGCAATTAACCCTCATAATCAACCGTACAGTGTGCATTGCTCTGGTATAGTTGGGAAGAAGTCGCTGTGAGGAGGTGGAGATAGAAATCGAAAGGATTCGCAGGTGTTATCCGGTGCCAACCGGGCCGCGACTTCCGGAACACTCCAAAACAACAACCAACTCTCCAACCTCCACCTTTTTCAAATCTCAACCGCCTGGCCTTTTTTGCTGAACGCCTTTGCTCTTTTGCACACTTATAGCTAACAATCCATTGAGCGGTGCGTTGGCCTAATTAGGCTTAGTGCGAAGTTGGCTCTGCGTCTCTTGGTGCCTTCGCCCTTTAGCTTGACCTGATACACAATCTGACCTAGATGCTTCAAGACCTGATAAATTAAGAGGACAGGATGCTCTCCTGCGTGTGAAGTTTACTTGTCTAGATACCGCTCAATTCTCTTAAGAGAGCCTCCCCGCCACCCATACCCCGCATCGGTTGCACCTCGATGGATGTTCGCTACAACATGCTCAAACCAAGTCGAGTGTCGTGATTCATCGATCATTGAGCATAAAATAATCCACAGAGTGGATAAGCATCCACATTTACCCTATCTACCCTATCTTCGGTAGACGTTCATTCTTCGACCTCAGAGAAGAGTCGATCGGATCTAAACCGGCCGGCTTATCTCACCGCCCTCTTTCCATCTCGCACACCCTCTGCTGCATCTACGGCCATTTCCTTGCGGACGCAGTGTTGTAGCCAGGGAGCTGTCCAGACGTTTTCGTCCCAAGTATAAAGTATCCTTTGCTAACCGCCCACCTATCTACTAAACCTTCCGTACAAGCAAATTGTGTTTGCTGTCAACAACTCCGCAGTTTATTTCCACCATGTGCCGCTGGTTCGCCTACATATCTCCCATCGAACCATGTCTGCTCTCGGATGTCCTGATCACGCCCGCCAATAGCATCAGCAAGCAATGCTCCGAGCACTACCTTCCGGGACTTCTCCCGCATAAGAAAGAGAAGGAGCTAGATCATAGTTCTGATGCCCTTCTTCGAATGCGAAACTCTCTTCTTAACATGGATGGCCTGGGCGTCGCCTGGTACACTATGGCAGCCACTTCGTATATTAAGCACATCAACGGACCCCGTCCAGCCTTATACAAGTCACAGTCTCCACCTATCAATGATTTCAACTTTCGAGCGCTATGTGAGAACACGGAAACCCATTGCGTTTTCGCCCACATCCGAGCGAGCAGTGGCAGTGTGGTCACGCAGGTGAATTCTCATCCTTTCGTCTTTGGCCGCCATACTTTCATGCATAACGGCATAATCTCCTCCTTCTCCGACATTCGGCGCGACATGACAGACCTGATGTCAAATGACACATTTTGCAACACCTTTGGATCGACCGACTCCGAGCATGCCGCAGCTCTCTACATGACCAACCTTACGAACCATGGCGGTAAGGATTCTTGGCAAAAAACGTACCCATTGGAGGACATGCTAGGGGCTATGGTTAAGACTGTGAATCAGATCATGGAGCTCCAGAAGATCAAGATCGGAGACAAGCGGACGCCTAACTCGTTAAACTTTTGCACCACTGATGGGACGCAAATGCTTGCCATCCGTTTCCGCAACCACGCTACCGAACAACCCCCTTCACTTTATTGGTCCGAATTTGCCGGTCGCACGCTCAATAGAAAGTACCCTGGCCACCCAGATTCGCCAGATTTAATCAACGAGCAAGCGATCATGGGGGAGGACGAGAGAATTGGGAAACATACAATTATTGCGAGCGAGCCAACAACGTACGACAAGCGCGAGTGGCACCTGATTGGGAAGAATTGCGCACTTACAGTTGATAATCAAGGCTTTGAGACCGAGGTTCCCATTGTGTACGACGATTCATTGAATGCATCAGATCCTGCTGTTGATTAATATAGTTACCAGCAGTTGCTGGCAGAGTGGAGACATTCCGGCAGGCTCAAACAAATTAATGCGATGGCTTGGATCTTCTTGCGTTGATCAAACAGCATGAAAGAAATTATTACCTACCCTTGTGATACATGCACAATCCCTCACGCATGGGATAAGGAGAATGCCTTCTCGGCGCATCTTCTCATCACATCACGTGACCTACGTCCTAGATCGGAAACTCCAGCTTCGGAACAAATTTAGCAAGCTACTAAGAGCCTTTCATCATCAAAACCAACATCAGATTGTGCCTCAGATATGGTGGACTGGAACACGCAATCTCGACAATCTGCAAAAGAAATACGAAGATATCATACGATTCCCCTCAGCCAAGTGATGTGTGAATGTTGTCGGCCAGTGATCATTCATGAACGACTTGGCGCCACAACGCTTATTCGCACCACACCCGTCCATGTGACCTTACTTATCTAGATAGCCGAGACCACTCTGCTAGATTTAAAGGTGGCCAGGTCGGACACCCTAGTACACGGTTAGAGGCTTTCCCCGGCTTTTGAACCTCGGAGTTCCTTTGGGAAAGGTTTTAAGTTTTGGGAATCATGGGCTTCGGCAAGAAAAGGGTGGATCATAATGTTGAAGAGGTTGGCGAAGAAGCGACGCCACATGTGAGATGGACGCTGGGGATCTTGAGCGATCCGCTTGTGGATGAAGTACCTGGTAAGAACGCGAGTTGTTAAATTCTTCGTTCCACGCACATATTTTCCAATCAGCAGCAGCAGTTGATATTGTACCCCAGGCTCCATACGTCTTCTTTCCGACGAACACGACCACCATGAACCGCTTGGCCTGCACCACGAAGACCAAGCTCAACGTGCCTCGGTGTTTCCCTCGCCTTATCACCCTCAAATCCTCGAAAAGGTCGTAGACGCGGAGAAACGAACTAAAGATGGCACAATAGTGCTCTCCCCGCAGCCCGAAAGTACACCGAATGATCCTCTTAACTGGTCTTCTGCCCGCCGCAACACGGACTTGCTTGCTCTCGGGCTGTTCTGCATGCTCGGTGGTGGCATGACTCCAATTCTCGCTGCTGGTTTTAACGATGTCGCAAAAACATTTGACGTAACGGTACCGAAAGTTGCACTTACTACGGGACTGTTTATGATGGGCATGGGTGTTGGTGGAGCAATTGTTACGCCAACTGCCATTCTTTACGGAAAGAGGCCCATTTACCTATTCTGCTGTCTTCTTCTTATCGGAACATCAATTTGGTGTGCGGCATCCCAGTCCTATGGCTCCCTCCTCGTAGCCCGTATTGTCCAAGGCATCGCGGTTTCTCCAGTCGAGGTCCTCCCTTCGGCGACAATTGTAGAGATCTTCTTCCTCCACGAGCGAGCTGGGAGAATTGGGATCTACGAGTTCCTGTATCTTGGAGGCAAGAACTTAATCCCACTTGTCGCAGCCGCAATCGTAATGTCTAAAGGCTGGAGATGGATCTTTTGGATCGTTGCGCTAGTTGGAGGACTCTGCTTTGTGCTGATATTCTTCCTTGTTCCGGAATCATTCTGGGATCGAACGCCGCGCCGCAACAAGACGGTGAAGGCAACTATGGCTGGCGCAATACGAAGATTGAGTGCAGCGAGTGGTAGCCAAAAAGAGTCTGTTGGTGTGATAGCTCCCGATATCATACGACCAGTCGAGGATGAGACTGAAGGAGAGACCGCCGGTTCTCGGCCACCAAGTTCCGGAGACGACATAGAAGACCAGATCGCAGCCACCAAATCTGCGGACGAAAAGGCACCGGAAGTCATAGAGGAGAAACAGCACTACCTACCTCACATCAACTTCCATATCACCAACCACGCTCATCACCGACATTTCCACATTCACCACCACAGTAAAAGCTCTCAACCCCACGAACCCCACATCGACTACACCGACTACTATCGTGAGCACGCTCCACGGACCTACATCTCCTCCTTGAAGATCTGGAACGGTCGTCTAAGCCAGATACCCTGGTGGCGCATCTTCCTACGCCCCTTCATGCTCTTCACCTACCCGGCCATTCTGTGGAGCGCCGCGGTCTACGCCCTCTCAATCGGCTGGCTAATTGTAATCTCGGAATCTGTGTCTCTCATCTACCGCAACAAAGAGACTTACAACTTCAACTCCCTACAAACGGGCCTCATATATATCTCCCCGTTCATCGGGTCTATTCTCGGTACCATTGGTGGCGGTGAGGTATCGGATGTTATCATCAAGTTTATGGCTAAGCGCAATAATGGGATCTATGAACCGGAGTTTCGGTTAGTTATGGCGGCGCCTGTGGCGATTACCACAGTCTTGGGGCTTATGGGTTTTGGGTGGAGTGCACAAGTTCATGATGCTTGGATTGTGCCCACAGCGTTCTTTGGCATAATCAGCTTTGGGTGTGCATTGGGCGCCAGTACGGCGGTAACATTTTGTGTGGATAGCTATAGACAGTATGCTGGGGAGGGACTGGTTACGTTGAATTTTAGCAAGAGTAAGTCGAATCCATATTCCCCAGTCCCCTCTCCTCTGCTTCGCCATCTCACTCATCTCGACCACTTCCCGGCATCAAATTTCTAAAGATGAACGTACCGTCCACCAACGTTGAAACTAGATATATTCCACGGGCTCGTATTCTCCTTCTTCGTCGGCAACTGGATCGAATCGGACGGACCGAAGAAAGTCTATCTCATCATCGGCGGCATCCACCTTGCATTCCTCATTTTCACAATCCCAATGTATGTATTCGGCAAACGCGCGAGGATGAATACAGTGCGGAGGAATTGGCTAGAGAAGTTTTAGCACAGAGAGTGAAGGGAGTTTAACAAGCTAGATTAACTACTTTGAAGATCGTGAAAGAGATTTTGAATTTGGATTCATGGAGAAAAGTGATGAGGAGAGTAATTTATAACCTAGACTTTCATGTTCCCAACCTTTCTCTCACCCTGCTTCGCTCGTAAAAGTTGAGAAGGCTACACTGATACCCCGCCAAACGATCCATCTCCCCAATATCGTACCGCAAGCAACAAATATGCGCAAAATATTTCCCCTTAAACTACCGTCCTTCAAATCTGACTAAGCTAAACCAGCAAAACTCCCCAATTCCCTCCCCCCTTTCCCTCCTTTCCCTTTGCATCAACCCATCCCTAACCTCACATACGCGTCTGGCATAGCCACCCAATCCCCATTCTTCTCTTATCTCCCTTCTCGTCCTCATACCGTCTCCGTCACTATCTCCTTCTCCATTCTCATCACATCCATTGTCTGCAGTTCCAACATCGTCGGCATCGATGCTGTTGTTATCACCGTGACCATCTCAACTTCTGCTACTAACCTCCCACGCGGACAAAAATACATCGCTCAGAACCATATCGTATTGCAATCCGGCATGAAAGTGCAGTCTCTTAGCAGTCTCTATAAGCGGTTAAGATGGCGGTCGTGGCGGTCGGGGCTTTGTCGAGTATTTCGGATTCTAGCTTTGGGGCTAGGGCTTCCGGGAATTGTAGAATTGGTAAGATGTGTTTTTTTTTGCATTTTTGCCTATGTCGGCTTCCGTATTGAACGGGAATCGAATATGCATGCCGGGTTTATATAGATTATGATTGCTAGGATTATGATGGATCCGATTATATTTGTTAAATTAAAGCTATCGGCGTCACGCTTCCGGGTTCTTCCTGCGCATAGTCACTAGTTGATTTTCCTGTGCTGGTATTTTGTTGTGGTGGTGGTGGGATTCATTTCAGAAGTATCGATTTCGCTCTTCATGCTCTCCCCCACAGCCCAGGTCTTCGCATTCTCCTGTTATCATTTACAGAGACACGCTAGATGAAGAATGCTCCAATGCAGGAAATGAAACCGGAATCCATCGCTTGGCACTTTTCCTTCTTTCCGTATCCGGGAGTCAGGGCTAGAGACACCAATGGCGGAGTGTCAAGAAGAAAGAAACGGTACACGAGGAGTGATTGAGCTAGGCTAAAGCTATAGATTTCGAAAGAGAGAAATTGAATGAACTCGCCTTGCGCAGTACTTATGTCTACTCTTTCACAGAGTTGTAGACGCAGTGGATCCAACCGGAAAAAGAAAGCAACGGTGTTACACAACACATATTTTGTCCATTCACCTCTCCCTGCCCTCTCCAGTTCCGAACTCACCTCACTACCACTGTTAGCAAACTTCGCAGAAAAAAACGAATTCCCTCGTCCAGACCGAGAATCCCCACGGAATCCCTAATAAACCCGATTAACCCCCTTAACCCTTCCAGTATTCGCCCTCGCATCCACCCCCAACCAATCTCGCATCTGAGTACTCAGCCCCTGCTTTGTCTTCTCACTCAATCCCGCCGCCCAATTAACCTGGCCTCTTAAAAATGGCGCATTATACGCCCCAAACAACAGTGCGCGGTCTTGGTCCTTCGTGATATTTTTCCCAGAAGTATGCCAGATTCTGCCTTCCATGCAGACGATCGAGCCGGCCTTAGCTTGAAACGGGATGAGCAGGGATTCAGCGTCGGAGGGTATATCATGGCGAGTGGTCCATTTGTGGGAATTGGGAATGTAGAGGGTAGCGCCGTTTTCGAAATACAAGTCCGTCAAGCACCTGGGAAAATGGTGAGGCTCGCTTTATAACACACCACCCCCTCCAGAGCATCGAATCTGTTAATCTCTTTTATAAAGAAGCGATGTGGGTGTACACAAATATACTCACCATATAACATTCAACCCCCACTTGCCGACCCAGGGATCCGGACACTGCAAACTGAGATCACTATGCAATCCCATGCTCCCGCTCCCGGGGCGCGCAATATTCGCAGTGAAATTCGAGACTAGAAACTCTTCTCCGAGCAAACTTTGCACCATGGAAACAGCCGTTGGGTGGGCAATTAGGTCACGGAATATCTCGTCCAGTTCCATTAGGTAGAAGATACGGACGTTGTTGGCGTTGGGATCCAGGTGAGGGAGGTAAGTGTCGTTTCCTGGTAGGCGTGAGTAAGGGGTATGAGTGATAGCAGGGTGGGGGTTGGTGGATGAGAATGTGAGATTGGAGAAGGGAACAATGGGATAGGGGAATGGACCTCGTTTTCTCGACTCCTCCGCCGCTTTCTAAAGGCGATCTAGAACTTCTTTCGCTTTCTCTGGACTCAGTACATCAGGGATCGCACACCAGCCATCTCTGTTTAGCTTTTTCTGATACTCGGAGAGATCGCGACCTTCTGCTTCTGGGAATCTGGTTGAAGTCATGGTTCAGTGTGTTTCCTTTGACAGTGAGTTAGTACTTCGAGTACAAAGATGTCTGCGCTTATAGCTGTGGAAAATTCCATCTCATCTGACTCTCTATACATGATGTAGCCGCCCGCGAAAGTCTTACCGAGGCGAGGGATGGGAAATGCGGAGTAAAGCTGCGATAGGCTAGCCGGATTCAGCTTTGTGGAGTGTTGATCTAAAGAAGCGGGATGGGATGTTCACATAGCTTTATCTATAGCGGATAATCAATTTCCTTCGAGCATGTAAGTACTAAATCAGACTTTTATCACTCGGTTCCATCGATCCCTCTAGATAACATGCGATTTTAGGATTCTTCGTTATTATTGTACTATCACCCTATATTCAGGAACCGGTGTACCATCAACTACTATTCAGAAGCAGTCGACAAGGAATTAGCTGCAAGATAGTAGGATATGAAGACAACTTAGGGAGGAAGAACAGGGAAGGATCCATCTGCAATTCCCCATTGCCCGTAAGGATAGGTGAATTCAGGTCATGAAGTATCTCCACCAATCCAAAGTAAAATCTAAGCGCTGGAACTCTGCGTCTCAAATCAGGCTCCCCTTCCAAGCCAACCCGGTATAATCCCCTTCACCTTCCTGGCCATCCTAATCCTCCAACTCTCCCCCGAGGCAGGCGTCACATGGGATATACCTTCCTCTTCAACATTCGCCTCGCCGTTTGTCTGAAATAAGCTCCTCGGAATGACCGGCCACCTTATCGTTCTCAGCTCAACTTCATCATAGAGGCGCCTTGGCGCCTTCAAATCAGCCTCGCGACATTCTCTCGGATAGAATATCTTTTTTCCCTGATCATTACCCAAATTGTCGTTAATCCTTGTCAGTTCGTCACTTGACCAGCCTGGAATCTCCTCGAGTCCGGGGAGGATTTGAAGAGGACATTTATGGGTCAAGCATTGGTCGGTGTGGAAGTAGTGAGCGTCTATCATGATAGTGAGGACAGAGGCCGATATCTCCGGAGATAGAATTACGCGTTTGAGGAGCGTAGGTGAGACCAAAAAACCAATTGTGCTTGAGAAAAGACAGGCCAATAGAACTTCATTGGGTTCGGAAATAGCTGCTTCCATGGCCGGTTTCAACTGATTTTCAACTTCTTGACGCTGAGCTGCCGTTATCGTAAACTGAAGACGTAGAAGTAGGTGCAAGAACTCCGCCTTCTGCCTCGAGAACGGCGGTCTCATGAATTTGAGTGGCAGGGCAGAATGCAGACACCAATATTTGAGGGTCATGCGTATCTCATTCCCGATCGGATCTTCCATCGCATCGGGCAAGTGGCTGCCGAATAAGCTGAGTTGGTTGACAGTATGAAGACTCATCTCCAATAGCTCCTTAGCTACTTCTTCGGATCCCAAGGCAATAGCGAGATACTTCTTGAACCTCTCAAAAGTCATAAATTTGGCTGAGAAGATTCGATACTGGGGGCTGGTCACCACTCGGCCCTCCCAAATTCCAGTATACAAGTCGAGTGCCTCCCGAGCGGCTTTGTCCTTCCTCCTTTTCCTCTCACTCTTAGTCAAAGGCCAAAATATGTGCTGAGTTTTGGTTTGAACGACTTCAAGTGATACATCCGGTGACTGCGGTAATTGGCTTTCCTTGTCATCGCCTTTAAAGAGAATTCGTATGCTCAAGGTCTTAAAGGCGAGCTCTGTCGACAATTTAGTGCCGACGACATGGCTAGCCAGCGGAAGATGGATGTTATTCGAGCGAAAGAATATTGGCTCGAGTAACTCGATTGGAAGCCGTTCAATTGGCGCGAGTAAAATTGTCGCCATAGTAGTGTTGAGGAGAGTTATAGTGCGAGAGATGGCCAGTTGGAAGATGGGGGTGGGTTGGAAGAGGAAGGTGCAGTAGTGCGCTCCTTCGAGGTGGTTCAAATAGGCAAGCCCGCCGTTTGATGTAAGAAGCAGATACGATACGGAAGGCGGTGAAAGTGAAAAATTCGATGTATTTGGCCACAGAGATTCCTTGCGTACTCACCACCCCATCACGGTCACATCCACTACAACATGGCTCTTCATCTGAGTAATACCCACGAACACCTAGTCCTTCAGATAAGCACCAATGGAATCAAAAGGTGAAAGCCTTGGGCCTTGTGATCGCGCCATTCACATATTCTTGGCAGTCGACGGTAGAAGGGCTAGGAGAGAATATAGTCTCAAGTGGAGGTTTCGGCTCTGAGCGGAAGGCTAGATTCGAAATAAGGAGTAAGAGACTTAAAAACCTGAAAGGTACCGAAAGCACAGAAATCCATTCTGTTTTGCGGATAGTGTGAATACGATCAAGACACGGGACAGCAAGTGGAAAGAGCAGAGATGAGGTGTGAGATTCTCACAGAAGAAAATGAACTTTCGGAACAACCACCTACATAATTTAGCCAACAAATTACAGCCGCCCCATCTCCGCATCTCCCTCACTACTCCGCGCCTTAAGTGCAGTCTCCACCTCCTTCATAGCATCATAACCATACAACCAAGGCTGCACCTCTGGACAAGTCCAGCGACTCGGAAATGCTCCCACAACCTCCTTCCCCAACTGCCTCGCAAAAATCTCATCTCTTTTCTCCTGGTCCGGTCCATCGCGCAGGTGAAAATCCCTCCTCTGCTTAAACGTCTCCCTCGCAATGGCCTCGCCCCGGGCTTTCCTTAGCTGTTGGAAGAGTCCAAGCACACTTGGTAGTTGAGATGGGGAGCTAAAGTGGGGAGGGGCTAACAGAAGGCCTAGAACTGCCCCATCCTCAATGGACGAGTTCGCGCCTTGGGCGAGGTAGGGGAGCATGGGATGGCATGCGTCGCCAATCAGGACGAGGTTGGATTGTGGGGAGATCCAGGAGGTCATTTCCTCGCGATGCATGAGTTTCCATTTGTCGACGCGGTCTACGCAGGATAGAAGCTGTGTTAGTCTGTAATGGCTCCGTTAGATTTGGCACTCTTGATAGACTGGCGGGCGAGAGCTTGGAAGCACTCACACAGGATCCCAACCCTGGAACAGGCCCCTCATCTCGTCTAGGCTACCTTCAATCCTCGCAACACTATCTGGGAGATCGTCCGGCACCAAGAGTACGACATTATACATTGTACCTCCACGCAACGAGTATGCAACGACATGTGCATCAGGCCCAACCCAGAATCTCACACCAGGCTCTTGAACCATCTTCCTCAGTTTCGGATCTTGTATCTGCTCTAGCCTCAGCACTATTCTGAAAGCTAGGTCGCCTGTTGGGAGTGGTGCGTCGTTCCGACCAAGGAAGACAGAGCGGGTTGTTGACCACAAACCATCCGCTCCAACAACGAGATCCGCCTGGTAAACTTCTCCACCCTCGGTCATGACTCTAGCTCTCCTTCCTCCCGTATTTCCCTCTTCTTCGCTGCCCAAGTCAAGGTTGGTCACTCTTGTCCCAAGGACAATGCCAACTCCCAGCTCCTCCGCCCGTTTCGCCAACGCCTTCTGCAAATCTACACGATGACAGTCCGAAAACGGCGCATGATATCTCCGGCGATTATTCTCATCAAAGCCATCCTCACGTGCCAAAACCTTGCCTTTGTAGTTATATACCGTACACGTCGTCGGCTCACAAGGTCCGTTAATAGTCTCGTACACACTCCATTTCTGGAGAAGACGAGTTGCGTTGGGAGTTAACTGGAGGCCGGCACCTATCTGCGCAACCCCAGTCTAAGGTTAACTAGATGATGAGGAAATAAAAGAGAAGGGGAAGATTCATACCTCAGCTAATTCCTTCGCACCTTCCAAAACCGTGACATCATGTCCGGCCAATGCACACTGGATCGAAGCCGCCAGGCCCGAGAGGCCCGCCCCGACGATAACAATGTCCAGCTGGTGCGGCATTGGAGACGTAGAAGGAAAGAATCAGAAAGGGCGTGAGAATTCCTCAAAGAGTGTAGAGTTGAGCGTCAAGTTCCCCTCATCATCGCAGCTCGTCCCGCGTGGGGCCGCTTGTACGACAGTGCCGCTCTCGAAGCCGAAACCAACACTATGCTTCCGATCCGATGCAATGGCGCTGATAATCCCGTGGAACCCTTACCCCGAAAGAGATTCTGACTTCGTAGGTAAATTGAAGCTAGAATCTGAGGCACTCGAACCCTAAAATGAGTTCGAAGCACGATGCGGGGAAGGCTTGTCGGGGAGCTTTCACGGGAATGCCGTGAGCTAGCCGGATTGGGTTGAGGATTACCATATCGAAACATGACTTGATGCTAGCTTTTTAACTTCGACCTTAGAACCATCCTTAATCTCATTCGTGGTAATCAGCCCGTAGCCGGCCGTAATTCTTTGTGGTCGGTTCATTCATCTGAACATCACCGCTTGCGCTGTACACTCTCCTGGCTCATCTACCAAAATCAGCCAAGCTAAGGTGAGCCAATCGTTTGGTGGTTATTGAGACATTGCTTGACTCCCGGTTGGTTTGCCAAGAGGAGGTGTGGGATAATTTAACATCCTGGCCACATTTGGGTACCGTTGCGCTAACACTGGTTGGAGCTTGATAGGGGAAAGCTGGGGTGCCTGCTACTCAGCCTAGTTGGGTTAACATGCACTCCAGATTCCTCAACCGGATCCAAAAGACCCTGCCAAGTGTACAATTGCAGACTATCCATTTCGAACATTCATTCATATCATTATAAACTAATCACCTATAGTCATAATCTTGTGACTCGCTAGTATAAACGCTCAATAAATTTGACCCCAAACCCACCATCTCTTGGACGTCCAGTCCAGTAAAGAATAACACCGATCGAACATGTATATACACAGCAGAAGTACCCGCCACTCAGAGCACCCTCACCGCCCTCACCCGTGTAGGATGTTGCTCATACCCCTCTGCCCCATACCCACCCCTTACATACTCAGTCTCATCCATACCTAAACTCTCATGACCACCCATCCTCCCCTGCCTCTTCACTGTACCATCCTTCCCCTCGTCAAACTCCTCTCCAAGTTTCGGCGGGGTAACTGCGGCTCCAACCCCACCCTCCTTAAATGTATTCCCACTCTCTCAGGCAACCTCCCACCGCCGGTAGTAAAATCGCGGTTCTGAGTGTAAGGCTAGTACGCCGTCCCCTCACTCCCACGCACACTCAGATACGGGTTTAAAGCGCCAATATCCTGGGAACTGGATACCGATAGTAGTGTCGGTAGTCTGTAGTCTCTATCTCCCTCTGTCCTCATTCAAGTAGTACTTTGATATTGGAATCAGATCAACGGTGTCGTCTGCGTTGGAGGCAATTGTTATGCCGACCCAAGAGTTTCCGTAGAGGGAGTGGGGGTGGGACTACCTGAGAAAAGGATACTGAGAAAGAAATACCATGAAAGGCCTGACGTGATACAGTCGATCATGAAAACCCTGGAAAGAAACCCTTCACAGCATTTCGATGGTAACACGCACCATCCGAACTGTTGTACCACAAGCAGCAACCCCCAGGCGGGTCCCAGAAACTTCACTACTCCACGTAGTCTTCATCATCTTCATCGTTCTCATCATCTACATGCGGCCAGTATACGGGCCTCGGCCTTTCATCGACATCCATCGGGTCCCCATCAATCTTCTTAATTCTCGCTCTCACTCTCGCCTGTTGGCCATCGCCCTCAAAATCCAGAGTCCACTCTAGCATCAACATCTGGGTCCTTGCTCTCTGATCGGCCCCATGTGTAATCCAGCTGTAGGGCTCTTTAAGTAAGATTCGGGCCTCGATGGTGAACCAGCCCCAGCCGAGACGGCGGATTTCGAATGGAGGTTGCGTGAGGACGAGACGGGGCGGCCTGAAGGTTGGGTGCTAGGTAAAACAAATGTTAGCACAACGCTTAGAGCTAGCAAAATTTGAGGTTTGTATCGCAAAGATATGGATCAGTCATACCAAGTCAACGCTCACTTCCTGGATGAGTTCGGGTCTTGAGAACCTTACAAAGAAGGTCCAGTCATGCTTGTTCGCAGCGTCCGCCCTCGAAGTCCTAATGAGACGATGCCTGTTCCCAATCAAGATAGTCATGCCTTCGATTCCGTTCCCTCCACTCTGGTCTCCTCGTGCTGCTTCCTCCTCTGTTCTTCGTTCCGCATACGTCACGGGATAGCGGGCTTCCAGCGTCTGTTTCAGCTCCGCATCCAACGATGCCGCAGTTGAAGTTCGACACATAGGACAGTTCGCTTCAAGAGTTGAAAGATCGCTGGCGGGGTCGTAGTTCGGGTCGAAGTCCGTGAGATCGAGGTCAAGGTTGGAGGGGGTAATATGTGTCGTGGCTGATGATTCCGCCCACTGTGTCATGCAAGCCGCACAGAGAACGTGATTGCATTGCGTCCTAACCGGCTCGTAAAGGAGAAGATGGCAGATTGGGCATATGTCGTCGTGTGCGACGGTTTCTGAACATGGCGCCTCCTCGGCCATGGTGACGAAAAGTCACGAGAAATGTCACCAAATGTAGGCACCCGTCTCATGTGATGTCAATAGAAACAAGATGACCAGTCTTCCTGCAATCCAAGAATGGGGATTGCATCTCCAAAGTCGTGATGGGGAGGCCTCATCGAAAGCGTGTGCTGATAGACTACTGTTCGGGAATGCTGGATTGGATGAGACCCAGGCTTCAGCGCGCACGGACTTGCGGGGTCATCCGGTCACATGATATCGCGTTCAACCACGCGCAGGTCCGCAGAATGAGCAAGTAGAGATCTAGTTGTATCGTACACGCACAACAATATATCCCAATCCTCTAGAAGTTCAAGTCCGGCATGTTGATGTCCTCTTCCATGAGACCCATAATATATCGTGATCCAGAAAACCAATCCTGTACCGTGTTCTGCCCACCCGTATGATCAAACGCCGCCTGGAGAGCCTCACCTCCCGCTGCCGAAGCTCCTTCCGCACTGCCGTCCATGCCAACAAACCCAGCCATTGGCCAAGCGCTATTTGGTACCAACCCTAAAGCCGATAAGTATGGGTCGAACTGCGTCATGGCGCTCAAATCAAGGTTCTGCTCGCTGCTGGCAGGAACATAGAACCCATTTTGGTTTGTATGCTCATTCTGAGCTTCGATTTCTTTGTTCTTAGCCTCTGCGTACAGCTTTGCCACTTGCAGGAACATGTGACACATCTTGTAAAGCTTGTCGGCGCCGTCTGATATTGTCCGACAAGACTCAAGGGAAATGACAAATTCAGAGAGGGAAGTAAGATCCGACGGGTCGCAGTGAGTTATTGCGTTGCAGAAAATGACAATGAAGGGGGTGAACGGGGCCTGAAGCACGGACCTAGGAAGGGGATGGGGTTAGCCCTGGATAATCGAGCTCATGCTACGAGGCAAAATGCATCAGACATAACAATGCACGCACCAGTGTAAATAACCTGCCCACAGATCTTCATTCCCTCGAATATTGTATTTCTTACTGCATCGTTGGTGGGAGACCAACGCGGCCCGAGCCGACTCCAGGCAGTCCTGATTGAATGTAACATTATCTGGAATCACGGCCCGCTGGATCAACGACATAATAGAGTAGTGCATGACAACGTCAGCGTGGTAGAAAAGGTCCCCAACGTCTCCGAATGACCCTAGGAATGTAAGCTTTATCTAACAAAAAGTCAGCACAAGAATACCTTCTATGTATTTGATAGGTTTAGGTTCACCGCCTAAGGAAATTTGAGTGGGAGTAGGAAAGATAATAGGAGGACGCCTCCGCTTGGAAGGGGGATCGGTAAGATTTGGGGGCTGTGGCTCCTTAGGCGGCAGCGACTCTCGAATAGTGGATTCCAGGAAGGTAAAGTCTAAGACACTTGCCTCTCCACGCTCTGACCAAGCCCGGTTGAGCGCATTTACAAGCTCTGCGGCAGTCTGTGCACGCTCCTGCTCCGATTTCATGAATGCCGCAGGACTAAAGAGCCGCTCGTATGTTTGGCCTTGAATCTGTGCCACCTTGATCCAATACAGCTGTATTTCGGATCCTTTTGCAGATGCGAAAAGAGGATCACAACTTTCACCAACAGCAGGAAAGGGTAGTGACATATCCCAATCCTGGATCGAAGACGCTCGACCGAGACGAAGCGAGAGTGTCTTGTCCATTACGTATATAAACCAAAATACTCGGATCTTGGACGCGCGTTCCTCCATAGTATCATCTTTCATGGTATCGATTCGATGGTAACCGAGATGTTGGCAGAGGTTTGCCGCCGTCGAGGTCATTGTCCAGCAAAGTGATGGTTTACACATTTCTACTGCGTAAGATGCCTAGGTAACTGTAAGCCTCAGGTATTTGTGACCTAGAAGCCTAAGTGTTGTACATAGAAATGGAAAAAAGAAACAGCAAGTGGAGTGGAAAGGGTGTGACATCAGTCATCTTGCAGCGTACACTCCAAAAGTGGTTGAAATTGGAGGCCTGTGATCACAATCGTAGATATCAAACGGGGCATAAGGAAAGTAAAATCGTACGAAGCACTTACAGCGAGTAACAGTGCAAGAATATTCTCATAACTTGCTGGGAGGAACATGTCTAGTTCACTCATCGCTGTCTCCATTTGAACGCGGCTTTGAAGGCCGTATTCGCGATACTTTTCATTTCGAGGCCCAAGGAGCGGGTAGCTTCCAAATTCGGTGAATATGTTGTAAAGAATGCCATAAACCAAAATCCGCCGACCTACTGGGGCGTCTTGCGGAGTGTCCCATGTTTCTTTGAAAATTTCTTTGAAACCTGACAACTTCAGAAACGGGAAGACGACGGCAAAGCACATAGTTGGGTAGGCTGCATCTTTTGTTAGGTCAGTAGCAGGTACCAATGGAGGGGGGGGGCAAACTGGTGGCTTTGTCGAGTACATCACTCGCAGCTTCCCATGGGGGACGTTCGAGCTGCGAGATGTTAACGTCGGATGCAGCCTTATGTACAAAGAGCGGAGCGTCAGTTTTAGATGTCACATTCTGATTCTGCCTCTTGACCATACTCTGCAACGATGTGAGAGCGGCCTTGACCTGAGGGTTTTGTCCGATTGAAGTGTTGACTACGGTCCGCTCTAAGTAATCCCGGGCAAAGGTCGATTGAGTGTTAAGCGTTGTTTCTCCTTCGAACGGGGCTGGGGAGGGCGCATTAACTTCGGCGCTAGAATTAGGGCTTCTTCCAATTCGGCTCGACTTGGATTGAGTAGTACTAGGCTCGGAAGTTTCGCTCTTGATGTCGAGATTGCCCAGTTTTGCTGCAAGACTTTCGAGGACATTCTCAATACCTGCTAAGCGGTCTTCTATTCGGTCGATCTTCCGCTCGCTGGAAAAGGCGACATCTTGTCAGCCAAGTAAACCTCGTAGTTAGGATTGCGGTTTGGGCGAAGAGACGGGCGAAGAGACAATGATAATGGGTAAGACTCGGATGCTAAAACTGAAAGTGTTTTGTGCGCCATTTGACAATACAACGGCTCCAGAGCAGCTGTACGTAATACAGTAAGTTGCAGCAGTGTCCGTAGAAGTGGGATAGAGAAACCTAGAATAGGTACACGGCCTATTTCCTGATTAAGGTGCGGATACGCAGCACTAGCGCAGCTCGGCACCAAGATAGGTATAGACTTACTATTCATCAGATATATGTATCCTCTGCCTTTGCACTTTTTGAGTTGGAGCTGTCGTCTGGCAGCCTGATTGAGATTAGCTGGGTAAATTAGATGCACGGTCGAAGCTCGGCGACTGCCGCTGTAGCTCATCCAGACCAACATACTCAGCTTGCTTGCTCGACAATTGGAGCATGGAATCGTTCTGTCACAACGAATCTTCCTCAATCGACAAGAATCACACTGTTAAACGCAGGTCAATTAAGAGGCAAAAGGAGACTTTGGGTCATAGGAGGACATCGCTTACGGCTCGTTGCACCTTTAGAGACCCATCCGCGGCCGCATCCATCTCGTCTCTATCCTCCATAACAGCTTAACGTGATTGGCATGCTTGACAGTCGGGATGCGAGGAAGGCGAGCAGCTGATTTCACGGGTACGGTCGAAGAAAAGAGGTGCTGTCGGGCGTCGGAATTCTCGGGCTCCAGGTGCCAAGAGGAAAACGAACAGTCAGAGATCGATTACGTCGACAGTCCAGAACGCGGTGTATTATGCACGCGGGGTTAGCGACAGCACCAGGCAGCAATTCTGTATTTGGCGATGGATGCGAGGAGACACAGGCTTGAGATGAAGTGTGTAGGGCAAGATGGAATGTAGACTGGGGGCGAGTCCCGCCGAAAGTTCCACTGACGGCGCTACAGGCCGATGTCAAAGACGCTGCCGAGAAGATTGAGTCTGAACACCTCGCTTTGATCGTATTGCTGGCCTTCTATGCAAGGTTTCTCCATTCTTCTCCTTCCATCCCCACTGTTCCGTGTCCTTTATTCGCTTCGGTGCGCGCGGAGGGCGTTCTACCCGTGTGGTGTGAATAAAAATGGCGCCCGCTTTGTATCGTCCAGGACGAACCATTGCGCTTCAACTCTCGTTCAGCAATGGCCCTCTCTCGCCAAATGGATAATATGAAACCACCAAGCCGACGGTCGAGTGCAGGGTCGCATAACGAAGTGCAAGATGACGATGTCAAACCAAAAGAAGCCCAAGGTGGCATGAAAAGCTATCGTGTAAGCTGCTCCGTCTACGCAAGACATACCACCTGACTTCGCGACAGCGTGTTTTCGCGTACGCTGATGGGATAAGCTGGACGCTCAACATCATCGCATTCGTCGCAGCCATTGCTGCTGGCACCCTTTTACCGTTGATGGACTTAATATTTGGCAAATTTGTGACGACATTCACTCGATTCGCCCTTGGTATCATCTCACCAGCCAAATATCGTTCAGAGGTGAACAAATACACGTTTGTAAATTCCCCGCACCAACCAGCCAGCTCCTCACGAAACACGCAGCTTGTACTTTGTATATCTTTTCATTGCTAAGTTTGTCTTGGTATACATCCACACCATCTCCATCTCCATATCAGCAATCCGAACAACGAAAGCATTGAGAATCGACTTCCTCGAGCATACACTGCGCCAAAACATTGCATTCTTCGATTCTGCAGATGCAGGTTCTATCACTTCCCAAGCCACTACGAACGGTAACAACGTCAATACGGGTATCTCTGAGAAACTCACCCTCACCATACAAGGTATTTCGACGTTTGTTACTGCTTTCATTGTCGCCTTTGCTGTGCAATGGAAACTCGCATTGATCACCATAAGCATCGTGCCTACGATCTTAGTGGTTACCAGCATATGTATTGTTGTCGACACGAAGCAGGAATCGCAAATGCTCTCCATCTACTCCAAGGCTGGGCTACTCGCCGAGGAAGTATTCTCAACCATGCGTACCGCTCATGCTTTCTGGTTAAACCCGCTTCTGTCTCGAAAATACGATTCGCTACTGGGTGACGCCATGAAAGTGGGTATGAAGAAGTCGCCTAACTATGCAGTCCTGTTTTCTACTGAATTCTTTTGTATATATTGTGGATATGGTTTGGCCTTCTGGCAGGGCATCCGAATGTATACCAACGGAGAGATAACCCAGTCCGGACCAATTTTCACGTGAGTATCCTACTCGCTTCCCAAACACACAACTACTGAATGATCATGCTAGAGTAATTCTTGCGGTTATCGTGGCCGCGACAGCCATGACTTCAGTCGCCCCGAATATACTCGCTCTGACCAAAGCATCTTCGGCTGCCGAGGAGCTTTTCCGGACGATCGACCGTGCTTCTGTCATCGATCCACTTTCTAATGAAGGAAAAATACCAAACGAATGCATTGGGGACATCGAAGTGAGGAACGTGCATTTCGCGTACCCTGCACGACCAAAGGTCGGAGTTTTAAAAGGCCTTTCACTCTCAGTCCCTGCAAATAAAACCACCGCCTTAGTCGGCGCCAGTGGCTCGGGGAAAAGCACCATCATTGGTCTCCTAGAGCGTTGGTATGACCAGGCTACTGGAAATCTTTATCTAGACGGTGTCGAAATTCAGGAGTTGAACCTACAATGGCTTCGGACAAACATGCGGCTGGTCCAACAAGAGCCTGTACTTTTCAGTGGCACAGTCTATGAGAATGTCGCTTTTGGATTATTTGGCACCAACAAAGCACGTCTCCCGGCTACGGAGCAACGAGCTCTAATAGAAAAGGCCTGTAAAGATGCTTACGCGGATGAGTTCATTGAGCGCCTACCTAAAGTAAGTCTAAGTGTAACAATTAAGGTCTGGTAAATTCTTACACGAACAGGGCTACGATACTCAGATCGGCGAACGAGCAATGATGTTGTCCGGTGGACAAAAACAAAGGCTCGCTATTGCTCGTAGTATCGTTTCTGATCCCAAGGTTCTCCTTCTCGACGAGGCAACGAGCGCGTTAGACCCCAAGGCAGAGAAAATTGTACAACAAGCGCTAGACAATGTGTCTGCGAATCGAACTACAGTTGTTATTGCGCATAAGCTGTCCACAATTCGTGATGCTGACAACATTGCGGTAATGTCGGATGGAATGGTTGTTGAGCAAGGTACGCACGAGCAACTGATCGATGCGAATGGGGCCTACGCTCGACTTGTACGAGCTCAAGATCTGGGCCAGGCCGAAAGTAAGGAGGACCTTTTAGAAGATGGACAAGCTGAGAAAGTCTCTCTCACTCGGACACAAACTCAAGTTGGACCAACGCATGGAGGTGAAGTCAGGACATTATATGAAAGAGATGGGATCAACTACAGCTTATTCAAATGCATCTGGATTGTTCTGTGGGAGCAAGGTTCTCTATGGATTTGGTTTATATTTCTCGCCACTGCAGCTGTTCTAGGAGGTAAGGCTAGTCCTCTTTTCACGCTCCATTACGCACTAAGTAATATTCGAAAGGCCTCACCTTTCCAGCACAAGCAATTCTCTTTGCCAGAATCGTCGAAGCATTCCAAATCCCTTTTGAACAGGGTCGAGATCAGGGCAATTTCTACTCTCTAATGTTCTTCATGGTTGCAATCGGGAATCTGGTTGTATATGCAATCATAGGGTGGGCGAGCAACCTTGTATGTCAGGTAAGCTTAAACTGTTCCGCCTTTAATATATCTACTCATAAGCACAGCACGTCTCGCGGAGGTATCGACTCGAGATTTTCAATACAATTCTCAAACAAGACATGAACTTCTTCGACAAAGAAGAGAATGCAACCGGCTCTTTAGCTTCAAATCTCTCAAACTACCCAAACAGCTTGCTCGAATTGCTCGGCTTTAACATAATGCTAATGCTCGTCAATCTCGTCAACGTCATCTCTAGCTCCATACTTGCCCTGATTGTAGGTTGGAAATTGGGACTTGTAGTCGTCTTTGGAGCTTTACCCCCAGTCATATTTGCTGGGTATCTCCGCATCAGGCTCGAGTTCAAACTTGAGGAAGATACAGGCAAGCGGTTCTCCAGTAGTGCCGCCCTTGCAGCCGAAGCTGTTTCTGCGATCCGAACGGTGGCGTCACTTGCACTAGAGAAACATATTCTGGAAAAATATCACGCCCGACTCCACGGTGTAGCGAAACAATCCACGAAAGCATTAATTTGGACCATGTTCTGGTACTCTCTGACACAATCTGTATCCTTCTTAGCCATGGGTCTTGGCTTCTGGTAAGCTAGTTTCTCTTGCATGGCAACTCGATTCCCTCCCACGAAGAATTACTAATATATTCCAGGTACGGTGGGCGACTTGTCTCGTTCGGGGAATACACGAACAAACAATTCTTCACCGTTTTCATTGCAGTCATATTCTCCGGTGAAGCCGCGGCCCAATTTTTCTCTTACACAACAAGCATGACAAAAGCCCGGGGTGCAGCCAACTACATATTCTGGCTCCGCAGATTAAATCCAGTTGTCCAAGAAGACCCTTCCAAGCCACCCCACGACACCAATAGCGACACTGATGAAAAAGGTGCCGCACATATCGAATGCCAAGACCTTGTCTTTGCCTATGAAAGCCGGCCGAATGCTAAAGTCCTTGACGACATCAGTGTCGATGTAGGTCTACCCTAAAATCTCACATCATTCTCAATTACCCTACGATATCTAACATCCTCAGGTCCTCCCCGGCCAATTCATCGCCTTCGTCGGCGCTTCGGGCTGCGGCAAATCCACAATGATTGCACTGTTGGAACGCTTCTACGACCCCACCACCGGCCGCATAACCTATGACACCCAACCCCTTCCCTCCCTCTGTCCCCGCAAATACCGAAGTAGTGTTTCCCTTGTCCAGCAAGAACCTGTGCTCTACCAAGGCTCTGTCCGCGATAACATTGCTATGGGTGTCGAATCCAGGGTCACAGATGAACAAGTCGAAGGTGCTGCGCGCCAGTCGAATATTTACGATTTCGTCGCCTCGCTTCCTGAAGGATTTTCAACGCTTTGTGGAAGTCGCGGGACGCAACTTTCTGGGGGTCAGCGCCAGCGCATTGCGATCGCGCGTGCGCTGATCCGGGAACCGAGGTTACTGTTGCTCGATGAAGCGACGTCCGCGCTGGATACGGAATCTGAGAAGGTAGTGCAGGCCGCGCTGGAAAGAGCGAAGTCAGGGAGAACTACTATTGCGGTGGCGCATAGGCTTAGTACTATTAAAGACGCGGATGTTATTATTGTATTTTCTAGGGGGAGGATTGTGGAGATGGGGACGCATGGAGACTTATTGTCGAAGAGGGGGATGTATTATGAGATGTGTTTGGGTCAAAGTTTGGATAGGAGTATACCTGCATAACTTAAGTGCATGTCAGGTTTGATATTTAGATATAGGACTGCAAGTGTTAAGAATATGATATGATTGCCGCATATCAATCCTAGGCCGTGGGCCCAGATTTGTATAAAGTACATGCATTTCGTTAGATAACTAGATAGATCCACACTGCTCCGAGAACAATACAGTTGCGTTCATAGCCAAGATGCAATATCATGTCCAAGCCATACACCATTTCCCCCACCTAAGAATACGCCTACGATCCGTCTGAAAGAACGAATACGTAAAGTTTGTATCCCAGCAACGATCGAGTTGAGGAGGAAGTCGACTCGAGTCGAGACATCCATCTATGTGAATCCCAATTCCAATCCCACCCAAACCGGACCAATTCTCTCGCCCTCAAGGAAATATAAACAAGAAACCAGCGCGTCCATAACTCGGTATTCCTCACATCCAACTCACCTATACACTACAACCTCTTTTCTCCGGCCCCCTACCTAAATCCCCTGGAGTCCCCGCTTCGATCTAAGACTCCTAGCCCCTCCACGGTAACCCCACTCCCCTTCCTCGCATCCCCTCCCAGCCCCAACCCCATTCTCTCCTTCTCCAACAACTCTTGCTCCCGTCTCAACTCCTCTATATATCTCAACCTCTCCCTCCTCGCCTTCTCTTGCAACTCACCAAACGGATCAAACCGATCGCTCACGGGATCCTTAAACGGATTCTGCACCCAGCTACCTCGATCCGTGAGCGTCGTCGACCGTGGGCGTCCTCTGAGTACATCATACGCTTTATTCCTAGGTGGGTCGGCGAAGGGATTTGCGCTCGGCATGGGCGGTTGGATTCCGCCTGGAGTCGTGCCTGTGGTTGTGGCTGGGAAGGTTTGGAAGCGTGAATATGAGGGATCTGTTGAAACGGTTTCCGGACGGTGGTCGGGGTCCGCGGCGAATAGGGGACTGGTGGTTGTGGTGCTGCGGGTTAGGTGGCTGCTGTCCGTGTAACTTGTCTCTGGGGTGTGGAGAGAGCCTGTATTAGAGGGGTTGAACGCGTCAGATGCGTGCCGCATGTGGGTTTCTTGGGCGCGGCGACGCCGCCGTTTGATGAAAAATATCAGGGCTATAAAGAGAGCTATGGCGCCTGGGGAGATTGTTAGGAAAGCACGGAGGGTTTGGGGTTTGGGATTTGGATAAGGGTGTTGGGGGTAAGGGACTTACCGAGGACAGAAACGGTGATTAGGGCGGCTTCAGCGCCTTTGCTCATCCCTGAGGGTGCGTTTTTGAGCCTTTGCGCTGGCTCTTTCCCTGGTGCATTGTCGTTATCTGGAAGCGCAGAGTTTGCTACCGAAGCTGACGTTGATGTCGTTGAGAGATGGACTGGCTCTGCATTTTGACTTGAGAAGTCGAAGTCTGAGGCAGCTGTGGAAGTAATAGCTGGAGCAGCAGAAGTGGTTACTGCTGGGCTGGAAGTAGATATCACGGTTACTCGAGACGCGCTAGATACTTCAGGCAGCGACTGAGCAGCACTGGAGGAGGCTTGAACTGGTGAAGAAGGCGTAGGAGCGGACGACACTTTCCCAGGCTCCGTTGATGATATCGACACTGGGGCTTGACTGGTAGAAGTCGGTGATGGTGGAGGTGGCGGAGGCGGTGGAGGTGGCGGTGTTGCTGACGATCCCACTTGGGCTGCCTCCGTAGTTGCCGGTGGTGGTACAATATTGGATGGCGGGAATGAACTTGCGGTCGGAGAAGGAGAGTCTGGGGATTCCGGACCTCCAGATGAAGTCGGGGATGGGCTATCCGTAGATTTTGGGCTTATAATACTAGTTGTTGTAGCCTGCCGTGGGACAATTTGGATTGGCACCGGGCGCCGGCGGTGATATGATGGCATTCTGAAGGGCTAAGATATTAACAAGATACCAGCTCAAGGAGGCTCAGAGTGCTCATCACAGAAAGTACTAGAAGCGGAAGAGAGAGGGGTCGTCAAGATATTGGACGAAGAGACAGAATCCGGTCAACGGAGCAGTAGAAAGACAAAATGTCAAACTCGAGAAAAGTTTGATGTTCAAGGCAGGGTCAGCAACAAGGCAGAAAGGAGAAACGTAGGAAGGGTCAACAGAAACGGGAATGCAAATGCTTTACGTGCGGATATACTTGCTGATACTTGCAGCTGCAGTACTGGCGTGGTAGCTAAGTCCATGTCTCTAACCCCATCCCTTGTGGGTCGGCCTGGGGCTCGTGTAAGGAATGAAAACGTCCTCCTGTTTGATGCGCCAAACAAATTCAAGGTTTATGGAGCTAAGATCAGCAGCCTCGAAACAGAGGCTGAACATCGAGGACGACGGCAGTCGTGGCACAGCTCTCTCAGCGGCATTGAATGTTGAAGTGTGGTCCTGGGTAACAATCGCCACGACGTGATGTTCAATTATCGGGAAGGTGAGTGGTGGAAGCATTAGCGAGGGGCATTTCCGAAACAGCTTGGCGCGTCGCGCGACCATGGTGAATCGTGGGATGCATCACCAACACCACGACAGTCGTAATTGCATAGAAAAAGAACAATATCCGCATAAGCATTTGTGTAAATGCTTGAAAGTGGGTAGCGCCCCTTCCGAAGCATCATGGTTGGAATCTGATAAGATTGATGTAGCTCCGAGCGCGTAAAAAGGCGCGATTAACCTGGCGCCAGGCAATTTCTACGGCGGGCTGTTAAGGAGTTGAGTTTTGTCTTCTCGCCCGTTAACAGTCCGCCGTAGATTTCGAGGAATAGACACCCGAACGGTGCAACCAAGGAGAAATCCGGATGCGGAGCGTAAGGTGTGAAGCGCCCGTGCTAATGTAGCTGGCGCAAAAAATGCCAGCTTGTTCGCTACGGAGTGCGTTGAAGAGGGATGAAAGAAATTGAATTGTAGAGGTCACATCCAAGGTTTGTCCATAGGTAACCGTATCACGTGATACGATGTGTCCACCCACTCACAGCTGTTTCAATAATTCGAATAATTCGATACATTTGAAGAAGCACTTGACAATTTTCGATAAGCGGTGCATCTAGGGAGCTGAATATCCGGAATTGGTTGAGGAGAACCCCCTCAAGATTTTGAACGCGGATCCTGACACGTGCATCTCTTTCTTCCCCCTCGACCTGTGCAAATACTCGCCAGAGCAATATGATCCCTACAGAGTCTGCCTTGTTATAGCAATCAGGGATATCGGCTCTCGGCACCTTCAGACGAAGATCAGACGTACATGTGAGCCGAAGTGCAATCCCCTTGAGTGTCGTCTGCCCTCCTTCCCCTTCCGACCACGACTGTTACGACTGTTCGACTTACCTTAAAGCCTAGCGTGTCTGGATACTAAGCTTCTTACAAGCATCACCGATGCCAACAGCGGACCCTTCCGCACGCTCTCACATACCATGGAACATGATTAAGGCGGGGTCTATCTTTTAAGTCTCTTCTAGAATTAGGGAGGCCTCTAACAGGGTGCTAGTTTTCGTCTGGAGTTATGCCCCATCATTGCCTACGCTAGATGGTTAGATGTATTATAACACGAGCTTAGCACGTGTCTTTGTAGGGTGCTTGGGCCTCCCTTTTTTCAATTGGCATCTGCCGTATCGCATGCCTGCATTCCCAATCCTAATCCAATTCCCCGACCTCTCGAAGTCCCCATATCCCTCCACCATTATCCCATGGTACTTAATATGCGTTCAACTTGGCTTCGCAGGTTTGAGGCCTCACAAAACACACTGCGGGAACGAATTATAGTGTGAAGCTAGGAGGAGCACCAGAAGCATGAGGAACTGGGTTGATTGCTAGAGGAGTGCACCTAGAGGTCTATATAGGTGCAAAAAGGGGTAAGTCTTAGCAACATGAGACTTATCGTGACATGCATGCGACTATCGTGAGAGCCATGCGTGACCGCGAGAGCCATGCGTGACTACTGCAAACATATAGCACCAAGAAACATTCTCCAATGTGTTGTCAGTAATTTGTATTCCAGCCATTACAGTGTTGGCAATCAAGCCGTAGGAGATGTTGACGTCTGTGAAGCCAGCGTCGACGAAATCAACGTTGGGAAAATTTATTTCTTTGAAGTCGACATTATTTACGGAAGATACAACCCATGAAAGTGTAGTTTACTATTGGAGCAGGGCTCTATTGCGAATTAGTGACGAGGCAGCGAAATGGATGCAGGCTCTAAATCTGGAGGCGGGGGATTTTGAGGTTCTAGCCGTGCAAAAGTCATGCTTCGATACTAGCATTCTCACTAGCTTACCTGCTTCTCCAATTCAAATGAAACAAACCTCGACTAGGCATACACCACCCATTGAAGTCATTACTTTGGCTTCCAAGGCCAATAGTGGTTCTATGAGATGAGATATCCCCTGAGAGTAGAATGTCATTATATCGCTGGCAATCAAGAAGCTCCCCAAATCGACGACTTCTTCGAGCACTTTCCCAAGTGCACTAGCGTGGCCTCTACGGCCCGGAAATGCTGGGAGAGTCTAAAGGCCATTGAAAAATCGGTAAACTTTACGAGTGCGCTAAGGCTCTCACGCTGGACTCTTTTCAACGAGAAACACATTCAGTGGTCGTGCCTGTTATGTAGTACCATGTCAGCAACAAAGTAATCATCAGCAAGAGATTGTATGATGCCCTAACCAATGGTTATGATGTTGAAAAAGCGCAAGGTACACCGATGTCCCCGGCTTTATAGACACTCCTATTGAGTTGAGCTCTATCTGGGAGCATTCGAGCAAGAACACTGTCTTTTAGTGGTGCTTGTTTCGGTCCTTAAAAACGCTCTCGTTTCATCTACCCTTACGGCTGGGTCACAATAAGTCTACTCTAGCCAGGCATTACAGTGGGTACTCATCATCCGCGAGAGAGGTGGCTTGAAGAGCCATGTTGTGGAGCACCTAGCTACCTGTTTCCTCTGCCCACTCTCCCGAGGGAGGAGACGTGGAGTAATTCCCTAAGATCGAACTCCAACCTTGACTGAAACAAGCGCTCTGTGTAAAGTCGTTGACACCTTCTTGAAGGCGAATCAGGTCGGTCTGTCCACGGACAGGAGGTGGCAGGAACCGTGGAAGAAGTTACTACTTCAATACTCGACAGAGAAACTTCTAGGTGAAGTTAGCGCCCTTGATCTATTTCAACACTCTATCCTACAGTCCATCTCATGGCTTCGTCTTACGCGCTCGAATGACCGTTTCCAAACGCCATAACTTCAGCAACAAGTAGGCTACGGTGTCACCATTCGCTGACTATATGAAATACGATGGGGTAGCATTCGTTGAGTAGACAATCAATCTTCGAAGCGACTATTCGTGTCCTTTCTAACTCACGGCACGAGGCCCTCGTAGTTGGGTCAACAGAGTGACCGCCGCCTCTATTCCTTCGTAAGCGTAATGAAAAAGAGATATATGAAACATCATACCTTACGTCTTAGCACCCTCGACCTCATATAGCTTGCTCACACGTCCTGTGTTAACGTCGTGGTCCTCAGCGACTAGTGAGAGCCTGACTACTCTAAATGATGACGACTCCTACTCAAGTCCGAATACAACTTATATACCTACAGCGAATGTACAGGAAATGACCCCGTCGGCTACTACAACCTCCCAGACAGTGTCGACCGCAGCGAGTGTAGCTACTAAGGAGTGGATATAAGATACCAATCATAGTATTAATGTTAGGCCAACGGGGCCTAGAAATGGGGTTAGTGATATATGAGGGTTCTGCAGGTACAGTTTCTTGGTGTGTGGCTTGCTCTATTTGTTGGGCATAGCATTCATTCGAATATTTCTAGAAACATGTTACATTGGCACCTCCTCTAAAACTTCAAAAAGGGGATGTCGATCTTCCAAACCTGTTGCTGGAATTGAGGAGGAGGCTAAGAGGATGCCGACATCTGGACCCTTTCGAACCCAACAACACCCTACTATATTGTGTACGTCCTCAGTTCCGCTACGCATATCGGCCCGAAAGGTCGGGAAATCCGAGGCTGGGGATTCCTTCGTATTGCCAGTGGATACAAGAGGAAAGGTTAGCACATCCATGTTAACATTGACTTAGTTTGGTGAGCTGTGCAGTCGTCCTCTTGAAAAGATGTGGAGGAGATATCGAGAGGATAGCAAGTACTCTTTCCTACTAGAGTGATTCATATATGAGGAAAGGGCCCTTCAACTTTGTGCATTTCGATGGTAGTTGATGTGAACAGGTTTGGGTTTGAGATTCTTTCCAGCCAATCAGAAGGTCTCAGCCGAGGCAATCCAGCGATTCCACCCACCTCGCTGGTTGCAGTCCCACGGAACTACTCCGCCTTCGCTGACGACCGAACGTTCCCCAGATTACAATTCAAATGGCATCAGCAACGCACCTCGCCATGGCAATGTGCATAGGAAGTGCCGGTTCCCGTGACCTGGAGCCGAGATGCCTCGGTATGTTCGCGCCCCACACATCCCGTTAAAGAGGGCGCGGGTGCTCCGCATACTCTCCGGCCTCCGCATTTTCTCCCCCATCAGCCGCCAAAGTTCAACACCACCTCTCCACGCCTCAATTCCTCCTTGTAAGATATCCTCAACATGACGGAACGACTGAAATCCATCGTCTCGCACATGACGCCGTCGAGGAGCGGGTTGTCTACTATGTAAGCTCCCCATGCCCTCCTGTCATATAGCCGGATAAGCTCCCGAGCTTCAATTTGAGATAATACAGACATTGAAGCTGACGGAAACTCGAAGTACAACCAAGAACGCCGATGATATCGTTATCACCCTCGCTATCCGGACACCGCTCACAAAGGCACATAAAGGCGGCTTGAAGGACACGCCTCTGGATGGCATCGTTGTCAAGCTGTTGAAGCAGGTCATTGCGAAGTCAAAATTAGACCCTGCGCTGGTAGAGGATATATGCTTGGGAAATGTACGCTGTCACGCTGTTCATATTCAAAGGATGCCTTGCTGATAGACGCGTCTTTAGGTCTCGGACGCAAAAGCAGCCTACTACTGCCGTGCCGCCATGCTCGGTGCCGGCTTCCCCAACACCACGGCCGGCTCCTCGGTAAATCGCTTCTGCAGCTCTGGCCTCAAAGCCGTGCAAGATATCGCCAACCAAATCGCGACCGGCTCCATTGAGGTCGGGCTTGCGTTGGGTGCCGAGTCAATGACACAGGGCGGCGACCGCCTCGAACGCCCCTTCTTCGGCGAGATCCTCGAGAACCAGGAGGCATGTGACTGCATGCAGCCCATGGGGCAAACGTCGGAGAACGTCGGCAACGACTTCAATATCTCGAGGGAGATGCAGGATCGATTCGCCTGCGAGTCGTTCAGGCGGGCCGAGGTGGCTCAGAAGGCAGGCTGGTTTGACGACGAGATTGTGCCCATCCAGGTCAAGGTCAAGGACCCCAAGTCGGGCGAGGAGAAGGACGTCACTCTTACGCGGGACGAGGGTCCCCGATACGGAACCACCTACGAGGCCCTAGCCAGAATTCGGCCAGCATTCATGCCCCACGGCGACAAATCGACCGGCGGCAACTCGTCGCAAGTCACCGACGGTGCTGCAGCAGTGCTCCTCATGAAGCGCTCTAAAGCCGAAGCACTCGGCCAACCCATCCTCGCCAAATACGTCGGCGCCACCGTTGCAGGCCTCGCACCCCGTATCATGGGCATTGGGCCCTCCGTCGCCATCCCCAAGCTCTTGACAAAATTCAACGTCAGTCTCGACGAAATTGACCTCATTGAGATCAACGAGGCGTTTGCATCCATGGCTGTTTACTGTCAGAATACGCTAAAGATCGATCCGGCGAAATTAAACGTCCGCGGTGGTGCGATTGCTTTGGGTCATCCGCTGGGATGCACGGGCGCGCGGCAGATTGTGACCGGTTTGAGTGAATGTCGGAGGCAGAAGAAGAAGATTTTGTTGACAAGTATGTGTATTGGGACTGGGATGGGCATGGCGGGACTTTTTGTTAACGAGCAATTGTAGATTGGAGTAGGAGTAGTTGAACATGAGTGAATTGAGAGACTTCGTCTTGTATATTTTCAACACACCACAAAAATCTGGGCGGAAGTATATATTTCTGCATGCTTGACGAAGATACTTAGACGTGTGTCTTAGATCGCACTGTGTTAAACCCACACCAATGAAATGCAAACTGAGCCTCCAATTCTTGAAACTCTCCTACCACACAAAATTGGTCGATAACTAGGCACCCTGAAACAAAATCTATTTCTGGTCAAGATTGCGGCGAGGCGAAGGATTCGATGGCGCTGTTGCCTTAGCCTTGTTGTCCGTGCGTGGTTCAAAACTTCCTTCAAGACGCGTTGCAGTCTTCCCTCCCCCTTTAACCTGTTTTTCTTTTTCAGCAGCTAAAGTCTCAGGACGGGTGTGCAAATAATATTTTTTTTTTCTCGTCCCCGTCTAAGTGAAAGGCATCGTCACGTGCTTTCGCGTCCTTTGCTCATCGGATTGGGGGGCTTGAATACTAGACGGTTGCTGCGCTGCACGGAAATCAGCCACACAGCCTTCGGGACTGGGTTTATTACCTCCGCCCAGTCTCTCCTCCGTCCTGGCCTTAAAGCCTTCACACCCAACTCACCCTGCACGCTCAGCTCCCGGTTCAACTGTTCGACCTCAACAGACTCGCGTGCGCAGAAAAAGATTCTCACTCTTGGTCCTAAACCCTTCGTCATTTGAAAGTAAACTTGGAAGAAAAGGAACAGTCACAATGGGCCAAGGACAGTCACAGCAAACACCGCTCCAACACCGCGCGTCGACGCCAGAGCCGGAAGTCGATGAGGAGGTTAGAGTACAGATGCAGGCTGAGGTATGTGTCCTGGCTAACTTTAGTTGTCTCCATTATGCTTTTGTTTATGGTCATAGTCGTGTTGGGCTTGGTCTGTCCAATAATCATGGTTTTGATATCTCCGGTGTCTCCTCTTTCCATGCCCACATCCACTTCATGCTTCTGCTCTACCCTGCGTTGTGCCTGCACTCCCTCTCTCTTCCAGCCCTCTCAATCCCCTTCCAAACCTCCAACTCTCTCTCTCTTTCTCAACCAATTCAACTTCCCCTACACCCTAATCGACCTACCTAACTTCCCCCAGGAGCGTGCCCGACGCCTAGCGGCCGCAGAACAGCGCCTTGCAGCACAGCAAAAGAAAGGCAATGGCACAGGCAGCGGCAGCGGAGCGAAGGGAAAGAAAAAATTGACTGCACTTGAAGAGTTGAGTAGGGAGAATAAGGGGTGGAGGGATGCGGACGATGCGGCGGCTATGAGGGCTTATAATTGAAGGATAGTGTAGGATGGGAAAGTCAGCGTGAGAGAAGTTTTGAGAGGTCGAGGTGGCAGCTGCGTTCTTTGTATCTGGGTTCTTATTGCTTGATTGCTGAGAGAAAGTGGGATTACGTCAAAAGCAAGGTAACAAACGTCCGAGTGACGCTGCAATTGTCTCCTAAGAAAGGGGACTTGGTAGTCTTGGGAATGGGTAAAGAATACAATGGCATTTCCTTTCTAACCCTCTCCCTTCGCTACCATTACCCCTACCCCTACCACAACTACAACCCTACCTCCCTCCCTCTTCCCTCCTTCCACTCCATCTTAACACCCTACTTCCACCTCCGCACCCCACACCACAACCACCGATCCCACCAATCCATATTCCTCAAACAACCATGTTCCATACTTCGGCTGTAATACCGCTGCCTTCTGCCCCACAACCATCGTCTCATTCGCCTCCGCCTTAATCCTATTAAACAGTGTCGTCGTCACCATAATCTCTAGTTCATACTCCTTGCCTGCTTCCATCCCCGTCATTTCTACAACCGGGTTCACAGGATCGATTGGTGGGAGGACTTTGCCGTTTAGGTATACTCGCGCGGTGTGTTGGATTAGGGGTAGGTGGAGTAATCCCACGAGACCAGAACTAGAATTCGAAGACGAGGGGGAGGGGGAGGAAGGGGGGAGGTTGGGAGAGGTTGGGACAGTAAATTTCGTAGTGTAATGTCCAATCCCCGACACCGGGATCAAGGACGCGGAGATCTGGTTCCATGGTACCAATGCCACGTTTTTGAAACTATGGCGAGTGATTTCGGTTTTCACAGCAAAGCGATTTGGGGCGGAATGCCAGTCTTCAATGACTAAATCCCAGGTTGTAAGATTCGTTGCTTGAGGTAGCGAGGCATTGATTCGCGACGTCATTCCGGATGAGGATGTTAGTGTAGTCGGGCCAGTTACGAGGGCGAGAGTATGGTTGTGGCTGGATGGTGAGATTAGTGAGTGTAAGGCCCCGGATGTGGTGGGGAACGTGCATTTTAGAAAGGGAGATGGCGGAGAGCGGTGGAGAGCAAGAATGAGGGTTTCGTTTGATTTCAGGGCCAGGGGGACGGAAATCGTTGAGTTGGTGGCAGTGTATTGGAGAAGGGGGGTTTGGGAACCAGTCCAGGCATTGTAGATATATGGGGTGGCGGTAAAAGCAGCAACTGAAATTTTAGCAGTGCATTGAGTGGTTTTGGCTTGGTCGTTGAAGAAGTATATATAGTTGAGATCGTTAGAGGATCGCCAGATGGAATAGACAGGGTTTGAAGAGCAACTCAACGAAGTCCGAGGCGCTATCCTGAGTTTGGCTAGGATAGTTGGAAGCTGGTCGATCGTTGCTGTTTGATAGACATTCTCGTTGGACAGGAGACGTTTTACGGCGGTGATAAGAGCAGCTTGACTTGATGCCGTCGTTGGATACGTCTGGTCGGGAATCTGTCCTACAAAAATCATCCGGAGACCGCTTGAGGCCATGTTAACAAGAGATTCTGCAGTTTCGACTGTTGAGACGGTCTGATGATTGAAGATAAGAGCTTGGTAACCCGGGATGCCCAAGTTACCATCCCTGACCGTAGCTTGATGTGAGATGAGGTTGTCTGGGCCAAGGTAGTCGTAGGTGTACCCTAAGCTAGTTAGAAAGAATTGTAGGGTATTTTAAGTACTTACCCAGATCCCGTAAGTTTGTAGAGTTGTATTGGGTCTTCGGTGCCCAAGGTGATGCGTAAAGATAAAACGCTAGATCAACCCGTGGACTCCCTTGCTGCAGTACGAATTGATTTCGGCCGACATAATCCAACGTGTCCCTCATATGCTGCCAAGCCGGTTGGATTGAGTTCCACATCTCAGTGAATGCGTAATAAAATGTAGTGTAGCCAGGCCACGTCGTATTAGGATAAGGCGTAGACGTCGGAAATCCGTGAAGCACATTCATGGTAAAGCCTCCGGCAAAGGACCGCTTGATTTGCTGCAATAGGTCTGGTACGCGAAGGGAGTATGGAGGAACATTTACTGCTCCAAGCTCTGTCGAAATGACGCTCTTGTTTGCGAGATGAGCTGGTCCTGCAAATTGCCGATATGCGTCCGTCAGTCGGCCGAAGCCAAGAGATTCCCCTTCTGGGGCATCGAGTAGTAGGATATCACTGAGCTTGAAGTGCATTAGCTTGTTACGTCTACTACACGGTGATCTGTATTACCATCTGCAGGGGTAGGTTGTATGCAGGCTGAGTAGAGTACTCAGTGCCAATGGAGTGTGTCCACTGTTCGAAATGCAACAGGTAGTCCTGATATCCATCATTTAGAACTTTTCGATAATCGAGTTGATAGACGCTGTTCCCAACATTCGTGTCGTTTCCGAAGGCAAACACCTCGTTGTATACCGGCAGTGCCCCATTCCAAGTGTTTGAGGGAGTGAAAAACAAAGGTAGATAAGGCAATAAGTCATAACCGTAAGTATTCTGAAACCTTTGCAAAAGCCCGGGGCTCCAATACAGAGATGCGAGTTGTTCCATGCTATCCTCCCAAGCTTTGAGCTATTAGTCGCGGACGTGCAAAATGTTTCATGACGCCTACCATATTTTCCGACCGACTTCAGAAGACTCGAAATCTCTTTATCTGAGAGAATATACTGGTTCCAGAAGTCTGTGACACGTGCTGCTCCAGCTTTACTAAAATGGTCGACGGTCCAGGACCCGTTCCCAATGAAGTCGGTGGCGTTCACTCCTCCAGCACAAGATCTCTGGTTGGTATAAGCCTCCCAGAAGCTCAATATTTTGTATGTCTTAGTGTGGTCTGGGGGATTCCACACAAGTGCCCACCCATCCTGGACATAAGGCATTAGGTCAATAAAAGAACTTTGATTCAGATATACAGTCCTTGATCCGGTCGTGCTGCTGACAGGTGTTTCTAGTTTCATCAGTATACGCATATTAGATTATGCCCTAAATACATACGACTCAAAACTTGATAGGCAATCACGGCGGTCAGGTTCGGCGTTCCAAATTGCTCGAGCGGATGCATGAAAGTGAGCCCTGAGGTAATAGAAGATGAAGGTTGATGTGGCTGTGGAACCGGTGCAGAAATACCACCATACGGAGTTATCGTTGTATTTCCCATTAACAGCTCAACAGAAAGCCCAGGAGTCATCACTTCAGACGGAACACCTTGGCCTTGATTCGCACCCAACGCATAGTCAATCAGAATCCCAGTGTCCTTGGCCGCTTTGAGGGAGCTCTTGAGAAGCGAGTTGAATGCGGGGGTCCCAAACCCATATTTCGTCCAATCAGTGGGCGGAGTCGCATTGCCTACCAAACCATACAAGTAGAAAGGTAAATACTCTAGACCACCGGCGCCGACGGCTTTCGCGTCATGTATGTCTTTGGTAACAATACCTGGAGAGACGCTGGCGTCCGGAAGCCTTCAATCGGTTAGCTACCGCCAATTTACTGTATTCTTCAGCAACTTTGACCGACCAGTAACGGAATTTCGGGCGGTACTTGGGAGATGGGTCAAGGAATTCATTGTTCGATTGAACAATACTAGAAGCGGATGGTGCTGCTATTAGAAAGAGCAGAGTAAGGACGAATTGTGTAGTCAACAGCATTTTTAGAGGCCGTAGAGAAGTCTCTTTGAGCTGGAGCGAAAGTGGTTCTATTTAGGAATATATAAGCTAGCCATTACCCGGCGTCGAATTGTCCGATCATTAGATGAATTGACGCATCTTCTAGGAAACGATTGGGTCGAATGAGGCTTTCCTTGCAGTCCATGGTCAACCCTAGGCAAGTAGCCGATTGACTTGTGCTGGTCTCGTTGAGAGCTGCGATGGGAGAAGTTCCGATTGAGAACGATGAAGAGTCCGCAGATGTAACGCCAGGAACGGCAACAATCCCGGGGTTGACTTCGGTGGATCTGTGCGCGAGGCACAGCTACCCATACCTAAAACTTCCTTAAGGCGATGGAGCAGCTGCTATGGCATGGGAAGGCTGCTTTGTGGGGGTCCGTCTTCGGACAAATTCGTTGGCGAGTGTAGGGAGGGGAATCGTTCGAAGATAGTTTTGGCCGAGGCACACCATTACCTGCGGGTTACGTAATCTCATCTTTCTCCACCGCTCCCAACACTTACACAGCAGCTCATCAAGCTCCATCAGAGGCCGCCCAATGTCGGACTTATGCACATCGCAAGGCATGAATAAACGCATCTCACGTCGTAAAGCGCATACCAAGTCCCGCAAAGGTTGCTTCCAGTGCAAGCAACGGCATTCAAAAGTAAGCCCACTTCTCCTGTTCGCACCTACTCCAGAACAATATCACTGTAGACATCATCTAGTTCACTACTTGCTATCATTAAGGGAAGAACTAAAAAGATGTGACTTTCTCTCCTAAATCGCCCTTGTCATATTCAGCCATAGGTGGTAAGGCGAGGGTGGCACTCTCGTTTCTCACTTGATTCTCCAACCAATCAGGCAAAGTCGTTGCAGTGCTCTCTCTGAGGTCTCGTCGCTAAGCCTCTTGTCGATAATCTCGAATTCGATCTAAACCTAAACTAACATTTCCAAGTGTAACGAGGTACATCCTCGATGTGCGAATTGTGTTCGATTGGATATCGACTGTATCTGGCCCGCAGCTACTAAGGGATCCCCGCTCTATTTAGGGACACCACACCCCGAAAGCCCAAATTCTGTACTCCCTAGCACGCGCCTAGGCGGAAGTCCTACAATAACACCAATTCCCGTTGAACCCGAACTTCCACTGGAAGATCTGAAGCTAATGCACCACTGGACGACGAAGATGTACAAGCCATTACACCCAACACAGCCCGCCAAAGAGGGAATGTGGCAAGTGAGATTTACAGAATTGGGATTCGACCACCCTTTCTTGCTGCGTGGCTTCCTCGCTCTTGCGACCATCCACAAAGCAGTTTCAGAGCCTCATTCCGACGTTCAAAGCCTACTACATCAAGCAGACTCTCATATGAGCAGGTGCTTGGCCACATATCGGAAGAATCTAGAACAACCAAGTCCAGAGACTGCTGTACCGATGTTCTTGTTATCGACAATCCTTGTCATCTACAACATGGGCTCAGGGCATTTGGAGGAGCCTGAAAGCCCAATTGATTCTATCTACCACTGCTTCCGGCTTCTACAGGGCGTCAAAGTTGTAATTCAGCCGCAATGGGAGACAATTAAGGAAAGTGATGTCTTTGCTTCCGTAGCTAAGACAATCATGGGTTTCTGGCAGTCGGATCTGGATCTTGAAGACGAAGGATTCGGTGAGATACTTCGACTGAAAGAACTGACGGACGGGATGGAATCTTCTGACCGCGAGACGTGTCTCCATGCTATCGTCGAGCTGCACAAGACGTTTATCAAGGTCTGGCGTTGCTCGGAGGACCAGGATGAACACGCAACAATGTTCACATGGCCTGCAGTCTTGCAAGACCATTTTATGAACCTTCTCTCCGTTTATAATCCGGCAGCACTGATCATTCTTTCTCATTTTGCTGTCCTCCTCGCGCGGTCTCGCTCTTCGTGGTGGGTACAGGACTGGCCAGATCGGATCCTGCGTGCCTCAAAGCACCTGCTCGAGAGTAAGCCAGAATTCCAACGATGGTTGGCTTGGCCTTCGGAACACATCGCAGTTGGTAACTGATAAGCGGAGTTCCTGCACCAGTTTACGGCATGCGTTGCATACCACAGATCATGATCAGTGTGGGTTAGATCTTTCAGCCTGTTACCAGACTAGGGAGAACGTTGAGAGGATGCTCATTTCTGCCTTACATCAGTGAGTAGGGTGTGCAGTGTTCCTTCGACCATCACCTAGCAAGAACCGCCGACAAGGGCTTTTCGCATTCTCTTTACAGTCAACCTTCAAAATGAAGAGAATGCCTTTGGAAGTACTAGGGAGGCCCACCTTCTGGTGGCGCAACACTAAAGCTTTATATACGCGTCAACAACGACATGAAAATCTTTCTGGGCCACGTCGGAATATGAATGACTAGCGCGAGGCTCAGGGCACTGTAAAATCGTGCTTCCAAGGATCAATTCATGAAAGCTCAGACCAATACTCCAAGCTCCATTCAACCAATCAGGAGTCCAGCAATACGGACCGCGTCCTCTACCGTATAGACCGTATCGACCGTATACTGTATTTCTTTCTGTCCGCTTCCGGCAAAGCCGCCATAAATCCTTTTTCTGTGGGTTGGCTTAGCACGCTGACGAATCTAATGCACGGATTGTAGCGCGTTGATACAGTGCATCGATTTCAGGACGGCTTTATTGCCAAAAGAGCGAAAATCTCGGTGGGAAAACCCCCGCTAATGCCATCGAACGGGAAAGGAGCCGTATACGCTTATACGGTGCAAACATAAGATGAAGAGTTCTGCGATCCACAGCTACAACTTCATGCTATTGCGTATTCTTAAAGATACCATCGCGCCCTAGATTTGTAGGGCATCCACATCCGCTATCGACCTTGATCCCCGAGCATCCTGTGTTCCTCTCTCCGCGGTGTTCGCAACCTAAGATTCAGTATCACTGCCTCGAGGTGAAAATTCCGACCTTGACCATTAAGTCTTATTAGCACATCAATCCTTCGAAGTCCATCATCTAAGTTTTAGACTATTCACCAGACCGAATTAATCCATTTAGGCCTTCATGGGATACGGAGATGGCCCACGACCTTCCCTTGACGACCCTAATGTTTGGGTACCATATCGTTACGTTCCCTCGAAGCCCGCCGCTGTAGTCTTTGTGGTAGCCTTCTCACTTACGACATTTCTCCATACATTCCAACTCGTCAACAAGAGGACATGGTATTTCATACCGCTCGTCATCGGTGGTTTTTGTGAGTTCTTTAAAGCATTCATCCACCCACGCAGGTTCTAACGGAGTTGGCAACAGTCGAAATAGTCGGCTATATCGGCCGTATCCTCTCAACCAACGATCTCTGGGCTCTCGGCCCTTTCATCATGCAATCACTCCTCCTTCTGGTTGCGCCCGCACTCTTCGCCGCCTCAATATACATCATCCTGGGCCGGATCATCCTACTCGTAGACGGCGAGCGTTATTCCCTGATTCGGCATAAATGGCTCACGAAAGTCTTCGTGACTGGCGACGTTCTCAGTTTCTTGGTGCAAGGAGGTGGGGGCGGTATCCAGGCCATGCATACGCTAGCAGCGCTACACACGGGCGAGAAACTCATCATCGTCGGTCTCTTCCTACAACTCGCTTTCTTCGGCTTCTTCATTTTTGTCGCAGGGCTGTTTCATTACCGGCTTGTAAATGCCAACCCCTCGAAGCAGTCCTCAGCACCCATCTCCCTTTCATCTCTCGCAAACCGGAACAACTCTCCACGCCGCGTCACCGCATCCTCCTCAGCCACCCCGACAACCCTCAACGTCGACAGCCTGCCGTGGAAGCGCCATATCTACGCCTTGTATGCTGCGAGCACCCTCATCATGATCCGAGGTGTTTTCAGAGTGATCGAATACCTAATGGGCAATAGTGGATATCTCCTTAGGCATGAATATTTCCTGTACATCTTTGATGCGTTCTTAATGTTTTTGGTCATGGGACTGTTTAATTGGATCCATCCTAGTCAGGTTACAGCACGGTATCAGCAACGGATACTTCGGGAGAGAGGTGGATCTTTGGATCTGGATATACACAGGACGGAGAAGAGGTATTTAAGGTCGGAAGATGCTTCGGCGGTGGAGACGAAGTAGTGGGGGTACTTAGGGTGATGAGAAGGAGTGGCGGTACCTCCCTGAGCGCCCCCTAGGTTGGTGGAGTTTTAGCGTTACGCGGCTTTTGTTTCGATTTCTTTAATGGCCTTTCTAGTATTACCGTAGTACATATATATAGAATAAATATGAAGGAGAAACTTTTAGGTGCAATAAAACGAGATGGGGTGAAAAGGGAAATTTAAATAATATAGGACGTAGTATTTTGATAAAACATACTTTTTAGATGAGTGTGCTCTAGCACAAACCTCCTCTAGCTCAGCACTGTCCCTTATCTAGCCATAGGTCTGCTAGATTAACTGCATTATCGCCCACCCACGGCAGGTACCAAGCTTTCTTCACTTTAGGCGAACCTTCCATGAGATCAATGACTTGTGAATCAGGATTTCTTTGCACCAGAGCAAGGTATCAGAATACGTTGATGATCCTCACGCTGGCTCTGGCGCAATTCAGTACGACCAGCTGAAGTCGTTGTAGCTTAGACGAAGGAGGCCACACCCCGAGGTGTCACATTTCTCTAATGACATGATATAGCTCCCTAACTGCCTCATTCGATGTGTCCTGGTGAAGCGAGAGTAGATGTCCGTGACCATTCGATCTCCTAGATCCCGCTCTCGATATACCAACTCATATGACCCAAATTTAGCTTAGTCTACCAGCTGAGACTGCTCCTTTTAGACCTAGCGATCGAGATACATTGGCCGGAGCCGCAAAATAGCTTCTAGGAAGGAGCATTGATCTGGTGTCTTCCTAGGCAAAGCCGTCTGATTCTGCTTCTCACTTTTGTAATATATTCGAAATTCCTTAAGAAATCCAACAGAAACATTTATGCATGGAAGGGGTGGAGCTTCTTCCTATAATTGCGATCAATTAGGCCTTCTATAATTGAACACTCCACTGATCCGCAATCAATAATGGTCTCTTTTGTTCCTATTCTGAAAATCTATTTGTGACTGCCAGACTAGGTTGAATTTCGCTATAGCATGGGGTACAATTCGTTCACAAACAGTAGAGACAGTGCCATTTCAGAATACATGAGTTTTTTCTATCAAGGGGTTGAGAAACGTGATCACCTAGGGCGTTCTAGCTGTGCTATCCTCGAAACCGGAACCATTCTAAGCATCTTCAGAGCCGAGTGTGGTTATTTTAAGAGAGCACAAACTTTCTAGAGGATACTACTCCCACTCGTTCAGCAAGAGCCAACCTAGGTGGGATCTATTCTCCGACGGCCACTCTTCCACTTTTAAATGCAGAATTTGCCTAGCTATAACTTTTCAAATTCAGATTTAGTTTCATCTTCGGCTTCGCTCGAGAAATTTTGTTCGATAGCTTCGAAACCTTCACTGATTATATGGTAGGCCTCCAGGTTCGGGGATTCAATTGAAACGTGGACGAACAACTCGTATGATACCGCCTCGCTGCGCTCTTTCGAAAGCTTTAGAGAGTTATAGGAATCCGCCATAATCGCACGACTGTTTCAGATTGAGTCTTGGAGGACAATAGCGATCGTTAAATGAACCTAATGCGACTAAATCGACAGCTTGCCCATCATTGTTGTTGCAAGTAGCAAAAGGTTAACCTCGTACAGAACATAGCAGAAGAATACATATAAGCGGATAATATGCACGTGTGACAAGAAGGACGTGTAATTCTAGCGCGTGCGCTTCTAGGTGAAGCTACAAATGGTGAGGACAGAGCGGAAGATGGCTAAGATCTAGTGAAAGCAACAAGCTAGTATTCAAGCATGGTCTGCGTCGTGATCACGATCTCCTAGTACTTGCTCTTAAGCGGATTGTTTAAAACCCCTTGTTCTAAGACAAGATCGTCGGTCTTGCTTTTCCCTATTTCTTTGGCCTTTACTGTGCCTCGGTTTGAGCTGTAGAGACCTGTTTCGTAGCCCCGAGCGTGTTTCCAGCTAACGTCGATCCATTACCCTGTTACCCCACATTATTGAACCCCACGTGGACATGAACGTGAAGATCTCGACAGTGGAAAGCCGTAAACCTGCTGATAAGGGCTTTTGAGGGAGGCATTAGTCATTCGGCAGTCACAGCTGTCAACAATTTCGTTTCTTCGACAAGAAACCTTGTTTGATGGGTCTTTTCTGACACATTTAAAATGTAGAGGTCGAGAATGCCCTGGAACAAACTTTGGTAAACCAATCAAAACTAGGGCTATTTCACAAGAGGACGCGAGAATGAGCGTGGAAAGACACCCTAAGAAAATTGGGCTAAAGTCGAGAAGATCCATGAGGTGAACTGGCGTTCGAAGAGGAGTGGGAATGCCCTTGATTGCTTCAAGAAGCCAAATTAAAGTAATGGTCGAGAAAAGCGGATGTGCGACATTGGCACATTTGCATATATTCGGGACGGGACCAAGTTAACAGGTCCAGTCACTCTTGGAACAGAGTCTACCAGTTCTGTCTCCCAAAGGTGGTATAGGAAGTTAACCAAAAACGAAGCGTTCCCAGGAAATCGCCGAATGGCTAGAATAATCCTCGGTAATGACCGATAATCAACCGAAATGTACAATTCTGGGTGGAACAACATAGTCTTGATTTCAATGTGTCATCATCCCCAGAGAAAGCACCAATATGCAGAAGCCGGTTAGTATCATTACTAAAGAGTTCTATGTCCGACTTTAGTGTATGCTCGATTTTCTTCATGACTTAATCTCTGACACTCTCTCTACGGCTTCCTTCTCTAGGGTACTGATCTCAAATCTTTTGAGAAGAGACCTTAAGGCCCTGAAAAAGGGCATATGTAAATCTACCAGCCCTCCACAACAGCGCCAACGAATGCAAAGCCCATTACTACGCACACTACTATCCCCCTCTCCCGTTCAATCTCGCTCATTCACTTTTTGGATCCGCATTCTTATAACCCAAAGACGTCACATTTTCATCCATACCAAACTGTTCTTGGTGCAACCATGCACGGTATCCGCTGTTAAGCCGAGCACCGTGACATTGCAATAGAGGGGCTAGAGCTTGACAGCAGGGCTAGAAGATAGCGAGGTGACTTCTCGTGTTTAGGATGAATAATGCGGCTTGATCTGTGGCAAAGGCTGTAGGTGTCGTGACTTCGATGCAGTTGACCATTTCTGGTGACAAAATTTTGTTATTAAGAGGGAAGACAGTCTCAGCAAATAAGTAAAAGAGTTTTAGTTAAGTTTTGGGTTGTATATAGAATGGTAAGTTATGTGTTATTCCGTACGTCTCGTTGAAAAAAGGGGCAATCTCTCGACTTCTCAATCAAAATGCCACAACTCCGATGGATAGAAACCGCCGAACTCTAATCGTATTTTTGTGCCCCCCCTTACCTAATATGTGCGCATATTTTAATTTTCATTCCCCTATCACATGCAATCATTCCGCCCTTATTTCCCAAATGCTAACCTATCTCTACCCCACATCAACTGTTTGTAGTAGCGGAGCTCTCTAAGCTCCATCACCTGCTCGTACTTAGGAGCCGCTGCTAGCTGCTATAGTCATATGCTGCCTAGCTGCTGCCTAGGTCACTCCTTGCATATATCGACCCTTGGGTACCTTCTTTAGCAATTAATCTAGTTCCTCATGCCTCTGGTGCTCCCAATAGCTTCACATCAACCCTACAACCGCACCCACAAACCCAAACCCCAACACTACCCAACCTATTAACCTCGTCCCCACCCTCTCCCCCCCATTCGTTGGCTTCGGATTCGTACTCGTCATGCTTGTAGTCGGACCTGTGTTGTTCGACACAGATAATGCAGTCATATTCGCAGTGTTCTTCGAAACGCAATCTACGACGATTTTTGGCGTAAGGTTAGGCGCTGTAATGTTGCAGTAAATAATGCATTCGTCCCTGTTGTAGTGTGCCACAGGTGCTTGGCAGCAGGATTGGAGGACTGCAGAGTAGTTGGAGATGTCGGCTAGGGCAACATAGGGTAGGCTGTAGTCGTAGTCCGGGTTGGAATAGACGTTGTTGGTGCAATTTTTACTGGCCATTTTGCCTGAGTGAAGGCGTCTCTCTATCCACGGAAGAAAGCAATCGAAATGTCTGCAGAGACCTCGCTGGTGTCGATTTGCGTTCACTTTGTGAGTTCAGAAGTTGTCGAAGAATGATTGGCTGACTAGGCCACAAGAAAGGCGAGATGAGTGCTTAAAACAGGGGATGCGCTTGAATAACACAAGAGTGCCGCGCATCACGACGTTTTATACTTCCACTATCTGTTATTGTGGTGTTCGCTGACGGGGGCCAGAATGGCTGCGCCTCTTGCTCAGCGTCGTTCATAAGGAGCGAAATCCTTCAAGGGGCTGAGTATGGCACGTCCAAATTCTCCCTCACAATACGAGTTCGTCTTTCAGGCGGTCCAATGGGGTTGTGAGAACACCCAAGTGAAGCAACAGCCCTCAAACCCCTCCAAATTTGCGACAAATGCATGCAGGGAGATCAGGCCATTGAAAAACCGACAGGATTCATAAATTCATGCCAGAATTCCTTCTGTCACAGGACATGGTAAAACCACTGGTAACGTTCGTCCCTGCGTGCTGGAAAACCCGCTGTGCCGGAAATACGAGGGGTACTTCGAGTTCAAGCGTCTATAACTCTGCGCACACATGGAATTTTATTATATTCCTTTATAAGTCTTGTACTATAGCCGATTTTGAATATCGAGGATACTTCCCACTTCTAAATTACGTTTGCATCGTCGCCTTCAGGCCTGATTCGCAGAGAGCCTCCTTCTATAGCGTAACAGACTTTCTTCCCCACAGTACCACCGTCAAGCCCTTACCACCCGGAATTCCTGTAAATAGGCCTTATCCGAGCCTCAGAACCTCACTCGAGTGCGAGGAAGTCATCATCAGCCTTGTGTGTGCTGTGGGGCGTAACTTCACACGGGGTGGGCCACGCCGATTGATACCTCCAGCGGAAGCGATCACCGATCCTAGCTAATGCGAGATGACCCCACACATCTCACCTAATTATTTCCGTGTAATCTACTATGGCTGTGCGGCGCCTTTGCCAAGCGCTCTGGGATACCAATTGGCGTGGCAACCCCGCATAAATCTACACGCCACAGCAAACACAAAGCTAATGATGACTTCCAAGCATCGGAGCGAGGTTCTGAGGCTTAGACAAGACCCTGTTACGAGTATTAGGAGCGGTAAAAGCTCGATGGTGGTGCTATGGTGAGGGAAGTCTGTTACGCTACAGAAGGAGGCTCTGTGCGAATCAGGCCCGAAGGCGACGATACAAACGTAATTTAGAAGCGCAAGGTATCCCACATGTTCAAAATTGGCTATAGTACACGACTAATAAAGGAACATAGCAAAGCTCTATGCGTGCGTTGAGTTCTAGTCGCTTGAAGTCGAAGTACTCCTCGTAGGTTTTCCGGCACATGGGGACGGACGTTAGCAAATTTTCTTCTTCTAACTTCCTCGTTTTACTGAAGAGCCTTTAACTAACGGTAGCCCATACCATATGCCCTCAGGTTAAAATAGCTTATAACATTACGCTCGCCGCTGTCCTTGCACATTGTAGAGATGGAGATATTAATACCGCCAATTCCCCACAAGTTCTTGTCGCCCGCAACGGAATGACATTGCCTAAATTATGTAGCTTGCCACTTTGCGGTTCTTAGAGCTGGACCAAGTTACGGAGCCTAAAGAACACGACAATACGGAGCCATCCTGCGAGAGGGGTCGGGCCAACTTACACTCTAGTAGTAGTATATTGGGGGCACTTTGATCTGCTTCTCGAATAGCTCTCCTACTTCCTCAAGAAGGATCTTCAGGTGTTAGCCGGTCAAGCTCACCAGACGTTTTTATCCGCATCAAGGGTTAGTAGCTATTTTTCTAGGATTTCGAAAACCTTGGTTTGCTTCCTCTCACTGACTGGACTCTGACTAGGCGTTGTAGCTAAACTTGCGTTAGTCCCTTGGAGTCCCTGAAAGGAATAGAGAATCGTTGCTAGTTCGTTGTGAGGCGTAGAACGCTTGCATAGAGTTTGATTTAGGGGTACAATTGCTACAAGGGGAAGTAGGTGTAGTAGGGTAAAAGTGAGGGTAGTGGCTATGAGTTTAAGAGTGAGGTTGAACCCAGATATGAACGTTGGAGCAGGGCGCGAGAGCTGGGATGTGAGCGAATGCCTGAGCACAAATGACTTTGCAGGGTCAGAAGAACTCACGCGCTAGCTTGGCGATGCATCTTTAGGCACCTGTTGAGAGTGTTCTCGCGCTATCACACCTATCTTCATCTCCCGAAGCAGAGCACCGAACTTTCACACGTCATATCTTCTACAATATAGCTAAGATACCTATCTAAGCTTTACCCATTCAGGGCTTCCAATTGAAAATTAAGTTGGGTCAAGTTCTTAAAGGCGCTGCACGATATGGTCAAGGATATCTTGGGAGCTTTTACCACAACGACTTGCATCAATGATCGTCTCTGCTCCTGCTTTCGAACAAAGGGAAACAAAGCTAGGCGTCTCCTATTCGATGTTGCGAGTTGATTGTCTCTTTCCACTTGTAAAAGTTCGCCCTTAATCTGTGACTAATAATGGCTATAACTCATTTTTAATATTGAGTTTTAATATTAGTTCGTCACCCAGGTTCGATGAATGAGACTTCAGCATCCTTGCGTTAAGCAATTATAGACGACCCCAGGAGCGTAACATGAACCCGTTGTCCCTATCGTCGCTGCCCGTATTGTTAAGGTGCTCAGAAACGAAATTCGTATCGAAGATAGAGTTCATGATGGCGGAGAGGAGTGGAACTTGATCGTATTAACGTCACAGTAAACACATCTAGCCAGTTAAATCTAGCATGTTAGCAATTCGTATCTCTATTGGGTGTAAAGCAAAGCGTAAGCACAGGACGAAGACGTAAAATTTTAGAATAGGTCAACACGACTCCATTCAATCTAACACACAACAAAGACATATATTCCAGCCATCTACAGTCCTCTCATGAGCTCATCAACCGTAATGGGCTTCCTCACCGCATTTGAAAACCCTTCATGAAAACTCACCCAAATCCTAGCCTCATAATTCTTCTTCTCAATCTCCTTCTTCGTCAGCTCCACCTTTTCGCCCTTACGCAGAGGTTTGACCTTGATCACTCTGCCAAAGAAATCGCGCTTTACATCTTTACCCTCCTCTTTGTTCAACTTAGCATCTAAATCTTCTTTCTTCTTATCATCTTCAAGCGCCTCATCGTTGCCTTGCCCACCTCGACGACGCCTTGCCTCCCCATCAATTCGCACACTTTCTCGCTTCCATTCACTCTCAAGTACGCTTCGGACGGCAAACCGGACCTTCTCATCTTTCTTGCCTTCTAGCGTTTCAAAAGCTCCGAGTTGGTCGAGAGGAGGCTCCATTCGGTACACCCAACCGCCGCTGCGATTTGCAACATCTTCTAGTTCTACTCTACTTTTCTCAAAGGTAACACCTATGGCGGTCATCGCATCCACAGACCTTTTAACCAGCACTTTCTCGGATGCTTTACGGACGGAAGCTGTAGCAAATGACTTTGAACCCGAAGGCCCAGTGTTTACCAGGACGGGCTTGATGTCCGGGGAAAGCATACGGAGTGCGTATGGAAGCAGTTCGATAGCAATTTCCTGTGGAGATCGGAAAATTCGAGTGAGGTGTAGGCTTAGAGTGGATTGCAGAGCCATGAGTTGGGCACGGCTAGCTTTCTGCTGCTCGGATGCCATGTAACCTGCGTTCGGGCCAGAGAATGGTGATGGTTGTGCATCTGGGTCAGACATTTGGTTGGAGCTTTGAGCGCGGGGAGAAGCGAAGAGGTGGTGGAATGCGAGTACGGATTGTGAGAGATATGGTGCGAGTTCCCATTCTTGAGAGCCATGGACGGCGGAGGAGATTGTGTCGTGAAAGTGTAGCCATTCATAGGCGGCGGTAGGCTTGGTGAGGAGAGTGTCGTCTTGGAAGGGCTTTTCGGGATAAGCTGAGAAACAGTCTGAAAAGAGTGTTAGAGGCATATCCAGGGTTAGCAAGCTGTACACATACCTGCTATAATTCGATCACAATCACCACTCGTATTGACCATTTCCCGAAGCCTATCCATTGCACGTCGCTTCCCAGCTTCAGCAACCCCAATAACCCCCTGCTTTCCTTGCCGTGCAGGCATAGGAGTCGTCTCAGCTTGCTTCGGAAAGCCTGCACCTTCACGGAAGACGCGTTCGACGATATCCTTTGTCCCACCACGTCCGAGGCTTCGAGCCGCCCCTCCCCCGTGATGAAGATCGTTGATGACGTTGTCCTCAACCCACTTCCTTGTTAATCGCATGGACTCGGATGTAGGGGGTGTGGAAGCTCGAAGTTTGCCTGCGACCCATTCGCTTACAACCATGACGCTTCGTATATCACCTTCGCCAGTACCACTGCCCGTCCCACCTTCTTTCTTTGTGCTGACACCCCATGTGGCTTCGCACAGACGGCGAACACCATCCGAGTCGCAGGGAATGGCCTCCTTCACAAATATGTCCTGAATGCGTGAAACTACCATATTCAATGCGGGTTTCCGGATGTGGATGATTTCGGCAAAAGAGGATTGTCGAAGAGGACGCAGAGACGGATGGTAAACATCGTTGCAGATTAAAATGAGTGGTCGCATTAGCCGGAATTTGTCGCCTTTCCTCTTCTTCTTGGGTACTGTCGAATTTTGCTGTCCAACAGCCTTCGAGTTCCTTTCGTCAAGGGTGATGAGATCAATCAACGCTTTGACGAAGCCGCCTTCACCAGATCCCCCGCTACCGCTTACAACACCATCCACCTCGTCGACGACAACGCAGACCGGCTTTCCCGCTTTCCGGACCTTTCCATTTGCTGTGGTAGTGTTCACACCTCGAACATTCTCAGTTCCCACCATGTCACGTATTCGGCCCTTCACAACGTCGCGACTTCGTTCATCAGAAGCATTGATTTCCTGGACCTCATAGCCGGCTTGTCGTGCACATACGTGAGCTAATGTAGTTTTTCCAAGCCCAGGAGGGCCAGTCAACAGAAGGACTTTGCGATGTTTCTGCTCTACCCCGTCGTCTTCCGCTTTCCTCGAGCTCTTTTGTTTGGCCTTCCCGGATCCTGGGAAAACGATTGGATCCCAGCCTTTGAGCCAGCGCAATACTGAGCGATGAGTTCGTTCGTCGCCAACAAGATCGGTAAACTTCTTTGCGCGATACTTTTCTGTCCACATTAAGGTTCGGCTGCTTTTTATGGGCTGTCCTTCCGCAGTTGACTCGATCGAAGGCTGCGGGTTGTCCTCGCTCACTGCATTCTGAGTTAGAGCTTTGCTCTTGTCCAAGGCTTTCGCATCGTCGATCAATCGATGAATGTCAATGCCGTAAAAGCTCCTTTTTGCTCGTCCCTCCACTGTCTCAGAGCGCGACGCGATCAACTGCTCGTATGGTATGGCCACTGGGGAGAACTTCTTTGGAATGTAGAAACATTTTCCCGCTGCGATCTTGGCAGTAAGTCCTTGTTTTGGCAGAGACGACGGTGTGGTTTCGCCGGCGACAGGAGCCAGTTTCTGTGGGGAGGGAGAATTGAAGTAGGCATTAAGATGGTCAACCGGTACATCTTCAGGATCTAGTATCGACTCATCTTGACTCGCAGGTGGCGTGTACTCCGTGGTCGGATTTGGTATGGGTAGCAGATCTTTAATGCTGCTGATTGCTCTCCTCTTGTTCGCGGCCTCTTTCAACACAGCACGATCATCCTCATCGTCGGAATCATCAACAAATCCTCCATAAGTATGGGCAGGCTGATTGACATGTACATCCTTCAGGGGGCTCCTCTCTGGGTCAGCTCGCTTCCTTTTCTTTGGCGAAGACAGCAGCGGCGAGGAACTCGGAGGGTATGCAACTGGAGAGGAAGTCAATGGCATGTTGATGTTGGGTGGCGAGGATGGAAGAAATATGTCGCCTAGAGTGGGTCCAGTAGGGAACCGTTTGATTGGAGAGGCCTTCTGATTCCTGAGGGGGGTATCTGGGGAAAATTAGCTCCAACCTACGTCGACGCCGGACACGTCTAGATACCAATAGAGTAGTCCTCTTCGCTCCTGAATACCTCAGCAGTATTCCACGCTCTATGCTGAATAACAATGCCTTGTTTGTTCTTTTCGATTTTGTCGTTGTCGATGCACTGTTGCAATGCTTCAAGATCGTCGGAAACGGAGAGCGACAGAGGCGCGTCTTGAGAGCATTCAAACTCAGAATGGAGGTGGATTGCGGGATCGAATGATGTAGGTAATTGGGGTGAGTATGTACTCATCGAGTCACTGCGATCCCGGAAGTTGTACCATTGGCATTGTGTGAGTGAAGGTCTCGCTACCTTGAGTGTTGAGGATGGACGCGTCGAAGATAACGCGAGAGCGCGATGCCAGCTAGCCGAATTAGGCTAAACGCGGCCGAACGTCCGTCCAGCTGTCGTTGCTCCTCCACCCCTCAGTCGATATGCCCATTCGCATTCGCACACCAGCGCCGGGTGTGTTCGCGGCCAGTTACCACTATCCTACTGGCAAGGGTGAATTCGACAGTGAAACTTTCCCGTGGTTGAATCCCTCAGACTCGAGTTCACCAAGACTCTGCCACATCTGTTCCCGTCTCAATTTTTCATGGCTCTACTCTCAGTCTCTATACGAATATAACGCTTCAGATGGTTCCGCTACATCTCCACTCTCGGACGGGATTCGCCTCGGCCTATTCGCAGACATCGCCGGTCGCTTGTTCTGCTCGTTCTGTCAGCTCATCGTTCATGCTATGAAAAATGTAGCGGACATCGATATGCTGAATGAATTCGACGAGTGGCATAGTCGTGATATCTATATTATGAACTATGCGTACAGCAAATCAGGGTTAGCAATAAGCCCTGAGTCCAAAAAGGCAGGTTCCAAGGAAACAGAATACGCCATGCGACTTGGGGTATGGCTCAAGCATATCAAGGATGATGAGACAATCATGCATTTTGGAAGGCGAAGTGTCATGATTCAGCGTGTATGCGACGATTCCGCTAAACCCATCATGTACGGTGGCCTGCCTTTGGCCCTGGATACGCCAAGTCAAATTCAGACCATAAATCGGTGGATTCGCCCGTGCTTAGAGGACACTCGCCCGACAGCGCTGACCTCTCGCCACGATATGAAGGCGTTGCGCCTGATTGACACCCAAAAATCATGTATTGTCGGTCCATTCCAAGGTGAAAGATATGTCGCGCTCAGTTATACATGGGGAAAGATAGATCCGTTGGTCTTAAAAAGAGATAATGAAGTGATACTCCGTCAAGAAGGGGCCTTCGTTGCTCTGAAAGAAAAAGTACCGACAACCATTCAAGACGCCATTTCCCTGTGCCGCATGCTTGGAGAACAGTACTTGTGGGTTGACAGTTTGTGCATTATGCAGGACACTGTCGATAAACACGACCAGATCCAGCAGATGGATCGAATCTACCGGAATGCAGCCCTTACAATCGTTGCCGCGGCTGGACGGGACGCTAATGCCGGATTACCTGGCATTTCCAGTCTCCGCGATGTACGACAACGCATTGTTGATATTAATGGTTTGCGTCTAGCCAATCTACTGCCATACTTGAGCAATGCAGTCGTTGCCTCGGTCTGGGAAACTCGAGGCTGGACATTTCAAGAGAGTGCTCTATCACTGCGGAAACTCATGTTTACTCCGGCTCAAGTATATTACCACTGTCAGCACGGAGACTGCAGCGAGGACGTGCACGGCGATCTTCACAGCAGCCTGCGGCTTGCACCTGGCGGTAGCAGTATCCCAATGCGCCTCAATATTGACAATGTGTCCAACTGGACGATATATAGGAACATTGTTGCCAAGTACTGCACTCGAGAGTTATCGTACGAATCTGATGCGATAAACGCCTTCAGTGGGATTGCAGCCTTTCTCAGTGAGTCCATCTTTGCCGGATGCTCACTAGTCATGGGCATTCCTGTTTGCAGCTTGGAAGTTGGGCTAATGTGGCAACCAACTTCGAGACTTCGCCGTCGCTCTAGTGCAATGTTCCCGTCCTGGTCTTGGGTGGGCTGGTCAGGCTCGACTGAGTATTCCGACGTAATCGATTGCGACAATCTTTTTGAAAGGAACATAAGCCGCGTCACTTGGAAAAACCTCAGCTCCAAACCGGAACCTGATCAAAATATTATGACCTGTATGCCCCCAGAGACTTGGGTTGGATGGAATAAATGGACTCGCATGGTAGATAGTGACATGGATGAAGTATACTACATCCATGAAGACCTCCCTGCTTCGCGTTGGTTTGCCCACCCCATAGAACGACGCCAGTGGCCAACAAACTACACAAATCCACGTTTACAGCTGACTGCCGATGTAGCGAGGCTCAAAATTACGGGTAAGCATGCCGATTTATGGTTCAAAAGTGAAGAGTGCGAGGAAGGGAACCACCAAGTTTGTCGACTTCAAGTCTTCGACCAGAACAACCGTAAAGCTGGGATAGTCGTCATGGATGGTGCGACCTTCGAAGAAACGAATTTCGACACACAGCCGCTTTTCTACTTTATCAAAATATCGCAGACAACGCTTACCCTAGGCCGTGATGATCCAGCCTGGAATGTTGAAACAAAAAAGTTCACTGGGAAGCCCGGCGAGCAGGCAATCAACCCCCAGCCTCCCTTTGATCTTGAAGAGGAGGAGTTTGATCAGACTATCTACGATCGGAATATCTGCTGGTGTTTATACAACGTGTTGGTCGTGCGGTTTGACGGAGATGTTGCATATCGTATTGCTGTGGGTCAGGTCCATATCAGTGCCTTCGATAGTGCAGAACCGAAACAGATGGGTTTATGGCTTGGATGACTTCGCTTAGAATTTGTGCTCTTCTTTTGTTATGGTTATCGCTTGTTTCCAGATCAAGTTAGTTCGCCAAGATGCTCCGTGCTTCGCTCCTTTCCCGGATCCTTAAGATCAGACGGCGACTAAAACTCCAACCTTTAACATGCTGTAAAACATCCTCAATATGGTACTTGTGTGGTATCAAATTTTTGCGGTTGCCATTAGCGTACCCAATCTTTCCATGGCAGCGCGGTCACCGCCTCCATGCGGCCCAAAGACCGGCATTCTGTGCCATGAGCCTCAGCCAATCGGAATCGATATTGGGATGGACTACATGTGTGTCTTCCGCATATTCTCTCGTACCCACACTCACTCTGTCAGACATGCCGTCTACGCCCGCGATGCCTTAAATTTTACGCTCATTGGTAGAGTGCAGACTGGATCCGAGCTCCTTGCCCACATGGTGATTATGCTAAATAACCGAGATGCGAAACAGAAGTATTTCGAAGAGCATGGGGAGATCCGGAGGCAGCAAGCAATAGACGCCTTCGCAAAAGAGCTTCGAAGAGTGAAAGAGATGGCGTTTCAGGACCACAACATCACGATCAATTCCGCTGTCATCGCAAGGCCTCATTGGATGTTCAATGAATACGGCTGGCTTCTCGATGATGCCGTTACCCAGGCCGAAATTGAGTGGAGAGAGTCAGGGGAGGCTCGTGGGAATTTCGCTATTCTTACGGTTCCTCCTGAGAAGAAAGGTCGCGCCCTAGTGCTTGAGCATAGCCATTGGCAGTTCACTATTCGCGAGTATGATCTCGACCGTCACTCTGAGACTTGGTCGATGGATGGAGATTTCCTGCACAACCTCAGTGGTCAATCCGCCGTCTCGCGAATATTTTCCATCCTTCGCGACAAAGTGCAAAGCTCTAGTGGACAGGTAAAAGGTAACCCAGAGGCGAGAGATATCGATTTAATGGCATGGAAAATCATGGTCGCAAGACAAGAAATACTCCGAATTTTATGCCACAATCCTAACGCGCCTATACAACGAATGATTGATTTGTCTGCTGTGTTCACAGAAGAGACTCGAGTTTCTCTCACGGCGAGTGATGTTAAATTGGTGGAGCATACGATGATTGAGGAGTTTGTGGGCGTTCTTGAAGGGTGTGTAACAAAGCAAGATCTAGTTTGGGACTATTATGAAGGCAAGAACCTACTTTTCCAATCGTCTTCACACTCTAAAAAGGGTTATGCAGCACAACCATACTTCAACGCGCTCGAATTTGAAGCATCCCACTACATCGAGAGGAAAACTGTCTTGGACGAGTTTCGGCACTCAACTCTCCCTCCCTGGCCCGTCAAATCATGGTACAAGCCCTTCAGCAAGATCATTATCATTGGTTGTTCGCAGGATATACCGCGTATTGAAGCCGCTTTGAATCGGCTTTCACCACTTCTCTTACCCCAAGAAGCGGTGCGCCAACTTTTTCCGCCGTGTGAAGTTGTCGCACGAGGCGCGGCTGTGAAAGCACTAAGGTTTATTGAGATGGACGCGAAGTTGAAAAGAGCATCAGAGACAGCCGACTGGAGCGACCCGGAGTTGAGGAAGCTCCTTGAAGCGCGTATACCCTCGGGATATTGGTAGTTCTTTCCGCCGGTGGAGGGCAGACACGATTTCATTCCTGGCCAGGGGCCACTTGCTAACTCAAAATGCAAAATATCAGCGCTGTCAGGGGAGAGCTAGAGTGGACTCAAAATCCATAGTGAAAGCTTTATATCCCAACACAAGCCCACCAGCTCATAATATCGAGGAAGGTAGCCATTTCAACCTTTGCTGCTCACTTGTTCGATTGGCTCTCTATTCTCTTAAAAACTTAGGAATATATACCAAAATATCAGATGTATACAACCTAGAAAGCAATTATACTATAAAAGAAGCCGATTTTCTCACAGCAAGCCTCGTCTCGCAAGGTATGCCATCTACCGCCCCAAATCCTCCCTCCGATACATACTCGGATACCCGATCCGAATCTCCTCGCCACTCGCACTCGGCCTCGGTCTCGAAAAACTCTGATACCTTGAAAAACTCCCGCTATCGCGCTCCTCTTCCCCACTCTTCCTCGGCTGAGCATATCCTGGATACAACCCACTATTCCTCTCTCTCTCCCTCCTGTCATCCCACTCCTCACTCCGCCGCGGCTGGTACGCAACATACTTTTCCAACTCCCCACCCCTATCCCGCTCATCCACGGGAATCTCCCTCTCAAACCCCAATTTCTCATCATAAACCCTCCTCGTCGGACTAAACGGATTCTGCACAGGATCATGGAACGGATCCGACATACTACGCTCATCGGGTGTCGCATCGCCAAATTTCCGCACATTGCTTGGCCACCCGATCTTCGAGTCTTCGCGACCCGACAGTTCTTCCGTGTTGCGAGTCAGGTGTTGTGGGCGTGTGGCGGCAGCACCAGAAGAGCGGTAGGCGAAGGTTTGAAAAGTCGAGCTGCGCTTGATGCTACCGTCCATGGCGCTAACATTGCCACTACCACTACGAGATTCGAGGACAGTGGATGGAGAAGGGGAGGGCGATGGAGACCGGGCGATACGTTGTTCGAACCACACGCGAAGACCTACGAGGCTCATAGCGCCGACCTGCGCGAATAGCAACGCCATGGCGGCGCCCACGACCACTGGGGCGGTTAGGATGGCGTCGACGACGCAGAGAGATATACTGCGGAGTTCGGAGAATCCGAGGATCCAGGCTAGCGTACTAAATTGGAGGAGGAATTGAACAAGGATGGTGGGTATGACGTGGATTCTCGCCGGGGATTTGAGGGTCATGAGGAGGGATTTAAAGGCAAATGATGAGGAGGGGAGAGGGATTGTGGTGTTTAGGCGACGGATGCTAAGGATGGCTGTTGGGGGAATGAGGAGGAAGGTTAGGAGGCCGAAGATCTGGATTGGTTAGTATGATGTTTTATGGGCTTCATGTGGATAGGAGATACGTAGGACATACCCCATGAGCAGTTTGGAAATGCATCGCCTTCCCCATTCCTACGATGCCAAAAATCAGTCCAGAAACCGATGTTGGAAGGAATAAGCCGAGTAGAATCCGCTTCCGCCATTTCCTGTTATTGGTCTCATTAAAAGGATGGTTGATCAAAACCGAAAGACGAAGGATAGCACCAAAGGCGAGATAAACGGGGAGGGCATAAAAGAAAGCGAATGTTGATAGTGCGACTAGAAAGGGTCAGCCCAATTCCCGTCATTCCTTACAAGTCCCCTAGCGAGGATCGCACTTACTATGTAGTGCAGTGACAACTGCAAAGGGAACAAGCGCCATCTCATTAATCTTGACCTGCGAATTCTGGATCTTGATCTCAAACCTGTTGCCCTCGGAAGTAATAACGATTGGCTCCTTCGGCAGCGCATCAAGCGTTCTGTTATCCAAAGGTACCGGATTCTTTAGATTGATTTTAAGAGTGCCGCTATTGATCAATCCGAGTCCAATAGCTGCAATACCCCCGAAGCCTTGACACGTGATGGCATTCGTGCCAGCTTGTGCGAGGGAAGATAGCATGTTGGAGCTTATTGCAAGAGATTCCGAATCCGCACGGCGGTTCAATGAATGATACGGTACTGCAATGTGTGAGTGTGTCAATCTGGAATGGATGTGTGGTAGTCTTACCTACTCCAACTTCCCGAATCTCAACACTTCTCTTCTTTGGCGAAGGCTTCGTCGAGTTCGTGATCAAGTTACTAATCAACAATGTCCCCTCTCCAGCCAACCCTCTTCCAAAAGCAACAGCGGCTCCTCCAACCGAATCATTGAAATTCGTGCTCCCCATCGAAGGCATGTTCATCGCCTGCTCCAGCGAGAAGTTCCCGCTGAGAACATTTTGGATGCCACCAACCATAGACACCGCATTAACTCCTCCTTCAATCAACCCTCTTGCAAGACCCTCGGCAACCTTCGAGGCCTGCAAATTGTTGGTCAGACCGTTTGCGCTGGAAGTCAGGTTCGCGAGCGCTTTAGTCGCGGTTCCATTGGCGAGGAAGCTAGAAACTAGCCCCTTCGAGAATTGTTCGACGATCATTTCTGTAGATTGATTCATACTGGAATTCGCCGGCATAACGCCCAATCCCGGATCTTGCTGGAGCCCAAGACCAATCGCTGCACCCTCGCCAATTCCCTTTCCAGCTCCAGAAGCAATGGGAATGATCATGCCTAAGATATCAACATTCCCGAAGCCATTGCTTGCTCCGGGTGCAATAGAATTGAGGACTTGAGTGAGATTGGAAGACTGGATGAAGGATTGGCTCAGCCCGCGGCTGAAGTCTCCAACGGTTTGTGGGATGTTGATTTGGTTTGGGTCGGATTGCCGCTTTGCCTTGGGATTGGGCTGTGATTTTGAGAGGCCGAGTCCAGCGCTTGCTCCCTCTCCGAGGCCTTGACCTGCAGCTGCAGCTATTTGGGGGAGTTGCGCTGCTAATTGACCGCCATTAGCACCGGCTTGGTTGAATAGCTTCTGCAAATCGATGCTACTGGCAATCGGTTGCGAAACTCCCAATCCAAGATTCCCAGCAATAGCCATGATATCAGTTCCATTACTTGGTTGAAACTGCGTGGTCGTTAACTTCAGTCCGCTTGCACTACCTTGACCAATGCCCTGGGCGAGTGAAAACGCTGCCATGCCAATTTGGGTGCCACTCGTGACGTTTGAGAGCGAGGGGGTGAGTTGAGCAGTAAGCCCATTTCCCAAGTTCTGTGCCACCTGGTTGATGCCGGTGGCTTGGGCATTGAACGTCGCAGCGACACGTGTAGCAATGGCTTGGTTTTGCTGCATATCACTGAGATTAAGGCCTGATGCTGTTCCCATACTATGAGGATGTTAGCGCAGCATGCTAGAAAGGGAAGTGAACGAACCCAAGACCAATGCCGAGGAAGAGCGCCGGTGTCCCAAGACTACCAATAAGTGAGTCCCCAAGCGATGAAATTCCTTGCTGTAGAAGTCCACCTAATCCACCCGTGTCGTTTCCACCCCCAAGACCTAGTGCATTCCCAAGTCCAGCCAGCGCACCTCCTCCACCCTGTCCTTGCTGTCCACTTGGTTTCGCGCCACCACCTGTGATCATATTCCCCAGATCCTCAAGAACTCCTCTTTTCTTTTTCTCCGGCTTTGCCTCTCGTAGTCGAGAAAGTTGCTGGGTAAGGTCCTTCGCAAAGGTCTTCAAGCCCTCCGAATCATATTGATCACCTAAACTCGATGACATATACACCAACCGATCTGCCAATCCAAGCAATGCGCCATGCAACCGTACATCTTGATACAGGGCGTCGAGAGTATCGGGAGAAAGAACGTTACGCAGCGCGTCCTGGCGCTGGTACTGAGCTTGAAGGCTCACGGAGCCCCATTCCTGATACCAAGTCGCAATTAAACCAATCAGCAGAAACGAAACAGCGAAAATAGCGAGCGGCAAGGTATACCATCTCGAATTTGCAGAAAACATTATGACAAGTAACGGGGTATAATAAATATATGTGACGAGAATTGAAGTTGTAGCATTGGAAGAAAATCAAGCTTATGGCCTGCCACGAGCGCACGGTCCGCTAACAGTTGCTCTTACTGAGGTCACAACTCGGAAAATACGAACGCGAAGTGAGGAGTTGATATACATGGCGAGAGGGGAGTGCAAGTTTATTGTGGGGCGAAACTAGCTACGCCTCATGTTTCCGGGGGTAGGGCAGCTCTCTCTATGGATATCCCAATTGAGACGAGTGCTTCGAGATTGACAGCGGTTCTATGGAACGTTTGATATATGAGTGGGACTAGAATAGAAGAATCGGAAGGGGTTGGGTGAATCGACGCACGAAACAGGCATTGAGTGTTTAAGATATATTCTCCGGGTTTTAAGCGAATAAGCTTGCACCGTAATGCCAAGGAATGAATTGCCCTGCCGATCATTTCAGAAAAAGACCAGTCAGCTTCACCCAAGATTGTAATTCTGCAAAACTATCTTCTACAAAACTTGAAAGTTAGTGGCTCTCTCGAAAGGCCGCCTAGGAATGCCTTGCACAATTTAGGGTCGTGCGGCCTAGCTAGCGGCTGCAAGTAGTGATGCGACGAGTTTGAAACACCAACGTCGAACCAATCACGGCGCCCACAATTGAACGTTTGAGAGAACTCATAAGGGAAAAATGCCCGACTAGGCAAACCAAACCTTAGACATCCTTTGTCCAGTAAGGAAGCTTCCTCCAAGGCTCGTAATACTCCGTTAAGACGCACGACATGCATCATCGCTGGCAAGTTCTGGAATAGTTGCGTTCCGAATACGAGATGGAGGTAAAGCGCTTGCCACTGGCTTCACGTGGCAGGTCCGCCGATCTTGATGTATTTTTCAGGTTGTACAAAGACTCGCCCGAGACGTTTGGAGTGCCAATGACATTGAGCGCGGTATTAAGTAGAGTGTAATATCGTGGAGGGGCTGAAGTAACCTTGAACACTGTGTGTTAGTAGGATCGAAGGAACACTATTTGTATCGCATGTGGAAATAAGAATCGTAAAAAAGGCTCAAGATATCAATACTTCACCTACATGTACGCTTCAGTTCAACTGGGTCCTTCAGAGGTTGACAACGCCAAGATCGCAGCTAGGACTCACCTGACTTCCTCCATTAGCCCTCTGCCTAAGCCAGTATCGTCTTACAGAGTACGTTAGACCACTACACTTTACAAGCGAGTTGGTCCCTAGTGCTCGGAGTGAGGGTTAGACTAGCTTCGTTTAGCCTCTGGGTTTGCCCCAGACATCAAACTCCTCGTGTTCATGTTCTCTTCGACAGTGGGTTTATTGCACTACCCGGGGAAGTTTTTCTTTTTTGATTCTTAAACCAGTCGATGTTGTACTTGGAAGGCTTCATATGCGCAGCTTCCGGAGCGAAATGGAAGTCGGACATATGCATCGAATCCGGACGCTCTGGCTTGCTGAAGGCGCGGAGGGTCTCTAGGTGCTGACTGAGGAACGTTTGCTTTGGTTGGGATGGCTCAGCCGTCTCGATATCGGACTCTGGGTCGCAGTTCCAACCACCTTTGAACCAGGCCTTCATCTGGCCACCCCAAACAACGATAATTGCGGCAAGCGCAATAACGGCGACCATTCCTACGAGGAACAGGGCGATTCCCATTACAGGTGGGTCTCGGGATAAGGCCTTATTCACCAGTTCAACGGAATTACCTTGCATGTGCTCGGTTTTGTTAGTGGCACGAAGGCCGTAGAATGAGGAGACTTGGTGACGCATTCCGAATGTTGAACTTACTGTGCTTTCAATAGCGTGATCCAAATGCAATTTGAATTGTAAGTGTCGTCTGCAACGAACTCTACTCGGAAGTATATTCAAAACCTGTGTTGTAGGAAAAAAGATCTCTCCTATATAGATAGAGCGTGTCGACATTGTTTGGACACATAGTAGATTATTGAAACGAAGAGAAGGTCAGTTATAAACAAGGCGGCCTGAAATCGGAGGTTGTTGCATAAAAGAACATTGTTAATGAGTCATAATTGAAAGACATAAGAAGCGACGAAAAGCAATGCAAGCAGAGAAAGATTACCAGCCATATTAGGCGACTTGCTCATTCTAATTGATTTGGCCAATATCCGAAACTCTTTCGTCCTGCTGAACTTAAGCAGCTCCCTCTGCAACCCGTACCTGAGCCTTAGCAGCCTACTGAGTATTCTGGGCCAACCACACCTTCATCTTCTCAGCTCGGATTTCCCTGCGCTTCTGGATCTTCTCGAACTTGTTCAAGTTAGATTAGGTGGCGCCGTTACTCCTTCTCACGGTCTCGGTCCTTAGAAATAGAACCAAGCCATCGAGAGGGAGCTTAGGAGAGTGTGTTCAATAGCCCTGGACGAGAGACTGGCTTGGTGGTGAATGGCCTCGGGCATTTAGGTCCAAGATTGAGGCGTCGGTGTCTTCCGTTCACAGTGTCCATTGCATATATGATGAGTTTGATGAGGTTAGATGGGAGGTGAGATGTTTAGGTCACGGAACAATGCCGGCTTGGCATCGTTGATTCCCCGTGTCTTCACATGCAAATAGCACAAGCTCTCTACGGAACTCAAATACTGGAAGTCGCCTCAGAGGGCTGCGTTTCAACCATGCCTCTTTCCTTACGCTTCCCCACCATCAGAATGGGCAATCTAACCAGTCCTCTGTACCTACTCGGGCCTCCCCTCTTGCTGTTGGTCTCGATACCTCTGGCCCTCTTAGCTACCGTTACGACGACCATCGCCATCAGCACCCTCGCTGTACGCGTATCTATCGTATATTTCGAGCTAGGAGTCGCCCTTTTCCACTCATACCTCTTCCCTCCTCCCGTCAAAACCGTCCCGAAGCCACCGTCTCCTCGTCGTATATCTCCTCACCGCTCTCGTAATCGCCGAAGCAGTGTCACCAGTACGACATCGTCACAAGATACTACTGTCCCTCAAACCCATGGCCCGCGGTTACATAATAAGAGTGGATCATTTGCATCTCTCATTGGGACGAGCTCACCCACACGAGACTTCGAGGGTGTCGGTGGATGGAGAGTACCCGGTGATGATGACGAAGAGGCACTATGGATGGGCATGAACTCCAGGCTTGAACTTCCAGCTGTCATGCCAAAGCGTAAACACCAGAGAAGTCTTACGGGAGGTAGCCAGAGATGGAGCTGGAGCCCCGAGGCCATGCGGATGAGCCCTATGCAGAGCCGAGCGAGGACGCCCGGGGACGAACGACCACTGGGAGACGAATATTTCCCTCTGCAACCCAATACGAAGCCCTTTAGTACGGCGTCCGATCCAGTAGGGAGGAGCGATTATGATGGAGGGAGGAAAAGCATGGGTGACAGTAGTTCCTCGAGCGCTGGCTCCAGCTCGAGGAGACCAAGTATGGCGATGAAGCAGGCTGGTGACTGAGACCTCAACCAATCATAGCTGTAATATGTGCGAACTACAGTTGCATTAGCATACGGCACATCTTCAAAGATACTCGTAGAAACCTGAGACACCACCCAGAGACAGCTCGGCTACGATTTCACCGAACGGGACGTTGAGTGAATGAGGGATAGATGCTCCACAGACTCGTCACTGCCGAGGCACACTTGCTGGTCACGTGGATGGGCCGTTTCCTGTGAACCTTGGAACCTTGGAAGACATAGATTGGATAGTCATCAACATCGTATGCAGGTGTGCCCTAAGACGTCCCGATTTAGAAACTTCGTATCCAGGTGTATACACAAGGCGCAACTGCTGTTGCCTTAAAATACCCTCTCGTACCTTTCCAACACGTCGTCAGTCAACAGAAACAACCCGTGTTCCTTTTGAGGAGTTGACTATCAATCGTTACCGGGTAGGATATCCTTCGACGTCTTAGAGGTTCATTTCGCTTTCCCTTTCTAACCTCGTTCCCAACGCTTCCAACAGTCCGTAGTACGTAGACGTAGTACGTTAACGTACCTGTCACGTGAGCCGTACAAACGTAGTCGTTTTTGGAGCCGTACTGTACGGACAGTGAATTGCCGGGTACGTACCGTAGTACGGGACTGAGAGGTCATATTTTGGGAGGTTTTCAACCTGTTTTTAGACCCGATTGGCCATCGCGTCGGGAGTGTTGTTTGAGGTCGCGATTTGGAGTAACAATCGCGTAAAACTCTGCAGTCTGTAGCACCTCATCCTGATCAGTCGGCTGAATGGCGGTGGCTCGAAGTTGGCCGTCACTCCTACCCCACACTTTTCAAATCGCCCTCGATTTCCTCTGTATACCCTCTACGAGCTGCGACTGTGAGAGAGCCTTCTCCGGGGGCCGGCGGACGATTACAATTGACAGGAACTCTCTTGGGGTTGATACGATTGAGGCTCTGCAGCTTCAAAAGAACTGGTTACGTCATAGGGTTGTAGAGAGTGAATTGAGCAAGCTGGGAGACTTCATCCGGGGGCGGAAAAACGGTTGATCCGGGACGTACCTACCGTACTACGTTGATACGGTTGGTGAGAAGTACAGACGTACTAGGATTTTGAACCGTAACTGCTACGCTACGTACCTGCCAATCAATTCACCGTTTATGTACGTACGTACTACCAAATCGAGAAGTTACTGGCAGAAAAAAGCTCAATCGTAACGTACTACGGACTGTTGGAAGCGTTGCTCGTTCCATCTCAATCTACTTTAAGCTCCTCAGACGGTTTGGAGGCTACTCAAGCCATAAGCCACGATGCAAATATCGTTGCAACCGTAATGCGAGTTTCCTTTTGAGTTCAGCGGATCATCTTTGAGGTAGTATGGCTCACTGAACCGTGTTGACGCCGGGACCTGATGCGGTTGGCTCCAATCTCCGTTGGTGGACAACACCCGTCTGTCTGAATCCGACTTACCACCCAACGTCCCAATTGATGAGTATTGTATCTCCCACCTCTCCATTTACAAGCTCACTCGCCGCAATGGCATCATCTTCGACAACGCCGTTTTTGACATGGAGTCTGGCGAAGTCTACAACGAGGTTGGTCTAGCTGTCGTCCGTCTGTCAAGTTAAGGTGGTCTCGTGGTTGCTCGCCTTGTCGGCCAAGATGAGCTTCCAGGCTTCCATCCATCTAGTGACCTGAACCCTGGTATTGCAGCCAAAGTACAGTTAGGCATCTACCGGCAGGCTCTTGCTCGACCAATACTTCCCGGCCAACTTTCCATTCGGATTCCAGCAAATGGCATCCTTCACGACCACGGAAGTCTGTATAACGGTGTCTCAAGAGAACGCCGTGCTCGCAACATCCTAGCATGAGGCAGCAACCCATTCGTCGGCCTTCATCCTCCTCCGCAAGAACAAGAGCTGCACCTACGCCACCAAAATAGAGTGAATACCCTTCCGCGATACGAAGAGCTACCGCAATATGAACAGTTGCCGAACATCAAACCTGAAGGAGAAAACTCTGAGAACCACGAGGATCTAAATATTTCCACAACCGCAATCACAGTGGTAGAGTGAATAGTATGTAAATCGTATTCAGAAAGGTAGTCGCAGATGCAATACCAGAAGTAATGGGGCTTCATTTCTAATGTCGATTTTAGGTCAACGAAATGATGTATCTATGATTATTTCCTTCATGTATCTCACCGAGCGGCAATTGGATTCAAATATGCCAACTCTTCAAGGCATTGCGCTCTAGAAACTGACTTGCAGAGGGCATGTTTAGTTTGTTTTTATTATTTTCATTTGATCTATCCCTCGCACCCATGCCCAACGGCTCACCAAGCGTATTTGGTTCTGAAATAGCGATTACAGTGTCTCAATATGCACACAAGCACTTCCTTTTCCTGTTTAGGGTACTGAGCTGCTCCTGATCCAGCGTGAACTGTGGCTTTGCTAAGACGAGCGGATACTGAGTGGAGACCGAGCAGCTCACCAGAACTCCAGCATTGGGGAGGATTGCGACTAGTGAAGGCCCATTCCCGAGCCCAAAGACCTTCCACATTTCAGTTTCCCAGCTCCAAGTCTCAGGTAAACTTGCTCTCCCATGTATTATGAGCCATTCTGCAAACAGTCACGTTCCTGAGGCGGGGTCTTAAGACAGCATGTTCTTAAGAATCCATGGCCTTACGATAGACATGGTCTTCAGGTAGCAACGGTCTTAAAGCCGTGGTATCTTAAGATGCAGGCATTCTCTAGATAGTCATACTTTTAAGATAGCCCCGTTTTAAGGCAATTATATTCTTAAGATGGACATGCTCTTTTCATCAACATTGGAACCTGTCTCTCTGCTCGTCTATCGTCATATTAATTCAGGGACAGAGCAGCCACTACTGATAGTAGACATCGCACCTCTTGGCCAGGAGAAAGCGTTGTGGCCGTAAGCCCTCTCTCTTATATTTTAAAACCTAGCTACATGTACCCTACGTATTACTCATTCAGAGTTTTGCCTCCTGCCATTTCGCAGTCTTGTTGGGTTGCTTAGGCTTAGGTGAAGAGTTGCCAGCCTGGTTCTCCTTCGCTTTGAGCCTAGCTTCGCTGTATAGGAGGCGCTTATACAGCCAATGCATGTACAGGTTGATGTTCTTCCACGTTGCATATATACTAACTCGATTAGAATTAGATTTTCGGATGGCGATCTCTCTGGAGAAGGAGCCGAAAGTCTGCGGGACCAAGGAGTCCATCTCGAACTCTCAGATAACGATATATTTCTTGGCGTTACGGAGTCAGATTAGAGCCGTCTTCCCACGTACACTTGTAGTACGGGCCAGTCATTAAGGAGGGGGAAATGATGATGACTGACTTATGGTGGTGGACTTCTGATCTTCGTATAATTTTGACCCGGTAGATGGGTGTATCAAGGGTCAAAGCTGAATTATGTCTACAAGAGTGGCGTAAGCTCGGATTGTGCCTTTACAACATTAGGGGCCAGATAGGAATGCTGGGGGTGGTACGCGGAGTGAGGATCAACATAAGGCCCAAGGGCGCTAGCAAGTAGGAGAGTTTACGTATTTCATAAAATGAACTTGTAAGCTTGCTTGGTAGTTCAGCGGAACTGTGTTGTTGTATTGTTGGTGTATTCATGATGGAGCGTCTAGGGCAACCATAGTACAATAGAGTGGTACAGGCACTAGTAGACAGTAGCTTGGCTTGGTTACTGCACTTTATATCATATAAGCCGCCGCTGTTAAGCAATCAAGATTCAGTAATGCTTGACAATACGCCTTTTGTGCAGTCTTTCTTATATTCCTTTCTGTGATTGTTTCAGAGCACACCAAGCTCGGAGTATGTAGTAGAAAAAAGTAATGAAGCTAAATAACATCGTAGTACTTTATCTTTAGCTTATCTTTAAAGTATTAATCATAGTAAGGTTAATAAACTATATCAGCGTTTATCAAAATCTCCATACCTAGTTACCAGACTCTAAACATACGGATACCACTACGTGTAGCTCAATGTTCGGCTTTTTGCATCTATTGTGGCGCCAGGAATTGAACCCTAGAAGACGAAAATTCTGCAAGACTGAGACTGGAGGAAATTGTTGTTTAACTTGTCAATTTCCCCTTTGCGGTTAAAGGACAAGACACCAGTGACATCTTAAGGCGAAGGTAGAATGCACAGTACTACTACACCTCATCACCAGAGACCTCCACTGTGGCGGACTTATCGTCCTGTCTGGTATCTTGGGGACGGCCGGCGTACCTGGCCTTGTCATCTCCGTAGTGTCAAGGGGACAGAGCATTTCCGTAGCACTCCTCATCTAGCTCTCTATCATAGCCGTTGGTCGTCCTACCTAGCCCCGAAGCATGTTTAATGTGACTTTCTAATTCATAGGGGACTTAATGTATGTACATTAGCCCGCATAACGTCCATAGAGGTGGCGATGATCTCGCGCATGATCCATGCCGCCAAATAGATCCCGTTGCCATTCATGTCCAGTCTCCCAGCAATTCTTTTCAAGAATCGACTTGGAATTTGGTAGTTGATCGTTCACAATTGCCTAAGTACCTATTAAGGAACATAGAAGACAGTACATAGTAGGTGCGTAAGGGTGAGTAAGAGCAAGCAAACCTAAGGAGACATAAGCTGAAGCTAAGTTGGGCCTCGATCGCACTCAGCCACAGCATCGCAGGGTCACGTAAGTAGAGAGTCGGGAGGCGCTCAGATTAGGATGTTAGAACATCGATTTCAGCATACAAAGGGTATACTTAATAACTCTGTCCATCACGGGCATGCAATAACATGAATACCGAAATGTTGGAGCATTACGTATAGTCGACAAAAGTCGAATTTGACAGTCAGAATGTCAGCGTTTTAGCTAGAATCCTATGCTGTATACTTGTTATCGCCTTTATATTTAATGCAGAGCTCAGCTGGGTGTCTAAAGTATGTTGGATGGGGCATTTCTGTCATATATCCTTATACTCTTGCCAGACATTTAACGTGCTTCTCTGCTTATTTACTAGCCTCATAGTTAGTTGAATAAGCCTCCCAATTTAACAGGAATGAGATGTGAATTTGATGCTGAGTTCTCCAATTTCAGATGAGAAGTAAATGAAGAACTAGCCTATAGAGATAGACATTATCCTGTAAGAGATAAACCACTGCGTGATGCGGAAAAGAGAGTACTACCTGATAATACTTAAGAATATGTTTCTTGAGTATGTTTTCAGCGTACTACATGCTATTCACCCCCATTCAGGTTTCGTATGTGAATTCCTTAAGTCTAAAGAAAAATCAAAGGGTTTTGAGTCTCTAAGTCCTCTAGAACATGGACCCTCGTCTTTCGCCTGCCTCCTTGTTATCGCGGTGCGTCCCCCTGTTGTTATAAGCAATGTTCTGATTAAAATCGCGTGGTGGTCTTTCCTCATAAGTACCTAGAATCTCAGCGCGCTGTTGTTTCTGTTTTGTTTTCTCTATTGCGTTACTACTTGTATCGACTACATTCTGAATTCTATTGTCCATCCCTTTTACAATTTACTTCGTCTAAACAATTCAAAGACGTATATAGTTCACTATTGTATTAGTCCAGGTAGAAGTGCAAATCATGAGGCTAAATATTTGAGATATTCGTGTGTCACAATCTTTTTTGCAAAATTTCCTCTAGGACGTAAGACCTTCTGCTTTCCGCCTCTATTGTTGCGTCCTCTAGTGGCCCCTACGGTCTCATCGTAGCAAACATAGGCAACATTTAGAAACCAAAGATTGAACTCCTTAAGCAGCCACCTCAAATGGGTAATTCGCTCTACCTTTGGCTCCTTATTAAGGAATAGTTTCTTTGTACACGCTGTCGCAGTATTCCTGCATAATAGTTAGAGCAGAATTCCTACATAGGACGAACCCTGCATTGTATAGGAAGTCGTGTGCTGCCTCTGTGACTCTAGGCTCTCCGCTTTCTATTATCTCGGTGCGTATTCGTCTTAATAGGTCGTAGGACATCAGCCAACATTGGATGCCTCTATTTGGTGGTGGCCAGCAGGTCGTCGATGGACTCGGTGAGAGCCTTTCATTTAGCCACAATAAAAGCAATCTCTTAACATAGTAGCTTATTCATGTTTCTAGATATAATAATAACTCCCTTTTTTTAGTTGGACAATGTTTTTATAGCCGTCTAATCGTCCTGCAGCGTTAGATGTTAACGTGCTGACGAGCAGATTATCCTTCCTTTCCAGGAAGAAAGTGGCTAGTCCCGATTAGGAAGGATAACAGGCTTTGCTTAGAAGGTCTTAGCAGCGCCAATCATATTTGGAGGGAAAAACCACGCAGCAGAAGTGATTTTAACACCCCCAACCGCGTTGTCTTCAATCACAATAGGGAAAAAAGAAGGCCAGATCAAGCATGTAGCAGTGCAGAATAATTACTTGAAGCTTAAAAACGTAGAACAACAAAGCGTTTTAGTTATTTGATTTTCCACCAATCAGATCAATAACCGGCTTATATCCAGACCAATAGGAGAGAGGGCTTGGCGGTAGAGATAGTGTATTATTTGATGATGGCTTGAGACGATGATGGGTCCGTGCGCGACCAAATTCACGTGACAGGCAGAATTATTGATGTTGCTGGCGTCCAAGATCCGAATTGTTCAGTCGTAAAATGCGGATACAAGCCGGGTCAGATCATGTGATTTCAGCCAATGGCGAATCAGTCATTCAATTCAAGCAAGTGTCCAGTCGATGTGCCGAGCGCCTAAAATGGTAAAGCGTATGCCAAGACATGCAGGTGGCTCCACTTCATTGCGATCACCCCCGGAGCTCGACGTGTATTTGATAGCATCAACTACCATCTAAGGAACCTTATGACTACGAGCCGAAGCTGATCATGGGATCTAAGACACCCAAAAATCATCATCGAGGTCCAAGTGGTATGGATAAAAGGTATTTGTTTTGCATTCTGGGCTCTGCTGACACCTTGAGAAGAGGCATCCGCAAGAGCTGCAATTGCTGCCGTCAATCCTCCCAAGCTAGCCTCAGCAAATGGACTCCTTCATGATGCACTCGAGGGGGAAGACGAAGACGGGGGAGGCGACGACGACGACAAGATTGGAGCTGACCTGAAGTCCATTGGTCAGCCCGACAATAGTAAGCCAACTTGACGCTACTACACAATTAAAGCTAACCTCAGAAGGCAAGAAGAAAAAACGAAAGAGTAACAAGAAGAAGAAAAAGAGGGCCCTAGGTGGACAGCAGACCACTCCTCCGAGGGTTGCACTCGCCAACCTCTTTCACAATCAGCGATATCCGGAGGGCGAGATTGTCGAGTATGGCCCCGACACTAGCAGTCTTTTGCGCACCACGGCTGAAGAATTTCGTCATTTATTCATTGTGAACAACATGGATGATGAGTTCCTAAACGACTATCGCAAAGCTGCTGAAGTCCATCGCCAGGTCCGCCAGCATGTGCAGACGATCGCAAAGCCCGGCATTTCCATGAGCCAGCTTGCCCAAGAGATTGAGGATGGGGTTCGAGCACTGACCAACCACCAAGGTCTTGAGACCGGAGACGCTCTCAAAGCCGGCATGGCATTTCCGACTGGGCTCTGCTTGAACAACATAGCTGCTCATTGGACTCCTAATCCTGGGGCCAAGGAGACTATCCTCCAGTACGACGATATCCTCAAAGTGGATTTCGGAGTTCATGTCAGCGGCAGAATTGTCGATAGCGCCTTTACCGTTGCTTTCAATCCAGTGTACGATAATCTGCTCGCAGCTGTCAAGGCAGCCACCAATACTGGACTCAAGGTAAGTCGATATACCCTGCATGGCGTCTACAAAACTAAATAAATTCCCAGGAAGCTGGCATCGATTCCCGGATTGATCACATCAGTGAGGCAATCCAAGAAGTAATGGAGAGCTACGAAGTCGAACTCAACCGAAAGATTGTTCCCGTCAAAGCGGTTCGGAACATCACCGGCCATAACATCCTGCGCTACAAGATTCATGGCGACAAACAAGTACCCTTTGTTAAGACGCAAACTACTCAACGCATGGAAGAAGGCGATGTGTTCGCTATCGAAACCTTCGGTAGCACTGGCAAAGCTTATCTTAGAGATGACATAGGAGTTTACGGCTACGGGCGCAATGAACATGCCAGCGCTGCTAGTCTTCATCATGCCTCCGCGAAATCGCTGCTGAAGACAATCGATGAGAACTTTGGAACTCTGGTCTTCTCCAGGCGTTACCTTGAGCGCATTGGAGTGAAGCATTACCACCTCGGCATGAGATCACTCGTCTCGAATGGCATTGTTGAGTCCTATGCACCACTGGTCGATGTTCCTGGCTCTTATGTCGCACAGTTTGAGCATGTGAGTATATTCCACGAGTTGAAGACTGCAGAATATGCTGACGCAATCTTCTAAATAGACCGTTCTGCTTCGGCCCAATTGCAAGGAGGTAATCTCACGAGGAGATGACTACTAAGAGATGTGGGAAATTAGGGGCCAAATTGATTCTGGGAAGACTGGCTGTATTTGATTCTGTGTTCCTGGCTTCAACAGTCATGGAAAACACCTTAGTCAAGCGTTTCAACAACGCCTTGCTCATATCATATTCGCACCGATGACACTCATTAAACCGCAAAACATTAAGAATCGAACACGACCGTGTTTCATTATCCCGAGATACTGCGATGTGAAACTCTGCGCTTTCGTTCTATCGCTGATATTTATTACCAGTGTGCCTTTATGATGCGATTTCTATTTGGAAGCTGACTATCAATTAGGCGCAGATATATCCGGATACATCCTTCTGAACAACTAGTCAATCTAGCGGCAACTGGCCTACTTTGTCGGTTGATGGAATGAGGGAGGTGTTCTGTCTGGGTGTTAGGGAGATCACTTACTAATTTTAGAAAGACCACAGCATTTACAGCATTTGCAGTTTTGATCGTCGTCAATATACAATCTATCTGTCTAACTGTAAAGCCAACCTAACATATCTATTCGTTCTTTTACTCTATGGGTGATCAATCGTAGGTATTTCCCCTCAATGCCTGTACACGTGCAGCGTTACTATTTCTATGAACTATGGCGCTCCCGCGTCCTTTTTCATCATTTCTAACAATATCGCTGCACTGTACATCCACTCCCATCCTTCTTATTTACTCCGTCCCCGGACAATGCAACTCGGCGATTTTTATTGATTTATACAGGAGGGCTTATTCACTCTCTAGATTTGTTCTTCTCTTCGCCCTCGCGAAGCTATCTCGCTAAGTCTTAACCCTACTTAAATAGCAACCAACAAACTTCCCCTACAATGCCCTACATTCCTATCCCAGGTGAATTCCGTCTTCAGGGCTCTGCCGCATGCGTGCTCTCATGGAAGGGCCACCGAAACCAACGACAACCACCCTCCGACGAAGGGTCTCTCCAGGTGGGCAATTGGAGCAATTGTGACGTTCATTTCCGCTTGCATACTCACGAACTTCTTAGTATGTGTCTTAACGAATCCTAGAAACCTCCCATGTTGCTGGATCCGACAAAACCGCGCCGCTCGGAGTGCCCCAAAAGAGTACCAAGTCGAAAACGAAATGCATTATTCTACTAAAGCATTGCCAAGCCAAGGGAAACCCTGACGATTCTGGAAAGGCGCCAAATATAAGTATGCCGGGACCACCACCTTCTAATTCTCTAGCAGTTTAACCTGCTAAGGTTTTATCTAATAGAATGTGAGAGGTATCGAGAAGGAAGCACGAGGTACAGAGAAGAAATGCAGGATAGTGGGTGTAACAAGAGTAAACCTTAGGGTCAGAGGCAGAGGCACGGAGGCCGAGGAGCCTATATACCCCGTGCCAAGCCCAGGGTACTCAGGGGTTAGATAGCTGGAACATAACCGTGACATTTAAGCTCTTTTAGGTTAAGATTCAGCTTTTTTAAATGCCCTCTAAGTTACACGTAACTAGTTTAATTGTATAATAATTTACTATGCTAATTAGTTAAAAAGTGAAGGAAAAATTATATTGTTATAACTATTCAAAGTCTACAGTACACAGTAGAGTTATAGTTGTAGGCTACTTAAAAAACCTTATAATATATCTTCCGCAGTTTCTGCAGAGTTTTTGCAGAGTGTTCATTATCTATAAGGTCCCTGGTACTACGGCAAATGGCCAGCACTAGTTGTAAGGCCTTTGATGAAGCTCTGAACTGCCGCGTCTTTCACGTCTTGATCGGCGTCGTCGTCCCTATTGAAGTTTTCAGGCTTGTAACATGTCTTTGATATTCTTGCGAGCACTTTGGGTCGTGTATAATGATTGAAACTGTGAAGCTAGGAGGAGCACTCGAGTCATGAGGAACTGGATTGATTGCTAGAAGAGTATACCTAGGGGTAGGTCTTGGCAACATGAGTCCATTGTGTGAGCAGACGACTATCGTGTGAGCCATGCGTGAGAGCCATGCGTGGCTACTGCAAACGCAAGATTATATGCACAACGTTGTTGAAATGGAGTAGCTTTAGATATATAATTGTATTCTGCATACACAAGACTTCCGCAAGTAAATACAGACCGTTCCCACACCTGCGTGAGGATATATGTAAATAATAATAGGAACCCTGATCCTACCGGGTATCAAAGAATCTGATATCGATATTCCCTCACATGTCGTCCCAAGACAAGCAGGCACAAAGTCAGGGGTGTACTGTGCATATAGTGGAGACACTATATTAGTGTCTCTTTAGAGCCTCAAGATAGTTGTGTGTTTTCAAGGGTCTTCTTTACACTCTTTGTAAAGGAGTTGCTTTTAGCTCCAGACGCGCCTTCTCTTTGCATGGCGTTTAGCCTGCTTAGAGAGTTCCACGCTCTAGCGGGGTGCTTCTGGTATCATTCCAATTGTTCCTCATGTTCAAGATCATCGCCGTGGGAATCTAGGCCCTGAAAGTGCAATGGCTTTCTGCGGTTGCTGCCGTGGTAGCGTCAAGAGTGGCGTATCTGGTAGTACTTGTCGACTCTTTCTGTCCTCAGGGCTCTTGGGAATGATCCGCAGCAGCAAAAACCGGGATCAACACGCTTTTTCTTCTTTCCTTGGTGTTCGTGGTATTTGGTTGTTGGCATCGATGGCATTGTATGTATGCTCAGATCCCGGAGCTCGTCAACTACAAAATGCCTCAAGCGAGGGATGTTACCGAGATGGTCCAATCTCTTCATACCGATATCTAAATCCTTAAGCGTTCTGTTAATATTCAGCATATTGACACAAGAAGAGTTTTTCGAAGCTATTTTCATGTCCGCTACGGTTGAAGTGGGACAAATACTCTTCCCTTTCAAATTAGTTCCAGTTTCTAGGTAGGGCAGCTCTTCAGGATCCCTTTCATCTCGCTTCTACATCGGTTTCGTTGCCGTTGTTTGATTCTTTGTCGTTCTTAATTCGGAGATGGTACCCTCGGGGCGCTTGATGCTGTGCTTATCTTGGGAGCATTGGAATATCATATTCGCGATTACTAGATTCAGTGATTGACCAAGAACCTTTAACTTTGCAAGAGGGCATGATTTGATGATCTAGTTCAGTGTTATATCTCCATTCTTATCTCGCCCAACCGTTGCCTCCAACCATCCAAGAGTATCGGCATAGTAGGCTAAGGACGACTGCGATCTTTTTCTGGATATATGAGGCTGTCAAGCTTACTGGATCAAAGAAGGGGGTTGTTTAGAAATCTGTCTGTCGGATGTCCGTTTACACAATCAACTGACACACTCTCATGCTTACGATTCAGATCCAGTGTAGAGAAGTTAGAACCTTTTAGTGACGGCTTCAGGGCACTAGTATATCCAAGCAGCGGCAGGGGAGAGACGTCTTCATCCCTTTGGAGAGTTTGCAACTTGAGGTGGAATCGACTGGAACCTTTCGCTGGGGACGGCTCCTTAAATTATATTTGCTTTTTAGGGTTGGGCTGGTCTCTTTCTAGGCCGAGGGTGGACACGGAAGGCGTTGGCGTAAATGGGGAAGGCTTCGAGTTGATTGGTGTAGACTTACTTAGCAATGTGATTCCCTAGCTAAACGATTCCTCTACGTTTACCCAGAATTCAAAGTCGTTCTTGGTCTTCTTACCGCCTAGAGGACATTTCTTTAAGCTATACAACATGCTTAGAACCGGCATATACCATCATGACTGGGTTCCGCTTACGAAGAAGTAGGCGCATTTTATCCTTCCACCATAGTTGAAGTGCTCGTTAGTCGGAGCAGGAGCGCGCTTAATAGTGAATCTAAGTTCGCGGTAACGTGTTTGACTGCAGTCAACATTGCCTTGCATGTTCCGTATGTGCTTGTACTTAGATAGATCAGGCGTGTTGATCACGTTGAGGCTGAGAACACTGATAGCTGTAGAACTGTCGGGACCTAGACTTCCGTCCCTAACTACGCTCGTTAGCATTCAAATTCGTGGATGATTAAGCAGAAGGATAATACGAACTTGTGACCTTCCCCTGCACCAGAATCTCCTTACAGATGTGTCCTGGGATCATACTGCACGTAGCCTAACTAATTCTTTTCTATCCCTTTGGTTGCTCAGGACTTGCGCTCCGCATTGGGGTTTCTGATTTGTAGGCACGTTCCAGCTCCCAGTAATGTTTGTATGAGGCTGTCTCCAATGTCAATTTGCTCCCACTAGCAGATAAAAAATCCACTTTGAGAGCGTGTTCTTGTCCTAGCCCTTCGCTGGTAACTTGAGAAAGTAGTCGCTGGAAAGTGGGAGCAACCCATCCGGGTTATGAAATATCAACAGGGCGATTGACCGCCCTGTCGACTGTATTTTTGGGGGAGCTTACTCAGCCCATAAGGGGGGATAACAAGGTAAAGGGCTCTGCCCTCCATGATATAGAAGGGGGATGTTGGCGAAGGTTGAGGGACTGAAAGAATGGTATGAGGTGATGTAGCAAGAACAGAGAAATGACAATCCGAAAAGTGTCGACAACGCTAATGCCGGAACAAAGCGCTCGGGCCGTGGTTTCCCAAACAAACCAGATAGAGGGTATGCCGCAGGGGATATCTAAAGTTCAAGTAAAGCTCGTCAGGGAGCATCAAAAGCCTAGCGCCATTCCCCGCATTCCTATCATATCACATAACCAAGTCTCCTCGTCTTCAATCCTTAGACTCCATTCTTCCCCCGCCGCCCCATCATATCCTCCGGATTATCCTGCAGCATAATCCATTCCACGCTATCTGCACTAATCGCGTCCATGTCATCTCTCGCGCGTTGAATCGTAACATGCGCATGTGACGTTGGATGCTCTCTCGTATAACTCTTCGCATCACCATACTCTACGCTATATCCCTCTTCTTTAGTAATACCTCCGTTAAGGGAATGGAAAGGAAAAGATTGTCCAGCCATATGCGATGCTTTCTTTCGGGAGGAACGGTGGTTCGAGCCGTGGGATGTGGCGAAGATCTGGGGAAGCATTTTCGACATGAGGGGTTTGCAGGCTGGGAGGCAACCGCAGACGATACCGATGCTGGTCTCGATGGCTATAATGGCGTAGAGTGTGGACCCGTTCCCTGTGAAATATGTTGGATCGAACACCTTTCGTTGAAGTCTATGATAAAGATTGAGACGTACAGAGAGTATCATATGAGGCGAGGTAGACAGAGGTATACCAAATTCGGCAAACGCCTGCTATGCAAATACTACGAGTTGTCAGTATGTGTGTAACAACAACGGGGTGCTTTAGTGCACATACATGATTCCTAGAGAAAACATCGCAATGAGCGTGACTTTCTGTCGCGTCGATATTTGGATCTTGGCGAGATCTTTCGCGGGCCAAAGAAAGATCTGTTCTTGGAATCAGACTTGGAAGCTTACGGTTAGTCATAGAGGGTTGGCATCATACCAGAAAATCGCTTAAGATGTTTAAGCCTCCCGTGATATAGTATAGCAGTGCCACATTCATGCATTTTCGGTCCGGGTATTGGGCGATTAACCAGTAACTTTGGACTGGCCTAGGGTGGTGTTAGAAACGTCATTGGATTGGATATGAGGGCGCTCACCTGCACTGGAAGAGGGCGAGGAAGAAAGATACAGCTGCCCAAACTGCTGTGAAACACAATAAGATATGGCAGAACCACCTAGTCGTGTTGGAGGGGAATATGCCTATACTCCGAAATAAGCAAGATTGTGCCTAAGTATTCGTACAGGAAATATGCGCACGTAAATAAGTCAGAAGGATAGACACCTTGGTAAAGCCAGTGATGGGGACAAAGAGGAGCTGAGTAGCCATAGCCATCTAGTGATCACTTTAGTGTAAGCAGCCGAACCGCAGAAGACAATGGTTCCTACCTGAGCTGTCTTCACAGGATTGGCCGCAATTTCAGGGCGCAGATCCCCTGAGGTTATTAGCGAGGGCAAATTAGGGCAGAGCAGTATTGGTGTAGCTTACACGCGTGATAACCCGTCTGATACGCGGGGAGAGTTGATACACATGTCATTATACTGGTCCCAACGGATATTATAGTTGCTGCCAACATAAACCAGTCATCCTATCCACAAGTGAATGGATAACTACCAAAACCATAGGGCGAAAACTCACCACTCCCAAAGCTTGAATAATGACCGTTCTGCTGTAGAATCGCACGAACGTGAACATTATCACAAGAATGCACAGTGGTATCTCAACGCTTAACACTAAAGGTCGACGGGTTTCCGGATTCACGTAGTTCGGTGCAGGCCATCCTGCAATGTCTGCAGGGGTTGGTACCATCGTCGACATGATGGACGTGAATTAAATATACGGTCTAAAGAACAGATGAAGAAGTACAAGGAGCAGACGATACTACAGGTGGCGTGTACAAAGAGTAAAATCACTAGCACTGTAAAGATGCAGGGTCGGGCGGCTCTTATTCACAAAAACAAGAAAAGCACAGGTTTGACCAAGGAAATAATGTGGAGTTTGACTACGCGCATCTAAGTCATGCGTGAATTGCTTCCACGACGATGCTACGAGTCCAATAGGTCGCATCATAAGTGTTGCAAGGTTGAGTGAACGGCCAACTTCCCCTCCTTTGACCCTTTCTCGTGGGTTCAGTGATTTATGGGGAAGAGTAGCATGGTTGACCCATCAACATGGAAACGGTTAGGACGGTGCATGGTCTCAAAGGTGTGTCCGATACTGTCTGACCTGAACGCGTAAAGGCATCAATAAACGCCAGGAGAGTGAGGAGACGTGCCGACCATGAGCCCCAGGCGATTAGTATGAATAGGGGATTTGCCAATAATGCGCGATGGGTAAGATACGAGTGCCGCGGGTGGAAGACACGATGCATGTTACATGTAAACGACGCTCTTTCCTTACTTGGTGCAGCGAAGCGTTGTAATTTAGGGTTGACTCTGCTATTCTGTTGGGTCATGAAGTCCTGACTGGTATTGATGGTGGTATCGTGGCCCAGCGAGGTGTCTCGAATGAGCCAAGGAAGACCTAGCATGAAAACCGTCCTCAAATTGGGTTAGACTGACACCCGATCTCACGACATGTATGTTTCAAGCGTGTTTCCTAAAAATCTCCGTCGTGGATAGGACGACGCAGGGACTAAATCAAAGTTTTAACAGAGGGCTGGCAGGCCGGAGTAAAACAATGAATATCCAAGGATGTTCTGCTCTGCAGTCGCAGACGTAACGAAGTCTCGGCCTTGCCATCGCTCTAAGAGTTAATATCCGCAGAGAGGGCTCCCTGCCTTATACAAGAAAGGAGTGTATCTGCGTCAATCACATCGCGCCAGCCTGCCTCAAGAAAAGCGGCGTGGTGGACTGATGGCCCGAGTTGTGAAGTCAAGCATTGGTCGCATCCGGAAATAGCCCTTGAGGAGCCAAAAGGTAAGTGAGCCGTTGATGCCCTCCATCCTGCTGGTGGGGAATTTAGAGCCGAACCAAAGCTTCGAAGACTGACGAGGAGGGTTGTTAAGGGGGTATCGTGGTTGGAGATTGCCATGTCACCAAACTCGACCCCTAAGCGGGTGGCTGGTGGGCACGCCACATGACGCAAACCCAGCCCCATCTGCCAACCACCACTGCCGCCAGCCAAGTCTTCACGATCACCATTGCCATCCATCTCTGTTCTACCATTTTCATCAATCCCCTATGATCTCCTTCATCGCCTCGTATGGGGCACTGGCAGGATAGGCAGATTTACTTCCGTGACTTCGCATACAACGCACGGCGTCTTCGAATGGCGAACGGCAACATAGGTGATGTGCCGGCGTCGACCTTTGCCGAGTACGTACAAGCTTCTTCAGAGCTTCCTGACGGCCTGATGGTGGGGGCGCATCCGGTTCTGCGTCAGAAAGCGAATCAATGTCTAAAGCAGAATTGACTGGGCCGCCCGAAGGTGCTCCCCAATTCACCATCGAGGCTGTTTCGGAATATCCCGGCCTCCGTCCAGCCCTAGCGCATCGTCTCTATTCTCATCGTCTCCATGTCAGGGCCAAAGCTAAGCTCCAGCGCGATAGGCTCCTCTCAGGCCCTCTTGTAGACATCTATGTCGGCAAGTCCAGGCGGCACTGGGCCCTCCATCTCAACCTGCTCTGTCATCACTCAGAGTACCTCGAGTCTGAACTGCAGTCAGATGGGGAAAAGAAGCAAGATAAGCTCGAGCTGATGGATTACGATCCGGCTGGCTTCGAGCTCCTTGTGAAATGGATGTACCAGGGCAAGCTCGATGATGTCTCCGATATGGTGGACCCGAACCAAAAGTACGAGTATGCCGTCAGGTGTCACAAGCTGTACCTGCTTTGCGATCGATTCGACATGCCGCAGCTCAAGAATGTTGCCATGGATCAGTATCGCAAGGGTCTCAACGAAGCCCAACTTGTCCCCGACGCTGAAGAAATTGATGACATTTACCGTAAGAGCCCCGTCGGGTCTCCGTTTCGACGGTTAATGACCAAGATTGCTGCTCGACAGATCATGGATCCTGAGAGCGAAAGGGACGTTGAGACTTATCGCGAGTGCTTTGTGGACAACTCAGACTTTGCTGTGGACCTCGTAAATGCGGTCAAGCTCGGCACTGGCGGTATGCTGTTCGAAGATCCTACCTATGGGAATGGATGCGAGTACCACGACCATGAAGCAGGGCCAAATTGTCACATTAAAGGCAAGGGCAGAGTCAAGCAAGGTAACTAAAGGCCCAGCCTTGCACACATTGCACAGCCTGCACATACCTTTCTTCGCTCAAGCCATCACATTCTATCTGTGATGAAGAAGGGCACAACCACACCGCTACCCATCATCATTACCATCATCATCGGTTCGTGTCCAGAGACGAATGATAACACCAATTAACTCTTAGCTCTCAAGGCATCAGCCCTCCGCCCCTCCCCCAAATCCGTCAAATCCGATCCTACCGCGGATCACGGCCCTCCCCTCCTCCATCGCCTCCCTCCTCCAACCACTCCAACTCCTCAACCTCCTCCCCAGAATCATCCCCAGTCTCATCCCAGGCAAGCTCGCCGACAAGACGGAATAAGCGCAGGCCCTCTCCGCCGTCGCCTCACCAGTCCGGCTTCTTCAACCATCGAGATGTCGAAAGAAACCGCAACAGCGTCTCCCCCCAGCCCGAAGGAACAGAGAGACAAGTTCAGGTGGGTGGCGCCGCTGCCGCCGGAGACACACCAGGAAAACCCGGCGGCGGAAGAGGAATCTCCAGCCCCTCAGACAGCCCCAGACGAGCACCACCAAAGCTCAGACGGAGGGTCTCACCCACCCCTGGATAGCTCGGCGAGCGATTCCAGTAACAAGTCGAGCGACGCGAAACAGATTCTGGGGGACACATCCCCACGTCGAGGACTATGGGAATGGGCAAGAGCAGGAACAGGAAGGCTGGGATTGAGCAGAATTCCGCATCCTGAATGGAGAGGTCCCCTGACTTCAAAGGCTGCAACCACAGCAGTAAACGGGGCATTGGACGGAGGAAGGAAAATCGAAGAAACCCAAGACGACTTCAGCGTTCCGTCAGCAACGTCTACGGAACCCGGAAATGAAACCCGAAAAGAAGGAGAAGAAGCAGCCGCTGCCAGAGTTAAAGGCCTGGGTACCGTTAACAGCACCGTCGACCCTATGTTTTCTCAAACGAAGAGGTCGTCGGATGATTTGGTTGCGGACGCGAGCGCAACACCCTCACCAAACATGGTGCGACCAGACCGCTCGCCAAAGAGCGACGAGCAGGAGCAGAGTCTACCATTGACCCCGTCCCCTCCTGAACGAAAGAGGGTGTCGACTGACGAGTCCGAATCGACAGGGCTGTCGTCCAAAAAGGAGGTGGATGAAGCCTCTAATACGACGCCCAGTCCCCATCGTATACCGATGTACAAAATCGCGCTCGCCAGCAACATCCTTTCTCCTAGCAGGAAAACGACTGTTTCATGATAGCCCTTCCTTTGGTCGAAGTCTTGTACACATATGAGTTTCTCTTTCAGCAGCCATTCGCAGTGGACACGCCGGTATCCTCTTTGTTAGAATATACACACATGGTGCAGGAGCGCCGTTTCGAGGCCGTTTTGCACAGGTACTTCAGAGCCGATGGACGGCGTTTTTGGACTAAAAGTGAATTGGACTGCTGTATAGTAGCAATCGCCAGAGCAGCTTGGCGATCGCCTGCCTCATCACGCACATAATAGTGAAATAAAATAGTAATTGGAAAAGATATTCTGGATCGTGACAGTGGGAGCCAACATTGGACGAGGTCTCTGCCAAGCCCGAACCGTGTGTCAGGGCCGTTACCTCCGACAAGCAGGTCTCTGTGTCTCTTAGTGAGTGCTGTTGCCAGCCAACCCCTCCCCCAAAACTCTTTCACCATGGAGTCGATGGAAACCAAGCTGCTGAATAAATACAACATCTCCACGCTGTACCCCTCACAATGGCCGGAAGAGAAAGACCGAGATTCGGACGAGGAAGACGAGCCCCTGCCGCGAACCACAACCGCGCAGCCAATCCGCCGCTCAAAGTCACGATACTCCGTGCTCGAGAGTAGCGGAAGCTATCAGAGGAGGCTGCCGGGTGCAGAGAGGTCTCGAGATGGCGTTGAAAATTTGGTGCAGAAGGACGAGGGGGATGCGTTGGGGATGTATCCGAGCGTGGTGCAGGTGTTGCGGCAGAGGGGGTTGCCGGTTGAGGATGATGTTAAACTGCGTGTGCACACCTACCCTAATGATATACACTCCTGAGTACGCTGCTGATAGTTGTTGGCATAGGGAACCGCTTCTTGCTGAGTTCGACAACCTTCTCCCCCTCCCTCTTCCTTTCTCAGGTCCACAGCTCCGCATCCACCGACTCGCTCCTCGCCGGCCTCGACTTCCTGTCCCGCTCCATCGAGAAGAAATCCGCGTCCCTGAAGATCCTCGTCGAGTCTAATTTCGAGCGCTTTGTCGGTGCAAAGGCGACCATCGACCGCGTGTACAATGAAATGCGCGATGTGGGCAAGGAGCCCGAGTCGCCGCCAGGAGCGCGACGCCCGGGCCATTCTCGCGGTGCCAGTCGATCCAGCTTCTCGGCGCGGAACCCGAGTGGGGTGTTGAGTCCGGGGCAGCAGTTGAAGCCCGTGCCGAATGAAAAGAAGAAGAATGCGCTGGTCAAGGAGAGCGAGTACGGCGTGCAGGGCATCAAGGTGCCGCTTACCGAGGTCGCTGTCAAGGCTGAGGAAGTATGGGGCCCTGCGCTGGGTGGCCGAGAGAAGGAAGCGACTTTGAAAGCGATACTCGCTTCTGTGGAGAAGAGCCGCGGTCTGTTCGAAGTTGGTTCTGCTATCCAAGACGCCATACGGCGCAAGGATCACGAAACCATCGTTGAGGAATATTCACGGGCGCGGAAGTACGCCGAAGACGCTCGATATATAGTCGAGCAAGCTAGCTACAGGCAGGCCCCCCTCTCAGACGCTGACATTCACCAGGTCATCGTCACGGCACGCATGTGGGCGGATGTAGAATCGCAGATTGAGTCTTTCAAGCGTGATGCCTGGAGGCGACTCGCTGGCATGCATTTCGCGAAGCAGCAGCCCAATGAGGAAATTAAGTCAGAGCAGCATATGGAGCTCATATCTCTCATGCTAGAACTAGGCGTCGAAGACAATCCCATCTGGATTTGGTTGCTCTCTCGCTACGATTATCTCAAGTCCCGCCTGACGGGAACTTGCGAGCGCTCCAGGGTCGAAATCGAAATTCTCCGGCGCCATCTTGCGAATGCAGAGAAGCCGAGTCTACGCATGTTGTCGACTCACCTCCGGTCCGTCGCGGCTGGCGGGCCTCGTGGAGGCGAGCTAGGGAAGCTGGACTCAGTGAAGATCATCGAATTCTGGGAACATGTACATGCGTCCATGACCGCGCTTCTCTCCACGAACGGTGGGCTCCTGGGCGAAATAATAGAGTACTGGGACATTGCACAATCCTTCATCAGCGGCCGCGCCCAGAAGTCTCTCCCAATGGGCTACAACAACCAATCCTCCGTTCACCACCAACTTTCGCCCAACCACATCACTGAGCTCGAAAAAGGTGCCACGGAACTTGCAAACATCATCCGCGAACATCTCTTCGGTTTCTTCTCTGACCCTCCTATTGAAGACATCTCACTCCTCTTTTCACCCCTCCCCACCACACCCACTCCAACAACGCCCAGGACCCCTCTCAGTGCAGCGCTCAGTCCAACAGCTGGGTCTCGATTCCGCTTCGACCCCAACAACATCCCACCACCTTCGCCAAGCCGTGGTGAAACTTGGGAGAAATACGCTTTCTGGCCTCCGCATTCCAACGCCCTGTCTGGATCCCACTACCTCTCCAAATCCATCATTTTAATCGGCAACGCTGCCAATGAAATGGCCTCTCTTCGTCTTCCAGAGATGGGATCACTCTCAAGACTAGACGAAGCACTCCGCATGCTGGTCGGCGCCGTGCGTGAGCGCTGCGTACAAGCTGTGTGCGCAGCCTGGAACGCCGATGCCGAGAACCTTAAAGTGCTAGAGGATTGGACGCGTGACCCCGAACGAAAAGACATCACCAACATGCCCGCACGGTTCCTCAGCGTGCAGAGTTTCCTGCTGGCAAATTTGCAGAAGATAATGTATGTTACTGGAAGTGAGGGCGGGAGCAAGACGGCGGTTGATGTTGTGGTTCCTCCGAGTAATAAGTTGTTGCAGATGGCAAGAGCGCAATTTGTGACAAGCTTATATAGGACATTTAGCGGGATGGTGGAGTGTGCGGAGAAGGGGAGGAGAGCGCTGGGTCGGGAGTGGGAGATCAAGGGAGATGATTTGACGGTCGAGGGAGACGGCGAAGACAATGGGGGGTGGGGGAAAGTCGATGCCGGGAAACAGGTTTGTCTAACATTCGCTGCCTTCTTGCGAAACCGCCAAGCTAACAAGCACTCAGTCAACCCGCCTCCTCCTTACTCTATCCAACATGTCCGAGTTCAACACCTCCACGGCTCCGCACCTCCTCACCCAATTCGAAACTCTCTTCTCCGTCCAACTAACCGACGAAACCACCCGTATCCGCGACGTCCTCCAACAACTTGACTCTCAGCTCTTCAAATCCTACACCAAACCTCACATCCAACGCATCACCTCTACCATCCAATCCGGCATCTTCTCGCCCTCCTGGGCCCCCTCCCCTCCCCGCGGAAAAAGCGTCGCAGACCGCGACCCTTCGCCCTATGTCTTCACCATCCTCCTCTCCCTCGTCATCGTGCACACCGAAGTCAGCACCACCTCGCCTTCTCTAACCCCACGCATCCTCCGCTCGCTGTTCGAATCCACAACAGACGCCCTTATCACCACGTTCTCTAAACTACAGTCGTGCTCGCTAGCAGCGCTCATGCAGGCCACGCTTGATGTCGAGTTCATGGCGCAGACACTGAGTAGTTATACGACGGAGAAGGCTAGTCAGACGCAGACGGATATTTATCAGGTATTGGATCAGAAGACGGATAATGCGGCGAGGGTGCGGTTGCAGGATGAGTTGGGGGCGTTAAGGGGGGTGTTAAAGAGGTTAAGGGAGGGGACTAGGGCGGAGTTTGCGTGTTTCAGGAGGGCCAAGAGGGGGACTGTGGGAGGTGCGGAGGGGGTGGGATATGTACGGTAGGGAGATGATGAGCTTTGGAGAATGAGGTGGGGTGAGGAGAGGGGAAGGAAAAGTCTCGTTGGGGCCGATTGTATGTATAGAACGGTGGGGGTTTCGAAGAGCAGCTTTTAGAACCAACTATCTAGCATTATTCTCCTCAATTTGCGTACTCAGTTCTTTGTCCAAATCCCAACGTCTGCAGAACTACCAATCCAACCGAAAAAATACCAACCAGGATACTATCCAAACAAAGCCAATCCAAGCAGTGAAAATATACACTCCCACCATCGCCCATACTCCAGCTTCAACCACTAATATAGAAACACAGATACGGAGCTGCGCGCCAAGAATATTATTCATAGAAAACACCAAATTCAATGTGTGTCCATATCCAACTCACTCCCATCCACCCATCCATCCCCACGTACACCTAGGGTCAGTGTGTAGGACACTCACGCTCATCCCGCTCTCTTCCAGCCATTCGGATAATCCAACTCTATCCGCCGCGTTCCATCCCTTTCCAATTGACTCGTGGGAGGACGGCTTGCGTCGTCGGCGGAGTGTAGAGTTGCGGGTGGGACGGGAGGGAAATGGGAAAATGCTACTTGTGCTTGGGACGAGGTGCGGAGAAACTGGGGCTGGGTTGGGAGTTGTAAGCGGGGGGCTATGGGTATGTGGTGGGTGTGGCGGGTGGAGGAAGGAAAAGGGAGCGCGGGATGTGAGAAGTGGCGTGCGTGGTTCTGCTGGTGGTGGTGGTGGTGGTTGTGGGTACAGTTCTGGGGATGATGGTGATGTTGGTGGTGAGGTCGGACTTGACTCTGAATATGCTTGTATCTGCCACCGTGCCGGTGGATTTTAGGAGTTGGATGTTGTCCAGTAGCTCGACCTCCTGGCGTATGGGTGTAGTTTGGCACATAGCGTTGCTGCTGTTGTGGACTATGCTGTTGTTGGTTCTCAGACTCAGACACCTTCATTTGATTCCTCAACCTCGCCTGCTGCACTTGCGAGAAGAATTCCTGGGGTGTACGTGGGTACGACGCTCCTCTCCCTCTTCCTCCTCTTCCCCTTTCTCCTCTGACCCCTTGCCCACTCTTACCCTCTTGACTCCCTTGGTCTCCCTTAACCCCTCGTCTTTGCAAACTATGTATCTCAGCTTCCTTCTCTCGCAGCCCTAGCCTTGAACCTGAGCCCGACCCGGACTTCCTATGCACCACTGTAGTTGTAGCTGTAGCTATGGCCGCGACAGGCGAAGGTGGAAACGAAGATACAAGAGCATGGTGTCCTGGATGCATGTACACTAGATTAGGGAAGTTTAATCTCGGTGTGCGAGGTTGAGGTTGAGCTTCAGAGCGCAACCGTGGGTATAGCTGGTTGGTCGGGAAATATGGGATGTTTGAGCTCAGGGGATAGGAATCCTGCTGTAGTAGTTTTGTTTTCGGTCGCTGGATTGCATCTCCTTCTCCAGTGCTAGCGTTAAAAGTGTTGATGTTGTTGGGAGTTGGAGCTCGAGGTTGCTGATGTTGATGTTTCGGGTGTGGGGGCGGAATAGGAGTTACTCTGCGTTGAGGGAGATAGTTGCGTGTTTGCCAGAGTTGAGCGGATGTAGGGAATTTAAGTATTGGGCCCAATGAAGAGGGGGAAGTGTTTCGTGTAAGAGATGGTGGTAGAGGCGGTTGTACCCTGTTTTGATTTTGCACCGTAATTTCTGCTGGCATATGTAGACTCTGAGATACCGCGGTTGAGACATGTTGCGGTGCTACTAAAGGATTGCTAGTTTCGGTACCTGACTCCATCGGTAGATGAGGGTAGCCATATTGCTCCGTTGCAGTCGTGCCTCCTTGAGCCAGCCCAGCTCGCGACACGGGCATATAATCCTTGTGAAAAGACAACCCATGACACTGAGTATGTGGATCTGTAGGCTGTTGTGAATGACCACACTTCTGCGTCTCTATAGCTAGTTCCAAGATATTGCTTGCTTGGCGAGCTGGAGCGGCCGGTATCTTCATTGAAGACATGGGATCTTCTAGTTGCAGATGCGCCATCTGTTCTGAATGTCCTTGGGAATATGCTCCTGCGCTGGCTCCTACCATTGGCTGATTGGCCGAGGCCAGGGTAGAAAGGTTCAGCAATGAAAATGCAGAAGGTCGATCGTATGGTTGCGAAGGCGGTTGTGCAACTCTCTGCTGAAGTGAGTCCATTGGATCAAATGAATTGAGGCCTTCTCGGGGGATAGGAGCAGGGGATTCCCGTGCCGGGCGCTTTAAGGGATGAGGACCAGCAGTTATATTAACTGCTTCTTTTGGGCATTCCTTCGGAGCGTCTACTGTTCCAGTTGTATCCGGGTCTTGCGATGCTTGGTTCTCTTTCCAACCTACAGCACGTCTTTGCCTCTTCGCCTCCGTCACCTGGATCTTGATTCGGCCTGGTTGGATCAGCACTGGCATGTTCTCGTCACCCTCGGCAGCTCTCAGCGTCCCAGTCACTGTCCCGAAAACCGTGCCTGCAGTCGATACCATCATTGCTGCAGCCAGTAACTGAGCCTGCAGCTCGACATTTTCACGTTTCCTAGCGTTTCCTAATTCTCCCATCACCTCTCTATCCTCTTTCAAATCCACCCTGTCCCTCCAAAACTGCCACTCCCCTAACAAGCTACCTGGTAGGCCCTCCTTCCTCAAATACCTAAATGCCTTCTTCACTTCTCCAGGCGGCGGCGTGTCCGGGTTAATCGGATCGTCTGGTGCCAGTCTCTTTAATTCCTGGAGATGCGGCGGAACATTATCGTTATCCCAGATCTTAGAGTTCTCGTAGAGGATTGTATCAAGGTCATCGAAGGAGAGATTGAGAAGGCGAACGACGGGGTCATAGTTGTTACTATAATTTTTGGAGAGCTTAGCTTCCGTGTGAATGGATTCAATGACGGTTTGGCGGAGGGAGGGATAGAGGCCTTTGAACGAGATCTGGGAGTGGAATTAATCGCGTCGAACTAATTGGAGAAGGGTTATAAGTGTGAGAAGATTTATTCTCAGAAGGTCCATGAATAGCGGGTTTCGCCTGAGAATAAAACTTTGCTTACCTGGCCCTCATCCTTACATGAACTAAGCTCCCTCTGCATCTCAATATACCAGTTTCTCTCCTGCTCGGCCATCTCTTGCGGAAACTTCTTCCCGTGATACAAATTCTGAAGCCTCTTCAGGCTCGCTCTCTTTTTCGCAGCATCTCCGCTGAACCGCTCATGTATAATCTCAGCAATGCCATGGCGATCCACAAATTCAACCTTGCTCGCACTTTCTGGTGCCCCATCTAGGGTCGGAAAAGACGCAGGTTTCTTCGCGGGAGCCTTGGAAAGCGTAGCTCTCTTCCTGGCCCGCTTCACCGGCGTTTGAACAGAAGTTGTGCTAGCAGTAGAGGTTGCGCGCCGACGTTTCGTTCTAGCTGCTCGCTCCGCCCGCGGCGAATGCGTGTCGCAGGCGTGTCGTTTAGTCATATTGACCTTGCGCGGTTGGGGATGGGTGCAATTCGCTAGAATAAGAGCGAGGTGGGAGAGGGATATCTTTAGGGGACAAAGGTGGTGTGAGTCGCTCTAAGGGTGAATGCTACGGTTCTGTGACACTTTTGCACGCACACACTTGGGTTTCATTAGAACACTCGGTATCCGTCTCCGCGCTTGTTCACCCCTTCCTCAGTGTTCGATGGCGGTGATGGTGAAAAATCAGAAGCACAGTATGTTCCGTCGCCTTGGTAGGCTCGTGGGGGCACGTAGTTTGTCGGGGTGACGTAGACACATAGCAAACGGCAGTGGAAGAGTGATACTCCATAGCTCTCGAATGTTCAGCCACGAAGGCAGTGGAGAAAGTTGAGTACAAGCTCGGGGCTCGCCGATGCTTTTGATTTGAGCAGAATGTGACTCTCAGTCACATTGCTCACGAAGATTCTTGTGTGTGAGGGTAGAAGACTCATTCGAAGACACTGGTACTACACCGCCATGGTAAGGCGACAGAAACGAGCCATGTATGATCCATAGATCCGAGATACCAAAACAGAACTTCGCGATAGGGTAAGGTGAAGAACAATGCGTGGAAACGATCATTCGACGATAATTACGAGAGACTAAACTAGAAGAAAATGCAACATGCCGGTAAGAGAGCGGCGCGTTCAAAATTTCCGGTGGACTATTCCATAAGCGCTACTTTAACTCAGTAAACTCGCTGCACAGCGAATGCTGCGCGTGTCTATTTTACAGCCACTTGGAAATTCAAAAAGCCACGCTCTTCTACACCCTAACGCCGCTACTGTTGAGAAGCCGTAATTCGTGCTGGGTATCATGATTGCAGAAAATGTATGCTGCGAAATGCCTTTTCCATAGTCACGCTTGCTCTGAAGTCTAATATGCAAGTCATGAATCTTGAAATGGACTATTGGCTCGGTCAGTGAAGCGAAGGTCATCCGAAGGATCCACGCTGTCGCCCATGTCTATGTCTTCATCATCAATAGTATCTTCAATGGTTCTCTTGAGCTTGGCCGGAGGGATTTGGAGGCCGTCTTTAGAGCCATTAGTAACAGGAGTAGGTTGGAGGAACTCAGCGCGTGAGCTGGCGACGTGTCGTCTTGCTTTGAGGATGTCCCAATATGAGCGGAGGATGTTTTTGATAGTGTCGTCGAAATTTACGCAGAACCTCTGGGATTGGCAGACTTGCATGGCCTTGATATGGTCAAAATCATCAAGCACCTCCATCATATATGCGGCGACGACCGCGGCTGACTTCTCATTGCCGGATTCGCAGAAAACGAGCACTTTCCCAATCTGTGGGTCACTCGATCCAGAAGATTCCTGGCGGACTTTGGCAATGTGTTGGTTGATCAGCTTTGTAGTGTGGGGGAATTGCGGAATGAGGGCATAGTAGGTGGAAGCTTCGATGGTCGCTACTTCCTGGCACACCTCGCTACCTGCCCGTAGTGCCCCGGTCAGGCTATTAACCTGCGATCTTATAGCCAGAATCATAGTGATGCCCTCGCGCATTAGGTAGCCCTTATCCTTAGCCGCAGTCATCGGACCAAGATACAGCCAGGGCAAGACCAGCTGGGCATGTCGCCGACGGTCGTAGGACCAGTCCAGCAAGGTGTTCCTCTGAACAATGTTCTCCATATTCAGCTCCTTGAGGAAGCTCGTGTCAATGCCGCAGTCGTGCAAGGTCGTGCCTCCCACATTGAGTTCAGGTGCTTCGGTTGAGAGGGAAGGTGGGGGCACGACGATACGAGGGGGCGTGGGTAGTCGATAAGAGTATTCCTGGTGTCGTCTGTGCGACGAGTATGAGAAGTCAGACATGGCCGAGTCTTCGTGGGTCGCAGCCATGTTGGGCGTGGATGTGGGTTGATGCTCGCAGTCAAGGGAGTGAGTGCTGGTTGAGGTGGGCTGGGTTGCGGGGAGGCGCCAAAATCGACCTCTTATCGCACACTTGTGGGAAAGTCCATGTAGGCCGTGAGTGAAGGTGTCGCACCGGCCTGTGGCTGGCGGTAAATCGTGGTGAATCGTGGTGAATTCCTCAGCACTCGGCGTAAAGGGCGCAGGACGCCTTGCCCACAGGCAGCAGAGTGCTTCAGCCCAAGTCCCTCAAAGTTGCTTTAGACTGGGTTGAAATTGTATGTGAGACAGAACAGCAGTGCCTCTGTTGTGCGACGTGTCCATGATGGTGCACAGTGGGGAACGCTGAGCATGGAATTGGTGATGTGGTTGAGCGGATTCGCTGCCAGGAGTAGCAGTGGGGCTGAGATATCACGTGCGTCAGCCTTGCCCTTCCTCTATTTCCCGACTCTCTCGGTGCCCCCTCACATCCCAGCTCCATGTCTCTTCATCGGCAATCCTCCTTCGCCGGAGCTTCGTCGCAACAGGTGATATATGGCTTTCAATATCAGGACCCTTGACCGCTACTCGTTCGGCAGCTCGCTTCCCGCGGAATTGGAGGCGAAAACGAGCTTGGTTCAGTCCCACATGGGCAGCAAGCGTGCAGCATGCGAACGCCCTCAGACTAACTAGGCACGATTATTGCTCACAGTGATGGGGACAGGTGTCGGTTGTCCACCGATGGAAGACCACATCACATCGTTTGCGGCAGTTCACTCCGTGCGACCATGTCTCGTGCGCCAAAGCCTCTAGCAAATGGTTCAAGTAGAAAACTATTCATCTTCCCCTGTCCTTGCCCATGCTCAGAGACCGCTTTCTCGTCTCCTCTGTGTCTATCAGGACTATTGTGCCCTTTCCTAAAATTCCCACCCACTGTTCAGTTCCCTCGTATATCTCTATGCACAAGCACTTGCATCCTTCCTTCTAGTCCCGTGTAATCGTGCCTCGAATCACGAATATGCCCATTCGACTTGCAGCGTTCTCCGACCACTCAGCCATAGCCACAGTATGCAGCGCAGCATTCTTCGACGAAGACCTCTTCGGTCGGGTAATGCACCCCCATCGTCACAAATACCCTAATGATCCGACACTCTGGTGGCATGCACATGTACGAGAACTATGGATTGACTGGCGAAGCCATACATATGTTGCAACTGCTCGAGATGAGAAGGATGGAGGGAAAGAAAAGGTGGTGGGTGTAGGAATATGGGAGAGGCAAGGCAAAGGAGGCAAGAAGATGCAACTCAGCATCATAGACCCACGTGAGTGCTAAATTCAACTGAATACCTGAACCTCATCGCCTACTTCATCGATTTCCCGTTCTTGATTGCGCTCCGGGCAGCTTATCACTTGCAACTGGTTGTCGTCGTTCCGTAACAGTTATCCCACCTCCGCCACCACCTTCCGCTTCTCAGATTTACCTTCCCGCCTCATTATTCATTTTGTACACTCACCGATAAGTATTCCACTCTGCAGATACTGTTCTGCATACGCTTCACCCCGCTTCATCCTGCATTCCGCCCCAATGACATTCTATTCCGTACCAATAACTCTACGCAGGCAATCTCCTCACCACCCTCACTAAAATAACGAACCGCATCAACTCCATCCTCTACCCCAACCGCGCCCTGGACGCCTCAAAATCCCACCTTCTCTCAGCCGGAATGCCGTTCTCGCGCCACCACTGGGCCGGAGAGCGGGAAGACAACTGGTACCTGTCTCTGCTCGCCGTCCATCCCGATTGGCAAGGACACGGCTTCGGACGCGAACTTGTGGAGTGGGGTCTTCAGCAGGCGGAGAAAGAGAATGTGCATGCGAGTGTGATGAGCAGTGACGGGAAAGAGAATTTCTACCTCAAATGTGGGTTCGAAGAGATTGTGGGGAATGCGACAGAAGGAGAGGGCAATCCTTTGGCGGGCATTCGTGGAGGGGCCATTTTGTTCAGGTATCCTATGCATGGTGTTGAAGCTGGAAGTTAGAGCCTAAACGGCGCATCGGTATACAACCACGAGAATTGGTGTCACACATCAAGTATGTTCTAGGCCATCAGTGTGACACCACGGCTTTGGTGGCTCGAATTTAGTTGGTATGATCGCAGTCGCATCCTTCCCTACAATCTCACAACGATGAGGGGTGACATGCTCCTTGCATGCATTACTCCACCAACACCCCCAGGCGAGCTTCGCCGCAGTGGAGATGCAATGTAGTTCTCAAACTGCACCCTACCTGCAACTTGCACCCTCCATTTCGCTGATCATCATTAACCACTTTCCAGTGCCGCAGGACGCAGAACACGATCCAATCCAAGCAAGATACGCGAGCCCCATTGTCGCTGTAGGATTGCACACATCCCACGTCGTAATGACCATCTGTTCTTTGATTCCTTGAAACAGAATCGGTACTCCCTCATTGTCGCGGTGATCATCATTTTTCAAGGTAAGGATCTCCAGACCCAAATTCGTGGCCGCTTTAACAGTTTGTTGATCTCTTCCTCTCCGCGTTAAGACTGGTGGGACGGACGGGAGCGAGAACATGGAGCGGGAGATCTGGGTCGCTCATTAAGACCCGTGGGGCGCTGTGCAGCGCAGAATCTTTGCTTTTCTGGAGACACAACTTGATGGACACGGAGACCCACAGAGCAACACCAGAACCCAGGACTAAGACTGCGGTCGCAAGTCTCCAAAGAATCAGCCTTACCCTGCCTGACTATTGTGTCTCACCCCGTTTTTCAGGGCAGCTTATCCAAGTCTCTCTGACACTTGCTTTTCTCGTGCCCTCCACGCCTACTAGCCTTGTCCAGAACCCGGCCCAAGGCCCAACTCAATTCTACAATCAACATTATGCACACGTCACCCAAAAATCTGGTGTCGTTGTGTAACCATCAGGCCCCTTCACCGCCTGTTGAGCGACCCTCCGCCGACTCCCTCTCACCAGTCTGTGTTCTGCGTCTTCCTCAAGGATCCCCGTCCTTTCTCCAGCCCCTCTTCAGCCCCCTTCGGAATGACAGTCCGTATCCCCAGGACACCACCGCTAACCCAACGTAGCGATGCAATCGCTAGTGGGGTGAAGAGTTCTCGTTGGCACGGATGCCTGGTCCCGTCCCCCGTCCATGGCTCACTCAGACGCAAAGACCGGCGAATCGAGCGAATCTGTGGCGAATGGGATTGCCGTGGAAGTGTTACAAGAGACGAAGCTCCCCTCCATTTTCTCCCTCCACTGATCCGTACGGAGTGAGAAGAGGGAGGAGCGTTGACAGTGGAATTAAATCCCCAGGCATCAAGCTTGCAGCGGAATCTGGGGAAGAGCAATTCGGCGTTAAGTCAGCCAGCCTCCGACCTCATCATACAGCGACAAATAGCACCCTCCGAAATTCAAACTCTCACAAAGCCCAAAGTTTGAAAAGACGAACGCGAGCCCGCACTCTGTCCCTGCCTCCTTCTCTCTGGCTCCGAGAATCAGTCGTACACCCCCCACACGTGCGCCTCACATCCCACCACGTCACGCTTTCTTCCCTGGCAGTCGCGCAGAGCACTCCGAATTATCGGGCCCCTCACATGGGTTTCATATTTGCTTTTTGTGAAGGAACAGGCACGATGACGCTTTGTCTGATGCGGTTGGTAAGTCAAGCCCCAGCCCTCTTTGGCTGTTTGGGACATTGTGACGGAGGTTTTTGTTCGCGATCCAGCCCCAGCCACACAGTGAATGGTCCAATGTGCAGCCCACGCTTATCCCAAGCAACAGACCGTTTTTCAAACCCAGATTTTGGTCTGGGTCTGGGTCTGGGTCTGGGTCTGAGCGGAGGCTGGAGGAATTGTTCCTCTGCACTAGAAAAAGCGCATGCGTCAGAAAAAAGGTGCACTCAAAAGCTTGCCTCAAAAAAATCTCAATAGTTCTCTGCTTCGTATCCCACAAGTTCTCTGCAGTCAATCAAATCGAAGGAAAAGCTACCCAAACACCCTGCACACCCTGCACACCCCACTAAATCTTCTCAAATCCAATCGCAAGGATCCCTTAACCAGCTAATACGGCCCACCCAGCCCTCTGGGCCCTAGCCCCGATCCGGATCTAGTCAACCGCGACTCTCGAAAACACCAAGGCCCATCGAGCAGGTTTCCGAATCCGACGCCATGAAAAGGACCAGCCGTGATCACTAGTCTGTATCTATATCACAGCGGCGAGCGCGGGCAACGGCACACCTTCCATTAACTGCAATCGCGCAAGCATTCCCTCCCGTTTCCGCGTCCGCGAGACCTCGTGGAAGGCTCATGAGAACTAACCGTTAAGGCCAATACCTGCGGCCCGTGGTGGGTGGCTTCACGTCGCCCGCGTAGGAGACCCTGCTTCCACCCCAGCTGCAATGCTGGGGTGAAAGTGGGCAGACCTGCGGGCACTGGACACGGTGAGAAGGAGTTAAGCTTCTTGGTTGACGTTGGTAGTCCCACCAGGCATCCAACAATGATGTGATCTTCCTGATCTGTCGTGTAAGGTGGGCCTGGACGAAGGAATGAAGGGAGTGGAGACATGTGGGTAGCGCAAAACGTGCGTGTGCGTGTGGGTCTGTCAAAGCGCTGAACGGGGCAAACTATCTGATCTGATCTGGGGTTGATGATTCAGGGAATGTGTAAATTTACTTGTTGGTATTGTGATGGCATGGTGTCTATGGAGGTTTGTATATACAATATCTATTTTATGGTTCTAACGATCGGATTTGGGAAGCCGCGCTACGACATAACCAAACGGACTCATTCGAAAGAAACATTCCAAAATCAGGACATAACATCGAGACAAGTGGAGAAAACCGCGAGTCAAGACCGTCCCAGTCAGGTAAGGAGCCAGGCCAGCCAGGCGCCGCCTCACTGGAACTCAGGGCCCAGGAAACGTGAACTCTGATCGCGCTGGATCAATTGATCGACCGGCGAAAGAACTGTTTTCAGAAACGATGTGTCGGTTTGCAGCGGCAATCCAAACCCATGTGATGTGAGTGAGCGAGCGTATTTGCAACTGAATTGCATGCAACTCCGAAAGTCCCCGGCCGGCTGTGAAGCTACTCCGTCTACGGATAGGATAGAAATGGATAGGGATACAGAATCAAACGGTCAATCAATCCTCTTCATCAATGAAGAAACTTTCTTCCCCTGTGCACCCTTAGATTCGATGTACAGAGTGAGGGCTTTTCAGCGGAGATTCTCACTGCGCACTTCCCATTGAACGTCTCGCCGGATAATCATCTCCTGGCTGCCATGACTTGTTATGCTTGCGTCTTCCGGACTGTGGCTCTGGCCATGTGTCGAGTATGTGCCAGTGGTAACTTTCGTGGTAGTGGTGTTTCCCCGTGGTCGGTGGCCGGCGCCTGCAAACGGCTTACTGCTAACTTTGACGTCGCCGTCGTCGCCTTTATGGCTTCGCATGGCGCTGCCACTACCACTTAGGGACTGCATTTTGTAGCTTCCTCCTCCAGCATATCCATTGGAGCCATAGGCGTGTGTTGTATAGCCCACTTTGGCGCCACTGCCAGTGTCGAAACTGCGGATGAAGGACTTCAAGCATGGTATAGTCCCGGCCATAAGAGAAAAGCAAAGCTGGCTTTGTTGGAAGATAATCGCAGTGGTTCGGTCAACGCCAGGATTTGAGCTATGTAGTGAATTCTTGTAGGTAATGAGAACGAGGATCGAGAGCGGAAGTAGAGGTAGTCGGACAGCAAAGGCAGATATGACTTGTAGCTTGAGAGCCTTGGACATCTGAAGTTGCCAGACGAGGTAGGCCGGAACAAGGACCAGCAGGACGTCCGTAACGGTATCGGTGATGATGATAACTTGGTAGCGAGGAAGTAGGCTGGGGCAGGTTTGTTCCTCCAAAGCGGGTAGGGTGCTCTTAGGGTTGCACCCCACCGACACCGCGAGCGTCGCGACGATTGTCCACACGGCCATGAGACCAGTGACAACATTGCATATCATCCAGAACTTCTTTGCATCTCTGGTGAAGAGCCGTTGGATGAGCAATACTGCGGCGCATTTGGAGAGACCAATGGATAGGTAAAAAACGACTTGGTTGGCATACTGCGACTATGGTTTGATTAGTCAAAGACATCCTTGCTTGTAGACGCAAGAAGACCTACGGTTGCGGTTCGCGAGTATTGGTCCTCAGTGAGAAGATCGAAGCTCTTGCCCAAACCTGCGTTCAACGCTACAAGGAGCACAACAAATTGGACTACTGTGATTATCTACAATTTAGCCGGTTAGCAAGTGCATTAATCTTGACCGTGGCCGATCTCCACGAGCTGGAAGAACCAAAAAGTTCATGAATAAGATAGAGTTTCGTACCTGCGCCACCATCATTGCCCAATCATCGAAGCCAAACACTCGCCACTTGATGAAGCATCTCGCAATGAAGGTGATAGAAGAGTAAATGAAAGATAGAAAAGCAGCAATGTAAATCAAACCACCATGGTCATCTGGGGTGACAGTGGAGAATCGATAGCCAGGAGGGGGTGCGTCCGCCATTGAGAAAGTCGCAGTGTGGAGAATGAAGGACGGGATCACCACTGGATATACCTCTCGCGCGATAGTTGGACGGGATATATCTCACAAATATTCCAAGAGCGAAGGGAGCATGTCAGAGACTCGACAGGCTACCGTTGTGCCGGTATCACGCAGATATCAAGGCCCACGTCTGTCACTGTACCTGACAATAAGACACGGTTCCCCTGTTCGGAATCAAGGCAGTCCACTTTTACGGCAAAAGAACTCCTTCCTCCTGAAGCCCCCGTTTGCTTCCGTTGGGAACATGGGGTACAGGGCGGCCTTTCACGGAGGCTGACATCTGCCGTTGCACAAGAAAAGGTTCCATTGACTCGGCTGGCAGAAAGCCATACACATGTTGGGGTGTAAATGCAATTGCAAAGCAAACGAGATGAGTGGACCCTGGCGCAGAAGCCCACGGCTGGTCCATTCTTAGGTTAGACAGCTCGACAAAGCATGATTGAGGGGAGTGACAGGCTCGGTGCAAGCCTAGATGGGGGTGTTTTGATCCCGCTTCGGCAGGGCCTCGTGGAGTTGAAGCTTAACGCGGATGCTATGGATTTCCCATTATAGATCGTGTTGCAGGACGAAGTCTGGCAACAGCCGACATGTGGAGGGTTCAAGATTCTTCAGGGTCGCCTTGGCGTGGCAGCCACGTTTACGATGGCGAGAGTTGTGGAGAGGCTTGATAGGGATGTCCTGAAAGGACAGACGTTTTAACAAGGTTAGCTACCAGCTCTCGCTGCTGTTACGCCTTGCGAACTAAGCGGTCCAGGCGGCCGGATCCCTGCTTGCGCCAGCTGAAATCCTGGCCACTCCATTCACAACTGGTCTAGCGCATAGCAGAGCTGACCGCACCCAGTCTTCCAGGACACTATTTCCTCTCGTGATTATCTGTGCAAATCTCTTTTGTTGCAGAGGGGTATTGAATGCTTGCATGAACGGTGTGTCCAACAGGAGGTAGCATGCCGGCCTTGTCCTTCTGGAATTCTGTTTCCACTGGGCGTCCTTCACACCCGCGATTGCAGCTCTCCACCGCCCTGATATCTCAGTTTCTCAGGACCCCCCCAATACGCTGAGTCGCTCACAACGCCTCCTTCGGCCCTCCTCCCGCCACTTACTTTGGTCCCTTCCGTTCCCCGCTCGGCTACGCTTCAAATCTCTCACCCGTCTTCCCTCCCGAATGCGACCGGCACTGGTGGCTGCCCTAGCGTACCCCAGCGCCAATCCCCGTTCATCAGTTCATCTTCTTCGCGAGACCCAGCTCGCTAAAACGTGCCGTCGGGTCCCTTCACACCATCTTCCAAGGCATCCATGTCCCCCCCCCACAGACTTTCAAACAAGACGGGAAGCTCTCTCAAGAACGCCAACTGCGTCGCACTAGTGTTTGTTCGTCTTAATTGCACCATGCCGGTCCATGGCGCTCTAACGTCTGGAACGAGATGCTCGAATGCTTTCCAGAGGGCTCGCATCCGTCAGCATGGGTGCGGCCAACAGGCCCCTTTGAGTTTGGTTTACGTAGAATATTGCCCCAGCAATCGCGCCCAATTCCCCAACGATTGCTAGCTTGGCCTCCTGCAGTATTTGTGGTGTCCTTTCCTTTCTCTTTCTTCTTACCAGCGAGCCTCCTTCATTTTTAATTCCCCGCATCCTTCCATCTTTGAGAAAAATCGATTCCTTTCCCTGGATTCCAAGCCCTCGTGTTCGTCGACATCATGGAGGATCTCAAAGCTGCAGATACCGTGGTTCACTCTCGCGACAGCGCCAGCGCTGAGTCGCAGGAGGATCCAGTCTTCCAAGAGAAGAAGGGATCTCCAGATGACCAGAAGGATATGCAGAGAATGGGAAAGACTCAAGAGTTGAGAAGGAATTTCCGATTTGTTTCCATCTTTGGTTACTCAATGATCTTGATGGCAACCTGGGAAACGGTCCTGACGTGAGTCTACCCAAACACAACTACAGTACCTGCCTAATAAGTATCCTAGGACTCTCGGTTTACCATTGCTCAATGGTGGCACTGGCGGCGCGATCTTTGTTTTCATCGGCACGGCTATTGGGATGGGCTTCGTTATTGTCTCTATGGCCGAAATGGCTTCGATGTGAGTACCGCGTTCTGTCTGTGTTCCAGCCGCTGACCTACAGTTAGGGCTCCGACATCGGGTGGTCAATACCATTGGGTGAGCGAATTTGCCCCCAGAGAACACCAGAAATTTCTCAGCTATATCGTCGGTAAGTAGTGAAAAAGGTCCGAGATCTTGCATCGGGCAACGTCTCTGAACTTGAGCTTACTCCCAATAGGATGGCTTTGCGTGCTCGGTTGGCAGACCGGTATTCCTTCGATCGCCTTCCTCGCAGGCACGCAGATACAGGGGCTTATTATCCTAAATAACGAAACGTATGCACCTGAGAGGTGGCACGGCACACTCCTGATCATTGCCGTCGCTTCCTTCTCCATCGTCTTCAATACCCTGCTTGCGAGGAAGCTGCCCCTGGTTGAAGGTACTGTCCTTATCCTCCACATCTTTGGCTTCTTCGCGATCTTCATCACTCTCTGGGTTCTCGCACCACGAAGCAAGCCCAGCGATGTCTTTGGTCAGTTCCAAGACAACGCTGGCTGGGGCAATGTTGGTCTGTCATGTCTCGTAGGACAGCTGGCTCCTATTTTCTCCCTCCTTGGTTCAGATGCGGCGACGCACATGTCAGAGGAGCTCCGCGATGCTTCCTACACCCTCCCTCGCGCTATGTTGTGGACGGCCATTTCCAACAGCATACTCGGCCTTGTCATGCTCATCACTTTCTGCTTTTGTCTGGGTGATGTTGAAAGCGTGATCTCGACGCCAACTATGTTCCCCCACATCCAAGTCATTTACAATGCGACCAACTCGCTCGCTGGCACCACGGTCCTCGCTTCCATCACAGTCATCTTGGCCGTCTTCGGCTGCGTGAACAACGTTGCGACATCCTCCCGTCAGCTTTTCGCCTTTGCCCGCGACAACGGCATGCCGTTCGGAGCCTTCCTCTCGCGTGTCCATCCAGGATGGGACATCCCTCTAAATTCTGTTCTCGTCTCCTTCACCGTCGCAATCCTCCTCTCGCTCATTAACATCGGTAGCACTGTTGCTTTCAACTCAATCGCTTCTCTCGGAACCTGCGCTCTCCTGTCTTCGTATATCATCTCTATTTCCTGTATCTGGCTCAAGCGCTGGAGAGGCGAGGCTCTTCTTCCATCCCGATTCACCCTCGGCAAGTTTGGCATCTGGATCAACGGCGCATCAGTTGTCTATCTCTGTATCGCCCTGATCTTTTCATTCTTCCCCAGCTTCCCGCACCCAACTCCTGATCTCATGAATTGGAACATTCTCATTTATGGTTGTACCATTATCTTCTCTCTCGTTTACTTTATGGTCAAGGGTAGGCATATGTATGTCGGACCGGTGGAATATATCAACAAGGATCTGTAGATAGTTGCAGAAGAATTCGCAAATAGCGCTGAAGTGGCGGGAGAACTGCAATGATGGCGAGATCCGGACCGCAATGTTCGACGGGCATTGTGTTTGTCAATAATTTCCTTAATATCAATTGTATAGAATTGCCAGCATCATGCAAGCTATTACTTCAGAAAAACACATGCGCAAATTTGCAATGTGTGCTCAAGATCGACTCAATCAATCTGCTACACTTAGACAAACCCCTTAGGTGGGCTATTCGATGATCCGTTCACGTTCCTTGTCGTCCCAGCACTCTGGTTCTAATCCACCCGACCTTCATAATCCCTGCCCGATTCTTCAACTCTGGATTTCTGATACCGAGGTTTCTATTCTCTCCGTCCCACCTCAGCTAGACTTGGTATCGTGGCTTCTGAACCAAATAATCGTTCTATCAAATATTTCTGATCGTGTCAGGCCCGGCGGCTTTATTGCGGCGGGTTCTCGGTGTTTTTCTTGCTTTTGCCTCTTCGTTCCTCTGCCCCGGATTACTAGATTGGGAATTACATGCACACGCCAATGCACTGTCAGGCTTCTTTTTTGCACGGACGCCGTTAAAACGGCGAAGGCTGTCACTGACAGATCCACAGCCCTGGCGACGGGCGATTCCGAAGACTTCAAGGACCCTTGGAAAAAGTTCTCTGCAGTGCAGTGCAGTGCAGCGTCTCTCGATTAAGATTCAGGGTCGTCAATGACCCAAAACATATCCTTGACTAGTTCATTATTCCCCTGCGTTTATCGGAGGGATTCGGTAGATGGAGTTCCGGTCCCTTCCTTCATAAGCCAAACTCACCTCACCTCAAGAACAACAAATGTCACTCAAGCAGCCCAATTCTTCGTTGCTAGCGTGAATCCCCGAGTTCACACGCTTGCGGAGGGGCCTCATGCCGCTTTCTTCCCCGCAACCAACCAGATCCACATGTGGCGGACCGATGAAGAAAGGATGACCTGGCTTTTATACCGCGATTTATGAAACGTGAAGAAAGCCTTGCAATCTTATTTCAACCTCTTGTGATGCGGATAAAACTTCTCTGCTCCTCTGAGAGGCTGCGATGAGCAACTCGGAAGATATCGTGAGACTTCTGGTGTTTTGGGAGCGTGGTGGTTAGGGTTTAGGTAAGGCCTTCTAGGTTCATGAGATGGATGTTAGGTTGGGCGTGTAGATTTTGTTGGGCAGGCCGGGAGGAAAATACGGTAGTTTCAGCGGGCTTAGATGAGGTGCCTGATTTTGGAGGTCCTTTTGCGGTGCAACTTTCCCGACCTTGGGCGAGTCCATTCCGTCCGCCATGCCAGAGATTGCGGCTATGTTGCTCTCGATGATACACTACCTACCTCAATAGCACATGTGAGACTCTGATAGAGACCCAATCAAATGTAAAACAACTGCCAAAAGCTCTAGCTTTCTCTTCAGGCAATCCAAAAAAAAAAAGATTTCGCCTTACCCCCTCCTCCCCTCAACAAAAAAATTCGGCAAAAAAGGAAAACTTCGATGAAGAGAATAGTGGGCATTCTAACTATTGGTAGGGTTTTGAAAACAGTTTTTGTATATCAAGGGCGATTTTGTCTTTGCGCCAGACTCGGAAGAGTCGCCTCTTTTGCAACAGTCCAGTGGTTGGAGGACTAATACCGCTAGACCATCGCAAGACCAACACACTTGAGAGGACCAGTTCTCATCTTATTGACAGGCATTTTGGGGCTTTGGGGTTTATCTAGCGAAGGATGAGAAAGTCAGATCTTGAGGGTGGGGAGGTGATGAAAGAGTGATTTTACCTTATGAAACAACACTGCGAGAATGAACACCGCTTCGACGAGCATGCACTTAAGTGTGGATGATGCACGATCACTCTATCTGCTCTGCAACTCAGTACCAGCCCTTTCGTTTATCTCCATAACTCTCCCATTTTACTCCCATTGCCGGGCTTTTCTGCTTTTCTGTAAATGCACACTTGCAAAATAGCAAAGCAAAACATCCAAAATCTAACGAAAGGAAAGCAAAGCAAAGCAGGATAAAGCAAGGCAAGAGAGCACCGATTCGCAGATGCGAGCTCTCTGAACAGTGTTAGTCTTCCACCGAAAAAAGCCCATAATCTCCACATGAAAATTGATTCCTTCAGACAGGCGTCAGAATAAACGAAGCATTCGTTTTCCAGTATTCTCTTTCGCCGTCTGTCCGTCAATTACTTTAGGCTCTCTCGAACCCAAAGCTTGGTTACATTGAAGTTCAAAACGTAAAGTGAGAATAAATTCCTCGACCCGAGCGCAACGCCACCATAGCCGGCTTAATGGGCCGACAGATGGGCTTGAACACATAGAGATGGGATGCTTGTATTGCGTTGTACTTAGGTATTGCGTGCAGTGCAAGCATAACTTTAACCGCTTCCCGCCGGCACTCCTGGAGAACAATCGTATTTGACCCGGGACTCTGGTGTACATGTACACGCCATAGAGGGCATCATACGAACCGTTTTAATAGCCTCCGAACTCAGATAAAATGAAAATCGCTAGCTAACTAGGAATACGCATATACGCCGAGAGATCCGCCGAAAGAATTTGGAAACGTGGAATAGATGCCAGCTTCCATATTAGGCAAGCGCGACCCGAAGGAGTAGATGTCGTCGGAATTCATCCAGTTTGAGGTGAAAGGTCTCAATGTAAAAGTATAGAGAATTCAATCATGCTTGTTTGTGTAACGCTGTAATAGGGAGGACGGTTGTAAATCAACAAATTAGATACGACGTGATACCTCGCACACTTTCGCCCACCACCTCAATATGACAGCACGGATATTTTGCAAAACCTTCGAGACTAGAAATATCTCAAATTAAAACCCTGTCATTGCTCGAATGAGAGCGGCTACATCTGCTATGATGCCTCGGTAGCCTTCAATCAATCCTCTCATCCGTCCCAGCATGGATAAAGTAAGACATACGGTGGCAAAGCACAGATATCTCACGAAACCTTCTCCATCAGATATTTCGCCGTCGCCTCGGCGTATGAAAGCATCTACACAGTTAATCACGAACCCAACAGCACCCTGTCAGCTCCGTATTCGTATCTACCTGGGTTCTCGATTGGGATCCGTGAAGAGCTATTCCAGTGAAAGCTATCCCAAATGATCCAAACATTGGGAAGTGCATGCATCAGTTACGATCTGACGCTTTCATTCCCTGTTCTGTATCCACTGCAGTTCTACAATCATCCCTCTCCCCCTTGATGGGTTTCGTCCACCCGTCTACCCGCTGCTGCTCCTCTACCTCCTCCCCCCTCTCCCTTTCACCTTCTCTACTAGTTTTCATCGCCTTGGCCGCCGCACTTGTTCTTTTGGATCTTCTTCCAGAGTTCCGTAAGCAGTCAGCTTCAGTTGTTACTTGATCAAATTCTAAGCTTGTCTGTCGTCTTCTGTGCAGCGAGATCAGTCTGCTAAGAGCGTTGAGCTTGACTCTGAACTGGGCCATGTACAACCTGTCCAGGCCCGGTATCCAGCGTATCCCAGCAACAAGAAATTGACTAAGAGCTTTTAGAGAAAGAGGAAGTAGCGCTTTCGAGTTGCTTGAAAAATTGGATTGGGTGTAGGCTGGGGCAGTCTGAGGTTAGAATGAAGGTAGAGTGAAGGTAATGAATAGAAAGTCGACATTTCGATATGAAAATTTGACAAAGGGCTCAGAGTAAGCAAATTCAGAGAAAAGATCGGATCTTAGGTAGTTGGATTATAATACCTCTTTTCGAAAACCTAATTTATGTTAGAAATCAATAACCCGTCACAACCTAAGGTTCTCCTCTACCCTCCCCTCCCCACTCCGCCAAACCCTGCCTTCCGATAAATATACCCGTCGACATCTCGAGATCCACCGGCTACCCCGCACAGTTGGACGTAGATATGGATGAGAGTTCGGAATTGGTTTGGCAATGTTGGAGGAGCTTGATGTTTGTTGTTCAGTATGCGGTACTACTCGTATGCATACCTTTGGTTGTTCAACTAAACTCTACTTCAACATCCATATTACCCACACCTTCCTTTCCTCAATAGTCTAGCTACCACAAGGAAACAATGAGTTCTCAGGGTATAATGCAAACAATCAATCTCAGCCACAAGGACCCCTTCCTGCCCCCCCTTCGCACTACCCTACCCTACCCCTCAACTAAAATGATCTCCATGATCACTCTCCCCAATCCTCCTTCCCAGCTGCCTCCCCATTCTCAATTTCCACCGTTTTTTCCTCTCCTTCTCTTCCCGTTCACCCTCCTCCCTGATCCTCTTCTTCCGCTCATACACCGCTCTTACCGTCCTCTTCGTTCTCTCCTTACCCTCTGAGAAATTCGTTCTCGCAAGCTCAACAACCGCGTCGATTTGCTCGGGCGTATAAACGAAATTCCACGTCGACATGAAGTCAGACGTCTTTGGGTCAACGCCATCAACTTTTGGGTTAGCTAGGAACGGGAAATATATGACCGTGATACCAGCGTCCGGCTTCATGAGCTCCCAGTCCTCCTCCACGATTTTAGATTCAGGGGGTTCATCTTCGCTTGTGCGTTCTTCAGTGCTACCGACCCAGATATTGCAGTATCCCAAATCCTTACTTTTACCATCCAGTTGTTCTTTCCTAGCGGCGTCTTTGTCTTTCGCTTCCTGCATTTTCTTCTGCGCTTGTACTTCCGTGTCCGCTTGAGCATTGTCGAGATCGTGCTGGATCTCCTCCAGAGTTTCATTAGCGGGAGGCCAACCCGCGCCAACGGGCCATCCTTTGATACCGCGTTGTCGCGCATAGCCGTCCGCAATTTTGAGCCAGTTGTCTGTTTTGACATCGGCGCTTGCGTCGAATGCGATGAGTATATCAACGTTACGGCCCGGGCGGAGGAGCGGGTAGATAGGGAGGTTGTTGCTCATACCTGCGTCCATCAATTGCAGATTCTGGGCCTTTAGGATACTTTCTGGACAGGTTGGGGCTAGGAATGGTCGCATGCCGAGGGCGAAGTTGGGGATGGCGGCGGGATCAATAGGATGGAGTTTTATGAGGTCATCGTTCCGTTCGGAGATCATTTCGTCGAGGCCGCCGAATCCTGTAAGGCCTTTGACTGCGGGACGGATTTCTCTATAGTAGTGTGAGAGAGTGGCGCAGAAGGCGCTGCCCCATATGCCCATGAGGAGGGGGACGCGAACTTCGGGGAGGGCGAGCCCGTTGTCTCGCCATACGGTTCTGCCGTTCTCAAATTTGCGCCCGATGGCCCAGGTTGGGATGCCGGCTTCGAGCTCTTCGCACCAGAACTCGTAGGGTGTGAACCTGCCAACATTAAAAAAAAAGCTTTGGTAATGTGTGCAGCATGCGGACTTACTCGAACCACTGGAACCACGATTCTTTTCTTGCCTTTGCTTCTGCGGCGGCGGGATCCTTCATATCTAACTGCTCCGAGAGGGGAATCTCATGGCGGACCGCAGTATAGATTGGAAGAGGGTGGGACCCATCGTCCGTATATCGTCGCTGGTTGGAGACCTTGAAGTCATACTCGTCGACGGAGAGCTCGCCTTTGGGGACAAGTAGTCGAGCTGCAAGAAGCAGGCCATAGATGTCGACGATACCGAAATCCGCGTCGGGAGTCCCCTTGGCCTTCTCCACAAATCCACTTAACAGATATTTGTTAGTGGGCGCACTAGCGAGAAGATCGAGTGCATCCGGAGGGAATGCAATGTGGACTCCCAGTCTGTTCTTTAAGTGCCTAATGAGGCGGGCATGGCTCCGGCCGGTCATGGACGAATAGTAGAGCGTTTGAAGCCAGCAGCTGCCACTAACACCGGCGGTATATGTTACACAGTCGAAAAGCCCAGCTTCGTGTGCTGAGAGATACGACGACGTGCCAGCGACAAGGGCTCGCAGTCCCCCTCCCGAGCCGCACATTGCAATGACGGGAACATCGTCTGAATGGATTTTGTCCTCCGGAAGGTCGAGATATTTTGCTAGAGCTCTCCTTGTGAACAGCTGTCTCTTCCATAGGAACTCCTTCTCCTCGTCACAGAGCTCGCTGGATACGCGGACAGACGCATCCCAGATGATCTCGGGATTGACCTCCGGGTCATTGGCCTCGAACCAAATTTCTTCCGCCAGCGATCCTGGTGCCATTGACAGCTCATTTTGAAGCTTGGCCATAAAACCTGGCAGAATCTTGACCCAGTCCGGTATCACGTAGTCGGCGATCTTGTCTCCCACCGACGAGACTGACTTTGATGCGTTAGCGACTTTGCTCGTGATGCCCCGCCACGTCGAGGCTTGTTCTCCGGCCTGCGATTGCTCGTCGCTGTAGCCTGGCACGACGCGGGATTGAGGAGGCGGCTTCTGGTTTATGCCGCTGCTGTGGTCTTCTGTTGTTGTCTTCGGCCCGGTGGAGGCATCCCGTCTTTGTTCGGGCTGCAGCATCGCCGGAGCTGCGGCTGCGAGGAGGAATGGAGGGGCATATCGAAGATTCGCACTGCGGCTGCAGAAGAACCTCGTTCTTGTGGAGAACCTGTTCAATAAATCAATAACTCCAATTCGGCTCTGGCACGGCTCTAAAGCTGACGTCCGACGTGACCCTCGCAGCATTGGCTGCCCAAACCGCTTCCTCAGCGCAACCACACGCGACAACATCGGAAGTGAAGGAAAAGAGCGAGACAAAAGGTTTCTGGAAGGAGCAGGCACCAAGAGGTGCCCAATTGGGCTTATGGTGAAGGGCTCAGCATGGCAATCTGGATGTAGCCGTTAAGTTCCGCATCGCCACGATTCAGGTTTACATCGGGTTGACGTCCCACCACCGTCATTGCCAAGACCCCTAACCTCAACACACCAAGGATGGCAGTGTGAGCTGGGAGGGAAGGTCCTGTTGATTTTGTCGTCAAAGAGTTGTATACAGCAGCGGGACAAACGGACAGCTTTGAATACGCTCCAGGGTTTATTCCAAGCTCAACCACGGCAGGAGCGATCGCCGTCCCAAACTAGCTTGGACCCTTTGCCTTCGTTAACTTCAACTCTCCGCCCATCGTTTCGAGTCCTGAATTCTACCAAGTCACCCACTTGTAGTATACTGTTGACTTGACGCAGATACAAGAGCAAGTTTCACAACCGCAAGAAAGCGACGAGTCTAGCATGTAGAACATTGGGGTATTGTGCTTATTCCTTTAGCCGCTGGATCCTGTTCTACTTTTGGTTGTGGGACAGGTATAGTTGACGAACCCCTTCTGAATGGCCAGACGAGAATCTGCCAGACTTTTAGAGGTGAGGCGATCATATTAACTCGCACATAGTCACTAGCGTACACAATCTGATTGGGTTAGAATACCATGCTAGCCCTGCCTTCGTACCAAACTTATAAGATCCCAAGAGACGCAAGGCATATTCATTTGAAGAACGAGCAACGAATATGCTAAGTGACCTACATCGATTCCTTTCATTATCATCCTCTGCTCTATATGCTCGTAGCCCTACGCCTCTGATCTGACTTGAAGCGAAACTGTTTCACAAGATTCTTCCTGAATGTTGAGTGGCTGTTGCGTACCAGATAAATACTAAGTGTCCATCTTCGAAGCCCTAAACTTCAGCAGCGTCAGTTTTCTTCCATCTGAGACGTCATGGACGTTACAATATGAGACCGCCCACCGTCAAAGAATCCGCTTCTCATCCACTGGCGAGAGCGTCTCTTTAGATCGACCTAGGCTATGGCGGCTTTCGCTTTAGCGGCTTTCGCTCTAGCGACTTTCGCTTTCTTTGTTGTCAGTCTTGCCTGCTCCATTTGGGCCACCGTTAGATTTCCTGTGGATGGCTAAATCGGCACTGCATTTGAAGGTGACTGCAAGTTGCCGCTCGCGCTGCTTCATGGCTCCATACTGGCATAAATGTTACAAGCTCCACCCTGCTTAGCGGGGTAGAGTTACTGCATGCAGCATCTGACGGACTTGACTAGAGCACACGCTAACAAAACTCATGTCGGCATGGACAGTAGTAGGGCTGCGATCAGTATGGCTTGTCGTCCGCTAAAGCACGGTGGAGATGGTGTTTGGGTTTCTCAAGCGGGAGCTGTTGTGGGTGAAGACGGAGGAGAGGTCAAAGAGGCTCAAAGAAATGTGTTTGGTCATTGTTTTATCATACTTGCAAGCTGGAGGGCTCTACGATGGGCTGCCCAATCAACCTTCGGCTTGGCGTCTCATCATCCTATGTAATTCATATAGCTCTTTGAACACTCAGTCCAAATTAAATCACCTCTCTCATAGCTCGTGTCCATTGCAAGGCCCCACTACTCGAGAGGCAAGGCCACCATGGAAGGGAATTGGTATGCTTGAAGGTTGCTTGTTAGTGATGATTTGAAATGGGAACCTGCATAACCTTTAATTTCGATATGAAACTAAATAGAGGTTAACGTAACAACTGGACATGAAGCCCAGGGAAAAGTCGAGCATTTAATAGGGACCGGTACCGGATCATCTATTTTCCGAGCTGGGAGAGTGAATTCCTCCCGCATGTGAACAAAAATACAATAATGGCTAAAAATAAGTGGCGTGTCAATGCTCATACGCGGTCTTTATGCTTTATCTCAGATGTTTCATGGGAATTGGGCGTGTCCGACTTGAAGAAACAAAAGACTCCGTTAGCGCGACCCCTGTTCCGTCATCGCCATCCCGCTATGAACTCCGCAAGCTGGACCAACGGCCCACTCTCCACACCTACCACCATCTCTCGTACATAAAATGCGGCGGACATACCGGATGCACCGTTGATAGCTTTGACTATCTTCTTATGGTGTATTAGTACCCCAGCTTGATTTCTCCTTCCGCAACAACCCAGTGCCACGTGTTGGAGCTCCCCCAAGCCCGCCCGGCAGGCACCATGGTTGCTCCACGTCGAGGCGTCTTCACGGAGGAGGCCGCCGAGGTGGAGGTGCTGTCCGCCAATATGGACAAGATGAAGAGCTTGACCAAGAAAATCCAGGGCTCGCTGAACAGGCTGGAAACGAGCGGCAAGACGGTGCAGGACGCCATTGGACCCATCTACGGCAATACGCAGAAACTCCAGGTCGCAAATTCGAGTATGTGTGCGTGCGGGGCAGGCAAGAGGCTGGGCTGACTGGAAGACTAGATATCGATAGGATTATGGATGCTATTGAGCGGATTCGGGCGCCTCTGGATCAGACTAACCGCGAAGAGCGCATCATTCGAGCTGGGTGCGTCTGAGTTGCATGCCACCAGCTGTACGGACACATACTGACAACGTCTTAGCCCTAAGAAGGTCGATCTCCGCGACTACATAGCCTCCCTCGACCGCACCACTTCCGCCCTCAAAGATCTCAAGCGTTCCAATCTGCGATCCAACCAGCAAGCCGTCAGCGAACTGGGTGCACTGCTTAAGCTTGGAACGAAGCAGCTAGAGGATGTGTTTCGGGAAATACTCCGGGAGGGAGCTAGACAGACGGTCGAGCCTCTGGAATACGTTGCGAAGAGTGCGTAGCATGCTGCACTTGTTCGGCAGCGAGGAACTAACATATGGCAGATAATCCTTTCCCTCTTATCGCACAGGACAAACTATCAACACTACGCGTCATCAACACACATGTCGCGAATTCCTTCGCACAGATATCCCAAACGGACGTCCGCGAAACTCCCACCCAAAAGTCCTACGCCGAGATTCGAGGAGACTATCTCCGGAATTCGTTGAGCAACCTCGCGGCCGCGACGGTTAATACCGCCAGAAAGATCACTGCGGATGCGATTTACAAGCCAGGGACAAATGGCATTGCGACATATGCTCAAGGCATGGAAGGGCTGTTCCTGGCAGAGTATGAGAATATCTGTCCCATCTTTGCACGAGACGAGTGGGGCCCTGTCTGTACGGCTACCTGCCAGAGCGCGCTGGGCGAGTTCAACAAGACATTGCGAGAGCTGAACGGTCATATCCAGAGGAATCTGATGACCGACTGCTTCCTAGGATATGAGATCATAGGCATCGTTTCGAATTTGTCGATCACGCTAGAAACGAAGACTGGCGAGCTCAAACGCCCCATATCTGATACTCTGAAACCGATCCGAGAAACTTCGAAAGCTTCGCTTGGGAAGCTGCTGGAGGACACGAGGACTCGGATACAGACCCTGGTCGCATTGCCAATGGATGGGGCAGCGGTGCCGACCACAACAGATGTCATGGTTCGGTTGCAGACTATGACGAACTACCTTCCTCCGCTATCCTCGGTCATGACTTCTCTCGGCGATGGTGGGTGGTCTGCGGGCTCTACCAACTCGTCTTCTACATCGCTGCCTACACTGAAGTCCTTCGATGTCGGAGCAGACGGAAAGCAACTCTTTGCGCACTACGCCTCTGACACGATCGATACCCTACTTTCGAATCTAGAAAACAAAGCGCGAACCCTGCTGAAGGGAAAGAGCCTGCACGGCGTGTTCATTGCGAACAATGTCGCCATCATTGACAGGATGATTCGACAATCCGAACTGCAGCCGCTCATGGGCAGCTACTCTAGCAAGCTCGATAGCTGGCGGAAGAAGGGAACTGCCATGTACCTGGAGGCATGGCGCGAGCCCTCTGCACATCTCCTCGACGTCCAATACACTAACCGTAGCGGACGACCACATTCGGGCGGTGCGGGCTCGGCCGACTCAGCCGTCATCGTTAAAGGCCTTAGCTCCAAGGACAAAGACGCCATCAAAGAGAAGTTCAAAAACTTCAACGCGAGCTTCGAGGAACTCGTGTCGCGCCACAAATCTTACAAAATGGAGCGTGAGGTTCGCCAACAGCTGGCGCGAGAAGTGCAGACCATCATCGAGCCCTTGTACGGCCGATTCTGGGACCGCTACCACGAGATTGACAAAGGGAAGGGGAAATATGTCAAGTTTGACAAGAGCCAATTGGGAGCGGCGCTGGCGAGCCTGGCATAATCTGGTGCATGTGGTGTTGAAGTCTTGTTGCAAAATACCCTTTTGGCTTATTCCACTTCAGGCGCGATTGGGACGGTTCATGGGGAATATGCGGTGTGATTGGATAAGACCGGTATCAGGTGCATGCCTAGTGCAAACACACCTATCTTTTTTATGGGTGCTTGGCGTCGGTGTTCGTGCGGTGTTGATGGCGGGTCCTGTGGTGCCACGACGCAGCAGAAGCAGTCACGGATATAGTGACCGATATAGCGAACGATATAGCGGTGATGGTGGTGGTGGTTGTGGTGGTGGAGGAGGTAGTAATTGTAATTGAGCAACGTGCCTCGGCGAATGTGCATGATGAGGATGAGCAGCACAGGCTTCCAGGTCCCGGCTACAGTGAAATTAGTCTTGGAATTAGGACAAGATCGTGCACGTGACACTTACCGCTTCGAGGTTGCTACGCGACTGCAGCTTTGCACCTGCAGACACAGCGAACGGCGCACACCAGAGCTCCTCCTGGCTTCCACCACGCAGTCAATTGCGCGCTGCATTCACCAAACACCTTCTTCTGTTTATTCCGGTTCACCAACTGACGCCATCTGCACCATTCTCGCCGTAGGTTGAGTCGCGGAGAATTTGCCCAAGCGCCTCGTCTCCAACGTTGTTCCTCATCCCTGCGCGGACCCCTTTCCTCCTGCGACTTTCCAAGCGCACCACGCCTTCTCTTGCCAACGTCGCAACCTCCACCCACAACACGACATCCTCGTCCGCCGCAGAGCCCCAACACCTTCTATCCATTGCTTGAGTGCATCCATCACTCACAGCAGCATCCCTAGACTGACTGGTACGCTGCCTTCCCTGACCCCCCCGTTTCACCTCGCCTCACCAGCTTTTGGCCTGTGTCGCAATCCCCCTCCCTCCCTCCAAATTCTCTCTGGCATCAAACCACCCATTCGCTCATCGTGCATCCGGGCTCTCGCTGACTTGTTTGTTGCTCTCGCGTAGGAGTCTCTCTCTTGACGGCTTTCCCTCTGCGTCTGCGGTCCTCCACACGCCATGGGTAAGGGTTTCTCGGATTCAGGCTTTTGGGCCGACCATGGTCCTTTCCAGCGTAGCGGCCGAGCTACATCGGACGGCATACTCCCATCGGAAGGACAGGCAGCTGTCTCACCGTCGGGTTTGCATGCCCGGCGCCGATGCTGCCGGTCGTTACTGGACTTTATTTCGAACTTGGCTGACGAGGCGTGACAGCATCCAACGGCGCATCCCCCGCCGCCCCTACCCGTGCGTCTCCATCGCCCCCGGCGGTCCCCAGTGGACAGAGCCTCGTCGAACGAAGTAACCCCATGGCTAATGGACAAGCCTCAGCTCCCCAAACCGTCTCCTCCAAAGACCCCAAAGCCGCAGCCCAGGCTGCGAGTGATATGAGGAACATTGTCCGCAGGAAACTCACCGGCTATGTTGGCTTCGCGAACCTGCCCAACCAGTGGCACCGCAAGAGCGTGCGCAAGGGGTTCAACTTCAATGTGATGGTAGTCGGTACGTGTGACATTCGAAATTGCTGCTAGGACTATCCCCTAATCTTCCGTTGTAGGCGAGTCTGGACTTGGCAAATCTACCCTCGTGAACACACTCTTCAACACGTCGTTGTATCCTCCGAAGGAACGCAAGCCCCCGAGTCTCGACATCTCCAAGACTGTCTCGATACAGTCCATCAGCGCCGACATCGAGGAGAACGGCGTCCGCCTGCGACTGACGGTTGTCGACACGCCCGGCTTCGGTGACTTCATCAACAACGACGAGTCCTGGGAACCTATTGTCAAGAACATTGAGCAGCGATTTGATGCCTATCTCGACGCGGAAAACAAGGTCAACCGCATGAACATCGTGGACAACCGCATCCATGCATGCGTTTACTTCATCCAGCCCACCGGCCACTCGCTGAAACCTTTGGATGTCGAGGTGATGCGCAAGCTGCATACCAAGGTCAATCTCATCCCCGTCATTGCCAAGGCTGATACCCTGACGGATGAGGAGATCAACGCTTTCAAGCAGAGGGTACGTTTCACATGTGGAACGGTATACATGGCACGTGTCACTAACGGTGTGTAGATTCTCGCAGACATTAACTACCACAAGATCCAGATATTTGAGGGCCCTCGTTATGAACTCGACGATGAGGAGACGATCGCTGAGAACAATGAGATCATGTCCAAGGTGCCGTTTGCCGTTGTCGGTGCCAATGCCGATGTCACCACGGGTGACGGTCGCAAAGTCCGAGGACGCCGCTATCCTTGGGGTGTCATTGAGGTCGACAACGAGGAGCACTGTGACTTTGTCAAGCTTCGCCAGATGCTCATCCGCACACACATGGAAGAACTCAAGGAGAACACTAACAACTTCCTGTATGAGAACTACCGCTCGGACAAGCTCACGGCCATGGGCGTGCAGCAAGATTCAAGCGTGTTCAAGGAGGTCAACCCTGCAGTCAAGCAGGAGGAGGAGCGCTCGTTGCACGAGGCCAAGCTCCAGAAGATGGAGATGGAAATGAAGATGGTCTTCCAACAGAAGGTTTCGGAGAAGGAGAGCAAGCTGAGACAGAGCGAAGAAGAGCTCTATGCTCGCCACAGGGAAATGAAGGAACAGCTAGACCGACAGCGACAGGAACTGGAAGAGAAGAAGACCAGAGTCGAGCAGGGACGACCACTCGAAGAAAAGGGCAAGAGGAAGGGGTTCTCTCTCCGTTAAACTCCGCATCCATCTCGACGAGATGGCGCTGGCATTCCTCGTATCTTGGACGACTTCCACAACACAAAAGGCCTCTTCTCTCTTCTCTCACCCCCCCTTTACCAGACCTTGTTTAATTTGACGCCGCTTGACGATATCACTGGGTGGTGTCGGCAACGGATAATTCACGGTGGTGCGGCGAAGGTTTTGACGGACTTGAGCGGTGTCTTCTCATTGGTTTAGCTTGCTTCGGTTGTTGATTGATACCAGCAGCATTGCACTCCTTCTACTTCCCTTTTTTTTTTTTCCCCCCTCTTTCTTCTACTTTTATTTTTGTAGTAGCTGGCAGCTGTAGTTTCACGGGGCAAAGTGGGTGAGATGCAGATGAGCTTCCTTCATGTATTCTACACATCATCCTAGTAGTGAATTGGTTTCGTTTGTGGGACTTGGGGAGATGAGTGACAAGTGACGGGTGATGGGTGACAAGTGAGAAGTGACGAGTGACGAGTGACAAGTGAATGCGACTTGTGATGTGTTTGCAGTGATAGAGGCCGGCGATGTGTTTCGCACATGGCAGACGGTGTGAACGTGATGGTCAGGATGCCTAGGTAGTTGGCGGCTCGTGGATCGTCATTGGGTGTGTGCATCGCTAGTGTGTCGGAGCGGGAACAGAGTGAAGCATTTCGTCACCACGCTCAGCACTGAATTTCTGGTTTCCGCACCCTCCTGCTCTCCCTACAAAGCCGAATCCTTGTCCCCTTCTGTGTTTCGCACTCCAGAACAGCGTCGCGATACCTCGTCCGTTGAGAAACCCACTTTCTCCGACCCTATTTTCCTTGCTGTAAGTTTGGTTTTCCAGGCATAATCGCGGGCGCCGTCATCAGGCAGCGTCGGATTACCGGTCCCGGGGAGTGTGAACCAGCCACTTTCGCTGCAAATCTGTCAACTTCAACTGGAACGCACTTGCTCATCCACTGTTCATTCCCTCAGCACCTGGCCTACCAACAACCCAAACTTCCAATTCTCTCCCCCCCCCCTCAGGGCATTGGACATCGCCTCGCACATTGTTGAGCTCCACTGACGTTGCAAGTCGCACGCACATTGCACACATACACACACGACCAGCTTAGCTTCAAATCCGCATCCACTATGGCAACTCCACTTCCAGCTTCGATGCCTCTGGGCCAGCGTCTCGCCGCTCTCGCCCAGACGCTGCAGTTTGCATGGTTCTGCGGCCATGTTACACTCCTCCTTTCGATGCTTAGGTACAGCTTGAGCTATGTCACGTTCAACGCGGCGTCCAGGTGGGCGGCTGTGTCTTATCGCTTTGCGTTCATGTCGGCTACCGTCACGTACGGCATCGTCGTTTACAAGGCGTATCGCGCCCGCATGAGGTCGGGAAAGCAGGGTGGAATCATCTCTCTGGCTACGGATGAGAATGTTCAGTATCTAAGTAAGCTTACCGGCATCTCCTTCCTATCCCATCCTCCTTCCTCAGCTAACCCCCTCACTGTCATGGCGCTGGTCTGGCTCTTCTCGCGCCAAATCCCGCTCGCCGTCCTCCCTTTTGCCGTCTACTCCGTCTTCCACGTCGCCACGTACGTGCGCTCCAACCTTCTCCCCACCATCCAACCCCCACCATCTTCAGCATCCCCCTCTGCCAAGCCCAAACCCAACGCCGCCTCCGAGACCATCGGCAAGTTCGTCAAAGAGTACTACGATGGCAGCATGACACTCGTCGCGATCCTCGAAATCGCGCTGTGGTTCCGGGTCTTCGGGTCCGCACTCCTTTTCCAAAAGGGCTCCTGGATTTTGCTATGTGTGTACACGGTGTTCTTCCGTGCGAGGTATGCGCAGAGTAGTTTTGTTCAGGGGGCGATTACGCAGTTGGTGGGCAGGGTGGATGCACAGCTGGCGAACCAGAGTACCCCGCCGGCGCTGAGGCAAGGCTGGGTGACGTTTAAGAATGTAGTTAGGCAGGCGGCGGATGCGACGGATATTCGCAAGTATGTGGGTGGGAGCGGGAGTGCTGTGCCGAAGAAAGCGCAGTAGTTTTGAGGAACTGATATAGAGAGCAGGCGTCCGCTGTCCTCGAGTTTAGCTGGCAATCTTAGGACTTAGGACTGAAAGCTAGATGTACTGGCGCTGGGCCTTGGGCTTTTGAAATGGAATGTGGTGGCTTTCGTGGGCGGGTACGGTCTGGGTATGAGTATGGCCACGAGGCGGTGACGGCGGTGATGGCGAAGGGTTACATGGGGTTCATATTCATATGGTGGTTGTATTAGTGGATCAACAAAGTCGGTGGTCAGCATCTCGCTCCACCGAACACAACCCTCATGAAGATGGTTTATGGATACTGGGTGGAGAGGTCTAGTCATAACAGGCAGACGAAAGGCGAAGTGGCCTAGGGCAGACGATTCTGAGTTGGGTTGGCGGTCTCTTTCCCCTTACTCCTTCCTTTCCACTCTTCAACTTGGCAGGCAGCTATGACGGATTTTCATGAGTGTGTGTAATAGATGAACGCTCTCCTTTTGGGTGTTCAGTGCGTTGCCTTGAAATGAATGCCTTTTGTGTGCTAAGTTTGCACTGAATTGTGTAGGCTATGCATGTGTAGACTATGTACAAGTATATGTGGATAGTGAATATGTGTGCTTTGCATGTGCCTTGTATGTGCTTTGTGGTTGCTTTGTCGGTTGTGTCTGTATTTAGGAGAAACTGAATAAGTAGCTACGAATAGGATATGCATCTACGTGGGTGGCTCAAGCTTGACGGTGAAGACCGATGCCAAGCCCAGGCCAAGATGCAGGAGCTTAATTCGCCTTCCACTTACCAATCGTGCGAGAAGAATAGCACGTCCAATCCAATGCACGCACAATAGAAAGGTTAGCTTGGTGTCCATTCTCCTCACCGACCGACCTGAAGGCGGTCAATCTCTTTTGCTTTCCGAATTTGCATATTCTCATTCCTTGGTCATGTATGTACAACTCATCACCTTAAGGTACCTCTCGGCAACCGCAGGGTTTCCAATAACGAGACGAGACGAGACGAGCGATTCGCGAGGAGAGGTGGAATACCCCACACCTGGTCGCCTGTTCTCCTCTTTTGAGCCTTGGTACGGCTGGGATGGCTACTCTGGGACACCTACCCAGAGAGATGGCGGTGAGGGGGGAGAGCTGGTGGGAGCTGGAGTTCACGCCCTCCCGAGGTACGCATCATGGGTTCACCGCAGGGGTTTTCACGGCCGCACAGAAGGTTTCCGTCTGGCATGGAATGGTGTGAGCCTCGAGAGAAGTGCTGCAGGACAATGCACGCACGCACACATCATCGTGGCTTCAGGTCTGGGCGGCTTCAGGAACATTCCGAGCAAAAGCGAACATACCCACTCAGCACCTGAGTAGTTACGCGATGCCGACGTCGGAATCCATGGTGGTGCAAGATTCTTTCCGTTGGTCGCGAGATCTGGAAATATTGAATTGCATGCTTTTGCGTAAATTGTTCCCCAGATGAATCAGATGAATCTCGGGCTCGAGAATCTGGGGCTAGATGGACATATAGATTGGCTATGAAGGTTGAGGGGAGCATAAATTAAGAGTTGCGTGTGTCCCTTCTATCCGGGCCAGCAGTGCTGCTTGCTGATTTGGAAGCGCCATGGTGAAGCTGGGATTTAGACGGTGTAAAGGAGAATTTCGTGGTCGCGAGACAAAAGTGGGTAATGCAGAACGAGGTTTTGGCGGTGCGGCTGCGGACATGATTTTCACACTGCGTCTCGTCCTGCGTCTGCGTCCACATCCGTTTGCAAAGCGCGAGTGCAGGCGGCGGGCGGGAGTGTGCGGTGGCACGGCAAAGGCAAGGCATTGGCACTAGAAGCATGGAAACGAACGCTTCCGCTGAAATGGCGCAAACTTAGTCGAATCACGTCAGCCATTTCACTGTTTGGTTCTGCGTGCATTGGGTCGGCTGGAACTGGAATGAGCTGGAGAGCTGGGCGGGTTGGGGGTAACCCAGTGGGGAGAAACGTATATAGAGCCCTGGCCACCCTACTTGGGGAGACCTCCCTCCTATGTTCTTCTCCCTTCTCTGGATTTATGTCAGCGACTGACTGGACTGCACTGCTGGGTTGAGATTTGAAATACCTGCTTCTTGAGCGAATTGGCATGATACGCAAGTCTTCATAATATTTTCGTTTGGTTGGACGGAAGGGTTGTCGCGGTGTGAGTGTGTGCGGTACCTACCAAGCTATGGATTCCCCGGCGTTCTCCGTTACCAGCGATTTCTCCGACTTCACGGATGAAGAGTTGGACCATTATTTTGCGACTTATGTACCGCTATCAAACCTCCCGACCCCTCCACCTGCAAAGAAAAAACCTGTTGGTGCTGGGGGCCTGGGGTCTGAAGTGGAGGCGAAAAAAATGCTGGTGCGGACCCCTGAACTAGAAGGTTAGTACTGAATGATGTCACGTGGAGTATACTTTGCAATGTTGATGGATGGGGTGGAAGACGTTCAGAAGGACTGGAAGTTTCCCTCTGGCTATGTCTTGTCCACCCCTCTCCCTTGCCCCGGACCCCCATGCCGTATTGATACTAGGCTCAACATATACTAACAACTTCCAGTATATGCTCAACACCTCTCCAACCGCGTCCCTCCCAACGTGGCCACCCACCGACCAAGCATTCCCACAATTCAAAACTTCCTCTCCCGCGCGAACCTCCCAATTGAAATCATCGCCTTCGCATCCTGCATCCTAGACGCACTCTCCCAACGCTTTGCAACCTCATGGCGAACATGCTGTCTGCCACCCAACCCGCCAAACTTTGGATTCGACCCCAAAATAAGCTTCCGACACCCCCCTGCCATGGACCCCGAGATTGTTGTGCTCTCAGCTCTAGCGATTGCGCTGGACTTTCTTGAGGATCGGCCACGACCGAATTCGCACTGGGCGAAGATCGAAGGCGGTTTTTTGTTCACAGAGAGACAGATCGAAGCTACGAAGGTTTGTATATTGAAGGATATCGACTACGGACTCTTCCGGATTACGGAGGGGATGGTCATGCATATGTTGCGAGTTATGCAACAAGCTGGCGAATTCTCGCGGACTGATCCGACTACTATTGTTCAGAAGGTGGAGAAGTTAGATCTACAGCTAGAGCCAGACGCGGACAAGGATGCAAGAAGACCAAAACTCAGTCTCGATCTCATCCATCTGCAAGGTACGGCGGTGTGGGTGAATGGCCTGCAGACTCCGGAACCCAGCCCGTAGTTCCTGATCTCTTCATCTCAGCTCCGCTCAGCTCCGAGTGCGGCCGACCCCCGTACCTTACCACGAGAACGGATACCTGGTGATGTGACAGTGGCGGAAATGGTGTGTTGCGCCAAATAAAAAGCTGGAGACTTTTCTCACGTGGGTATGGGTGGAGTCGGTAGGACACGGCGCTGTCCTGTCTTTTCGCACGACACAACATTTCAGCGTTTTCTCTGGGTAGTATCGTGATACCCACACTCTGACCACATTTCGACATAGACATCAGTGTCACGGGGTTTCAGATTTTGAATGCATTTTCCGAGGCGCCTGATTAAGGATTACTGGTTACGGATTACGGGCTACGGAATGCCTGAGGGTATAATTATGGTTATGGTTGATTGCAGGGCAGGGTGGCCTGACGTGGGCGGTTGTCATCGGCATGTGCGTGGGTGCGTTTGGGAGGGATGATTGATTGATTGCTTGCATGATACCCAGTTTGGACGTGTCTCTCTCTCTCTGTGTGTGCGTGTGGAGTTCGTATCGAGCGGTGGTGGGGTGCACGTTATACTTCGTGAGATATGGATAGCCAGTACTTAGATACCAACACTAATCTGAAGCACTGAACTAGGTTTCCCTCCACATGGTCCATTTTCCCGTCACAGGAGTTTGAGAGTGTTTGCCGTCGATGCCAAAGCTTCAGCACATTACCGAGTTATTACTGAGCAAAATTGAAGCTTTACTCACGGCGGCGCCCATCGCCCGATGAAGGACAGCGAACAAGGGGCTTGCTGCATGGCCCAAGCTTCCAGCTGTGCAACGACGTAACCGCACATGTCGCTGTGCCCCCCTCATCCTTCCCCCCAAGCCACCGCCGTTTGCATTTTCACAGGAAACCCCCCAGCGAGTCGTCCATCAGTAGTTCAGCGTTCAGTCGCGTAATAGCCATGGCATTGTCCAGTCAACCCGTGCCTAACTGTTCAAGCGATGGTGTCATAACGGACGCGAACGCGCCTACCCCACTTTGTATCAGCGCGCTCCTCGCCCATGCAGAAAGCATGCATATTCAAGCTCAACAGTCGTTGGACGGGCTGCAGGCCGCACTGTTCCCCATATCAGACGTGGAGGAGACCAGCCGGCCGCACTTATCAGCCCCATAAGACCCCCGCGATGCCGCTGCTCTTGTCGTCATAACTGTCCTCGCCTGATCATCGTGAGGTGTTGATCCTTCAAGCACCGGACACTTGCGGCGTAAACACCTCTCAGCCTCCGCCCTGAAACCGTGTAAACACTTGTCCCTCCGCTGTTCTCTGCTCTTTATAAGCTTCGTCTTCTCGCCCATCAATCCCCAGCTAAGCTCCCTTCCACCTTCTTAGCTCAGTCAATCCCCTCCCCCAGCCCTCACAAATCGCCCCTCTACCCCACCACCCCATCTCGCACCGCTACTCCCTCAGCAACTCACGCTTCGCTCCAATTGACGTCCTCACGATGGCGGCGACGACGGCTGGTTCCCCTGCGCGCGAGCGTCGGCCTTCTATGAGCGCCCCGCTGGCCGACCTTCAAGGTCCCATTGGCCCTGCGTTCACAAGGCCAAAGCATAAGCGGACTGTGACAGGGTTTGGGCCTGGCGAGATTAAGAGCGTGGAGGCTAGTATTCCGGAGCCACAGAGGGCCGCTTGGAAGAAGTTTGTATGTCAATTCCTCAATCCTAATTTCTTCATCATTGTATTCAGCCTCAGAATGGGAAAGAAAGGTAATTGGATTGAATTGCGTTGGATTGAGAGGCTAATGAGCTCCATGGCAGACTCCCAAGCCCTTCGACTCCCCCGAAGAATTCGAGAAAGAATGTGTCCGCCACATCGAGACGACGCTGGCCCGCTCCCTCTACAACTGCGATGAGTTTGCTACATATGCGGGCACGGCGATGGCGTTTCGAGATAGGCTCATTCTGGACTGGAATAAGACGCAGCAGAACCAGACGTTTGCAGACCAGAAGCGAGTGTACTATCTTTCGCTCGAGTTCCTGATGGGTCGAGCGCTTGATAATGCTATGCTTAACGTAGGCCAGAAGGATGTGGCTACACGTATGTCGCTCCCCCTTACATTTCCTACAACAGGCAGCTAATTGCTTTCATAGAGGGTCTCTCCGACCTCGGTTTCCGCATCGAGGACATCATCTCACAAGAACACGACGCCGCCCTTGGAAACGGCGGTCTCGGACGTCTAGCCGCCTGCTTCCTCGACTCCATGGCCTCCCTTAACTACCCTGCCTGGGGCTATGGCTTGCGATACAGGTATGGTATCTTCAAGCAGGAGATCATCGACGGATACCAGGTGGAAGTACCTGACTACTGGCTTGACTTCAACCCTTGGGAGTTCCAGCGACACGATATCACGGTTGACATCCAGTTCTATGGCTATGTGAATAGGTGGCAGGACGATGAGGGAAAGCAGCAGTGTTCTTGGGAGGGCGGTGAGATTGTGCAGGCTGTGGCTTTCGATGTGCCAAGTAAGTACTCATTCTCCGATTGGCGATTGGAAGAGTCACTCATTACATCACAGTTCCTGGCTATAAGACCCCGACTTGTAACAACCTTCGTCTGTGGGCCAGCAAAGCTGCAAGTGGCGAGTTCGACTTCCAGAAGTTCAATTCTGGCGAGTATGAGAGCTCGGTTGCGGATCAGCAGCGTGCTGAAACTATCTCTGCTGTGTTGTACCCGAACGATAAGTAAGCAAATCGTCAAATCGTCGAGCCATACCTTGAGGGGACAGAGGCTAACAATACGCAGCTTGGAGCGTGGTAAGGAGCTTCGATTGAAGCAGCAGTACTTCTGGTGTGCTGCGTCGTTGTACGATATCGTCCGCCGATTCAAGAAGACCAAGCGTGCCTGGAAGGACTTCCCTACCCAAGTCGCTATTCAGCTAAACGACACTCATCCAACACTGGCTATTCCTGAGCTGCAGAGGATATTGGTGGATATTGAGGGCTTGGACTGGGATGAGGCGTGGAGCAGTGAGTTAAATCCGATAGCTTTACATGGGCGGGGCTAAGTTTGATACAGTTGTCTCCAAGACTTTTGGATATACCAACCACACTGTTCTTCCGGAAGCGCTGGAGAAGTGGTCTGTCCCGTTGATGCAGCATCTGCTGCCTCGTCACCTTGCAATCATCTATGACATCAACCTACATTTCTTGCAGTTTGTTGAGCGTAATTTCCCCAAGGACCGCGAAATGCTCTCTCGTGTTTCCATCATCGAGGAATCAAACCCAAAGATGGTTCGTATGGCCTATCTCGCTCTCATCGGATCACACAAGGTCAACGGCGTTGCTGAATTGCACTCGGACCTGATCAAGACGACCATCTTCAAAGACTTCGTGAAAATTTACGGACCAGACAAGTTTACCAATGTCACAAACGGTATTACTCCACGACGATGGCTCCATCAGGCCAACCCCAGGCTCTCCGAGCTCATTGCCTCAAAGCTTGGTGGATACGAATTCCTGAAGGACCTCACCCTGCTGCACAAACTCGAGGCTTTTGTTGATGACAAGGATTTCCGGAAAGAGTTCCGCGAGATTAAGTATGCCAACAAGGTCCGGCTTGCTAAGCACATCAAAGAGTCGAACGGTGTCACGGTGAACCCCGCTGCTCTGTTCGATGTTCAGGTCAAGCGCATACACGAGTACAAGCGCCAACAACTCAATATCTTTGGCGTCATCCACCGCTACCTACAAATAAAAAATATGAGTGCTGAAGAGAGGAAGAAGCTTGCACCCCGCGTCTCCATCTTCGGTGGCAAAGCAGCACCGGGATACTGGATGGCGAAGACGGTCATCCACCTGATCAACCAGGTCGGCAAAATCGTCAACAACGACAAAGATGTGGGAGATCTGCTCAAGGTCATTTTCTTGGAAGATTACAATGTTAGTAAAGCGGAGATCATCTGCCCGGCTAGCGATATCAGTGAGCATATTTCAACGGCGGGTACGGAGGCGTCCGGTACGAGTAACATGAAGTTCTGCTTGAACGGTGGTTTGATCATTGGCACCTGCGATGGAGCGAACGTAAGCTTTCCTCTCCGCAAGCCAAGCCTTTGAGTGAGGAGTGACAGTTTAACTAACCACTCTCCTAGATCGAAATCACGCGCGAAATCGGCGAGCAAAACATATTCCTCTTCGGCAACTTGGCCGAAGATGTCGACGACCTGCGTCATGCCCATCTATACAACACGTACACGCTCGACCCCTCTCTCGCCACTGTCTTCGACGCAATCCACAACAACATGTTCGGCGACTCATCGTCTTTCTCGGCCCTCCTCAACGGGATCGTCGAGCATGGTGATTATTACCTCGTCAGCGACGACTTTGCGTCATATGTCAAGACCCAGGAGCTTATTGATGAGAGCTTCAAGAATACCGAGGAGTGGACTACTAAGATGATTCTTACGGTTGCGAGGATGGGATTCTTTTCGAGCGATCGGTGCATTGATGAGTATGCGGAGATGATATGGAATGTGGAGCCGTTGGTGCCGAAGAAGGAAGATGGGGAGGCTTAGGTTAGGGAGCTTGAAAGACGGTGTTGAGGGTGGGCGGATAGAGTGGATGAGACCAAGGGAGAAGGGATGCATATGCAAGTGCAGGCGCATACCGCATGGCGCGCCATTTATGATCGGAGGCCTGAGATTGTTTGCAAGAGGAAGGTATATACTTTTTATGTCGTCATGTATTTTTCTCTCCCATCTTCCCTCGTGCAATTACTCTAGATCCTAGAGTAATAAATACGGGATCATCCATCCTATAACATGCGACTATTGTCTTCTGGCATGTTATGGAGGACCTTGCGTTGCGTTTGGAGGTTTCTCGTTTGTCCCGCCCTGTTAGAAGTCATGAAACGTATCTGATCATGCGCACCGCTGAAGCGACGCAGCCCATCAGATGCACGATGATGATGACTCAGCCAAGCTTTTCCTGCCCTGCTCCTAGTTAACTCACCCACTCCGTATCAACACGCGTCACGACGACAATCCATCGCAATCTGTCCATCTGCAGAGTTCAGGCACAGCCTCAGCATCTTCAACCCGCAATCTCACTGCCGCCATGGCAAACCGAGGCTACGATGTCGTCGTTGACGTAGACCAAGAAGTCCGCTCCCTACATCCGTCCCCAGACGTCTCAATCTATGGCTGATAATATTCTTAGGGCGACCTTGGCCATACCGACCTCCAAGAAGACCTCGAGTTCCACAGCTCAAGTAACCGCTCTCTATTCCTAATACCTCCAACCCCACTCTGATCCCCATTTCTCTCCCCAGATTTCGATAATCCCTCCAACGCGCGCCAAAAAATTCAGCCTGACAGCAACTCTGGCTTCCTCCCTGCGCCCGCCACCTCCACCCGAAAACACTACCTCTGGTCCCTCGCCTTCTATGCCCAAGCCTTCGATGTCGACACCGCCGAAGTCCTCCGCCGCTGCACCGCCGCCATCTACCCGCGCCAAAACTTCCTCGATGTCCTAGAAGGAAACCCGGATCTCTATGGACCTGTTTGGATCGCTACCACAGTGGTAGTGATACTGTTCCTTACAGGCACGATTAGTCAGTATCTCGCGCACAACGGGAAAGAACACTTTGCGTATGATTTTAGACTGTTGAGTGGAGGCGCGGGATTAGTGTATGGGTATACGGCGATTGTGCCGTTAGGGTTGTGGGGGGTGTTAAAGTGGTTTGGGAGTGAGACGGCGAATTTGTTGGAATGTGTGGCGTTGTATGGGTATGCGAACTTGATATGGATTCCTGTTGCGTTGATCTCGTGGAGTCCGGTTTCTGGTATGTTCTCCCTCCCCCTCCCCTCCCCTCCCTCCAGTTTCTCCCCCCTACCTCCTTCCTCGAGCTCTCTGGCTCTGGGGCTGATTTGAGTTGAGTTAATTTGGGTGCGTAGTTCTCAACTTCATCTTTGTGGCCCTCGGCTTTGCTGCCTCGGCCTTCTTCCTCCTGCGAAATTTGTATCCGATTCTCTCGGCGACCGACGTCAAAACGTCAAAAGTGTTACTTATTGTTGTTGTAGCGCTGCATGCTGGTCTCGCTATCGCCATCAAAATTTTGTTTTTTGCCCCGATGGTGGGTGGGGATGACAAGCCTAAAGGCGGAGATGGAGGGGATGGTGGTGATAAGGGAGAGAGGATAGTTAGGATGTTGTTTGGGCCGTGAGGGCAGATTCGAAGGGGTTGAGGGAAGAGAGATAAATAGAGGGGAATTTGTATGAGTAAATGGGATGGGATGGAAGTATTCTGTTAAATAGAGATGTATGGGTACCTATACTGGAGTTGGGGATTCCTACGGTTTTCACTAGCTTCTTGTCAACGTGATTGGTTTTCGGTTCCTCCGGAAGCAACAGCAAATTACACTTGATATATCTATCTATCCACTTCCTCTTTTGCGCTCCTCATTGTCGCCGACCATATCACGCATTGGAATACGAACTATGGTGCAGGGAGAAGAGCAGAACAAAACATTTCCCGGCGTCCTGCTTCCTGCTCTGCGACTACGATGAACAACATCAGGATATGGGCAAGCCTTAGGAGCAACGATCGTAGAGGTAGCTTCGTGGGTAAAGGACAGAGAGAGATCCTCGTATAGCAGGAGGGTGGATTTAGTGATGGGCTTTTCTTCCCAAGTATTGCAAGAGGGGATTAATGGGTGGGTTTTCGTGTCGCACGTGACATTGGTTCACGTGACCCTCCTCCAAGGTGAATGTAGGTCCTTCACTCATACCCGTTTCCTATTGGGGACTAACACCTAACTGATTAAGATTGGCTCCATTTTATCTGCTACATAGTTGCCTCAGAGCTCTCTCTCGCTCTCTCGGCCTTACACCTCACCTCAATCTACCTAGTTTGGCTCTCACCATCTAATTGACTATTCGCAACTCTATATGCCCTCCTCTATCATCCATCAACTCCATAACTAACTCTGCGATATTTCGAGTTGGGTGGGGGAGGAAAGCGAATTTGGTCATTTACTTCAGAGAAAAGTAGCAGAATCAGAAACATAATTCCCTGAAAGCAAAATATTTTACAGAAGTTCTAAAAGCCTCGTACACATCGCCGCTCAAGCCTGGTCTTCAATCCCGGCTAGTTCCTTTCTCTAGTTCACCAAGCTGCAAAGACGGAACTTTTCTCAACTCAACCGCCCTGCCCTGCTCTGTTCTACACCTCTCCGTAACGCACACCTACTTCCCCCCAAATAGCGACAACTCACACACCCCAGTACAATCACTCCCACCCCCTTGATTCAAGCAAACCTCATCCAACACACACTCATAATGCCTCGGACAATTCTCCCCGAGAATCCCGCCACATAAGTTTGACTCACACAGACCCTCACAATCCCGACAATCTGGGTCGTTACTCACGCAGATCAGGCCGTCGGTGCAGGACGTCCCAAGGATGCCGCCGCAGTTCTCACCCTCGTTAGCGGGGGAGGGGGTTTGGCGGACGCTTTTAGGGGGAGAAGGCAGGGCGGTGTTGTTGCATTCGGCAGGGAAGGTGGGTGGGAGGCAGGGGAATTGGTTGATTTGTTGGACGCGGTAGCATTCGTTTAGGGAGAGGATTAGGCACACACAGTTCTGAAGATTATATGAGCATTTTACGATTGATGCGGTTGTGGGATCGGGATGGGGAATGGGGCAGGGAGTGGGGCAGGGAATGTGGGGAGACGAACGAGTTCTCCAGCTTCGTTGGTGCACATGTAGTTGCAGTCGCAGGCGTGTTCGGGGGGCTCGGGGTAGCCCACGCCTTGGCGGGGGTTTAGAGGGCTGGCGAGTGCGAGGGAGAGGAGGGTGGTGAGGATGAGGACTGTTTTCATTTTGGTGGTTGGGATGGATGGAGGATAGATGTTGGGCGATATAGAGTATAGAACTAGAGTTTTGAATTTGAGTTGCTGAATTGTGAGTTTGAAGTTGTAGAAAAAAGTCCCCCATCTTATACATCAATTACTGCTTCCAATAGCTGCGCCTCATCTGAAAGGAATCCGACAAGAAAATCTGAAATAGAGTCATAGGATTGAACGAGCCCAGTGAAACCTCCATCATTTACCACAACAACACGAGAAATGCCATGCTCTCACTCTCCGGATGGATGTTAAGATTTAGAGTGAGATGAGGCTGATTGACAGGGGCGCAGGCGCGTCAATGTTGAAATATTGAAACGAACGAAGTTGTGGCTGTGTAAATTGCGAAACGAACGACAAATTACAAGGCTGAAGGTCCGTTCATTGCAGAATAGTTTTCACTGCGCCATGAACAGCTGACCGCTAAGCTAAGTCCGGCATCGTAATTCATCCTCCAGCCCTACGGGACAAACGCCTCCACGAGACCGCTAGCAACACGAGAGGAGCCTCTACAGAGGACGGTGACCCATACGGGCCTACCTTCTGTACTGCATGATCGTCCATACTAGTACATGTTTGAGCGGTGTCGAATTAGCAGAGGTTTCTTCAAGTAAACTCTAATTAGAAGATAAATATATTTTTTAGCAGCTCTAACACATGATCGAGTCCGAGCGTCATGCATGACATTGCGATACTCGGCTTGTGGCGTGTCTTTTGAAGTTCTGCGTATGAATAATAAGACAATTGAACGTTTACCTCCGTTTTGAAACGCTATTTTACTTATCTCTAGCACAGCTACGCATAAATTGAATTCACAATTCACCCCTTACGAATACATCACACCTAAATTCGTTGACGTCTCCGCAACCCAAGCTCACGCGCGGGAAGGTATTGTTAAAGTCAAGCTCCCAGTGAGTCAAGCAAGCGCTATGTTGAGGCGGAAATCTACATCTCTTCAGGGTCCGTACCTGTCCGAATGTGCGCGGGTCACGGTGGTTTTTGGGCCATTGTGGCTGAAGCTGGATTCCACGACTTTCTACTAGACTGCAATATAAGGGGTATTACTGAACTGGGGTTTCTAGAAAAGATGCAGTAATGGCGCCGCTGTGCTACCCTCAGCGAAACACCCCTCGCGCGCGCCTTGCGGCGTAGACACTTGATTTTTTTTTGAACTTCACAAGCTCTAGGAACCTATCCTGACACCCACCTAATGTACTGTTAAAACTGTAGAGAGCTCTTACGCAGCTTCGAGTTCTAATTGCGTTCAATTGTTGATCAAGACTGGCATGAAACTCAATCATAAGTTCGAGGGTTTGAAAAGACTCGTCAGATAGCTTCTTCCGCACTTTAGGAAGCTCGTTGCCTTGGATTCTCTCCATAACAATGTACGCACGGTTCTTGTAGGCAAAGGAACAATGCACTTTCGGAACCGGGATGGATGTATTGTGGGCAATAAACTTCATGGTTGCTGCCTCAGTAAGATGGACTCGTCGTCCGGTCTTGACAATCTTATGTTTCCAGATGGGCACACAGAGGCCATCTCTTGTGTAAAACCTCGTTGTGATTCGCAATGATAGAAGAGTTAAGAAGCGGTTAAGAAAGGCTTTTTTTATGGCTAAATATTATGTGCCATTGTGTTGAGATTCAATATGGGACTCTGGCGGGACGTATGTGGATGCCATTTTGACAGGATAGATTAGCAAGCTACCTCTCAGACAAAGGAGAATGATGTATAATCCTAGCGCATTCGCCACATAAGATGTAACAATGACAGGCTGACGATCCGAATGATGGGGTCTCTTGCGTGAAAGGTAAATGGGTGAAGCGAAGCACAGGTTCGTCAAACTGAAAGCCGCTGTCGAAAATAGATAGAGGCTAACCGGAGATGGCTAGCAAGTCTCGTATCGAACCACTGACCGTGCCCATCCGCTCAGACGTCAACCCTCACAATGAACCAAACGAACAAGGAAACGGGGAGAAATAATCTAGTCCCTAATCACCCACTGCAACATAGTCGCATGTGCAAACTACTTCTCGTCATTCCACAACCTAGACCCCATCGATCCGCTGCTCCTTCAAGACTGTAAAACCGTTGGCTAATTAGACTTGATTGAAACCACTTTTTTTCCGCATTGCGAAGGGAGGCTGCGCGAATATGCCGACGACCAAGAGAAGTTCGTGATTTCCAAGATCCCATAGTCGGCAAATAATAGCGATGGATCTGTCTGGTAACATGCTTACGGCATAGCCTCCACCCATCATTCCTTCGTCTCTCGCAAATACCCTCTTCATCCCCCGACCTGAAACACTTATTAAGGAATATCCTCAATTGGCAGCGTTTTCTACAAATAAAAATTGCTAGTACAGTTGCCTGAGCTCATTAGTCTGAGTAACGAAGTCAATTTAAGCATTTCATCTTAATGCATTGCAGCATATTTTATGTTGACGCGAAGCATATAATCGAGAGGGGGGGTAAATTGAATTAACCAGGCTTAATTGTATGTGCTCCACTTATTGTATCTGTTTAGAGGCTTCTATCTTTACATAGCAATATTACTAGGCCCTTCTCTTAGGAAAAAATACACTTTCTTTTTCCCTGCCTTGCTACAGCCTCAGGACGTCTCCCATCTAGTCTTGGATCTTTGTAGATTGGATCTAACTTGTGAACTGAGATCGCACTAGCCTCAGCATCACTCTCGCGCAACATGTAGTGATGGCTCAATTTACTGCGCCTACCGAGTGGCCTGAAAAGAGTGGAACTCTATTTTCCTAGTCTATACCCATCGTGTCCTCGTACGATAGTACGCGCTTTCCGTCCGACTCTCTCCACGGTACGCTTGTCCGTTTACCTGGGCGCATATGGCCATTGTGAATTGATACGTTGTGGCGATATGAAGTTGCATGGGTATCAATATCCAACGAGCCCCTGCTCAGATGAGCGGTCGCAATTCTTAATACTATCCACAGATATGTGTTGCCGGTGGTATCTGCGTGTGGCGTGGCTCCTCATGGCATCGGATCAGGGCCGGAGGCGTGGGGATAGGGGGATGGCAGTTGGGGCATAAAATAAAACGGGGTCGCAGAGGGCTTTATAGCTGACGTAGGCAGACTGCTTACTTAAAAACTAGGTATTGGACATGGGTTGTGCACGGATGTAATATCTTCCGAACTGGCGAATCTGCTGGATTAGAGGCCTCTATCTTCGGAGGCAAAACTCGCAAGATATGGAGGTCTCTAGGCTACACTAATGTGGGCGGTATGGAAGTAGGTTCTGTGAATTAGACAGCCGGATGGGAAATTTGATGGGGTCGATTGGGATGGGGATGGGGCCAGGTAGTGAGATGAGCGTTTCGACGCGGGAAGGAGGGTGAGAGTAGTATGGAGGCTGAAACAGGAGGCGTGGCAAACGATAGGTCCTGGTGAGGAAATTGAGCTCCCTTTCCAAGGGTATGGCCACTATGTGGATAGAACGAAGGTTCGGATCTGCGCCATTTGTTCGATTCGAAATAGAGGGTTAAGTAGTTTTGTAGGATTGTCGGTGCTCATGATGACTTGGTTATCTGACATCTGGCATATGAACCCGAGTGGAGCACGAGCGCAGGTGTATTGGTGGGTTTGCAGAATTTATTAGGGAATTTGGAGGGTAGGAGGTTGTTAATGGTTAACCTTGTCAAATGAGGCCAATTAGAAGAATAGTCTCTACGTGGGAGATGGTCTTATCGCATGTATTTTGAACCTGCAGTAATGCCAGTGTTTTGATATTCTTGTCTGCGCTGTGTCCTAGTAAGGATGTCTTCAATGCAAAAGTTTCTGGATACAATCAGAGCATGTGGGGTAGTATGACCAACGAGATCGGATAATAAAGGTGACATAATTACTGCAGAAATTCGGGATAATCATATTTTGCTTCTCGATTTTGTTTCCTCGCGATTTTGCTGTGCCATGCGTATCAGAGCATAGAGACTTTGCAGTCTAGGCATTTCGAATCCTCGTTCTCGTGCTATCCTGATTGGATTCCCTAGTATGACCTCGAGCTCCATGGTCTTGCCTTGCTCCCAGTCTAATGCCATGCTAGGCTTGCTCCCACTCGTGTTTTTCTGGGTACTGCGCAAAATTTGCTCAGAGCTAGCAAACTCCTTTGGGAGAGGTTTGCCCAGTATCTTGGGGGCGACCGCAAGGACTTCTTCCATCACGCCCTTTAGATGCCTCGCCATTTCGTCGTCCTTAGCCATGGCAACATTGGGAGTGCAGCCAGAGAGGACAGATGAGGGATTCATCGATGCGTTGATAGCAATCTTGTGCCATCGTACAAGTTGCAGCTTCGCGTGGTCGTATGCATCTGCATCGTTGATCCCCCCCTGTTTCAGTAACTTAACGAATCGATCGTTCTGCTCAATCGCTCGAGTATCCGTACTCCTAGGATTCCCTGTGTCGAGGTGCGGGAGCCATGGACCGCTATTAATCCGCGTCCAGCGGTTATGTATGATCTGTCCGTGGCTCGGCTGAGCGCAACTCGCAATCGTTACAGCACTGCATATAGAAGCATTCGGAAAACGCGTGGCATATGGGGCTTCGACACCAAGCCCGTTTTGGATCAACACGATCGCTGTTTGGTCGGATACCAGGCCTTCGAGAATCTTTGAATCGTCGCTTACATCAGGTAACGCCTTTGTGCTCACAACGATGAAATCCCATTGGATTCCGCTGCGGCATGCCTCCTCGGTGTTCGCAAATATATGGGATGGGATGAATCTGTAGTCGCCGTACAGGGGCGACGTGACTGCGAAGCCATTTGCCTTGACGACAATGTAATTCGATCGGCAGATAACGGAAACATGAGTATTGGGGACAAGAGCGAGACGGGATGCGTAGAATGCTCCAATGGCGCCAGCGCCGACAATCAGGATTTCGGTAGGCATCGTTACTGGTGGTGATAGTAGGTTGGTGTTGACTGAGAGATAAAGTATTGTTTCCTACCCGAGCTTTCGTCATTGGCCTGAAACTCGAAGCCTCGGTAACTTCTAGGGTCGCAGAGAGGGTAGCCGAGCGGAACGGTTCAACGTTTCACCAGATGTCCGTGCACACTCTTCCAAAATTGGAGTGCGCTCTTCTTGGTGGTCGTCGTGGGAAGTGATTCATTCTATGTATCGCAACTCGTCTTGGATCTACTCTACCCTAATCAGCAGCCTTTGTCATCTTACTAACCTATCAGCAACAGCCTCGATTTCTTAGCTTTGAAGATATTCTGTCTTGCCCACGGCATTCGGAGGAGCATTTGGAAGCCTAGTAACCGTCAGATACCACAAAGGAGAGGGTCCCTTAACAGACTTCTTGCTACAGGATGTCGGCAACGATGGGTTTCCTCCATCTGAAAAGATCTCAACTCATCAGAGGTCGTTAGGTCGATCCACTAGATATCCAGTTAAGAGCCTACGAATCTCGCTGGAATGACATGAAGCACCTCGCACGAGAACCCCGAACGCACATCTTACATGCCCATCCTCCAGAACTCTTGGCCTTACCGACTTGAGCTTACTTTGCGAATGACTTTACGAGCCAGGACCGAGAGTTTTCGTCGCTAGGGCACGGATCTAATTGATGTGCCAAGCCGAACCCTTTTGCATTGCCATAAGATTTGTCTTCGGATGGCCAATGTTGGCTGATTCTTACTAATCTACCTAGACATATTGTTACCAGTTGTCTGGACGAGCTTTTGACAGGTTTTGTTCCGGGGGTCATGCTGGCTCATCAGCTGTGTACGGCTAGCTGTCAGCAGACATTAAGTTGTGGACAATGAACTTTAGTTTTCCTTTCTTTATGCTATTCGATGGTACTCCGCAATATATATATATACATCCATCAGGTATCTCAGTTATATGTTCTGAAATTTTCATCAGGCTATTATTCTCTTTTTCCCAGTCGCGTCTCTTGGCCAACTTAGCTCAGTCTCACTCATACGAAAGATACCAAGGTTAGGAACGATTATATTCACTGTATGTCTAGCGGGGAGCGAAAACGAGCCTCCATTGCTAAGATGGCATTGTGCAATAGCGCGATCGATGCTTGGGATAACAGCTCTCGTAGAATCGATTCTACATCAGTGTCAGAGCTGATAAAGGCCCTCGAGATTTCAGCGAAGATTGGGAGTGTGTGCCACCTTGTTGCAGTATACCAAGTCTCGTAAGCCATCTATGACCTGTTAGATAAGGCTATAGTGCTTTATAAGGGCAGACAGATCTACTTCGGCCCACAGGTAAGGAAAGGCGGTATTCCAAAGATAATGGATGGGATTACCCGCCGCTCCAGACCACGGGAGATTCCCTCACGTCAGTTACCAACCCCGCTGAACCGAAGCCACGAAGTAGCTTTGTGAACAAGGTTCCAGGGCCATTGAACGAACTTGTACATTACTGGGAAAGTTCTAACGAGTATTCCAATTTGCAAAACAAAAATTTAAATAACGAGCGCGAAACTGCAGAAAGCGAAAGCGCTCTTGCCCAGCTCCAAACCTCTCATCGGGAGAGCAAAAGAAACACACGAGACTGTCGCTACTGCCTTAACAGGAGCGGGTATTTAAATTCTCACAATCGTCATCTATACTGACTTCAATTTACCACGACCTTACATGCATCCGCGGTTTGAGTGGCTCTCGTATGTGAATCCAGTTGCATATGCTTTCGAGGTGAGTTAGACCGCTCTATACAAGGTGTTCTTTAAGTTGATGTCCATTTTTAGGCGTTTTTGGTCATCGAAGTTCACGGTTGCATGTTCCCATGTCCGTATGTAACCTTTGAGTGGTGGACTCTTGACAAGTCGGCGTTTGTTTGAAGCGGTGATCACAAGTCCCCTTCACCGCTGCATGACTCCGGTTGCGGGGTCGCAGATGAGTTCTATCGCGCCTATCAAAGAATCATCGGGTTACTCATGGCGGTAGCTAGATTCTGCGCATGCCATTCTCTTCACAGTGAAATCGCTGACAGGTGCTGTCGGACTAGTCCAAGTATCACCTGTTGCGCCACCTTTGGCCCTTAAGTTCCTTCTCAATCGTTGTCTTCGTGGCAACTCTACTATCAGGCGTTTGTAACACGCTGAATTCCACGGAAACATACGGTACGATGACGTGGATGCGGATGGATTTGCTTCGCTTACCCCGTTCGTCCAGCATGACTGTCCCACGTGGGTCTTTTCCTAATATCTATGGCATGACTGAAAATGTCTATATTGTTCCCTTGGTTGCAGCTAAGTGGGAGTTCTGAGTTGTTGTGAAGTAAGTGAATGGGTGGCAAGAAAGCTCAAACCCAATTATCTCATTCACGCCACCCTTGAATTACGTACAAGTTGCAACGATATGCTGCAGACCGTATATTCTCTCAACGAGCGCTTTTAAGTCTGATACTAGCGCAAACTATCTCGAAAGCGAAACACTCGACATTCGTCGTTGGCCCCTGTGTTAGATATATCTTTGATTTCGAACCCAGTTTACGTCGACCTAGCCCTTTTCCCTCCTCAATTCTCCGAACACTCTCGGCACGATACTCTATTCCCGCCGTGTTGCCTTGTTGCTCTCCTGTAGAGCAACCTTCGCTCTCCTTGTCCATGCCTATCCTCATGACCCATGATATACCACAACCGATTGCCATTATTGGAAGCGCATGCCGCTTGCCTGGCAGCGCATCTAGCCCGTCGAAATTATGGGTGTTACTTCAAAATCCCGTTGAGTTACTGAAGGAAGCGCCACGAGACCGGTTCAACTGGGAGGGCGTTTATCGACCCGATGGACTTCACAGTAGTTCAAAGACGAAGGACGGATACTGGCTGGAAGAAAATATTAGGCAGTTTGACCCCCAATTCTTCAACATTCCCCCTGCGGAGGCTGAGACTCTTGACCCCCAGCACCGAATTCTTCTGGAAAATGTGTATGAGGCTATGGAATCAGCGGGGCTCACTCTAGAAGATTTGCAAGGGAGTGATACGGGAGTCTTCGTGGGGTTAATGGGATGCGAGTATTTCGATAATGCCACATTCGATCTCGAGGCTTCCTCTGGCCAAATGCTTACTACCGGCACGGGCCGAAATATGGCAGCCAACCGAATTTCCTACACCTTCGACTTCCGAGGACCTTCAATGACCATTGACACGGCATGTTCCTCAAGCATGATGGCAGTTCACCTGGCCGTATCTTCCTTGCGGCGGGGGGAGTGCAAAGTAGCATTTGCTTGTGGAGCTTCTTTGAATTTGGTGTTCCGCAGCTTTGTTTCCCTGACTAAAATGAAGATGATTAGCCCAGATGGCCGAAGGTCAGTGTTCAGTTTTGGTAGTGATGCAATTGCATACACCCCACTAACCACCCGATAGTAAAATGTTCGACGAAACAGCGAATGGATACGGAAAGGGAGAAGGGGTCGCTGTTGTGTGTCTGAAACGCCTGGATATGGCCATTGAGGATGGTGACTACATTGAATGCATTATCCGAGAGACTGGCACGAATCAGGACGGACGCACAAGAGGAATTGCCATGCCTAGTGCGGAAGCGCAGGCTGATTTGATTCGCCAGACATACAGACGGGCGGGACTTGATCCTACTCAGATCGGCTCTAGACCTTCATTCTTCGAAGCTCACGGCACAGGCACACCTGCTGGCGATCCCGTTGAGGCGCAAGCTGTTGAAGCTGCATTCTTCCCACCGGACCAAGAATATGCGGATGATGAGATACTCTACATTGGCTCCATCAAGACTGTCGTTGGGCACACTGAAGGAACAGCTGGCATTGCGGGAATGCTGAAGGCCGTTCTTGCAGTCCAAAATGGAGTAATACCCCCCAACCTGCTGTTCTCCCGCATGAATCCTAGCGTGGAACCTTACTCGAAACACTTACGATTAGTGACGGCGGCAAACCCTTGGCCACTATTGCCTGCGGCGTGCCCACGAAGAGCTTCTATCAATAGTTTCGGTACGTTTGGGTGATTTAACACCTTCAAATTTACTGACTCCTTTCTTTAGGATTTGGGGGCAGCAATGTCCACGTCATACTCGAGAGTTATGCAGATGCTACGCGTCGCCGTATTGCAAGCATGACTTCCGTTGGTTCTGCCGCCCTCCCCATCTTCACGCCATTCACCTTTTCCGGGATCTCTGAGCGCACATTAGTGTCAACCCTGGAAACGCTGCTCCAATATCTCAAGGATCATTCTGGTAGCGTTAGTCTTCGAGACCTGGCATGGACGTTACAGTACAAGCGCTCTCAGTTCCCTTTCCGATGCGCAATTGCTGCCCGAACCTCTGAAGAGCTCCAGCAGAAGCTCGAATCCACCATTCAAATTGCCACTAGCAAAGGAGCCGCTGCAATCTCAACCCGGGCATCCTCAATAGCATCTCCTCGGATAATGGGTATATTTACCGGCCAAGGGGCGCAATGGGCTACCATGGGGAAAGACCTGATTGGGAGATCAGCGTACGCGCGGGAGATCATCGAGAAGCTTGACTCTTCCCTTTCCTCACTACCAGTGTCAGATCGACCCAAGTGGAAACTCAAAGAGGAGTTGATGATCGACGGCACTCAGTCGCGCATGCATGACGCTACGCTATCCCAGCCGTCAACTACCGCCGTTCAGATTCTCCTAGTCGATCTCCTCAGGGCGGCTGGGGTGAAGCTCCATGTCGTTGTTGGTCACTCTTCAGGTGAAATTGGTGCTGCATATGCTGCTGGTTTAATAAGTGCCGAACATGCCATTAAGATTGCTTATTACCGTGGACACCATTCTGGGCTAGCTGCGGGGAAAAATAATCAGGCTGGAGCAATGCTCGCTACTTTTATGACAGCTGAGCACGCGACGGAGCTGTGTAATGACCCGGATCTCCTGGGTCGTATCTCCATTGCTGCATTCAACAGCCCGTCGATAGTCACTTTATCGGGCGACGCTGAAGCGATCGATGAGGCTGCTACGGTACTTGAGCGAAGAAAGATATTCGCGAGGCGGCTCAAGGTCGACAAAGCATACCATTCTTATCACATGAGCGCCTGTGCGGTTCCATATTTGCAGTCTCTGGAACAATGCGGAATGTCGCCGCTGGCTCCTCCCGAGGACGCTCCGATGTGGTTCTCGAGTGTTCATTGTGGAAAGCGAATGGCTGCAGGCAAGAAACTACGCGGGTCTTATTGGATTGAGAACCTGACTTCCCCTGTGCGATTCTCTGAAGCCATCACTACCGCCATATCAGAAATGGGATTGCCAGATCTTTTCCTTGAAGTTGGGCCACACCCGGCTCTGAAAGTTCCTGTTCAACAAATAGTTGGAGAGACCGCGAAGAGTGACAATGCGTACATCGGATTGATAAATCGAGGGCAAAACTCCAAAATCTCATTTTCCAATGCGCTTGGAAATATCTGGTCTCGGTTTAGCCGATCCGCTGTGGATTTCAGGAACTACGATGCCATGCTCTCAAATGGGCCGAAACCAACACTCATCAAAGACCTTCCCACCTACCCTTGGCAACACGACAAAGAATACTGGTGGGAGAATCGGTACCTTCGTAGACGCTTCCAAGAAACGCTTCCACCAAGTGAGCTATTGGGGCACTCACTTTCGATTGGAGCACAGCATGAGGCGAAATGGCGCCATTTCCTAAAGCCCAAAGAAATTCCCTGGCTTTTAGATCATAAGCTGAATGGTCTGGCGGTACTTCCTGGAGCTGCCTATGTCGTGATGGCAACCACCGCTGCTGAGCGACTATTCCAGAAACATCCCATCGAAGTCATTGAAATAGAGGAGATTCACTTTCTCCTTCCGATTAGTTTTGCTGATGAGGATTCAGCTATTGAAACCGTGCTGACAGTTACGACAATCGACTTCACTCAAACTCGAGCAAAGGCTGACTTTTTTGTCGATTTCTGCAGCCATCAGCGGAGAGACGAGATGATGACCGCCGCGCGGGGCAAGCTCGTTGTCCGTTTTGGTATTGATTTGGATAGAGCGCATCCCGAAGGGGTCACTCAGCATTCGATTCTAGTTACTGTGGGTGTGGATCTTTTCTACCAATCCTTACGCGATGAAGGTTTTACCTTCACTGGACCCTTTCGATCCATCACCTCCTTGCGGCGCCGGATGGATTTTGCTGCCGGTGAGATTAGATCGTTGCCAAGTGAGATGACTTTTCACCCTGCAATGCTTGATGGCCTTCTTCAGGGAGCCTTTGCAGCACATGGGTTTCCTGGGGATAGCGCCATGCCAAACTTCCGTGTTCCATCATACATAAAGTCTATCAAAATCTTTCCAACTCGATGTGGAGAGATAGCCGGAATGTATAAGTCTCTCCGGTTTGAGGTAATGAAGACTGGATCTCAAGAGTATGGGGGCTTACTGTACAGTCCCGGGGGCGAAGGCGCCACAATCTATGTCGAAGGACTCTCCCTTGCGCCTTTCCATTTCTCCACCTCGAAGGACGACTTGAAAATGTTTTCTGAGGTTGTTTGGAGGCCATGCATTCCAAACGCTCAGCTGATAACTTCAAGCTTCGTTGTGGCATCGGAGCAAATGCGATTGGCTAAGCTTATCGAGCGGGTGGCACTCTTCTATCTCCGCACGCTCAATAGAATCATTTCATACGAAGAGGAACAACGCGCGGATCAACCTTTACGGCATCTACTTGAATACGCTCGCTTGGTTTCGGCTGAGGCGTTGCTTGGACTGAATCCACATCTGGAACAAGAATGGCTTCAGGATACCGAGGACGATATATCGGAAATCGTGAAGGCGAACCCTGGGTCGATTAACCTTGAACTCCTTGATTTAGTAGGGAAAGCGTACCCTTTCATCATTTGTCGTCAGGAAAACGCCCTTAGCACGCTGATGGAAAATGATATGCTCAGTAGACTATATCGATATGGCCTAGGATTTCCGGAGACAAATGCATGTCTTGCACGTGTTGTCCAGACGATCTCTAATCGATCATCAAACATCAGGATACTCGAGATTGGAGCAGGAACCGGTTCCGTGACGGGCTCGATCCTAGAATCCGCAGCCTATTCTTCGTACACATTCACGGACATCTCTCCTGCGTTTCTTGGATCCGCGAAGCAGCTGTTCAGGCGTTTTGCAGATAAGATGCTCTTCAAGACTTTCGACATGGACAAAGATATCGTTCAGCAAGGGTACGACGTAGGGTCGTTCGAAGTCATTGTGGCATCAAACGTCCTCCATGCCTCTGCAGATGTGCCCAAGGCACTGAGAAATATTCGAGCACTCCTACGACCTGGGGGATATATGGTGTGCTTGGAATTGGCCAAGAACAGGCAAGCATTCCATACCACTATAATGGGGGGATTGCCAGGCTGGTGGCTGGGACATGGCACGGATCGATCATGGTCTCCAGCTTTGAAAGTGGAACAATGGGACAAATACCTTCGAAAATCCGGTTTCGGAGGAATCGACGCAATCACACCTGTCCTCGATGAGCTGCTGTGCCCATATCATGTCTTTACGGCCCAGGCTGTGGATGATCGAGTCATGGCCATTCGGAAACCTCTTTCTTTCAGCCTTCCAATGAGTTCTGATAGTTTGATGATTATTGGGGAAGACCCGATTGAGCACAAGGGACTCATTACTGGCATCGAAAATTTGCTCTCTGCTTCTTTCAAGGAACTTACCCAAATTCCTGGCTTAGAGGACTTAAACCGGTGTGGCACAATCCCCTCCGTTGTTCTCTGCCTCGTCGAATTGGACAAGCCACTGTTCCTAGACATAACCCCAGCAAAACTCGCGACACTACAGAAACTATTCACCGAGGCCACTGACATAGTTTGGATTACTAAAGGATGCAGGGTTCCAACCAGCATAGAAGCAGCCTATGGCAATATGATGGTTGGTCTTGGTCGAAGTGTCCGGCACGAACTGCCTCATCTTCGACTTGCGTTTTCTGACTTCGACACCGTTGACTCGGTGAACGCGCGGAACCTGAGCCAGGAAGTGCTTCGATGGTACATGCTGGGACAATGGGCGGCAGAGGGGTGGCGCGATGATGTCCTTTTCGGTCATCACAATGAAACTGCGGTGGAGGATGGCGTTAAACTCTACCCAAGTATTGTCCACTCTAAGGCACGAAACTTCCGCTACAATGCACAACACCGCCGCATCACACACGATGTTCGACCGCATACGACGCCGGTGGAGTTGCATTTCAAGGACTCGAACGGTCTGTACAACCTTCGCGAGGCACCTCATACCCCATCACAATCCGTCGGGAACAGTACTCTTTTCGTAAAGATGTTGTATTCGACTCTTTACGCCACCAAAATTTCGTCTATGGGCTATCTCTTTGTCGGCCTCGGTATCAACCTGAGAGGAGACTTCACGATTGTATTCTCCGACACAATCAGTTCCTGGGTAGAAGTTCCTCGCTATGCGGTGCATGCTTGTAGCCCATCGAAAGGCTTCGAGAAACAATATTTGCATGCATTTGCCTGCAATCTGGTAGCAGAACGCGTCATCAAGGCGGCTCGGACCAGTGGTCATCTAATGGTGCTCTCTGCTGACCCACTGTGTATGTCTTTTATTGAAGAGAGAGCTTCTAAATTAGGCAAGAAGGTGGTATTCATCACAAGCATTCCTCTTTTCGAACGCGATCGGGCAATTTTCGTGCACCCACATAGCCTGGACGTCAAAATTCGGCAGAGCATTCCAGAAGGGGTATCTGTTCTGATTAACATCTCTAACCGACCCCAAGACGAAGTCCTATTCAAGCGAGTGAGTTCAATGTTTGAATCGCGATGCTCGAAACTGAAAGATTCGGGTGCAATATTTAAACCCCTTTCATCGGGATACGACAGCGTCTCGGATTCGAGTGCCTCTAGTCGGATCGTGGGAAAGAATGTGGAGGATCTGGAAGCTTTGCCGCCCACAATGTATGAAGCAGTCGACGTTTATTCGGTCAGTCCGAAAGACCTAGCGCAACGGCCACTGCAGAATTTCTCTTCGATTCTTGACTGGACTGCAACAGACCGCATACCAGTTAGCATACAGCCGGCTTCCGTTGTTGTAAAGTTTTGCCCCGATAAGACCTACCTAATCATAGGAACTAGCGATATTGCTCGATCTATTTGTGAATGGATGATAGTGAATGGGGCTAGATATGTTCTTATGGCAAGCCGCAACCCGGACAGCCTTTCGGGCTGGGCCAAGGATATGGAGTCTAAAGGTGCATTTGTAGATCTCCATGTTGCGGATGTCACGTGCGAATCTTCGATACGGGAGATGATTGTCTCCGCAAAGAAAGGCCTAAACGCACGCAAGATTGTTATGCCACCCTTCGGTGGTATGATTCACTTGGCTCTCGTGCTTAAAGACGCTGTTTTTACCAGGATGACCTTTGAGGAACTTCAGGCCGTCACGGATGTCAAGGCAAGGGGAAGTCGCATTCTGCATGAACAACTTCTTGACGAGATGCTCGATTTCTTCATTATGGCGTCAAGCGTTTCATATGTTCTCGGCAATCCTGGTCAAGCAAACTATATCTGCGGAAATGCTTTCATGGTTGGGCTATCAAAGTATCGAAGAAGCATTGGTTTGGCAGCCTCGGTTGTTGATCTTGGCCGTGTGACTGGTATTGGGTACATCTCTCGTTCCGAGCGTGCAAAAGTCAACGAGTTCAACTCGGAGGACATTCGAAAACGAGCACTATACCCCATTTCGGAACGCGACCTCCACCAGATCTTTGCAGAAGCTGTCTTGGCCAGTCCACACGACTCTAGATCAAGTCCAGAGATAATCACGGGCTTACGAAATGTCGAGCCAGATATGTTGCCACATTCTCCATGGGCTAATGAACCCATGTTTGCACATCTGCTCACGCCGGAATCAACGGATACTACCATGAAAAGTAAACCCCAACTCTCAGTGCGAGAAAAACTTAGCGAAGAGCTTTCCTCTGTCTCTACAACCTTGGTGGAAGACAATGTCTACGACATTGTTCGATCGGCATTTATGGATCGTCTCAGCGTTCTACTTCAGATTGACGTAGAGGATATTGATGAGTCTGTTAGCCTTCTCGATCTGGGCATCGATTCACTAGTTGCAACCGACATTGGCAGTTGGGCGAGAAAGGAGTTGCGAGTACAAGTTCCACATTCGATGGTGTTTGGTGGAGCAAGTGCGTTGGACCTCGTGAAATTTGCGGTGGAGCATTTGGATCGAGGTTGGGCGATGTTGAGGAATTAGGGTTTAATTTGAATTTTGTTCTGGATTTGGACTGACCGATTCAGGCTGGAAATCTAACAGAAATGTTGGTTTCGGATATGGTATAGATTTGGGGGTTTTTCTCCGCTCCAATATTTGCCTTGGTAACGATCTATGGCGATGGATATCGCATGGGACACGATTAATCTCTTACCAAGCAGCAACAGAAGGTGTATGTAGATGTATGGCTGCACGTGAGACAATGAATACCATCTTGCTTGCCTCTAGACCTTGATATGCTACTTTGTAAGAGGGGATTTTTAATAGAAGCTTATCTTCTCTTTTCTGCTACTTTACCTTCGGCATACCATTTTCATTTCATACGTAGTTAGGCCGCCTATCACCCTCTAGGCGTACCCAATCCCTATATTGGCCTGGCTTATTACATGATTTGGTAAATCTAAATCCCTAAACCAGTTCTGAAGCGCTCCTATCAGCGACTTCTATCACTCAGCCATTTAGCAGGCTACCAAAAATGTGTACCAGGGATCCAACTAACTTCAGCCCTGCGAAATTGAGACGACTAGGTGCCACGACGGAAATTTACATTGGGATCTGTATCAGCACTGCCACTGATGGCCTGCTTTTCTTCTACTTCTTTCACTTTTCGTCTTGCTTTTATATTGGTCTCGCGGTTTCTATCATGAGCTCAACTATTAGGATATTGTTGATGAATTGTTTCGCACGAATTCTTCTAGTGCATGACTACATGTTTACTATAGAGAGCTCAATTATGGTTATGGTGTTGGCGCCTTACAGGCAGGCGAAACAACTCAAGCTCGAAATTTCCTATTAGTTTTTCGAGTTGATCTGGGGAGTAATACTTCAACAATGACCGTCTTGGCTACAGCCAGTGCAGGTAAGGAACACCTACCTTCGCAGGGAGGGATTTCTTCACCCGGCTAAAGCGGCGTTCACCTTCACTAATTTTCTTAAACATTTTCGAGAAACTGACAGGTAGTTAACAAAATAAGCGTAACGGTGACGGCCTGGGCGCATTACGTTCTGCAAAATATCAACACCATACTTTCACCTCCAATTACCGAGGCCACTATATAACCCTAAGCGAGCCGTCGCTTCGCGATCACCTTGACACCACACTACACAATTTACAAGGCGTTGTGTTGTAAGATATCAAGGCGAACAAGACCACTGACATGTCAAAAAACATGTCAACCCTTCCCACGATGGAGGCCTCTCTTGGAAATGGGTACAAGGGCAGCTCCCCCAAGAAGCATGGCAGAGGTAATGCCGAACAGGATGATCTGACTGGTCAGAAGCCTGTTGGCTGTGGCGACGATTTTTGTTTTTACTAATGTTTTGGCACAGCAACCACCATGCCCGGTACTAGAACTACCCAGCTCCCACCTATCCGCCAAGCTACCCTCTCTCAAATTCTGGCTGGAAATCGACCTGCGCCTGCAACAAGCAACAAGAAGAGGATGGATTTCTTCAACTTTAATCACGAAAACATCGCGCCGGATGACGAGCAATCCTCTCAGGTGACCACATGTGGAACTGCTCCATCTCTCCCGCCAATCTTAAGTAAGCTCAGTTGTGATTCGTTCGATACTAAAATTAATGTATTAAAGGCTTCCTCCCCCCGCAAACCAGCTCTTTACATCAGCTGGATCCCACGGAGAATGAAATTCACGGCCCAAGATATGCCAGTTCAGTTGTCCAACATGAATGTAAGTTCGTGTAGTTCTTTACCCTACGGTCCAGCCAACCAGAATCAGTGATCCGCCAAGAGCAGAAGACTGCTGAGTTATCGATCTTGAACGCCAACATTCACAGTCGTGTGGACGTAATGCTTGACAGGCTTGAACGTTTGGAGGAACACAAGGCTCAGACTGAGCGTGAGAATGGCCAATTTCGTTCCTTCCTGCAAGTTATTATCCAATATCCGCAGCTTCGTGAGTGGCTTGCCAGTGTCGGCCCACCTGGGCAGTTTACCCCGCCCCCAGAGTCTCCCGCTCCCTCCAAGGAAATGGCTTCCTCTGAAGTTGCTACCGAAGACAGGCCTGGTCGCTCCTCAGTTGTGGGCGAAGAGCTCAGCAACGCTCTTCATCAGGATGTTGAGATATATGATGAGAGGAATACAAGTGTTCTGGGGGCGGAGTCAGAGAACACAGAGACACGTATGACATCACTTGCGGCTACTGAACCGTCTCGTGATGTCACTCCGTGCCCTGGTTTGAAGCGCAAATTTTCTCGTTTAAGTACGCTTACTCTGAAGCCTCTAGAAAGATAGAGAGCTAACGTAAAACACTGTAGGTCGGAGAAAGGGTGCAAACTATTCAAGGCGTCAAATCCATGATCTTGGAGCGATTATGGTATCAGAAACGACCCAGATGCCTTCTATGGCACTTAACGATACGGAAATCATAGTGTAAGTATCCGCTCACCTTAGTGAAATGACAACTGGGTACCGGGGCGCCTGGAGAATGTTGCAGCCCGCTTCCTTCAGCTTGCTCAACCTTTCTTATGCTTCATTTCTGATCACGCTCGCCGTTCTTCCATTGAATCAAAGGTTGACCTTTACTAGCTTTTTCTTTCGAGCTCTCCGCCGTCCCATTGTTAGCTTGCGCCTTAGGGCACGTGGTTGGGGACCACACAAGATTGCCAATGTTCTCAATGAATATCGCGACGTCAACCCACCATACCTTCGCAATACAGCCTCTGTTATGACCGTTACGGCCCTGCGGCGCGGAGAGAAAATGTACGGAGATACATGGGAGAGCGATACGGGAAAGGACTTCTTGAAGGCCGATGACACTGAAGCAACCAAGTTGATCCGGGTACCCAACGAGGAGAGTGCCACAGACTGCGACGTCTCCGAGCTCTGTAAGAGCCTGAAGAAATACCCGGAGGGCTCTGAGGCTGGCATATTCACTCAATGCGTCAAATACTGCCAAGAGAATGATGTCCTGTGCCCTTTGAGTCGGATAGGCGATATTGCTGTCTTCTTAGAAGAGGCTTGAGAGCATGTTAAGGCATAAATCTCTGCCCACTCCTTCACTTGGACTTCCAGTTTTAATTCCTACCCTGAATCCGTATTACCCACCTCAACACTATTGGTCTGGAAGCAAGTCAGAGCATCCGGAGTATTCGGAGTAAATGGTTGGAAGTTTCCTAAATCCTCTTGGGTGAGGATGAGTTTGAAGGATTGCTGTCTTATATTTCCCAAATTTGTACATTATTAGGAAGAACCCTTGGTCATGGGTGACTAAGGCAGTGGGCGGATCCAACTTGGAGGCAGGGAGGGATGTGGCATGCTCAACTCTGCATGATTCTATCTCGACAACACGTCGGATAGGAAGTTCCGATACTCTGCAATGCTTCAATAGCTTAACATCCAGCTGACATTCGCAAGGATGGGTGACGTCTTGGCTCGGTGAGTTTTGTGAGAGTGAGTGGTTCGACTTAATTTGCCGGTCCTTCGGCTTGTGGGCTCTCTGGAGGTACAGAATTTGAGGGTGGTCAATATTCCTGTCTGCTTGCTACTAGCAACACTCCCGACATCACTGAAGCCTGGAAGCCACTTAGCTTTCAGCCATGTTTATTGTATGTCCCTTGTCGGTACCATCGCTGCACATCCATCCGTTATCATAGCCGACAGAACAAGCCGAGGGGCTATGGCAGACTTGGAGTGTAGCTGACGCTATTGCTGCTAGTAGCTGCATCGTTCATACAGGAAGATAATCCGGCCTGTCACACTCTGTCGGCTCAGACAATAGCACCTGTTCTGTCGCGGCAATAGAAACTCGACTTGAAGGCTCCTCCCGACTCGCTGCTTCCCCCAGCCCCAACCCTGTCTTTCACGCCAACCGACAGCTTTCGCCAAGAAAAAATAATCTGATGCACAAGCCTTCACCCAAGAGGAACGAGAGCGTCTCCTTAGTACCCAAGGAGAGTAGCCCGAGGGATCAGAGAAATGGCTTAAAAAATGAATTCAACAATGCTGATTAGTTCGCTATGGAAATAGCAACCGTAAAAATGCCCAACATGCCGGAATACATGTATGAGTCAGACGAACTTGTTGAAATTAGTGGCCTCAGGGTCATCATGCATGGAAAGCGCGATGAGGGGGTTCGAAACTACAAAGCTGAATACCTCGAGCGCAACAAGCCAGAGCTTCAAGCTCGAGAGAAGAAGCAGAACGAGATTGAAGATGAGCGCGAGGTGAGTGGATAGTGTTAGAAAATGACCTGCGAAACCTGCGAAACCTGCGAAGCCTGAATCACAAGAAGTTCGTACCGAAAAGGCAGAGAAGGTGCGAGGAACTGCGCGTTGAAGGGTAATGAAAGGAGAGCCGAAGAAAAGGTCAGAAGCGTTGTTGACTACGAGCTGTACTTTCGCTCACCCCGGCCGCCAGAAGAAGAGGAAGGAAGCAAGATGCGTCGGTACCGTTTGCACCAGACCAAAGTCAAATGCCTACTATCCCAGCACACGCCGTAAGGCCTGTCGAGGCTGTTGCATCGCCTGTAGACCTTTGCTTCAGAGGAGCCTGCTCTCAACCCCCCTGCCTTGGATGAAACATTTAAGCAAAATCTCAGCACTGAGGATGGCCAGGCTCTGCGAGCACAACCCACTCTAAATGGCCTGCTTCCGCCAGTACTGGCTCAAGCTCAAGGACAATTTTCAACTCCACTGAAAGCGGCTGCCGAGGCTCGGCGAGTATCTTCTCCCTCAATAATCGCCTCCTTGTATTTACAGACTCAGCTGGGAGCACGGTTACCCTCTCCAAGCCTCGTGCTAATTGCAAAAACACAAAGCTACCAATGAAGGCGCTGGGGCTCCGAGGGATCATCACCCACAAGGTATATTTTCAACTCTATCCCCGATCTGGTTTATGCTACAAATGAGGCTATACGGGCCTTGACGCGTCCATCATACCCAGCTAGCACACCTTCTCATCCCCGATTTCGCACCAAGCATCACAAGAAAACTCTCCTGCTGAGCCCCTCCGAGATAGGAGTCTTCTTCAGCCAACTCCTCGGCTTCTTCAGTTTGCGATAGCTGCGCCAGTAACGAAACTCCAATATGCCCCCCTCTTCAGTAGAGCAGCTAACGGCGCTGGATTATCAACGCCCTAAGGCTTCCATTCAATCTGAATTTAACATACGACGTTTATACCTATAATGAATGTATTATTAATTCCGTATGCGCGCAACTCTCTCTACTTGCCGCCTCTAGCCCTCCTGTTTAAACATAGCCGCTTGTAGAACTTTACAACGAGCAGCAGGTCTGCTGCTGCTGAGTATCAATCTGTCACATAGCAGCTTCCTCGCTGATCCTCTGTGTCTGCGAGATGCGCCAAATCTCCTTAATAACTTTAAGACGAAGCGAGAACAACTAGAGATCGCTCTAGCAACCTCCCCTGCACTGACTGCCCCATTTCTTCTCTAGAATCTTAACTGAAAGCTACCCCTGTAGGCCCGCTGTCTATTCGCGCCAGAGAGCATGAACTGTGCGTATAGAACGACACATTCAATAATTCAGTGCCGCTAGCTGCTACCCTGGCTGCTACCCTGGCTAGGCCGATAACACGACATCGCTCTTTTAATAAGGCAGTATCATAGGGTCAGGCGACGTCCTAGCCAGCGTTCCCAACCGTACGTACTACGACTCGTAGATACGTGAACGTAGCAGTCACGTGAGCCGTTGAAACGTAGGAGGAGTGTGAGCTGTAACGTACGTAGGAGCCAGCTCCCATTACAGACCGTAATACGTCTTAGAGAGACAATATTTCCTAGTAATATAAGGTCTTATTAGACAGCTATAGGGACGCGTTAGAAGGGTGTTTAAAGTTATGTTTTTAGAGTAATAATTAGGTAAAAACTTTATAGTTTGTATAATAATTAAGAAGCTAGCAGAGAAAAGAATTAAAGTGTAAGATTCTATAATTTTAGTTAAAAATTATAATTACTTATAAACTTACTTATTATAAGCTAGATATCCTAGTTTCTCTAGTGTAGCAGGTGTACAGCTTTATCCTAAGGATCTTTTTAAGCTAGCTTTTTCTACTAAACTAAAGTTACTTATTACGCTAGTTCTTATTAACTTGCCTAATTAAAGTCTTTATTATTAGAGTTCTTAGTTTTCTTTTATAATAGCACGCTATCTAATAGTCTTTTAGCCTTTATAAAAAAGTACCTAGACAACTTTACTTTTAATAATAGAGTATTATTTACTATTAAGTAAAATAATGTTTAGATAAAAAATAGAAAGTTAAGGCTAAAAAAGCTTAGATACTAAGTAAAGTATAAAAGCTAATTATATAGTAATTATTAGTTATTCTAGATATAGCTTTATAAAGCTAATTTAGTGTATAATAATAAAAGAGACACCTCTAGAATAAAGTTGTAGCTCTATAAAAGGTGCTACACTAAGGGTAATTATAAAGAGGTAAAGAAAGTTAATAGTTACGCTTATATTATCTACTACCTTAGAAAGGAGCACTAAATAGATGTTAGTAGGGAAAGTAAAAGCGCTTTTTTGCCTAATAAGCTAAGAATTTTTTTAAGTCTATTTAAAGCAGCTTATAAAGTTGTAGGCTTATTATATATTATCTTTTATAGTATTTAGTAGAAGAAAGCTTTATAAGTAGTAGTTATTAACTAGGTAATACTTTATAATATTTTTTTTTATATAGCATTATTAGTAGAACTTTAAAGCATTATTACCTAAAATAAAGCTAATCTTCTTGCTACCCTTCTAGCGTCTAACACTACATATTTATCCTATGTGCAGCAGGGATATACGCGGCAGAAGCAGAAGATTTAAATAATGCTAAAAATAGCCTAGAGCAAAATTATATTAAGTGTTAATATATAAACTTCTCTAAACTACCTCTTCTTCTTAGGTGTAGTGTTGCACTTTGTTAGTAAGTGTACTTTAGCTTATTAGTTTAGCGTCTTAGCATCTTTTATTAAACTAAACACTAACTAATAATACTATGTAGATGTTAACTACTAACACTATAACATCTTAATTAGCTTCTGCAACCTGTATAGTAACTATACTAGAGTAAATTAAGTGCTAGAGATTATTAAAGTTATTAATAACTTTAAAATTATATTAAAATTTTATTATTTAGTAGCTAATAATGTGTTAAATAATAATAATAAGACTATTTTTACTTTTGCCTAACATCTTAATATGCCTCTTACCTCTAAGCACTGTATACGCTGCGCTAGCTATATAATCTAGCTAGTAGTAAAAGCAGTTATTTATAGTAAAGGGATAAGCGCTTTTAAAGTAGAGCTTGCCTAAGCAGCTTTTTAGAAATAATTTAACTTTTATTACTACTATAAAGTTGTTAGAAAACTTTATAATTTTATAAACATAGTGCTAGCATTACATAAATAATAAAAGGCCTTTATAACTTTTTAGGCTACTCTTAATAATAACAACTCTTTTTAGAGCTTTAGGACACTTAATCTTATATAAGACAGTAGTGTACGCTAGCACAGCGTTTATTTTATGCTCCTCTACTATTTTAAGCTTAAGGACACTATTACTAAGTTTATACATAAGTAAAGAAGCACTAATAATAACTCTATAAACTCTACTATCTTTAGTAACTCTACTCTTACTAAAGTTATTACTAAAGATAAATAAAAAAAGGTTAATTACTTTTATAAGTTTTTTAAAGTTTTTTACTTTATAATAAAACACTTTAAAGGCAACAGCTTCTATAGCTTTTTTTAGATGTTTATTATTAACCTACAACACTTTTATACTAAGCTTCTATGTATAGGTAATAAACTTAAGGGTAAGAGTAATAATTACTACTTTAAATCTAGCGTAGTATTTAGCACAGAGAAGTTGCTTATATACTAAAAAAAGTTTATTATTAAGCTACTTATATTTTATTACTATGTAGTAATAATTTTAAACTCTTAACTTTATCTTATTTAGTTTAAGAACTACTAAAAAAAGCACTTTACATAGCATAAAAAAGCTAAGGCTTTAATAAAGGCTATTTTTTAAGAGTATGTTAATGTAAAGGCTAAGGCTAAAGCTAATAATAACAACATTACTTAAAAGCCTACGCAACACAAGTTACCTAGTAGTGACTATTATAATAAGAGCTTTAAAAGGACTTTTTTTGTTAACATAAGCCTCCTTACTAGCAGCTACTTATATAAAAAGCAGTAGAAAACAACAGAGTTGCAGCAGTACTATAACAGCTACTGTAAAGATGTTACTATAGCTAATAATAATAGCCCTTTATTTACTAACTCTTTTACTTAGTAAAAATAAGTTAGACAACTCTTTTACTTTACACTATATAAAATTACTTTTAACTTTTTATCTATCTCTTTTATAAGCTATAATTATAAGAGGTTTTTTTTTAAGAGTAGAAGAACTATTACTTATAATAAAAATAAGCTTTTTAGCTTAATAATTAAGGCTTTCTAACTGCAGAAAAACTAGCTTTAGTAAGGTTATATTTATAGTAAAATAGGGGACTTAGTAGACTGTATACACTGTAACGTCTTACAAGCTGTTAAAACATAGGAGGATTGTAAGCTGTAACAGTTACGCCCTGTAAGTGGATTTAAATTCTCCCTTTATATTAAAACGTACTAACAAACTAAGAAGTTACGGCCTAAAAAACGGCAAGTTGAAACGTATTACGTACGGTTGGGAACGCTGGTCCTAGCAGACGCATATCTAGTGGACTCCATTGCTAACAAGGGGCAAAAACTGCTGGCTCCCAGGCATGTAAGGTGTGTCAAGTCAAAATGTTAGACCTTCTAATGTTAGGAGCTGCAGATGTAGTGCCTGCGTACTCTACTGTCTTATAAGGTGGTCAATCGAGCCCTTAATTAATAGCTGTGCTGATTGTGTCTCGCGATGCCTCAGCTCATTCCGTGCATCAATGGACTGTAGACGATCTGCTAGGAGCGGCATGGCCTGGTAGATTAGGGACGCCTAGGAAGTGGTCTCATTGAGGGCACCACCCGTCGCTAGGAATGGAGTTGAATACTGGTTCGCAAATCGCATCTTAGACACGCGCCAGTGTCTGTACAGATCTCTCATGTGTGACCGGTAATCAATTTGCTGGTTTTTTAATATCACCTTCAGTGGCTACTTCAACAACGCCTCGGAATGATAGTGCCGAGTAAGCCTGCCATCTCAATGTAGCATTTCCGAACCTTGGGTCACCTGGAAACAAGATAGAGGCGTCAGACGGTACGGCCCCAAGCTCCGCAAAGTTACTAGGCTGCCAATGGCTCTGACTTCCACATGTTGTATAAAGTTCGACCAGGTGCCTAAAGCTCGGTCCGTGATCCTAGACTTTATTGATCGGGTTCATCGGGGCGGCAACGAGGGTGCGGACAACACAATGCCTTACGTAATTAGCCTGGCTGCGGCATGTCTTGAGCGCTTCTGTCACGGCAATTGTCCGCTTCTTCCTCAGATCTGCGTCTGAAATTAGAGGCTACGGCAGGTCAGTTCCTCAAACAGCGTTTCCATCAGGAAGTAGTACGATTCGACTCAGGCTTTCTAGACAAGTTACGTCTCACTTATCATATACTTTTGTTTGCTTTACCTGACAGCAGGGGTTAATATAATTAAGTTACAGTTTAATTAAAGCTGCTTATACTTCTTAACTTTTTACTAAAAGTTACAACGTAACTGTTAAAGCTTTTAGAGTAGTAAGGTCTCCCTTACTCTTAATATAGCACGCAAGGTTATTTAATTTACTAAAAACAACCTTATAATGTAGCTAGTTCTTCTAGAGTTGCAAAGCTTTAATTGTAGAGCCTAAAAGATAGTAACTGTTCTTTTCCCCCTGCTAAAGGCTCTCTTGCAGTCGCAGCTTGTGGAAATTAAGTGCCATCTTAAAGAGTACAGGATAGTCGCGCCGACTAACCTAGAGCCACTAATTCAGAGGTTCCCTATACAAGGGACTGTTATCTTTTGCTATAATAAGGTTGTCTAAAAGGTTGTTGTAGTACAGGGCAAGCTCTAAGGCTACACTAACATGTAAATAGTGGCACAAACACGCTCCCCTGGCCCTCACGCGCGTTAGAGACTGCAACCTTAAAAAATTCTACCTTAATTGTATACTGCTTACTTTTAAGCCTTATTAATTAAATTATAACAGTTAAAAATGTAGTTACGTTTGTTTGCCTCACGTGATTGTAGGTGGAGCAAAAGTATCAATTGTACTACTTCCTGTTGGAAACGCTGTCCTCAAACGAAGAGGTACAGAATATATAAGCTTAATGTTCAACCCCTCTAATATCCTTCTCGGGGAGACGTAACAGCTGAGGCCTATAGCAATAGAATACGGGTACCCGAATGTACAAGTTAGCGAAATGTCGAGTCTTGAGTACAATAGCAACGCAAAGGCTTCTTAGTGGCTTCAAAATATATTGTCGGGATTATACAATATCACCTGCGCAAAATACGGAAAAGCCGTTTACTGCTAGTATTTCACAAGGTGCACGAGGGCAGGGGAACTGATTAGAAGAGCCAGAGCGAACTGGAGCTCTGAAATGGAAACGCCCGTTATTTGATGTCCTCCTGTTGGCTAAACATGACACGTCAATCCCCTAGACGCGATGCTATATTAACAACTCTGACAGCCGAAGTCAAATCATATCATCAGAACAGACCCCAGCGGCGGCGACGACCGATTGCAGCCTGTGATCCAGCCACGCTGGATACCGAGGCTCCATTTTGCTGAGTCGTAGTCGAACTCCCACCTAGTGCACCCAAATGGGTATCTTGAATTGTGCTTGGCAGAATACGCACCTGGTCACGCTGCGCTCTCATATTTGCCCTCCCAACATGTGTCAACACCCCACAAACGAAAAATACACCTAGGTGCACGGGCGCAAGAGCACAGAGATAGCCTAGGCCTGTATTTGACTCCTAAGCACGTACCAAGGGCGACATAAGAGCCATACATCCCCAAAGAACGACCGCGAGCAGGGTGGCGACAAGACCGAAGGTTTCATCGAAGCCGAGGAGGCGAGTCGTGAGCGAGCAGTACCGGCTATGGAAAACGAGGTAAGATAGGGATACCGCGATGATCCATGGTTTTTCAGCGTTTGCGTCGTTATGTACAGCAATGTAAACGAAAGCAGCTGCACAGGCGGCTCCAGCCAACCCTATTTTGTACTTCCATCGAGACAGAATTGCGGAGACCACGCTAACTATGAGGAGGATAGAGATTGGTCCTATCCATGGGACAAGAGAGCATGCAAACTGACCTAGGCGCTGCAATATGCTGTCTTGGATGCTGCCTTGTAGAGTTGTACTCGATGAGGAAGTACTCGTTGACGATGCACTGGCCAGAGAAGCAAAGCACGGTAATGGCCATAGCCTTGATGTGCCATGCAGAAGAGATGATGCGCGTTGAATGAGTTCAAGCAGGCATGTTCCAGGACTTCCGATTCTTTTTGAGCTTGTCAGGCCAATCGGATTTCCTAGGTAAGTGGAAGTCCGGTTACACGCCGCTGATTCTGGATGGCGCTCTGGATTTGCTTCCTCATATCTTAAACTGGGTTCGTTAGTCGTCGGGAAGCGCGCATACTCATGCTGTTCGGGTTTTAGTAGCGTATCGAGGAAGACAGCGATTCCCGCCCAAGGAGCGCCGCTGAGAAGATTAGTGAGGGCGTTATGTTCTATGCTTGCCAAACGGCGAACAGAGGAAAGAGGGACATTCTTCTCACTAATCCGCTGACGAACAGGGGGTAGTTCTGAGTCGAACGGCATGGCAAAATCTAGCCAAGGGTAACAAGAAAGACCGTGTCTACTTGTTGTCTCTTCCTTCCAGACTGAGCCCATTTCGACATAACCGCCGTGTCTCGGATTGAAGATCCCCCCTCCCCAATCCCAGTCTAGATTACTTGAAGACAAATTCGCATCAGTAAGGTTCGCATGCCCAAAAACTGAGCGGTCGTGTTTGCCAATAATAATCGCTCCGGCGTCTCGAAGTCGATCCACAACCTCCGTTGCGTTCTTGATTCCCCGCGCATTGAACTGATCTTTCACGATGACCGGGGTGCCGTGGAGCGGTCTGTTGACAGGTTAGATACTCTGAATCTTGACATCGACCTGGATCAGGTGTTCGGAGAGCGGGCTGATCTTGACAAGACCGGGATCAACTGCGCGAGCGAATCGTCCAAACTTCGTAACCAAACCGACGTTGCCTCGGTTGCCTTGGTTGACTGGCTTGTATGGGTTTGGGCAAGCAATGCAGCATGGAACAGCTCCGAGAGTGCCAATGATTGAGCCCAAAGAATTGACCATGGAGCCATACCAGCCGTGGTTGTCATCGGTGTCGTCTTGCTTGATAACTTGCGCGTAGGAAGGCTGGAGGTCCTCTCGGCGCTGTGACCGGATCTTGGAAATAGGATCCTCTGAGCTGCGATGCGCATACGAGGCTTGCGCAGCTCGATTCCCGTCTTCATTCCCGGTCGAGCCTACGTTCGCGGAGTGGGTTAGGATGAAGACTTTTGAGCAAGGACTTGAGTGTTCAACATACACATTGCGGCGGAGAGGGGATCTGAGGGGTGCTCTGCCCACACTGAATTAGCATCTAGCTAGACACATCGAAGTACGGAGGGGCTAGAAGAGGTTGGAATACCTGGGCGAGGGGTTCAGTGTTGATCCGCGGAGTGGATCTCGCGAAGGAGTCGCCTGCAGGCGCGGAAGTGGTCGAACTACAGGATAATGGACTGAAGTGCAAAGATCGAAGCTACGGGGAGCGTGATTGTGTCTACTGTGCGTATCTTCGGTGCCGATGAAGGAGGTCGACGTCCGGTGTCAGTCAAGACGCAGCTTGCGCCTTAACTGAGGGGTAGGTAGCGCTGCTGCGCCACAACCCACCCCACCTGGAGCTTGCTTCCCCTCGCTGTGGTGGCATCACAACATCAACGACACCCACTACCGAAACTTCCTATATCGGAACGCCGAGGACCTCTGGGCTTGTGACTCTCTATCTTGTCCGTGCAGTATAGCCAAGCTCTTGTTCGGTGGGGAAGACGCAGGCTGACACAACACAAGAACAGCAGACTCCTCTCCTAAGCCCGCTTGACGAGGAGCACCATGAGCGAGTATTCCGACCCTATCGGTCATATTACCATCGTGAGCAGACCCTCTCATTCTCTGCCACCCGAAAGTGGGCCTCCACGACGATGCGAAGGGAGGAACAAGAAGACCGTGCACCTTGGAGTACCATCAACCCGCGGCGGACGGAAGGTGCCCAAAGATATGTCCTGGCCGGGGCATGCTTCGAGCGGGAGTCAAGCTGTTGCAACAAGGAAGACCAGGTTCGACATCAGAATCAAGTCTCAGAGAAAGCAGGCTTTGCGCAAGATCTAGATAATCACCCAGACGCACTCCGTCAAAGCGATAACCGCGAGAGGCAACAGCATCTCGAGGAACAAACTACTAGATGCTCATGGAGTCGCACAGTTGCTCTTGAAGCTGACAAGCTGCTGGACGAGAAAGCTCCTCGAGCAATATGGTTACTGGAAACCCCCGAAGCCGAAGAAAAGATCAGTCAACATAGTGCATCTCCCACTTTGAACGTGATGCTGTTTCTTATTCAGCTCGCGCTCATAACACCAATTAGCACATACCGGCCGCTACGAGAGCCAAATCAGGATGAAAGGGGGTATATCTGTACTCAGGGTCGGCCGAACTTGACGACTCTTGAGAGGGAGCACATGAATCTCGTTTCATCTGCGGTCGAACTCGTAGGTTCCTCTTTTTATTAATAACGACTGAAGTAGGCTGGACTGACACACTAAATAGTACTTCCCCTTCGTCTTTTCCATGCTCACACACCCCTCAGTTGAGCTGTTCATCATCTCGTCGCTCGCTTTTGGGGTTCTTGTCACATTAACGTATCGCTTCAATCGGTTCAGCGGCATCCAAGATGCGGTCTTTAAGGCCGCTGTTACGCTGGGTGTGGCAAGTTCTGTGTTATCAAATTGGACAGGTACTAATGGGACTACTTTGGCGATCCCGGTGGGTACCTCTTTCGGCCTGCTATCCGGCATAATGGTTAGGAGGATATGGAAATAGGATACAAAGCGGCAAGGCGACAAGACTTGTCTGGGAGTGGAATTTCGGCTGAAAAGTTGAGGGTCTAACTTTTAAAGGATTGTACTAAAGCATCTGTATACCGTAGTATATCTTTAAAGATGATCGCGTCCTGTGGCCTCACTAACTCTACTGTAGCAACATCGTTGTCAATGGTTTTCGTGGCAACTATCGTCTAGCCCTTCCGTCCTGTCAACTACGCGGATCACTATGAGAAATACCGCTGTTGAAGGGCACCGAGACATTTACACCATGTATTGTCCGTCACCAGAAGTGTTGCGAATTATTGAGCAGGTCGTTCACAACAGCACACCTTGATTTGATCATCGCAATCATGAAGAGATTCTGGTTAGCTCTAATCCAGCAAGGCAACGCTGATCGACATGGAAATAGGGGAAGTCTCAACCCAACTCACGGCTTCGGAATCAAGCCCACGCAAGTCAACCCTCAAATCCCGGCAATTTTCCCATTCCCTCTCCCCTTCCCAATCTCTTCACCAGACGGTAACATTCTTTCGATCTGCTCGACGCCCGCTAGCAGCCTCCAGCCTCTCCTTTATGTTTGCCGCATTCAGAATCCGCGTCAAGGCGGGTTTCTTGCAAAGGCCGTGGACTTTCATACCTACAAAGCATTCCGAGCGAGTTGAATCTCCCAAGACGGATATCTTGAATCGTCATGCACGGCAGGCCTAGACTCGAGTCCTCCTCTAACAGTGGTATTAAGGTTTCGAGGCCCATTTTTCATCCCTCGTGACCGAACTTCCTCTTCAGTACATTGTAAAAGATACTCTAAGTGCTTCTCTAATTTGGCACCTGATCATTGCTATTTTTGCGCAGAGGACCGTACGGTAAATATTTCAGACCACATTATAGTTTGTATGGAGACTTCCAACCAATACGTCACCAGATCCGTTCTATTCTCCACACAAAAGGTTTCATTATCGCATACCGAAAGTCGCAAGGATATATCGTTATTGTCCTTCAACAAGAATTGTTGCAGAAGCCTACTTCTCTAGTGCCTAGTGAAAGCTATTTGGCATCTGCTACCTCGAAATACCGACCAGCTTCACTTTCGGTTTCTGGGTTTTTTGTCCTGAAGACAATGTTATGGTTCAGAGGCAGTTTGGCCAATGCTCATCGTGTACATCCTCGTGGTAATAACTTGCTATGCGCTCAGAGCTCGCTATCGACGCGTTGAAATTCATCCTCGTCGTAGCCGTCGAGCAGAGTGTCTCTAACCTTATCCGCGTACTGCTCTCGGTTGGGTTGTGCATCTCTACTCTCTAGCTACCTCAGATACTCTCTAACATTGTCCTCACGCGGCGACGTATGGTTGTTCACCCCTAGGCCTTTATGCTCTCGGTACAGATCTGTAGTTGCGGTAACGTATGTAGCCCCAGAGAAGACAGGTCTCTTCTTGTGGTATATGGCTTCCAATTTTACGTGACTTGGCTCTCAGATGCCTATTGGTCATCTCGGTGGTAATAAATAATAAGAGCTTGTCCTCTGTGACAGTGTCACGGTCATGGTACTGCTTCTGTTTGCAGAATGCCTACGCGACGCGACGCGCTAGTATCTATTTTTTGGGAGTATAGGGGACGCTGCCACCCTGAATTCGTCCTGCTTCGGCTTATACGCTATAGATGAGTTTTCTGGCCTTCTTTTGCTCGCGTGTGTAAGGACTTTCTGCGAGTTTGTACGTGGCTCGGCGTTGTTCGTGATCTCGCGTTCCTGTTCGGTCGCGCGACCGCGTTGGGCAGCGCAGTGGTTTTCGACACCATTTTTCACGCGTCCTAAACGATGGTTGCTAGTAGGGGGCGCCTGCTCATTATCTAAGCCTCCTGCTGCTGCTGCTGTCGCGCTGGCGCTCCATCGAGAGCCGATTATCCTAGACGCCCACCCGCCTAGGAGGTTATTCCGGGGACTCTAAAGGATCCTACGACCCAATTTGAGCACCAGAGTACTAGGACGCTTATGTCGTAGGGGGGTTAATTCTGAGACTCATTACTAGTAGTGCTACAAAACCGGGCCAAAAACATGGAATACTCCTTAAAGCGACACACTATTTCCTTTCCTCCTACAACCTTATTCTCCATAGGGTCAGTTATCTGTGGCATAGCATTCATTAGCTGCTTTAGCAGTGCTACTCGCGAACGCCCCACAGCTAGTCCATTCCAGCCGCTTGCGTATGCTTCGCAGCATGAGGTAATGTCGAGCTAGCGGGCGTACCCGTGTGCTTACGATACAGTATATTTGCTAGTTAGAGAGCGAGTTGGAATTACTAGCCGGAGATAAGATAGGGGAAATAGGCAGGCGAGGCGTAGAAAGGCATGGGCAGCTTAGTAGCAGAGGCTCCAGCGTAGGGTTAGAGAACCAAGGGAAATAGATGAGGAGGAAGCCTGTAGACAGGAGGACGAGCATTTTATAGACGGATGCGCTAAATCCGAAGAGGGAGTCTCCTGACAGAGATTACCGCTGTGGCCTTTTGACTAACTTTGTACATAAATGCACCCGAGCGCTTGGTAGAATTCTTCTCCTTTAGGGTGTGGTCTCCCTTCAGGTTGAGATCTATCTTGAGGGGATCAGCAGTGAAATGGTGACTCTAAGGTACCAAATCTATGTGGAGGTGATAATACAAACGACTTGTGAAGTATGTTTTGGTGAAAGACATTCTCTGATGTTTGTTTAACACCTCATTTAGATTACCCGCATGCCAGAATATCGTCCACTGAATTCAATCCCATGATTTGTACAGAACAGCAATACTAAGATGCCCACACCAACGGCCTCTGCCCTTAGCCTCTCTTCGTCCCAACATGGGCCAATCTATGTTGCTATCCACCAAATTTTGGTAGCAAGCTCAAACCACGTCCTGTCCACTCACTCATTCAAACAGGAGCTCCATCCACTTCTCCCCGCAGCGAAACTCGTTATGTTGTCGAAGCCTTCCGCGAGCAAATCAAGTCAATCAATATCTCCCTTGCCGATACACCTTACATTCTCGCTATCGGTGGCCTCCCCCCTCTCCTCCGCCACCTAATCGCCGAAGTTGCACCCGGAATTTTCCCCCAAGCGATAAAGTTCGCACTATCTCCGCGGCAAATACTACTCAATTGGAGGGGCAGCAATAGCCATAGGGAAAGGTTTCTGCGCATGAATTTGAACGACCTGATGGTGGAGATAAGCAATATGGAGCATGTGTTCAAGGAGGAGCTAGCTACAGCCCGTGCATATGAAGTGTTACTAGGCCAAGTGTTGACACATCAAGGAACTTCATGGTGCAGAATCTACCGAATAGTTTCTTTGCACCGACGCTAACACCGAAGGAGAAGCCAAATTCATCTGCAAACTAGATTCCAAGGGCTCAGGATGCCGATTCGGGACCATTAAAGAAAGTGGCTGAAGCAAGTGGAAGGAGTACAACCAGCGTGGCCAACAGTACGTAGTACGTTACGTTTGAGCTTTTTTCTGCTAGTAACTTCTCAATTTAGTAGTACTTTTATACGTAAGCAGTAAATTAATTAGCAAGTACATAACATAACAGTAACTTCTTAAAATCCTTATACTTTTATACTTTTTATAAGAAGTTTTGTTAGTCTAGGTTAAAATTGTTCTAGGAGAAGCTTTTTAGCCTAGATAAAGTCCCCTCCTCTTTCTTATTACCCTCTGTCTCTAGCTTGTTAGGACAACTCTAATAAGCAGGAGGATTAGGATAAGGCTGTACACCTGCTGTAATAAAGGAATTAAGACATCTAGCTTATTATAATAATTAATAAGATAGGCAATAGGTTAGCAAATAAGCAGGTATAAAATAAAAAGCTTTTCTAAGGCAAAAGTTAACTATTTTTATAATTGTTACTTTAAAACATAACTTTAAACAAAGCTCCTAACGTGATAGCTAATAGGGTCTAAAAACAGGAGAGAAATCTCCTAAAATATAACCTCTCTAACCTGTACTATAGGACGTACTTAGCAATTTACTGTACAAAAGTTACGTCTTACATTTTAACTACTTTTGTACTCCTCACGTGATTACTACGTTCACGTAGTTACGTTACGTACTACGGACTGTTGGCCACGCTGAGTACAACGAGGGATCCACACTTCAATGTACTCAATCCAATAAGAGACGCCTATGTCTATAAGCCTCGGAAGCGTCCAAAGGGAGTTCTACCATGAGGGGTCGGGTGGATCCAAGATATCCATACCTTAGCCAAACTCTGTTGGTATAAACTTCCAGCAGTGCTGCAACGGAGCCAGGTTTATCGACTGCTAGTAATTCTGCTGAGACATAGGGCTGAGATATTTGAATAGATGATAGTGCGGGTTTTCATACAAGAAATGACTGAGTTGAATAAGGGGGCCGCTGGAAACCCAAACGCTCAGGTTGAACGGGCGCACCTTCGGAGTACAAATTGGAGGTTGATTCTCCCGCCGGGATATCGGTAGGCTTGATAAATTGGGAGCAGAGGCTTAGAGGAAAGGTGAATTTACAAGGAGAATTATGGTTACGGAAATACGTTTCCTCCTTTGTGAGAGCTAGTACAATATCGATAAGGGATAAATTCAAGCGGTACGGCTCCATGCAGGCCTCGAAGGGTAGGATCAGGCTTTCCATGGATGTGGAAATTACACATAGTGTTTCATGACACGCTTCCGGAGAATTTTTACGAGTTTTTCTTATTGTTGAAATTACCAGTATTGATAAAACATAGAGTTTTATTTCTGATAATAGTTATTCGTGGTTAATCACGTGGTGTAGGCACTAACGAGGTAAGAGGCTAAGCGCCAAGAGGTCCGAAACTTTGCTCTGACGTCGGCTGGTCCCTCCATCAATTCTCCTCTCAAACTTCATCAATTCTATCATCAATAATACAACCCACATGGAACGGACCGATAAGAGAAAGAACATGCCTTTTGTTCTTCCTCATTTCGCTACAAGCGACGAAGAGAGATAGACCGTCCTAACACATCGTTCGGAGAAGCTAGCCGGTTCTACACGACGAGAACATAACGAAGGGCAAAATTCGCCTGGATTTAAGTATACCCTTAGAAACTATCTCCCCCCTCCTCGATTCTGTTTGATATACACATTTCGTCTGTTGCATTTTGTCCAAATATCCTACACGTCGTTTTTAAGAATGTCACATTGATTATTTTCTTGAAACAGATCGTAAATATAAGTTCCTTAAGGAGACAACTCTAATTGTAATTTCGTTAGCTACGCGCAAGCACAGCCTTAAAAATGTCGCAGCCGTTAGCCGGCTGGCGATTCGAAGTCTATACACGACGCGAACAACGGTTGGGGGCCAAAGCGCTGTATGCTGTGCGTACATCCTAAATACATAATTTGGCCAATAAAAATTTCGCTCCTTGCCTTTCCATTCGGTGCCTTCATTGCTAAGGGCTCACTGCGTAGTGAACTACTGGGAGACGTACGCAGAGCCGCTCATTTGTCCACGTCAGTGACTCAGTGTTCAGCTCCCGAGAAAGATGTTGAAGGTATCTGTGCGAAATCGCTGGCACAGTTCTATTCTGGTTCTGTATAACGACCTTTTAACTTCTTCCCACTGTGATCAACTCCCATACCTAAATCCAAGCAAGCAACTACCGAGACTGAGATTGTTAAAATGAATTCATTTCATGGAAACAATGCTCCCAAGATTCGCGGGACAGTGTGTCCAACCGTTAGTACACCTAATAGTACAGTACTGCAGTACACTGATTTTAGTCACGTACGTACGTACAGGGCATCTACTCAGTATACTGTACTATACGTGAGGCTGCTGTACTAACTGTTTACAGTAGTTATATAGAATTTTTAGTAGTTTTAGGCAGTTAAAGGCAGGTTACTAAGGGCTAGGAGGCTTATGTTTAGAGATTAATGTAGAGAATGCTGTTATTACCTGTTTTATTAGTAATCTTCTAATAAATTTAGTAACTATGCTATCTATGTTATTTTTTTACCTATTATAATGTCCTAATTTTTATCTTAATTAATAACATAGTTATTTTAGTGTGTTACTACCTTATAGGCTTTATTTTTGCAGGCCTTATTCTTATAAGCCTTATCCTTACATGCCTTATCCTTACATGCCTTATCTAGCTGTTCTGCCACCTAGATATATTATGCTGCCTCATCCTAACGCTTAGAGAAGGCCTGCATAGCCTTACCTAGTCTATCTACGCTGTCCTTGCGTGAAGCAACTCCTTTAAAGCATATGCAAGATACCTAGGCTAAGAAGCACCTAAATAATGCCTACTATAACATTAAAATTACCTTTAAAATTAACTAGAATAATATATAGTATTCTAGCATTAAATTAAGTGTAGATTAGCTAAAATATTATGTAAAGCATAAGTTACAACTTCTTAGGCGCTAAAAGGTGTTATTTATGTAGAGATATAGTGTAGATCTGCAGCATGTTACTAAGGCAAGTAAGAAGAAGCAGCTATAGCTTTATTAAGCTTACTATAAAGCTAGTGTTTAAAAAGTAGCTAAACTTATTAATAGTAATGTCTATATAGTAAGGCATCTTAAGGTAGTTTATAAAATTAATACTAACATTAGTGTACTGCTAGATAGCCCTTAGAGGCCTTTAAATCCCTTTATAGCAGCAGTAGAGGTAGCAGGAGCAAGGCGGCAGGTAGCTTATACGCTGTAGCAGGAGGGTGCTCTAGCGCAGGTGTTTGTTAACTAAGTAGTTGTATCTAATTAGTTGCTGCAGTAATTAACCTTAGCTAAATGTTAAAGTTTTATTACCTAAAATTAACTTAATTTTTTTAACACTCTCTTTACTTTTTTAACTACGCTATTATAATATTTTTATAATAGTTTTATAAAGTAAAAAAAAGAAATTTAGACTATATTATATAAAGCTTATAGCAAAATTACATTAAGCTTAGATAAGTAGAGTAGTCTTAACTACCTTTTAATGCTAAAAGTTATTGCGCATTTTATTAGTAAGTAAGCCTTATTAAACTTAGCTTATACAGCTTATAGATGCGTACATAGATGCTAACACCTAGCTATAAGACCTACTTATTAGCTTTAAAAACCTATACAGTAACAAGACTAGCGCAAATTAAGCACGTACTATTATTAAGGTTCTTTAGAAGTATAATATTAAGTTAAAATTCTACTGCTTTATAGCAGATAACATGTTAAATAATAACATCTAGCTTATTAATTATCTTAACTTGCACATAAACCTTAACTTTAGCAGCAATAACTAAATACGCTGCGCTAGCTATACTATCTAAATTATTGTTAAGGCAGTTATTTATAGTAATAATATAAGCCTATAAAAATAAGAGCTAGCTAATGTAGCTTTTTAAAATTAATTTAAGCTTTATTAACAGCATAAAGTTGTTAAAAAGCTCTATAACTTCTACAACTTAGTCCTCTGCTTAAACAAGTGTTATAATAGCTTTATAGCTATTATAACTACACTAAGTAAGAAGAATGTCTTCTAGAGCTTTAGTACACTAAATCTACTACAAAATAGTAGTGTATAGTAGCATTCTATTTATTTTATAATTCTATGTTGTTTTAAACTTAAAAAGCTTATCTAGCGCTTTATTTAATCTAAGCGCTATAACATAGGCCTTACTAATAAAGTTAATAATAATATTAAAAATAATAGTTATAATTCTCTACTTAACAGCCTTACTAATAATAAATAGGTAAAAGTAAAGCACATAAAAGACTTCTTAAAGATCTTTTATAAGATAACTAAACACCTTAAAAGCAGCACTAGCAAATTAGGCTACAGTAGCTTATAGCAAATAATTATATACTTATAAGTAATTAATAATAAGCTTAAAGCATAGAGAAAGCACTTATCTTATAAGCACTATAGTAACTACCTTAAAAACAGCGTTGCCTTTAGCATTAAGAAGCTTACTACATACTAGAAAACTTTTATTTTAGAGCTAAAGATCTTCTACTACTGCGTAGCAACTATCTTTAACCTGTCTTTCTGCCTTCTTTAGTTTAAAAACTACTAGAAACACTACTTATTCTAGTATAAGCATATAAAGTTGTTTATCTAGAAGATCTATACACGCTACTTAAAAACTTTTAAGAAGGAAAAGAAGAAAAAGAAGGCAGTGTTACTAGAGATATTATAAAGAAAGCTCTTAGTAGCTTACAGTAACCTACATAATAAGCGCCTTAAAAAGGCCTTTTTAGTTAACCTTACTATTCTCTATAACAACAAAAGTTGTAGCTTAAAAAGAAGATAAAAAGTTAATAAGTTAAACTTCTACTTTAATTCCCTAGTAAAAGATAAGTACACTAAAGATTAGCTACTTACTTAGCTACTTAAGTAGTAGTAGCAGTAAAGTTAACTTTACTACCTTATTTTTTATAAAATTACTTTTAATTTTTTATTAATTTTAGTAACTTTATATAAGTGTAAGCAGTGCTTCTTACAGGCTAAAAAGACTATTATAATAAAAAGAAATTAACTATTAGTGTTAATAATAAAGGCTTTTTAACTGCAGAAGAATTAGTTATGTAACAACGCTATTACTAGTAAGCTAACTAAGCTTATAAAGTACATTAAAACAGTAAAATTAACAACAGTAGATCTTATAAAGGGTATTATAACTTTCTAATTAAGTATAGTCTTTAGCTTTAGCGCAATTACTTTATAATACTTTAATATACTTTAGTTACTGTATCCTAACCGTACACTGACGTCATATCCTCCGTACAGTTAGTTAGTAACAGCCTCCTCTTCCGTAACTGTACTATACAGCCTCCAAAAGGCTCCGTAACTAACGGTTGGACACACTGTCGCGGGATGGCATGACGATGTGGTAATTATGACAATCTCTTAAGGTTTGTGGTAAGATATCATGCGGTGGGGTCGATGATATCACAAATATCCCTCCTAAAAACCCCGGCTGAGATGCTGCACCAACTCCCAACAGTGTAGGGAAAGGTCAAGAAACACACTCCTTCTCCACCCCCGAAGGATTCGACCAGTACCGTCCTATCCAAGCTGGAATAGATGCACCCAAAGACAACCAAATTTCAAGATCCTTCGCGGGGAGCTCGAGGGAGAATGAGGCCCGCCTAGGCACTTTTCGAGGTGCTAGCACAAGAGACGCCAAGCCCCGGCCACTTCGCCAAAAAAAAAAAAAAACGACCAGTGCCCAGGTGTGCCCAAAATCTTTAATTCCCACGTCCATTTCTTCTTTAGGGGTACGTGCTTTGAGATAGCAGGGGGTTTGATTCGCCCTCAATGTAGTGTCATGTGAGACTCTGTCACATGCGACATTAAGCTTGCACTCTTCTTCACCTCACTATAGTGAACTGAAGCGTCCTCGCGCGCAAACCTTCCAACCGAAATCTTCTTTTGCATCTCTATGACAATGGGAAAATGGGACATTGGCTCCAACGCGCCCCCATTTGCAAAAATGTTAAAATCGAGCCTAGACATTGCGGAAGAACCAACATTGCTCTAGGTGGTTTGTTGGATGTACACAGGACAAGCGCTCCATCAGCAACACCAGAAAGCTCAACCTAATAGTGTCTCGGTGAATTTCTTACCCCGATCAAATTGTAGGACTGTAGGACACTGTTAGTGGAGAATCTATAATTAACATTTTCCTCCAACTGAGGGTCATCACGCATTACTCGCATCAGTCTCGCCTTATCTCTTGTAGTCTAAATTCGTGGTTATCCCTAGATATCCACGGACATACACCAAACCCATCATTAAGTCCCATTGAGAAGTTACGACCTCTCGACGGGAGAACTATCTGGATATAATGAATTCAGTGAACATCCGCGGGTAAACAGGCTTCCGCCTCTATCCCAGTCATCGGGGGTGGATTTCCTAACCACATCTTCGTTTTTAGGGCCTTCGCAACCCCTATTCGCCACTCATACAAAGAGACAACCTGTTGGGTAAGCGAAAATGAGCTCAGAAGTATTATTCGGGCAGCCAATTTGCGCAGTCTGAATCCAGGGCATTTGACTGATGCAGTAGAAATTCCCAAGAACGCTCTAGTTATTGGCCTCCGGTAGAAATGCTAATGTGGCCGGTAGGGCATGTTGAAGGATACACCGGCGCCGAATTTGAGATCCCAGTTGGGGACGTGTGAAATGTACTGCCGTAGAGGTTGTGTGTATATAACTTTTCCACACAGCATCCAAAAAATCAATATGTGCGCTAAAACTTACAATATCATTACTAACTCCTGTTTTAAATCCCTCATGACCTATCGCCTTTTTAGTAATGGGGTAACTCCAAAGGTACATAGAGTCATCTTTATCTGCCAACGGGGCGAGCATTATTACTATTATATAGGATCTTCAGATCATCATTACCCCGCCCCCAAGGAGAACACCTACATCTTCCCTAGAGAGACCACCCTAGACTAGAATTTAGACACAATTAAGCATTGGTAAACTAGGACCATGAAATTATTACTCTTGAGGATTATGCTCCATTTCAGGACTCTCATCACAGCGATACCGATCCGCCCCGAGTAGCGCGTTCACTGGTCTCGAGAAGGGAGTAACCATATTTCTCAAAGGCGACGACGCAGCCGACACTATGAGGGTTTTGTTGTTCGCAAGGTGGGCTAAGTTAGTGCACGGGGTCATTTTTATATTCCTAGTCGGCCTGGTAGAGGAATGAACTTGGTTGGTTCTTTTGATATGACTGCATTTCGTACATATGCAGCAGTAACGTACTGGTGAAAAATCCCGTGATAATCGGAACGAAACTGTTGTCGCGCGTGAATTTTCTATCCGCCTATATGTGTTCTTCTGCTCTTCCTAGTAGAGGGTTGATATTTTGCCACTTGCAACAACTTTTACTCAGCCAAAACCAGAGAATTGCTTTCTCCTTTGACTCTCCAAAAAGCTATTCCGAAGATGATTCAGCTATGTTCCTAGAACTGGGGAACGCTATCAGACTTATTAATCCCTGGGATTCTTTTAGCGACCGAGTGGAAGAACAGTAATTACCTATTGACTTATGGTGGCAAATATTCTAACCTTCCCATGCAATCATGGGATGGCAATCTTTCACCGCAAACAGGGGACGAATTGGTTGCGTATGACAAATTTGTCGAATCACCAAAGAGTTTCTCCCAGACTGTAAGATGAATGGTCCCCACGGGCATGGCACTCGTTCCTTCGGAATAGCAGTCCAATAATTTATCTATCTTTCCAAGAACTAGACTTAATCGTACGGGAATTCATAGAGTTTCCACTGAATAAACTTGAAGAGGAAGAGCAACTCGGGGTCGACCGTAGCATCGAGAAGTACGGGAGTGGGGCAGTGAGAACCGCCAATCTGGCTAGAATATATTCCAGTCATTTTTTTCATTCCTCGCTAGCTTTCAGGGACTTTATAGTCAGGGGGTTTACGAACAGCTGATGAAACGTCCAAGGAATAAACAACGCAACTTAGAATCACGACCGCACCATGTGATGTCAAATCGATTACCACCAGTCAGACGAATTCAGTTTGTCGAAATTACGCCAGTTTTTTAAATTCAGTGTCCTTGGGTTGGTTTAACGGATTTTTGGATATTTAGGATTACTCCCATCCTGGAAGCGACCCACAAAATTCGCTGGAAAGAGAATAGAAAGGACCCGATACTCTCGAGTTGGACATCTTACTGCTAATATTCGACCTGTGAGATCTTATGACTAACGGGGTGTCGATTAGAGAGTGAATTTTCACCACATCGAGCATATCTTCCTCATGGAGAACTTATAGGTTATGGAGATGCTGCGATCTCGGGCGATACCGGAAAAAGTCAACGATACGGCTTGCGCAATTCGATTTGCTAAACAGCGTTACCACACCAGTTTAGAGTGGGTAGCTGCAGATTTCCGAGGATAATGCGAATATTGGATGGCGTGGTGGGTGGAGAAGAAGGTTGCAACTTTGAGCGTAGTTGAGGATATCACAACAGCTGCACTAGTGACACGAACTAAAATATGGTATCCAATCATAATAACATTCGTGTACGGAACGCAAAAACATTAAAATAGAATCGCATTGAAAATGAGTGCATTCGTGGAAGTTTCTGTTGTGCGACCCATCGAAGATAAGAAGAAGCAACGAGCGGCGAGGTAACACGGCGCGGGAACTAGAGATGATACGCGTCTAAAGACGCCACCAACACAGGGAAGGGCTAGGTTCGAGGTCGGAGCGCGCGCCATAGTATTCAGTCACCGCCCCTTCTGCCGAGTTGGCTTCTTGCATGGGGGGCTGTGCAGAGCGGCATGTCGTACGATTTCCTCATGGCCCTGGAAGCACATGAGCTTACCTCATCTAATAATATCTTCACAAAAGCTTCTACGTTCAGATTGATGACCCTGGAGAGATTGAGGACCTTCCCTTGCGCGTTTCAGGTTATCCTGGCCGCAGCATGATCTATGGTGAAAACAATACGGCAATGCAAGCTCGTCGTGAAGGACAATATTGGCTTCCTGCAGCCTCAAGGCGTGCATGCATAACTTCGGGAGCCGTTAGACGTTGAGGCTACTCCGCCGCATTAACTGCAGCAGCACATGTCAGTGTTGGAATACGGGAGCAAAATGAGGATATCAAATCCAGATTTGTAATTCATCAGGCACGATTGGTGGGGTTAACTACAAAACAGCCGCAACACAAGAAACGCATTTCTCATTAATTATTCATCAACTGCTGATGCATAACAAATCAAGAGCGGTGGGTATAGATACATGAAGCTCATTCATCATACACCAACGCTGCCCATGACAAAACCGAAAGCTGAAGCGGCTAATCAACCAATAGACATTAAGCTTCTGCTTTATTCCTTGGTCTCATTCTCCAGCTCTTTCCTCAGTTTTTGTTTCAGTCTTCGGATGATCCTCCTGTCTTTAACCTTCCTCTCGATCTCCTCGAGCGTAAATCTCCTGTTCCTTCCGTTTTTGTTTGGACGGTAAAGATGGGTGAAGTGATGATCGAAGAAGTTGTCGCGACGACCGAAAAATCTGTAACAAATTTTACATTGAAACTTCTTCACGCCTTCGTGGGCTTCCCAATGCCTTTTTCGATGTTCCGGTCTGGTAAAGCGTTGTTCACATACGCTTCCGTCCGGGTGTTCGTATGCACACTCGTAAATGCTGAGACCAGACCTCTTGAGGAGCCCAGTGTACTTTCCCGTCCTGGCATCCTTTTCGAGATCGCTAAGGGCAATGGAATCGAACCTGACTAGCTCGAGTCTCTCGCGTTTTGGTGTTCGGGGCCTGTTCTTTAATGAAGCTTGGGTCTTCAGCTGCCGCCTCGCACTCACACGCCTTGGTGGGGTATCGCTATCTTCAGTGCCACTGTCGTCAAAGCAACTGTTGCCATCATCTGACTCATGCGGCTCGCTCTCTCGCAAGTAAGTCTCTTGTGACGACTGTGTTGACAGTGGCGAGCTGAAATTCGCTGTATCGAGCCCTGTGGACGGTACCATCGGCTCAGAATTCAATGTCTTCAGATTTCCTCCGTCCCATACGGGAATGAAGCCAGGATATACCCAAGCGTCATGCTCGTAGTATAAACCTTGCCAACCAGTGGTCGCTACGTTGGCCCATTCGGGGTCGATAGTGTCACTGATAGTGCCACCCGTACCTCCAAATGGTGAAGCCAAGCTTGCGCACACCGATGAAGCTATATGGCCTGGGAGTTCGGGTTGAAAACTAGGTTGCAGAGGCGGGGTGGAGATTGGACCTTGCGGTAGAGGCAATAGGTCCGGATCATACGAGATAGGGTGAGATTCGGTGGACAGTTTGTCGTCAAAAGCGCCATGCGGCTGCGATATGCCTTCGAGACTCATGTTTTCGGTACAGGAACCCATTCGAGACGGTGGTGATTCAGGGGTTGATTCAACCCAAGAGTCAGAAGTATAGCTCTGGAAATAAGAGAGAGACATGTGCAAGGATTCCATAGTGTCGTAACTCCCTCCAAGCTCGGGCAATAGATGAGAGGTAATGGCAGTTGAGTCTGGGTAGCCTATGGAGACTAGCATAATATTCCTGTGATCTCAATAAATAAATAAAAAGGTGATGATTGTTGACAGTCGGTGTTCTATAAAAGAATTATTGAACGACGGGGCAGGATGAATAATTTCAAGCCAGACCAGAGGCTCTGTTTATGCTTTTTGTATTGGGGCTTGCCACTCAGAGACAAGTTCTGGGGATCTGCAGAGGCGCGCCGCGAACACGGCAGAGAACAAGGTCAAGGAATGTGTGCGGTAATGGGAAACATGACAGCTACCCACAATGGCCTTCCACCTCAGGACCTAAACCTAGATCCCAACGTGGAGTTACCGCAAGGACGCATGGCAACATGGCAGGCGCCACAAGGGCTCAAAAGCCTAGCCTTGCAGCTCGTATACTCCCGATCTCTGGAAACTTCCCTCAAGCCCATGAACTCGAAATCTTCCACTTCTTTCACCGTTCACGCTAGACTGCAGCCAAGCCTCTAGTGAGGGGAAGTGTAGAAGGGGTTGACTGCTGCAAATCTGGAACGCTAGGATGCATTCGGAGTTTCCGCACTTCAGTTTCAAGTCTAGATCTAGTCGTATTAGCTCACTATTCTATGATTAAACCTATGGCGTAAAATGATTTTGCCGATGTATGCTGTCATAGAACACATTCAGACTCACCGGGGCAAAGCCATAACGTCGGATCCTGGCTCGAATTCAAGGAAAACAACCTTAATGCACATTCTTCAACTGAAACATTGCCTCCCGGAGATTTAGTAGACTGAGAAGGAATGTTCCATGCGTTTACTTAGACGGTGGCGATCACGTTGAATTGCATTCCGGCCACATGGGTCGTAATATTGTGCCATTGAGTTAGAGAAGAACATGTCAAGAATCTCCAGGGAATGGCCAGGGGGCGAGAGCTGGCTTTAATTGGTCACGAGAGGCGCTCCCCTGGCCGGTGGAACTTATGGTATTTCTTCCGCCTTCCCCGATGTCTCAGCGCGTATATGCGGGTGAACGGGTCTCATGTGGCCTCATTGGAGCAAAATATAACATAAGTCCCTCGAAAAGGCGGCAAAGTCTAGGTGCAATTGGCGGGCGCGGTGAGACAAAATACAATGTTACGCAACCTCCCTCCTGGCGATAAGCGAGTGCAGCCTAGCTTGATGTGTGGATCCGTCACTTTCGAACAAGCGATTGAGCGGCTGCTCCACCCGCTGCCATGCCAGTCATACATCATTCACCACGGAAGATGGTTCTGCCGACGTCAAGGTCAAAGAACAGCCTTTCTTCTGTGACCAATAAGACTTACAAGTACCTTTGCCTTACAACTTCCACTAAAAAAACAACCATGCAAGAATCCACCTTCCCGCCCACGCCAACATAATTGACGATGCTCAACTGCGCCGCTTCTTACAACGATTCCCAAATCGGCCAGAAACAGGGTCAGATGAAACGCAACGTCACGCAAGCTACCCATATTCTCACCGCCGACTGGATCAAAGAGCTTAACACCCTTCTTGACCCACAGGGTCAAGAAGGCCGTTAGGGCTTATGGTGAGAATACAAGGAACATACCAACGACGACCCTGGCTTCCCGGAGGGCTTGCAATCCGCTCAGATCGCGATGCAGAAGCAGATTAATTGGAGGATCGTGCAAGGACGTTCGAAGATTCTAGGTACAGGTGATCTGAACGCATCAGATTAGAACCTAGAGATATGGGCATGGGTAGTGGGAGTTCTGGATCTGGTGACACCTCTCCCATGCGAATTAGGCGTAGGGGAGGTAGATCATACGAAAGAGGTGAAGATCCATGTGCAAGCTCTACCCAATGAACTGACTGAAGTAGATCTGCCTGCCTCCCATTCAAGAAGATCATGTTCGTCATATAATATCGTTACACAATCGGATGATCATTCGACGCCCTTTACACTCCCTTCAAGGACGTAGCACGAGCACGTAATGAAGCAATGGAGGAGAATGATGAATCGGTACCTGGCGGAAAACGTAAGGGGGTAGCCATCAAGCAAACTTCCAGGCACCTTTCCGCTCAGCACATCGAGATATCTATTTTATCTAACTAGCATTCCGCGAGTAAAGCTGATCAATCACTCCGCATGGCTCAAGATGGAAATTTTGGGTCGGAAGCTAAGGAGACGGATAAACTGCAAATGAGTGAGTAGCCGCAGATACACCCTACCTTGCATGCAAATACTTCGCCAGGTTGCACAACTTCGCCCTTGAGTAATTCAACGCATCTGTATCCACACGGCTTTTCAAAGTCTTCGTCGGGATGACCAACTCTTGAGGAACTGTGCTGAAACCGTGGCCTTCTATCCCACCACCTGCCTTGGACGTGCAGCCATATTATCCCGATTCCCGGTCCAGATCCAATAGGTTGGAGTGTTCGGCATATTAAGCTCATTATAGAGATTTTTAAGGAAGAAGAGAGGAAAAAGGTGGCGTTTGTTTAGGGGGCCGGTTCATTGTTTTTACATCGATGCGTGGGCAGTGACGTACGGAACAGTGGCCGATATGGAAGGACTAACGGTAAGAAATTTCATTCCACTGAACGCATTACGCTCCAGGAGAATCCTTAAATGGTTTACTTAGCATCCAATAAAGCGTACAACCGTTGAACAGGCAGTGAATGAGTGGGGTTTGTCGATTGTCCTTTATCCTTGAGCACGGGAAGGGAGCGCACATCTTTGTATATTTAGAATAGCCTGCTTAAATCGGGCGGGGGACTACATCCTAATGCTAGGCACAAGGATGCTTTCACCTTCATCATCCTCCTCCTTTCTGTACCCCACATCACAGGCTTTTACCCTCATATGCCAAGAATTTTCACCAAAGAGATTACAGATAGAGAGCGAAAGATCTCGAGGGACGCAAAATGTCTCACAGCTATCTCGCTACTTCTTTCTACTTTGACGTCAGTGACTGCTTTGCAGTGGCCCTTGACACTAAGCTGTCAGGTTTTCTTCCACAGCTTGGGCACACTCCCATCCTTGTTTCACCCTCCACCTGGCCCCTTTTATATTCTCGCCGCAGTGTACTCGCTTTGCTCGACGTATGCGAGCTTCCGCGTGCAGCAATCCGCAAGGTCCTGCAAGGGCCATCTGTGTATTGCTCTGTTTTAAATCTTAACATCAGTTAGACGCCCTCGAGGGCACATGCTTCAGCATTGGCGCTAAATCTGAATCAAAGCGGATAATATCCGTTGAGAGGGTTCGTGAAGTTGTCTCACATTTTATGCTGTTGAGGTGGCAAAAATGAGGGCCATGGAATTACAAAGCATCTCGTATTCATTATACTTTAGCATTCGATCTTGGATGCAACTGGGGGATAGGGGTCTATGTGCGATCCTAATGTTTACGTTAGATACACTCTTTGACTTACAATCTGCGATGGCCGTATTATTCCCACTATTCTGGTCATATGAAAAGTTCTTGGGGGGATTACTTCCGTTCTTGACAGTGATCATGGACCTAAATCCCCGCTATTCTCCACCACCCTAGCCAAAGTAGATACTAGTGGCAGGAATTCGACAAACTTGATGTTGGGATCATCCCTTCGAAAGCCGACCGCATTCCGTATCTTGGGCGTGGCATTTTTATTATCCTCCATTCCCCATCTCTTATGATATCCTGGAAGCCTCCACCCTGAAATTATTTGCGGTTATGCTTCTCCGGAATGTCTAAGTGGATGGTTGCAGCACTCTTGTTGGTTGTAACATAGCTCCCGAGGGCCCTGGAGTGTTGCCGCTGTATATATCAGTAATGGTAAGAGACGAAGGTCTGCTGCAACTAGCACGAAGAGGGAAGAAGCAGGAGTAACACCGAATGGCTGGTGAACCTTGTCGTTGTCAAAATGTTTGAAGACCCAGGCGTCTCTGAGCGGAGATTCGATATTTTGATGCAATGGCTAGAATACAAAGAGGGCAGAGAATTTGAGATGACATGTAAGATTCTGTATTAAGACGAAGACCTATCTGCCTAGATAAGATCCCCTCAAATGATGGAGTGTATGACTAGCTTCCTCCCAAGACCCTAGAGCTTTGGTTCTATGTATTTGCTTACCTCCATGAGTCTCGTCAAGTTCAAACGCTGACAGAAAGTGAGAATACTAAATGTAGCCACCTAGCGTTTCTCGCGTTACATTACCTAATTTCAATCGCAAATATTGGTGATTGGCGGATGCTGGTGCAAAAGGGGCGTCATTGGAGGCGTGCGGGTTTTGAGCGCTTTTGCGGAGTGGGTTGGAGTAGGACACGAATGATAGAAATTTCAGTTTGGGTTCTCATGCATGAGGAGAAGATGCCCAGTTGGTAGGATGAGCCTAAGTGCTGTAAGATATGGAGAGGCTCTGCCCGTGCGGCCTCGCGGCAGTGTTACGCAAGCTAATCCAAGTCATTAATATGACAATCCCTGCTATCGCTGGACCAATTTTCAGGAAGTAAAAGCAGCCTTATTTGGTTCCGACGCAGGCACTGTGGCACAGCAGAACAGATCCCCCGAGTGCATGCCTTGCCAAGAATATCAAGGATGAACAAGAAATACAAGAATCCTAATTGGTGGATGCTCGGACCATCAAAAAGACGCATGAAAGCAATGCACTACTCGTATTGGAGACGAGGTTGCAGGGATATGAAGACGCGCTTCTTGTCTTGGCGGCTGCACGGCAGAGTCAAGCGCGAATCACGGACCTTACGTTCTTCCAACCTCGAGCCAACATCTTCCAGCTTTCAAGTAACCTGTCAACGAACAAACAAACCATCTGCATCGCTTGGTTTTGCCCAATCGAGCATCCTCGTACTTTAGCCCTCTTCATTTAGTTCCGCCAACCAGAGTAATGATCATCCACCACCTGGTGAGTGCGAGAAACCTCCGGCACGTTCTATTCGTGCATTTGCCGCTCCCCTTCCAACTTCTTCTGCTCCTGCTCTTTCATATCTGCCTCGATGAATTCCTTGGAATACCAGGCCTGCTGCTTTCGATAGCTGAATATGAGACCCTGGTGGTCGGGACTCTCATTCCATGACCCAACTCGATAAACGAAGGCCTGCTCTTTTGCCCACCTGACGTTCTCTGCCCATCCACTCATATCATCCGGATGGGGTTCCTTGAGCCTATACAGTTCCCGGTACGGGGGAAAGCGGCGGGGCCCTCCATATGCATACGGACTCAGTGGGTCGGTCTCAAAGGGGTCTCCCTCGGCCCAGAAGAGGAGACTCAATGTCTCGTCGGAAAGAGACTCACTTGGAGGTGGTGGGAAGCCAAATTGGAGCGGCCAATAGTACTTGTAGACTCTGGGCTGCGATTCAGTGTGCTTCTCTTCCTTATTGACCTCCATGATTGGTATGAGCTCCACTTCAGACGAGGATTCCAGTTCTAGCTCTGGCTCTGACTCTAGAGCGTCCAGGTCTGGCGACCCAGGCTCTGCCGACTCAGTGAGTCTGAGGCGCTTTCTAGGTCTACCGCGCGACCGCTTCTCCCCGATCTTCGGAGTCCTCTTTCGCTTCGGTGTGGGCGTCTGTTTCGGCTTCATTGGAGAAGACACACCTTCCCAGCGCTTAAACACTTGACGGTCCGTATGCTCATCTTTCACCTCGAGCGGGCCGCCCAGATGCTTGAGGAGTTTCTCGTAATCAGTAGGATACCAATATTCCTCCTCCGGATTCTCCATCGCAAATTTAACCATTCGCGTAAGATCCAGCGCATCGTCGCCTTCTGGAAACTTCTTGACATCGAGAGCTAGATCCGCGAACGGAATCGGCAGACGTGGAGGTGACCTCTGAAGCTTCTCAGAGGGGGTTTGGAAGCCTGCCACGTTCAATTTCTTCTCGTCCCACTCAGCCGCGACCTTTTTGTGCCATTTCTCGTGGGTCGTGATCGACCAATTCTTATAACCGGACTGCCTCATAGTGTTCCTCAACATGATTCCGCATGAGTTGCTAGGCCACGGTCGCTCGAGCTCGCGGACGGTGTTGACGATTTTGTTGATGAAACGGGAGCCGCCGTTTGAGATGAGACGGAATACGACATCTGGCGACTTGAGTGAGAGGGGGAGAAAGGTGAGAAGCTCGACGGCAGTGATGTTGGCGGACTCTGGGAATGGCACGTTTTTTGAAGGCGCATTTCTCCCGAAGGAGTCAAAGGTCCCTGCGAAGTGATGGCCCACCATTCTTACGGTAGAATCAAGTTTTGGGGTCGAAGTCAAAAACTCGGTTGAAATGTTGCAGTTGAAGGTATAAGGGCGAAGAAAGAACTCCCAAGTCCATCGCGAGGTTGGGGCGTGAAGTGAAAGCCTCCTTGGAGGACTCATGTTGCCATGTGATCTGTAAAATCGCGCAGTCGCCCTCAATAATATGCTACCCGGAGAAAATTTGCTCCGGACGGTGTGATTTCATGCCCGTGATAGTGTGATATTGTATTTTCCTGCGCCTCTAGAGAAGCAAAACAAATATTCAACAAAACTGGCGGGGGTTTGGAGATGCTAGGACTAGCCTTAAAATTTTCTATGAGAGTCTAAAGATCTTTTCAAGATTCATCCTATGTTATCTTTAGTAAGATATTACTGGCCCTCCGCGCTTTGGGGACTTGTAATGTCACACAATAGTATCGTGGCTTCTTGATCCAAGGTTTGCTCTAAAATCCTATTAACTCCATCTGCCGAAGTACAAACAGTGTGTATTCATCTCTGCAATATACTAGGAACCAAATGTGAGGACTCTCAGACATCTAATAAACCCATTAAACCCCTCTCCGTATAGTCTTACCGCCACCTCAACCCTTTTCCTCCAATGCATCGCAAACCATAATCACCCCGCTACCATCCTCCTCCTGCATTTTCCCACTCACAAAAACCTCCTCGCTCTACTAGAGTGACTGGATCTGATGCTCTCGAATCATCTCACGATGCCACCCACTCCAATTCCACGACATCGACCCAAACGCAAAATGCTGGTTGTTCGCCCAGCGAATGCCCTCCAACCAATCGCTCGCATCATCGGCCAGGGGACCAGACGTTGGTAGGGCTCGTGGGAGGGAATATATTTGAGCTGGCCATTTTCGTAGCGGCAGCATTTAAACGCTCTGGCCTACCAGTCTGTCGCTCCTTCTTCGGTGAAGACAAAGACATTGGAGTTCGCGATGATAAGGTGGTGTTGTGGAAGGTCAGTATAAGGTTGTTGGAGGAACACCGGGACATTCTTGGAGTATCGGTGGGTAGGGTGTTCAATTTCTGGGCCAGCTGAGCTTCCGAGCGGGGATTCAGATAAGGCATCTGTGATACTCCCTCTGGACGTGCGTGCACTTTGTATGATAGAGGGACGAGGGTGAGGTTTGAGGGACAGAACCGTTTAGAGAGTCTGTAGGCATACCACTGTCATGTGGGATGTCTTTGGATGCATCGTCATTCTCGACAGCTAGCTTGAATCCCTTGTCTTCAGAACTCTCCTTCTCGCCATTTGTAACCTTGCCTGAGTCTAGTGATTTGTAGTAGAGGACAGTCTTTGCTGTTCAATAGCTGTTGCCAGCTACCTGAATCCCTTCTTCTTCTTCTTCTTCTTCCTTGTTCTCGTCTAAATCATTCAGCTTTTCAACTTTGCCAATTACATAGCCTCTTCCTCCGGCTACCTGGCAAGCCGAGTCGGCTAATACATTAGTATCATTAGGCTGTAAGCAGCCCATATACTTCACCAACCACCGAGATTGGGAGCCTCGAGTCGGTACGGGGCAGCATCACTTCCTTTGCCCTCTGAAAGTGTGCTTGGACTATCGAGGTGGATCCAGCGTCTCTTTACTGGTGGCCGACAACTTTCTCGCTCCCTGTCGTTCTTCAATTCAGATTATGTCTTGATCTTCTTCGGTAACTCCCCAAATTGCTTTGGAATTGGTCCCAATCATCCGAATATTTGATCGAATATAGTACACAGCGCGTCAAATCAAGAGTGTCGCCACCTTCAAGATGCTTCAAACGATCTTTACCTAAAATTTTACATCTTACATGGCTTGACATCGCGCTTGTTTCCACGCTCCTTCCGATGTGCTACAAGGATTGAGAAAGTCACTTCCGTCCAAATCAGTCATGTCCCAATCTCTACGACGATTAAAAGTATGGTAGGTCTTCATAGTCTACATCCCGTAACTAGTGCGTTGTATGGAGAATTGCGTCATCTTCGTAGTGGAATTGCGTGGATAGTCAGCCATGTATGGTAGGGCATGGAACCTGGTGATAATGCGCGCAATTGTTCCAGCTGTGAGGCCGTTGGCGACGAGACGGTCAATGATGTCGATAACTTTGAACCAATGCGTAAGGTTAGCGAGAATCTCAACCGCTGCGATGTCTCCTCTCGGGCATGGCCTGCTCCATGAGGGGCGCAAGGGGGCCGGAGCAGTAGTTTCCGCTGCTGCGACTAGGGGTAAGGCCCATGGGATATGTTTCAGTAGTAGAGGCGGTTGAGTTGTCTTGGACCGAAAGAGTGGGCGTAGATTGATTCCAAATAGGATACAAGACAAGGTACGCAGGTGAAATGACACGTCGATCCCGAGGCGAAACAGAGGAGGGCGAGTAGAGTTTTGCCTGGGCACAATGGCATCAAGGAAATTGTGGACGACTATTTACAAACAAGTTGTTCTCTGCAACTCTGTAGCATTAACCCTTTACACCGGAGTCAAACCACAATCTAACCTTTGTGTACTTTTCTGCTTCTCCTCGAACAGTGACCATGTAACTACCTCTTGTTTCTCTGAGGCAAATACCGCTTTCTTGCTGCATTCATGTTTAGTGATGGTTGTCTTTGGCACTATATCCCATAGTGATGAGAGTCGTCAGGGGTTGAAAAAGTTATCCTGGCAACACTAAGGTGATTAACCATTAGAGTGTTTTATATCTTGATCATCTGCTAAGGATTGTCCTGGAAAAACTAGGATATGTTATAGAAGCTGGGGGGATGAAATTAAGCAGTCTGAAACTGTATTGGCTGGTGCTTATGCCGTAGGAGCATCATCAGAATGATAAAATAAATGGATATAGGCGCTCTCAGCTCCCAATGGGTCGCGCCTTTATTGGCCCCGCGTGGTGGGCAACCCGCTGTGGGCTATTAGAAAGAAGGATTCGGATTACTTTTCGAATGCTTGCACTGTCGAACATCTGTTTCTCGAAGGATAGGCCGCTCCGATCCGCTAGGGAGAAGAAGCTTGTTGGACGCGAAAGCATCTCCATCGGGTGGTGAAATACTATAGCACTTACAAGTAAGGCGCAACTAATGGCTAAAGGGAGATTGATCATGTTCAAGCTCGTGGCAATTCAATGGCTTGCACATCATGTGCTTCATTTGACCATTGGATCTCGTACTATATCATCGTACTAAAGAGACGAAAAAAATGCAAAAAGAGTACAAATTAGATTTAATAGACCTATATAATAAGTTGTAAAACTATACTAGGAATCATAGCAGAGGTCCTCCGCGCTCGTGGTGGGTCCTTTAGCCCAATAGACTCTTGTATCGCACGGTTAGAGCTGACGGATGATAGAGGGCATACGAAGAGGTGCGAGTGGTCAATCAGGTGGTGAGAACCAAACTAGTCAATTGAGCAAAGGCGTAAGGTCTGGTCTCAGGAGCTTAAAGGAGCCCTGAGCTAATTATATCGTGAAGGACTAAAATGGCGCTAGTCTAAATAAGGAAAAACGCTAGTACTAAAAGAGCGACTATTGCGCTGACTCATATTAAGGTGAAACACTACGTCATGTGACGTAGTTTCACCTACTCTAATTGTCACGTGCGACATTTTGCACTAACATTCTCCATAACATTCTTATCCATAATACTGACTCGAGAACAATCTTCATAATCATTGCCCCTATAGATCGCTTGAGGCCTCTTTCCTCCATTCCTTCACGGCAGTCTCTCCACCATATCATGCATCTAATGTTAAATGTCCCAATGATCATTTCCTCAAGCGAATGCCCTCCGCTACATACAAGTACCAAATATGGAAAGGAGGGAAACAGGTGGAAATATTAATATCTGGAATGGTCGTTATTGGCTGGATTGTAACAGTTAGGATATACGTACTGGGAGTAGTCGACATTGTTTACTATCCCGGTGAAGTTAGGGAACTGCTCGGTTGCGTTGGAAGAGGAAGCGGTTGGGATCGCATCTTGGCCAAGGTATAATACTGGAGCTGTTGTAATTGTAGTTGGACTATCAAGACGCGCCATCTTCGCTGCGTGGGGCTCAAAATGGTTTCCTGGGCAAGGGGATTCCACCATAAACTGATAATGCTGTGCGCAAGCGTTAGCTCTAGTCCTAGCGTGGTCTTCAACCATTCTGCGTTCATCAGCCCCATCTTCTTGTCCCTTCTTGGCGGTTTCCCCCTCAATATCTCGGATATGCCGCTTCTTTTTCCAAGCCGATACTCCTACTTTCTGAGCAGGCAGGCGGCTCCCCGATGGTTTGCGTAACAGTCGTTCGTTCTCCCATCTGTTGAAGGCAGCTGAGTCGTAATTCTCAGGATGCACTTTCAGTGGTCCACCGATATAGTCCAAAAGTTGCTCGTAATCATTCGGGAAGTACCAAACCTCCTCAGGATGATTGGCGTGATGCTCAACACAGCGTGTCAGGTCGAGGGCATCATATCCTGCAGGCATGTATTTGAGGCCCTTGGCAAGCTTTCGAAATGGGACAGCCTTCGGCGGCGCGTTCATTTTATCGCACCCAGAACCATGTCGAGGATGCGTGATGCGTGGTGGTCTAAAGCCTCCCGTGCTAAGATTCGCACTATCCCAGTCGTTTGCCGTAATGTGGCGCCCGACAGACCACTCATTCCAGCGGTCACCAGCGCGCTTAACAATTGCATTTTTCATCATACGAAAAATGGTATTCGGTACGAGATCTCCCTTGTGAGCCTCTCGGAAGCTGTTGATCATGTGCGCCATTGTGCAGCTGGTGCCGCCGTTGCTCACGAACCGTTCAATGACATCCCAAGATTTAAGCCAATGTGGAAGGAAGGCTAAAAGCTCAGCCGCTGTGATATTACCGTTGGGAAAATCTAAATTCGGAGACGGGGCTTCACTAAGCTTGTCATATGTCGCTTGCTCGTATCGAGGTTTGTGGTTTCGCTTCTTCTTCAAAGACTCGGTAGCAGCTGAGCCATGGCTAGGGTTGATAGCAGGAGTGAAGTCAGAACCAAGCCAGTCTCGAGCATGCTTATTGTCCACCGTGGTAGCCGCATGGATTGGGTAGTCATGCGCGGGGGTTTTGTCTGCATGATGCGATATCAGAGTGTTCGCAGAATGCTGATCAAAAGTAGCAGTTACACGAAAAGGATACCCCTCCGAAGTGAGCTCGTCGGCATTGTTGGATGGGCTACCATTCCTGTTATACTCCTTGTATGCCTTGGAGATTGCACTCTCGTTGTGCAAGAGCTGGTCGAAAATCTCTTGAGGCACTTTTTCGCAGAGCTGGCAGCCCTTCACGGCTGTGCTATAGGTAGTTATCTGCTTTTTAGGCCCTAGCATAACTTTCACAGGCGTGTCAAGTATCCCTCCCACTTCCTCGCCGAAGCGAGACCCATTCTCCAGCTTTGGGAGTGTTGGAGAAAGGAGTCCTGAAGTCGCCCAAGCTCGTGGATTGCTCATTTGAAACGCCTGCTTACTATTATCTTCAGTCTTCAGATCTGGTGGAAATCTGAATGGCTTGATGAGCTGACTTAAAGGCCAAGACGAGGAAGACGAGACAGGGGTTGTTGATTTGAGTGCGTATGTAGTCAGGGTGGCCGGCCCTGCCGGACTGGTGGTCCCGGTATCGTCAACCTGCCAAGAATTGACAGGGAGGTTGATGTTCGTATCGCGTTGAATGCCGTTCACTGTACCCATAAAGGTTTGATCATTGACCGAGGCAGTTGTCTCATCCGTGCTGGAAGCGAACTGGATCTCGCTAGGAAACTGAGAACGATAGCTCGACATATTAACCTGCGCGATATTCAAGTGGGTCGATGGAAAGTTCATCAACAATTGTCTAAGTTGAATGAAAACTCGGACACCATGAAGTCTGTGGGGACTATATCAACTAGGGTGAGTTAGGATAGGTGGTTGGAAAAAAGAACATGATAAAGGCGGAAGCAGTGCTTTTGGAAGAAGAATTAAATTATATAGTTAACTTAAGGACATGAATCCTTCTGCTATTCTCAAACATTGCACTTTCATATGTACTGCTTTGTGCTGCCATGTTGAAGTAGAGAATTATCTTTGCCACCTCCGCATTGTGGAGAGACGTCTGCTCGAACAGCTACAGACCCCCTAAAAGGAAGAACAGAAGTGATCGTTAACAATGGAGAAACGTTCTAAAAGGGGGATAATGTAAGGCTGCTAGTCCTTACAAGGGTAATAATGCACTAGAAGGCTAGAAGCGGCCTGCACTAGGGTCCTTATAAAAGAAAAGGCTAGAAACAACCTGTACTAGATTTAGAGTTAGCGACAATTAAGTTAATTAAGTTAGGGTGAATTACTTAATTAATTAACAGATCTAGCACCTTTTAATTAACTTAATTAACGTAATTAATAGATTACGTAGTAAATTAACTGCTATATATTTTATAGATAGTCTCTAGGTTATTAGAAGATATAGTGTTACTACGTAAACTTTTTACTAACTTTATAAGCTTTAAGCTAAGGCGCTTCTAACTACATAGGCTTTGTAGAGCAGAGAGGAGGCCTACCTTTATATAGAGACGCCTCGTCTCTAGCAAATTACCTAGCTTAGAGAAAGTCCTCTTATAATTAGTAGCTACTATAAGAATGCTAAAGATTATAAGAGTAAAGTATAATAAAATAAAGTACTTATTTGTAAAAACAGGGTATACACTTCGCAATTAAGAGGTGTGTTAACTAACAAGGGCGTGACTGTAACATAGAAGTACAATTAGTACCTGCCTAATTTCTAAGGCGATCCTCTGCTATCTAAAGGGGGTTTCTACAACTAGCTATATACTTCTTTAGAGAGCTAGGCATAGCAGCGCTAGTAGCAACAAATCTAGTATGCTGTAGGTCTAGTTTAAAGTATTACCTGTCTAGAATGCCTAGCTTTTAGGTGAGGTAGGCGTTGTCTAGAAAGTGTGGGGTTAACAGCACAGGTTAGAAGTTGTCTAGGACTGCCTAGTGCGGTCTAGGCTAGGCTATGTTAGCCTAGGACATACCTAGATAGCTAGTTATTATAAAGCTTTATGTCTGTACGTAAGTACAGCTGCGTCTGTACACGCGTACAGCTGAATTAGGTTGCCTAAAACATTAGCTATCTAGCCTGTGCGTTAGGGGCTATATGTACTTAAAAACCCTTTTTCTTTATATAAAAAAAGAAAGTAGTAACGTACCTAACAGGTTGGCCGGCCACACAGGTTGGCCGGCCACTTTTGCCAAGCCCCCACTAAAACCACCCTATTCTCTCGCAAAACAGCCTACTTTAGCCCTGTATAAAGTAATATAACACAAGATATTATTTAGAGTCTACTTCTACTACTTACTTACATGTATGTAAGTTATGCCTAGTCTAATTATACTGCCTACATTGCCTTTAACTTAGCTTACCTTCTTTAGCGCGCACCTGCGTCTTTAGCTTCTTCCTATTACTACGCGCTTTAAACTCCTTTAGAGTAGTTAGATAAGCCCTATTCTTAACTATTAAAGTTTT